CAGCTGCAGTTCGTAAACGAGAGTTTACCGTGTGTTTCCAGATATCACCAAACCATGGGATTTGGTCAATTGGTGATTCACATTGAATATATATTTGCTATATAACAGCTAGACATGATAGTCAATAGAGGTAACTACATCTACTGCACCATGAATTGAAGCACCGACATCCCCCTCTCCTTAGATACCAGCCACATTATCCCTTTTGATGCCCTGCCTCCGATTCGATTTCATCGCTGGTTGGACATACCCATGCCCTCTAATCGGAATTCTAACCTCGTCCCGCCTGGTTTCCGTGTAGCACGCAACCCGAACTGCCCGTCGACTATTTCTTGTATTTTACATACCATTGTCAGCAACTCGCCCAGTGTCTAAATTGTGATGTCTTCCCCAAATACTTCGCGGCTGAACGTGTTGATTTGCGCTGGTGTCACTGTTGTCGCCAAATTTGATCCCATCTTTTTCGCCAATTCAAGTTGGAGTAACTTGATTCCGTGGGGTGGTTATCATCTTATCCATCTCTCATCTCATCATAGTCGTCGTCTCGTTGTGGGTTGTGATTCATCGTCCATGGCGGCATTTTGTATCTGAAACCATCATATCCATTCATCGTGTCGAACCTTCATTCCATTTAATTATTTTGTCGTAAACAATTCCTGGTCGAAAACCCCACATATCCTCCACATCCACCGTACCATTTCATCGTCCGGTATCTCAAAATCCGAATATTTTACCTCTTTCCACCTCCTCTCTGCTCCTCCAAGCAAGCAATTATTCGATGTCCTACATCCAACCCCCAAATCTCCATAATCCGAACAACGCCATAGTCCAGCAGCTTAACCCTCAAAGTGAAATCTTGCCGCCGTCAACATGCCGAGTCCATCTCTGGGCGCGATATACCTCCGGCGGTACGTGTTTGTGAAGTCTTGCAGTAGAGTCCTGACATGTCTCAAGTTCGAATGATCGCCTCCCTGCAGCTTCTCGTTGATCTTGGCCATGAGCTTGTTGGCTTCAGCATCCGTGATAGTACCGGCTGGCAACATCCTGATTGTGCGGTCAACCCAGGTGGACGTCTCAGCGGGGAGAAGCTCGAACATGCCCAGCAGAACACCACTACCGTCACTAAAGCAGTCGCGAGGGAATGTGATCATCATGCCCGCCAAGGTCTGCTTGATGAGTGCCTCACCCTGGCTGAGCAGGAGCTGCCTGACGTGCTCACGAAGCTGTACGCCGACTGCACCAAACTGCTGACTCGATGAGGCGGGGTTGTCACCGCCGTAGGTGAGAAGGTCGCGGATATAGTGAAGCGCAGCCGAAACGGGCTCCTGCTTCTCCAGAGACAAGGCCGAGATGGCAGCCTGGAAGATGGGCGTAAAGAGGGGAGACGGGATCAACCTCTGAGGGTAGTAAAGAAGGGCATCAATGAGAAGACGGTAAAAGTCTTCAATCACGTCGGGCAGATCGATGGGAGCAATGTCACTCATCATGCGGAGGACATTGGTCGCTTGCGCCTCGAAGAAGCCATAAATGCTATCCACGATGCCATCTTCGACATGTTCTCGGTCTTCTGAGAACTCACGCAGAATAGCGCTCGACGCCCACAAGAAACAACCCTGTTTAGACTTAGCAAAGCCCTCTGCCAGCTTGTTGGCCAATGGCCCGAGTAGAGGCGTAATGGCTGTCCTGTAAGAGATGACCATGAAACGCCAACATCTGCAAATCCGCTCGCAAATCGGGACGAAGTCGATAAAGTTGTCCAGGATAGTGGCGAGGATAGGGAACACTTCTTGCCAGTACCGAACAGCTGGGTTATCCGAGTTACTAGGCCAGTATGGCACGACGTTCTGGACATATTGGGTAAGGAGGTTGATGTGATCTAGAAAAGCGTTAGTCAATTCAGGCGTACATATGTAGTTCGGGACATTTCAACTTACCAGCAAGCTCCAATTTAGAGGTATCGTCGGTAGCGTTATTGGCCTTGGTCATCAGGCGTTGGACTAGAGGATCGCAATAAAGCTTGAGAAGGCTATATATATCCTCTGTCTTTTGCACACTAATGACGGTCGCTACACCCTCGGTCAGATCTTCCTTGCTATGGTCGCTGAGTGTATCAAGGATGGAGTTGTAGAAGCCTTGCAGCTCGATGGCCTGGGGACCCAACAGATGCTTGCAGTCGACGCAGAAGTACTTGAACGACTGGGCAGCAGCGCGCAGAATCTCCTGAGAGGGAGTCTGGAAAGACGCCAAAACGTAGGAGAGCTGGGGTTGAAGGTAGTCGGGGTGGGCCGACGTCCATTCTGTATAACGACCAAACACCATGATGGCTGCGAACCGCAACTTCTCGTTATTGATAGGAATCTGGACCAACAGAGGCATGATCTCCGGCAGGACGATGTTTTCTTCCTTGTCTACCAGGCGACCCAGAGCTCGCAAGGCAAAGAGCGGCGCCTCAAGCGACTGCCAATGCGGCACTGCTGACTCTGTCGCCTGGCCGCCAAACCTCTCCCTCCAAATCTTAATAGCCTCGTGAACCTTTGTAAGACATTCCGTAGTACCCATCACCTGGCAGGCATCTTTCATGGTGTCGCCCATATGATGACGGAACTCGCGGAACTTTTCTTCCTGTTCGCGATCTCCATCGAAAAGGTCAAACTCGTTGGGGTCGTCGGATTCGGGGTACTCGAGCTGCTTGAGAAGGACGTCGACGAGCTTGGAGTAGACATCCAAAAGTTGTACCCTAGCCGCGATGTAGTGATCCAAGGTGAGGTATTGCTTCAACTCATACCAAAAGTTGAATGTGTAATGAATGGCATCCCTTTCCTTATCCCTAGCACAGCACTCCAGCAGAGCATCGACCAACGGGCGGAAATGTTGCGGCTCGCGCGCACAAAGCAAAACCCAGGAGTCACCGGCATCAGCGAACACTCGGGTGATGGCCTTGAACCCTTCGATATCCTCCTCATCGGCCAGCGCTTGGATGCGCGGCCTTAGCTGAAGGACCTTGGGAAGGAGCGCCTGAATAGTCTCGAGGTTATCGTCCACGTCTCTGGTTTCTCTGCAAATGATGCCAAGGCATTCGGCAGCCGCCTGCAAGGACCTGTCGTCGGAAAGCCCATTGATAACAGCATCAAGAAGAGGCGAGTTCACCACCACGGTAACCGGAACCTCGCGAAGCCATGAGGTAATGCACTCGAACAGTTGGGGGTTTGTAGCAGCAGCAGCTGGAGGCTATGTTAGTCAAACATGGTATAGCTGTTATTTGAGTGATACTTACGGGAAGACTGAGCATAGTTAATGAGAAGTCCGACAACCTCATTCGCGTTGTCGGCAAGCAGTTCTGATGTTCTTTGGATGAGCTCTTCTTCCTGTTATGATCCCAAATTAGACTCTGATCCAGGCTGGTGCCACCAACGTGGCTGGTCGAACTGGAGACAAAGGCGAGTCGCGACATATCGATCCACATACAGACAAGGTGATTTTGCGGCCTTCCGTGACCTCTTCGGGAAGTACTCGTAGGAAGTCCAAGATGCAGGCGTGGCTGGATACATCATCTCCGAGGGCGCTGACGACGGTTTGCAATACATCCTTCCAGGACTGCATCTGGATGGCTAGGATGGCCAGACACACGCATAGTTGGACTCGGACGGGCTTGGGGCCACTGGCGAACTTCTTGAGGAGGACTAGGATCTGGTTGCGAAGAGCAGCATGTTCACTTTCGGGAATTTGCGTTGCGAGGTCGTAGGTAATCTGAGAATCGTGAATGTCAGCGTTGCGCTACATACAAGCGTAGCGGTATCGTCGTGATCCAATGGGTATCTGTACCTTGCCCTTTAGTGTCGTTGCTGCGAAGAGTTGCGCCTCGGCTTCGGGAGAGCCCTGCAAGATCGATATTGTGGTAGTCCAGGCCTCGTTCTACAGTCGATTGAGAAATGCGGGTTAGTCACATGCGAATCATAGTTGTATTGGCGTCGAAAGAGCTGAAAGCCCAACTGACCGACTTCTGAAACTTTTGCAGGTAGTCCATAGCGGCCTTCTTGGAACTGGAGTCACCACTCCGCATCGTCAGCATAGCCTGCAGAACATTTGGGGTGGTGAAGCCGTCTGCGGCGCCGTTGGAAGCCATGTTGGGCAGCTTGAAGAAATGTGTATGATGTGTGATTTAGCTCTAATACAAGTGTTGTGGTGGCAAGTGTTGCGATGCGGTGTTGCAAGTGGAAGCTATCGCTGGGGTATCGCAGGTCGCAAAGTGGATGGATCAGCCCCTCCTATTCGACAGGAGTGTTGTCCGACTTATCGGTCTTGCGACGCGATGGAAGCTTTCAGGATATGTTGTTGTAAAGGCGAGGAGCTGCGATGCGCACGGGGTATATGAAGCTCCAGAGAGGTTGCAAGAATAAAGGACTGGGCGGTATTGTACGGTGCCGCGGTGGTGACAGGATTGCTGCAAGTTGGAGGTTGCCGGCGACGATTTGCTAGTCTTGAGCGTCCAAAGAAACGACGATTGAAAAACATCCCGCCAACAATCGAAGAACGTCAGGCTGCCTGACACCGACCGACCGCGAGTGGAGTAAACGGCGGCAGGCAAGCGGGTCAAAGAAAGTGGAAGCACATCCTGCACCGCCATAAGTGGGACAAGCGGGAGGGGCTCATGCTACCCCAGACTGAAGATTCTGTGGCTTGAGAGCCCGAGCAGCTCGGAAAAAGTGAATTGAGCTGAATGCCAAGAGCTTATGACACGACGCTGTGGGCCCAGCAGCATGTAACTAAGCGCACGGGCCAGCTGAGCACCCAGCTCCCGTCCCGTAGGTCCCCGGCGGGTGCTTGTGAAAACAAGAGCTCCACACGCCAGAGACAGACAGGCAGGCAGGCAATTCGACATTCGGGGGAAATTCATTGAAGTCACGTCCCGGCCGTAGAGAGAACGCGTCTGGGAACAACTGCAAGCCAAGCCCAGCCGACCAACAACGACCATCCACAACTTGATTGCGACTTACTTCTTCAGCCTCCACATCACCATCAAACTTTTGTCCTAAACAACAGCCAAACGACCAAACCACCACAAACTTCTTTCTTCAACATGACCGGCAGAGGTGGTGGCGGCAACCGCCGTGTTCTTCTTCCTCCCATCAACTTCCTTTTCCGTCTTTTGCAACAACACTCGACCGTCCAAATCTGGCTGTACGAGCAGCTCCACATTCGCATTATCGGCACCATTCGTGTAGGATTCTCCATCGTAGCCTCCCCGAAGAGCAAACATAGGTGCTGACAATTCCGTCTTACAGGGCTTCGACGAGTTCATGAACCTGGTGGTGAGTAGCGGCGCACGTCCCACTAGTACTACGAGACCTAACCCGATTTCCACAGATCGATAATGCGATTGAGGTCAAGCTGGTCTCCAAGACAAACGAGACGGAGGAGAGGAGGGAGCTTGGGGTAAGAACATGTTTAGGGCTGGACGTTGATGTTGCTGTGGTGGTGGAAAGGGTGGCTAACTGGGTCGCAGCAAATCCTCCTGAAGGGCGACAATGTCTCGCTCATCCAGAGCTACTCCGGGTGAAGAGCTCAAAACCTGAACGAGAAGCGGTAATCGACGATGCAATTTACGCTGGGACCTACATCGAGCGACGAGCCAGCAGATCTAAAGCTGTACATAGACGGCCCACGAAAATGTGGTACGCGGCCTTCTACACGACAAACGACACCGAATCTACGGAAAGAGATACCAGGGAAAAGCGATTGGCCGAGGCGCACAGGAATGTCGACTATATGTATTTGATCAAAGGGAGGCAGTATGGGATGGATATCAGGTCATGGAACTATTCTGGTGCAGGAGGGCTCTTAATCTCGCCATTTCCGAGTATCAGGCCGTCCAGAGGTTGATCGTGGCGACCAACAGGTACCGACCCCTCGGACGGAGAGGATAGAAACTGCTCAGACAGCGCTAAGCCATAAAGCAATACAGGGGTTTCCTGCTTCCCCAGCTCGACAGACTTTTGGTTGTGCCGGTTGATGAAGTAGTCGTAGAAGCCTTTGCCGTGTCCGAGTCGTCTGATGGCCCCAGCTTCCGGGTCAATGTCGAAGGCCACGCCGGGCATGAGGATCAAGTCAAGCAGGGTTTGGTCGGAGTGGTGGGCGTCGGGACCTCCAAACACCCTCTGCCGCTCATGGACCGTGGCCGGGTCGATGCTGGGAATGCCCCATCTGTCTGGCTTGAGGGACTCATAGTCGTGAAGGTCTCTGAGGCGGACCATGTCCATGACGCGGGCTGGGAGGTCGGGCGAGGCGAGGGGATTCTTGTGAAGATACGGGATGAAGACCTCCTTGCCGGATTCTAGAGCGTGCCTGACGATGCCATCGGTCTGGATCTCGCCCGTGGGCATTGACAGGAACACGCTGACTCGTTTGGCATCTACGTAGGGCTTAAAGTTCCTCAGGGTGTTGAAGACCACAGAACCTGCAATTGCGGATTTAGTCTGCGCTGGCAGTGCCTTTGCGGTCTATGGAGTTCTCTTACTCTGTGACTTGACGGCCTCGTGAGAGAGTGTGCCGAGCTTGTTCTTCATAGCAGAGCGAATCTGCTGTTTGGCGGCGTTGAGAGAAGCCATTGCGACTGTGTCCTCAACCATTCCAGACATTCTCTTGTGACTATAGGTGTACCCAGGAGAAAGCAGGTCGATCAGCTTGATAGTAGTTGGAGTGAGCACGCGCGGAGCTGTGTGACGCTTCAGTTTCGGCTAAGAGCTGCTCGAGTGTGAGTCGAAGGTAGGTACCTCTATGTAGGTAGGTAGGTTCACATCTTATCTTATCGATCGACTACAAGCGGGCACAATCAAGTGGAATTTCCCGTCCACTTGGTTTCAGCCTCCCGCTGGCGTGCAGATGCGCTGTACTTTAGCGCGTCGTCCCATTGATGTCCGCTTCCACTTCCATCCCGCAACCGTTCCCCGCTACAAATTGGGGATAGGAACTTTCCATCTTCCATGTCCCGTCACCTAAAATGGCGGGGAAGCGACCACGCGCAGATATTTGTTCATCGACCATACAAAAATGGAAAACGCAACCTTGACGCCAACATTTATATCCCCTCATCAGGGCCGTCGATCCATTGCAAATCGAATTGGCAATCACAATGACTCGCCATTCCGCGCTGTAGCACTCTTCTCATCATGTTCTAGTCCCCGTATTACACAGGTACTCGCTCTTCTGTTTGTTACCTAGGTATTTTCTGTTACCACCAGAAATAGAGTACGCTAGTCTTGATCCTTTCACCCGTTGTCGCGATCCCACAGCTTCCCTTCGCCTAGCCGTCCATCGTTGACTCTCGCTCGACTGGAAACACCGCGGGCGCAAAATACTACAAGTCTCCAAGTGATAGCGGAACGAAACGTCCAGTCCAAGCCCAACTCCGTGGCAGGCTCCATCAGGGCAACTGGGCGCAACAGGGATTGGACTTGTGCGGACCCCCGCCCGGGTACCGGATTTGTGAAAGGTTCCTCGTCCTTGGTTCCCATTGACTCGTTACTTGCATCTTGCCCCAGGCGGGCAGGAAGACAGATTCCGTATGACGCCTGACCGAGATAGGAGTCCTTCACCCGACATAGCTTTCTTCTTGGACGATTCTGATCATAATCCAAGCTTCCCGCTTCGTGAACTGCTACGTCAAGCTGTACTGCCGGCCGGCACCAATTCGTCAACCACCACTCGAGGGCAGCCGACGCCAACCTCGTCGCACTCTTCACAAGATTTTGAAGTCTCTCTCATTGGCTCGACACAAGATCAGGATCGCGTTGATACGGTGCCTGGGCGGGACGAGCCCGTCCAGACCTTACCTGGCAATGCCCATGGACTACTCCAGCAACTTCACTTACACGAGGAGACGGGTGGCGACAACGCAGAGAGCGACAACGATAGCATACCAAGCGAGCCCGTATCTGAAGAACTCATGACCAAAAGACAACCTTCCCTTCTCTCCGTAGCGCCGGGGCGAGACAGTCCCTCCTACGGAGCCATAACCTCGGCGCCGGCCCGGGCGACCAGTGCTCCCCAATCCGAAGGGGGCGAACCATCCGCTCGCGCCGAGTCCCGCTCCGAAGGAAGTGCTCGTTCTCGAACAGGTCATGATTCAACCAGCAGGAGCTTGACGGGGGACAGCTGCGATGGATCTGTGGGAAGATCGTCCGAGCGACTTTCCTTGTCGCTGCGGAAATCTGGCGAATGGGGTGGCTCAATGACAATGCGAGGAATCGAGGGTCGTTTTGAAGCCGAGGTACCGCTCGAAGGAGAGTCTTTGCTGGACCATATCGAAGAGTTGAACGAGTTCGATGAAACTGAGGAGGACCTGGCCGACAACTCTCCCTACGCACAAGTACGGGCTTCAGTTGCGCCCACTGACAATACGACACTTTCCATCAACACTCCACGAATGTGGACCTTGGCAGTGCTATTTTCTATTATCGGATCTTCCACCAACTTATTCTTCTCGTTGAGATACCCCAGTGTTGCAATCACGCCTGTCATCGCACTCCTATCAACCCATCCCCTTGGTCTCATGTGGGACTTCTTCCTCAAACGAGCGGACGACCCCCCAGAAGAGTATGTTGATGGATGTCGGACAGACAGTGCCAATGTTCCGGTTGACCACCCGACCGATGAGCAACCACGTGTTTTTGTTCCCTGGGATAAAAGAAGCAAGCTCGACCAGCTGCGGCTATGGCTCGCTCAGGGTCGCTGGAATGAGAAGGAACATAGTTGCGTCTATGTCAGCAGCAATGTCTCCTTCGGCTTTGCCTTTGCGACGGACGTTATCGTTGAGCAAACCCAGTTTTACAAGCAGGATGCCCCGATACTCTACCAGATTCTCCTCACCATCTCTACTCAAATTATGGGCTACACCTTCGCTGGGCTCACACGGGGATTCCTTGTCCGGCCAAGCGGCATGATATGGCCCGGTACGCTCATGTCGGCCGCCATGTTTACTACCATTCACAAGCAGGAGAACCACGTGGCAAATGGGTGGAAGATGACCAGATGGAAGTTCTTCATGGTCGTGTTCCTCGCTGGCTTCCTCTTCTACTTTGTACCCGGTCTTTTGTTCCCCGCATTGAGCTATTTCAACGTCATCACCTGGTTTGCTCCCAAGAATGTTGTTGTTGCCAATCTCTTTGGCGTCGTGTCTGGCTTGGGATTATTTCCCATGACATTTGACTGGGCCCAGATTGCCTATATCGGATCGCCTCTTCTAACACCATTTTGGGCAGCCATGAACGTGGTTGGCGGTCTTGTTGTGGTCATGTGGATTATTGCCCCTATCGCATACTACAGCAACTGGCTCTACTCCTCATATATGCCGATATTATCAGCAGCCGTTTTCGACAACACAGGCCAGGTATATGATGTCAGCAGGATCCTTACAAAGGATTTCGTTTTCGATCGAGAAGCCTATTCAAAGTATAGCAGAGTCTTCCTCCCCATCACCTATGTCCTCGGCTATGCCGTTCAATTTGCCGGCCTGGCCTCTCTACTTACACATACCATATGTTGGCACGGCAGAGACATCTGGGCTCAGTGGAAGCAAACCCTGGGCGAGATGCATGGTGCCGAGCCCAAGGGCTCGTATGAGCCGGTTGCAGTGTCGACCGAGGGGCTCAGTCGGACTTGGAGTCGGTTGAGCTCAAGATCAAGCTTTACTAGGTCTAACTCGAGCACGGAGAACATTATGAATAGGGAAGACGTACATAACCGGTTGATGAGGAGGTACAAGGATGCACCCATGTCGTGGTATCTCATCACTTGCATATTGATGCTGGCTATCGGTATCTTTGTCGTTGAATAGTAGGTCGGGATTTCCCGCGCACATGTTACATATCGATCTAACCCTGTCCCTAGCTACCCAGTTCACCTGCCTTGGTATGGCTTGCTCCTCGCTCTCGGAATCTGCAGCATCCTCTTCATCCCTATCGGCATCATCATGGCAGTCACCAACCAGCACAGCAGCATTTACCTGATCTGCCAGCTCGTTGCTGGTGCCGTCTTTCCTGGCCGACCCGTTGCGAACATGGTCTTTGTGACTTACGGATACATCTCCTCAGCGCAGGGCATCAAGTTCGCTGCCGACCTCAAACTAGGCCACTACATGAAGATACCACCCCGGATCCTCTTCTCAGTTCAGATGGTGGCGACCATCGTCTCCTCCCTCACGCAGATCGGCGTCCTCAACTGGATGTTCAAGAACGTCCCCGGCCTTTGCACTCCAGAGGCCCTCAACGGGTTCACGTGCCCCATTGCCCGTGTGCACTTCAATGGGTCAATTCTATGGGGCGTCGTTGGCCCTAGCGAGTTCTTCGGCCCCGGGGCAACCTACCGACCGCTCGTATGGGCGTTCGCAGTCGGAGCCGTCCTACCCATTCCGCTGTGGCTGTACGCACGCAAGAGGAAGGATAGTATTGTGCGGAAACTCAACCTCCCCGTTCTCTTTGGTTCGTTGGGCTGGATCCCGCCAGCAACAGGCTTGAACTTTTCAGTGTGGGCTCTCGTTTGCTACGTGTTCAACTACGTGATAAAGAACCGGGCGCGGGCGTGGTGGGCCAAGTACACGATGACGCTCAGCGCCGCGCTGGATTCGGGCCTGGCGTTTGGCATTGTGGTGGTATTCTTCGGGTTCATCTATCCCGGGGTGGTCAAAGGGTTTAGTTGGTGGGGGACGGAAGTGTATAAACAAGGGTGTGATTGGCAGGCTTGTGCGTATCAGGCGGTGCCGGAGGGGGGAAGGTTTGGGCCTGATGTTTGGTAGAGGAGGGGAATTCGGGCGGGCTGTTCAGGATGTGCGCCTTGAATACAATGATGACGTTATGATTTGAGTATATTTACCATAAAATGGGTGTAGATAGGAAAGACGACTTAGCAGGCAGTGTTTTGGGTGTATAGTTAAAACGGATGGACATACAAGGAGACACGAGCTCACGATATTGATGATTTATGTAGGAGCACTGCGGAAGCTCTTGGGTACATGCATATTGGGATGTAGCTACAGGATAAGGTGACAAGTGACAGATATGTAAAGCTGTCTAGCTCCGAGTCCTCACTATTTGACTTTTTATCGGGCCCGACGTCCGGCTAATGTCTGTCTTGAAGGCACTGAATCGCCTGGCAAACGGATCTCCAAGGAATCGGGGCTCCTGCAGTCGAACTGCGGGCCCGCTCCGCGTGGGGAACGTCGTATGTAATGAGTGCTCCGTCACAAGCTAAGAAGGAGCCGATGGAATCAACGGCTTGGCTTCTTGGCGCCGGCTCTTCCCCCGACTTCCAGGTAGTCTTGGCGGACTCGGCACCGCAACGAAGCGCCCGATTGCTTCACAACTCCCGTCCTCATTTTCTGTCTTTCCCTTGCAGGTCGAAGGTCTCAGTTCTGCCCGACCCCTGATTCATTGCATTTGGTCCGTGCGCATCCAGTGAAACACACAAGAGCTCGGCAGTTTGACAGGACCCAACCAAACCCATCCAACGAACCAACCATGACATGAAGCACACTGCACGTGTTGGTTGGTTGCAGGGTCGCGGACAGCTTTACATACATATGTAATGAGACCCGACTTCATGTCTTCAGTTCGTACAGTATCTCTCGCCTATTCTTTGCTACTTGAATGATTTGACTTTGTTGTTGTTGTCTGTACTGGGTCGACCTAGTTAATGTTCAAGGCGTCGACTGATGGCGACTGTGACGTGACACAGCAGGGTCATCCAACTCGATTCCGTTCACGACGGGAAACCATGAGCCTACATAAAGGAACCATCAAGAACAACACGACAGTATATCGCACTGATATATCATGAAACGCATCAACAAAGACCCCTACGCATAACTAGACTTACAACCTGGAGATACAACAACTTCGGCATTGACCAAATCCGCCTGTCTGGCCATCAAGGTACCCGCAAGGGTATCCTACATATCCCCATTTACATCGTCACCTTCCGGTAAAACTCACGGTTAAGGAGAACGAGTCCGCGCAGAGTAGTATCTGCGAACGCACGTGAAGGAGTGCCGCGTAAGAGGTGGAATAAGAAGCGAAGAACCGCAGGGAAATTGCTTCGCAGTTGCGCCGAACGCAACATGGACCCGGCCACCAAAGGAACAACCAGAGCCTCCTCTGTATCCAGATCCCTCTTCGGGATGGGAGGAGGCTCGCAGCATAAATACTCACCACTCGGTCACGATGGCGATGATTCAGAGAGTCAGACTCAGTTGCTTCCCGGCGAGTCAACAGCTGAAGACTTGGACGAGGAAAGCCAACTTCAACAACAGAATAAAAAGAGAGGCTTGCTGTATCGGTTGGTATGGGGAGATCCTAACAAGATCTTTGTCAAACTCATCATGTTCCTCTTGATGATTCCTCTGTTTAGCTACCTGGCTGCTGCTTCCCTGTGAGCTCCGTTCTGCTTCCTACCTACTCTATGTTAACGTTAAAGCGACTAATAAACTCATCAGACGAGTACTATCCCCAAATCCAGCATCATGCGACAGCCCAGAGCTTGGTTACCAATGTAACTCAAAGACAACCCACACATGGGGTCAATACTCGCCCTTCTTCTCCGTCCCGTCGGAAATATCCCCCTCCGTTCCCGAGGGTTGCCGCCTCACCTTCGCCCAAGTTCTTTCTCGCCACGGCGCTCGCTTCCCAACTCCCGGCAAAGCCGCCGCCATCTCCGCCGTTCTCACCAAGATCAAAACCTCCGCCACCTGGTACGCCCCCGACTTCGAGTTCATCAAAGACTACAACTATGTCCTCGGCGTCGACCACCTCACTGCCTTTGGCGAGCAAGAGATGGTCAACTCGGGCATTAAATTCTACCAACGCTACGCTTCCCTCATCCGGGACTATACTGACCCAGAATCCCTTCCTTTTGTTCGCGCCTCGGGGCAGGAGCGCGTCATTGTCTCAGCTGAGAACTTCACCACTGGGTTCTACTCTGCCCTCGTCGCCGACAAGAACCCACCCTCTTCCTCCCTCCCGCTTCCCCGCCAAGAAATGGTCATCATCTCCGAATCGCCCACGGCCAACAACACCATGCACCACGGTCTCTGCCGCGCCTTCGAGGACTCCACCACCGGCGATGCGGCCCAGGCGACCTTTATAGCTGCCAACTTCCCGCCCATCACCGCGCGGTTGAATGCGCAGGGTTTCAAAGGCCTCACTCTTTCCGACACGGACGTGCTCTCGCTCATGGATCTCTGCCCCTTTGACACCGTCGCTTATCCGCCCTCCTCCTCTCTCACCACCTCGTCCTCTACCTCGGGGGGAAGCAAGCTCTCCCCTTTTTGCTCCCTTTTTACCGCTCAAGACTTTACCGTGTACGACTACCTCCAGTCCCTCGGCAAGTTCTACGGCTACGGCCCGGGTAATTCTCTGGCTGCCACTCAGGGGGTGGGGTACGTAAACGAGCTTTTGGCTCGCCTTACGGTTTCCCCGGTGGTGGATAACACGACCACCAATTCCACGCTGGATGGGAACGAGGACACGTTTCCGCTGAGTAGGAACAGGACGATGTTTGCGGATTTCAGTCATGATAATGATATGATGGGGATCTTGACTGCTCTGAGAATCTTTGAGGGGGTGGATGCGGAGAAGATGATGGATAATACGACCATACCAAGAGAGTACGGGGAGACTGGCGATGATCCGGTAAATTTGAAAGAGAGGGAGGGGTTGTTCAAGGTTGGTTGGGTGGTGCCGTTTGCGGCGAGGGTGTATTTTGAGAAGATGGTTTGTGATGGGGATGGGAATGGGGAAATGGTTCAGAGCGAGGAGGAGCAGGACAAGGAGTTGGTGAGGATCTTGGTTAATGATAGGGTGGTTAAACTGAATGGATGTGAGGCCGATGAGTTGGGGAGGTGTAGGTTGGATAAATTTGTAGAGAGTATGGAGTTTGCTAGGAGGGGTGGAGATTGGGATAAGTGTTTTGCTTAGGGTAGCTTGGGTAGGTGAGGGATTTGGTGTGGGCAATAAGCAGATGTTGGCCTTTTTGCTCTTCGTTTTTGTGATTTGCGAGCGATAGAAGGAATGAATTTATGTAAGCAAGTGAAGATCGTGTGCGCCTCTATACTAAAGTTCCCTCGATAATCAACCCCTGGGAAACTGTAAAAAGGGCAGAACCACTAGGTACCCATCTGTCTAACCGTCGCAGAAAACCGTCAAGCAACCATGAACCTCAAATCATGCTCCTAATCATCGTCCACACTATCCATCATAAGCATCTGGTAATGGATTCTGGCGGCAAGTGTCATGAACGCGACCGCGAGGCATTCCGCTTTCACCTCAGGCGTCAGAAAGTCATCTCCGTCTTTACCATCATCCCAATCCTTGTTTTCCCCCTGTTTCTCATCCTCCTTCACCCCCTTCCTATCCTTCTTGACACTTGCCGCCACTGGCTTGGTGATAGGAGAAAGCTCGCGAAGTTGCTGGTCCCGAGTCTAGATAGTGTTGCGAATTAGCCTTGCTCCCCATTGTAACGTGCAACAAGTTGGATAAGGATCTATACTGACCTTAGCAGTGTCAACAGCCTTGCTGACTATCGTAGTAACCTGCACGCTCTGAGTCAACTGTTTTTCCATTTTCCTTAGATCCTTCTTGTTGTTCACCTTTTTAACCACCTTGGACTTCTCGCTGCCGACGAGTATTTCCTTCGGCTTCTCCTTCTTAGCCTCGGCGGCCAATTGCCAAGCCTTTTGGTCCGGGACGGCCTTGTTGAGTACATGTATGTACGTCGTCTCCCAAGCACCTAGAATTCTCAGGTTCTTCTCTTTTTCTTTCTCCATGTGCTTCTCCCAGGCAGCTAGAATTCCCAGCTTGTTCTCTGTGGCGGCGACAAAATTACTGATTTGATTCTTAGATGCTTGCTGCTTTTGTCTCTCCATCCTCGCTAGCGGCGGCTCGTGGTACGCACCGGATTGTTCAGACCAGTCGGGCTCCTCGAGGTAGATATAGTCTGTGTCCAGTGAGATGACCCAGTGTGCGGTGTCGAGCTGGCTGCGATCCCGCTGGATGTTCTCATTCAACTGTTGGAAAGTTAGTGATTGTTATGGGGATAATTGCAAAGTATTGAACAGCTCCAGAGATAAGGTGTACTGACATACGGCATGTTGTCGTCCTGGAGGGCACGTGAGTAAAAACAGTTATTGGCCAATTTGAATCTGGGGACGGAAAGAGTAAGATGAAGAAAGACAAGTCAGGAAGGAGGAAAATCAGGGGCACTTGTTGGTTTATATCTACGAGGACAGATTTTTGTTTCCTGATTTCTGACGTGCTGCAATGGGGCGGTGAAACTTGGTAACAGCTATGTATGATCTGTGCTACACCCGGATGCAATGCATTGTTTAACTTGTTCCTTTTGGATATCTCACATGATCTTTCTGGAATTTCTCGAGAGGTGCCATGTTCCGAACAAAAGTCTGATCCCTCTGATAAACCGGATAAAGCTGATGAGACTGGATGAGGTCTTCACGTCTTGCCTTGTGAATTTGTCAAGCTAATTGTATCTTGTAGAGCAGATGCTGCTGTTTAATTGAGGGAGAGCTTCCTTGACTGCCCCCTTCTTCAACGATTGAAGCAAGCCTTCCGCCTTTTGTCAGATCCAATGACAAGATATAAGACACTGCCTGACGAGGTGTCCACTTGCTGGAAGGCATACAAAGCAACCTTCTCATCAACCTTGTCCTCCCAATGTTCTCTATGAAACAGGTTCAGGGTCTGAGAAAGCGACTTGATCTTAGGGCCCCTATACTCCTCTTCAGTAAAGTCCCATCGGCTTCGTTACTCTTGGAGCGTTGTGAGGTTGGTATAGTGGCATGGCTTGCTTACCCGAGCGTGTGGCCTATGGTACGACTAATGTGAGATATATCAGCACAAGATCAGTACAACAAACTACCTGCAGGTACTTTGACGGTATCATCCCATGGTCAGTTTGTGAAGAACTTGGTGTTGAATGATTAGAGACTTTAAGAGCTGCTTGTTTTTCAGCTACCTTAGGGCAATGGTTGTACTTTCTTCGTAGCAAAGCACGGCTCGAATTTGCTCGGTCGTCTCGCACTTGTGAAGTCCATTTACTTTTTCCTGTTTTTCTCTTCCTTTTCTTTTTTTCTCTTTTTTTCCCCACCGGGTATGCCGTACGATGAAGGTGCGAACCGGTTCGACGGATGATGCGGAAGGAAGAACCCTCATGGCTCTCCACTCCACGATTCGACTTTGGCCCGCCTGACCGGTTGGTAGTATTTCACTTGACTGGATAAGATTCCTCAAGTCTGCTATATCCAAAGGGCTTAAAGATATCGATTGACAAAAAGTAGAAAGAAAAAACTCGTCCAACGATGTTGTCAGTGGTACCTAGTGTACACATATGAAAATACGACAGGAAAAAAGAGAAGCAACAAGGTTGCAAGTTGGCATGCCAAGCACAGCTTGTACCTGCAGGGTTTAGGGTGGCAGGAACCCGCTAAAGCCTGTCACTATCGATCATTACTGCCCGTTTGGGCTTAGATAGCTGGCTGATCTGGATGTTTGCGATCACTGATCCTTGTCGTCTTGGCCAACCTAGTAAGTCCCGCTCAACCACCGGCTGTGGGCAGGGAGACCCTGCTGACGCAGTGCGTTTCCTCTTCAATTCGGTGGTCGCGGAGCTATCAACTTCACCACTCACCCTCCACTCCTCCACCATTTGCTATTCTCCTACCGGTCCGGATTCCGTATCACCCGCAGAGTACATACACACGATTAAAGTCTCATTTTGTCTTCTTCGTATCACATACAAACATACGAGCAACAGCAGTGCCTTAGATTCAGGCACCTGTAGTTCACACCCCGGGACCCAGCCGCCTACGAACCCCACGAAAGGGCTGTCTTCTTCCCGGTCTTGCGCCAGCCTCTCTTTTACGACGGTTTTACCCACACTCACACACCACCTAACCCGTCAAAACGAGCGACCGCAAAAACTATCTCCAACGTTTTTCAACTACGACAGATGCGAGCGGAGAACCACTTACGACCAACGACTCTATTGACCTCCTCCTGATCTCGATTCGCCCGTTCCGCCCGCTTCCTGCTCCCATCCAACTACAAACAAACGGAGAAGAAAAGAGGAACTGAGCCATCAAACCCAACTCGACCTTCACCATGGGGCCGGCTAGCGTAATTATCCTCTGCATCTTCCTCGCAGTGGTGGCTGCCGCCATCTTCTATGTCCTCATCTCGCGCGCCCAAGCAACACGTCTCGGGGTATGTTATCCGTCGGGTTTCAACATCGCCTGTTCTTTCGAACCTGCGATGGCGAATCCCAATCTTTTCTATGAACGACTCATCATTGACAACATAACTAACATCATGTTTCCAGCTTCCACCACCACCCCTCACCTCGTACATCCCTTTCTGGCCCGAGCCCTCAAACTCTCTTCCCTATGCCAACAACACCTCTTCTTCTTCCGGCGGTATTAAGGGCTGGTTCGGAAAGTTCAAGAAAAACAACAATCGCACTGCAGCTGGTGCCTACGAGCCTTCCGGTGCTAACGCCAACGCCGCCCGGAGCCGCGGCTTCGGACCCCTCGATCCGGATGAGGCGTGGGATGCGCGCGTTGGACAAGAGGCAGATGGCTATGGACCCGCATACTATGAGGAGACGGAAATGCAGCCCTCTCGGCACAACAATCTTGGCGATGATACGAGCTACGGAGGAAGCAGCTACCAGATGAACCTGGCGACCAACCCCGGCAACAGTCAGCCTGGCACTGGCACTGGCACTAGCAACCCGTTCGCAGATCCCGAGGAAGAGAGAGGTAGAAGGAGAAGCCGTTCTCCTGGCCCGGCTGCGACCAAGGGCTTGAGTGCGTCCGCCCCCCAAAACCCATTCGACGATGCTGCCGCGGATCACACCAACGTTAGCATGAGAGGCGTCAGCCCCCGTCCGATCGAGGGCACGGGAGCCTCAAAGCCGAGTGGTCACAACAATGGCGAGCCTGAGACCCCAGTGGAGAGGAGGTCTATCTTCAGAGAGGATGTATGAAGAGATGACCGCATGAATGATTAACACTGTGGGCAGCACAACGAAAGGGATAAGAAAAACAATTCTCGGCTTTTTGATCACCACGAAACGCACGAGGTATGGTCTACTGGGGGTGTTATAGGCGCGGCTACATGATTCTCGCATGGATGTGTCTTTACGAGGAAGAGGTGTCCGTCTAACTATTAACGGATATCACTATGTTTTTACGTAAAGATGCGGCATGGGCAGCATTTGGATTTGGGTGGTTCGTCATATCTGGGAAAGGCGGCTAGTTGGGAGTTGGGGCACGGCTCTTTTTCTATCAGTGTTCGATTACTGCCGCAAGAGTTACTTGAAAATGAGAAAGGCCATACGAGAAGCAACCCACCAATCGTCAGTATCATTCAATGGAATGGGTTGAGAATGTCCAAGCACGTCAAACATGGAAACCTGTGGCTGGTAAGGGAGGATCTTCATGACGACCGACCCAGCTCTCACACAGACCGAACGGCACACCTAACTTTCCAGCACGCCCACTCTTCAAGAATCAAGAGGGAATACATATGATGCATCCTGTATTCGATTGGGACGCCATAAAACTTTCCATTTCGGTCTTCCCTCGTGCGTTATTAGTCTTGCGGCCGTCCAATGTCTCACTCGGGACACCGGATGGTGGGATGAAACCGGAAAGAGAACATGTTTAAGACCCCACTTCCGCCGCATCCCGCCCCACCCTCGCCGAGCTGGCCGAGCCCCTGACGGGACGGACCATCACACCATGACATGGAAGCTTAGCTGCTTCTCCACCTCCCCGCGCATGCCATCTTGGAGCTTATGTACCCCCGAGTTCTGGGAGCTTATAACCAACAAGGTTCTCCTTCTAATATACCAATTCCATTGATGTTTGGTCAACTATATGAAAAGCTGTTCGTCTATATATAAGCTCCTTTATACGACGCCGTTGTCATTGAGTATTGTCCTTCACTGCAACACTATATTTCGAATATCTAATAACACCGGCAACCACCATCACCATGCCCGACATCAACCTTCAAGAGATCCATGACACTCTCGTGGAGGTCGCCTTCGAGGCCGGCCGCATGATCCTCGCCGCCAACCCCAACAACATTGACAAGGGTTCGAAGATGAACTGTGTGTGCCTTTCCTTATCCTCCGACTTCTTCCCCAGCAGTTACCTACTCATCCTCGGCAAGCAACCTCAACTACCTTGACTAACAACCCTTTTCCCTTACCCAACAGCCGCCGACATTGTCACCGAAACCGACCAAGCCGTAGAGCGTATGGTCTCCACCACCCTCCGCTCCAAATACCCCTCCTTCTCATTCGTCGGCGAAGAGACCTACGTCGCCGGTGAAACCAAAGTCACTTCCGCCCCGACCTTCATCGTCGACCCCATTGACGGCACCACCAACTTCGTCCACGGCTACCCGCACGGCTTCTGCATCTCGCTCGGCTTCGCCCTCGACCGCCGCCCCGCGGTGGGCGTTGTCTACAACCCCGCTCTCGACACGCTTTGGACGGCCATCAAGGGACAGGGCGCCTACTGTCAGCGCAACGCCTCTCTCGAACCTGCAAAGGGACAGGGGCCAAAGCAAAAGTTGCCGCTGAATGGGGGGCAGCCGCTAGGAGATCTTTCTACCGCCCTGGTGGCGGTCGAGTGGGGTAGTCAGCGCGAGGGAAAGAACTTTGACATTAAGACCAGGGTGTTTAGACAGTTGACGGCTGCCAAGGAGAATGGCGGGTGTATGGTGCACAGCTTACGCAGCTTGGGCAGCGCGGCCTTGAACATTTGCGCGGTGGCGGCCGGTCAGGTCGATATGTACTGGGAGGGCGGGTGTTATGCGTGGGATGTGACGGCGGGGTGGTGTATTCTCGAGGAGGCGGGTGGAATTATGGTTAGTGCAAACCCGGGGGATTGGAACCCGGAGTTGGATTCAAGGTTGTATTTGGCCGTCAGGGGAGCGGAGAGCGGACAGAAGGAGATGGTGGAGGAGTTTTGGGGGGTTGTTGGTGATGATAGGATGGAATATAAGCACTAATGGTTGGTGAATATGAAGCGATTTTGGGTACGGCCTTAGGTTATCAGGCATTGGATCAAGTAATGAGCAGGCATATTGGGTTTGGAAAGATGTCGACTAGATGAGTTAAGGCTATCGTTAGAAGGGCTGGATTGGGGTGCGATATCTGGGAAAGGGTCGTTCGCCCGTCAGCAATGTGAGTGACAGCTGCATCACGGTCCTATGGCCGGTCAAGAAGAAATCTGAAGGTGATTTTGTTCCTTGACGTTTGAAGATGTGGCAAGGTACGTTGCAGAAAGGTTGATAAAGAGAAAAAAAAATTATTCGCATTTGATCCGACCCAGGCTCGATCTGGGGACCTTCAGTGTGTTAGACTGACGTGATAACCAACTACACCATCGGACCGCTGTTGTGAATGAAAATATTTTACGCGTCCATGACTCATGAAGCTGAACCCAATGCCATATCCTGGAGCATTGCTTTTCCTTTCAATGCGGGAAGGTATCGGCACCAACTGGTAGCTGAGCTGGTTGGTTTACCTAGTGGGCATCTGCGCCCTATCTGTAACCTCTGTAATCTGGACCACGCTGGTCGCTCACTGGGAAGAAAAACAAACATTTTGAATCCGGTCTATAAGAGCGCAGTTTCGCGTTCATAACATGGAAGTGAAGACGACGAACATCACACCATGCAGTGTACCTTGACACAAGTACAGCGAGATGCCATTGTTTGGATGAAAAAGGGGCTCAGGGGCAGAGAGAAAGTGGAGACCCATGTACCTCGAAGCTACGGCAAGGCACAACAGCCATGTGCGCACATCGGGCCATCCCCCGGTCATACTGCGAGGCATCATCCACCGACAACAAGAGACGGAGCTTGGACGTTGCAATTGCCCTGGGATCCGCCTGACAACTTCCCACTGTAATCACACCGCGCTACGGGGCTGTACACTGGCAACAACCGACCGGACCTGACTTCCTCGAGATAACCTCAAACCCAATCGAACATCATTCCCATTATCTAACATTGACCCGAGTATCGATCTCCACTTATTTCCGTGACCGTCTCGCTTAATCGAATCGTCAATTGCTCTCATCATCTCGAAGTCGGTCAATCAGCGCTCCCGTCGACGACCGCATTACCACCTGACAGGAACCGGAAGCCGTTGCCCCCGGACTTAGGTTGCCGCTGCGATTCACGGCCCTTCAGCTCTAGAGGTAGCTGCTAGCCAACTCGTTAACCCACTTATACGCATATAATTACTACGAAGCCAACCGCGACGATGCCGCCAAAAATCGAAGCGCAGGAAATCGAGACGTACTGGAACATCTTCTCGGCGCGAACAAATGGCGGCAAGTTCCTGACGGGCGAGCAGGCGGCGCCGGTGCTGAAGAACAGTGGCCTGCGCGATGACCAGCTGGAGCGCGTTTGGGATCTGGCCGATGTGGACAATGACGGAAACCTTGATTTCGAGGAATTTTGTGTTGCGATGAGGGTCATCTTTGACCTTTTGAACGGGGTTCGTCTACCTTCTTCCGTCCTGAAGCTGCGAGCGAGCGAGCAAGCAAGCATGGGAGCAGTAATAGCAGCAGTATCAGAGAACTAACAGGGCGAGACGGCAACAGGAATACGCTGATGTCCCGACAACTCTCCCAGACTGGCTTGTCCCCGAATCCAAAGCCCACCTTGTGCAAGCGAACCGCGCGCTAACCGGCAAGGCGCCAAAATTCGAGCAAGTCGAAGATGAAGACGATACCCCCGGCTTGAAGGATGGGTTTGACTGGTACATGAGCCCGGCGGATAAGTCCAAGTACGAGCAGATCTATCAAGAGAACCGAGATATGCGCGGCGAGGTTTCCTGTATGTTTACATCCCTTCCCTTCCCTTCCCTTCCCTTCCGGTCCTCAACCCCATACTAATCTACCTACCTACCCGCAGTCGCCGCCCTCCAAGACCTCTACGACTCCCTCTCCGTTCCCGACACCGACATCCGCTCGGCCTGGAACCTGGTCAACCCGTCTGCCTCTTCGACCATCAACAAAGATGCCTGCCTCGCCTTCCTGCACATCCTCAACTACCGGCACGAAGGGTTCCGCATCCCGCGCACCGTTCCCGCCTCTCTGCGGGCCTCGTTCGAGCGGAACAAGATCACATACAACGTCAACGACCCGTCGCAGTCGCGCTGGGCCCAAAAGGCCGACGACGAGACCTCTACCGGCCGCAAGGCCAAGTTCGGCGATCAGTACCTGACGCGCCTAGGCCGTTCCTCGTTCAAGACGGCCGGCACCGACTTCTCGTCCGAGCAGACGGACGATCAGTGGGAGGAAGTCAGGCTGAAGAAGCAGCTGGCGGAGCTGGACGAGAAGATGGCCAAGGTTGAGGAGGCGGCGAACCGTCGTAGGGGCGGGAAAAGGGATACAAAGCCGGCGCTGGTCAAGAGGGAGCTGGAACAGCTATTGGACTATAAGCGCAAGGAGTTGAGGGACTTGGAGGAGGGTAAGGGGAAGGCGGCGGCTGGTGGGAGCCTGAAGAGCGTGGCGGATGATTTGGCGACGGTTAAGGAGCAGGTGGAAGGGCTGGAGGCGCATTTGAGGAGCAGGCAGGAGGTGTTGGAGCAGTTGAAGAGGGAGATTGAGGAGGAGAAGGTTGGGAGGTAAGCTGTTGAGGGTTGGCACAGGGAGATGGGTTGAAGAGATAGAGAGAGCGGGCTGTGATATTTTGTTGGGTTCCTCGAGGCGAAGACCATGGGCAGTTTGCCGGGACAGGAATGATTGGGTTTATCGGTTACGTTTCATCTTTCTAAGACAGCATAATCTCTTAATGATATTCAGCAGAGTAACAACAAGCTGAGTGCCTGATGGCGCATATCTTGACAGTGGAAAACCCCCATGTGCTATGGTATATTACAATGGAAGATATCATGCTGACTGTGCTTTTCAGTGTAATTTAAGCATCGCAATCCACGCGCCTTTGCGCTCAGGACTTGTCTAAGCAAAAACATCGTGGCTCTGCTTGTTGCCGCTAGAAGCTGTCGGGAAATGTGAAAGGAGTAGAATAGTTTGACCGTATAGATGTCTTTTCGATTTTATCAGCATCAAGAGGCATCGGAAATCCTAGTTTATGTCATTCCCAGTCTTATTTCTCTGGTACCTTAATACATATCCTGCCCAATATGCAGGCACAAGCAATATGTTGCTTCGGAGTTCCTGTGGTTGGAACATCTCAAAAGGTACGAATGAACTACACTTTTCACATGGGCCACCTAGATCACGTAATTCCTGGTTTGAGCAGCTAAGTCCACGATAAATAAGCGTAAAGTGAGGCTGTCAGGTTGAAAATGAGTTGAAGAGGGTGCGTCGATGCTATCATAGGATCGATGAGTACGTTAGTGGGGCAATGACGCTCATGGTCACATGGAAAAGCTTCCAGGGGAAAAAGACCCCTCTCCACCGTTCGCTGTTGGACATTCCACAGCGAGTGTTTACCTAAACTCCGCACTTTGGAGCCTGGAAGGTACCTACCCCGCCAATCCGGTTCCAGAGTTGCAATTCATCCCATCCTTGGATCCTCAACAAGTCGTGCTGTAGGTAGTGTAGTAGTCTAGGTACAAGGTGAAGGTACTTCGCATACTTAAAAGAACTGCCCTGCCTCAACCCTCAACCTCTTGGATTCTCGTCTCCTTTGCCTCCACATCTCCATCTTCTTCAAGTTCCATATAGACCCATCGTACGTACGCGACGCGCAACTTGTATCTGTAACTGCGTTCGAGTCTTTAGCTAACCCATAGATACCTCTACCACAGCAAACCAACCCACCCACCCCCAACAATCAAAATGTCTGCCGCTTTCGAGAAGGCCGTTGCCGATTCCAAGAAGCTTACTTCCAAGCCTTCCAACGAGGATCTCCTCGAGATCTATGGTGCGTCGCGTCACGTCCCACCCCACTCCCATGTGTATCCTCTTTGCGCTCGCGGCGAACCACGAAGCAGCCGAGGGCTATATCACCTACTAGTCTCGCGCGCGCAATCGAACAGAGCTGGAGCTCCAACAAGACCTCTTGACCACGGCCAAGAGAGCAGTTAGCTAACATTCTCTTCCAACCGTTCACAGCTCTCTACAAGGTCGCCACCGGCGCCGACTTCTCCAAGGCTGACAAGCCCGGCATGTTCGACCTGAAGGTTCGTTCCGTTCCGTCTTCCCGCTATTTATACCCCATTTCATCCCACCTCTATTCATCAGCCGCGCGCGCGTGCTCTGGTAGCTGTTGGTCAAGTCACGAAACCTCCATTCATCCATACCCCCCCTAGCTGTCCCCTTCCTCCGCCCAGACACAGTAGCTAACATATTACCTCTTTCTTCCACCGACAACAGGGCAAGGCCAAGTACAACGCCTGGCAGAAGGTTGTCGACGATGGCCTCTCGGCCGAGGAGGCCCAGACCAAGTACGTCGCCAAGGTCGAGGAGATGAAGACCCAGTACGGCTACGACGAGAACAAGGCCCCCGAGGCTGTTGGCTCCAACTAAGGAGTTTAGATACCCCGTTGAGCTTATAATATAATGCCCTTTACAAAGACCGAAGAGTGTCCAAGGCCATGTTTCCACGCGGTCTGTCTGTATGTGGAGTCTAGTCGGTGATGGAAAGTGGTGAAGGCTCTTGTGGTATGATGGAAGCCGTAGTTGCACAATCACAAGAGATGGATGTCGTGTCGATCTTTGTCTGGACGAAAACACTCAGGAAGATGCTGCTGAGGTCTTGTGAACAGTGGAAACATCAAGTATCGAGGTATGCAGTTCAAGCTACCTATGTCTTGTGTATATGTCCAGATCTGCAAACGAGAAATATCTCCGTTTCCTGCGGGTTCAGTTACACTACATTTGAAACGTCTGTAGGATCCCGTCTGTACAAGACAAGGCATGAAATGGCGGCTTGAGTCGCGTGTGGAATACACATCCCTACGAGAGGAAAGCGGAAGGGGTATCAATTACCAAACAGGAAGGCTGTGACGTCCTATACTGACCACATACTTGTAGGCTCATCAAGAAGTTCATTTCAGGGGCAGATTAACCATCCACATCAATGGACTGATCAGCTGCGTACCATTTCCGCAACTCATCCATGCCGCCAAACCTGCCCCATCCAGTCTGGTTCCAAGTGGTTCGCCGTGGCAACCCAAGGCACCTCTTGCAGCCCGTACCTCTTCAACGGGAGGCTATATGGCATCCGCAATCCTACCACTACCGTCGAAGACTTTTCCTCCTTCTCGTCATCTCCCTTACCATCCTTCTCGCTGTTCCCGCTAGTTGACGTAGGACCCTGCTTCTCCCCCAACGAAGACGTTCTATCTTTTTCACTGCCATGACTCGCAGGGGTATCTGTGAGAAAAGTAGGTACCATAACCGCCTTCCGTCCCGTTTTGCCACCACTACTAGTACCATCACTATCCGCAAACAACTCCGGCCACACCAACACACCAATCTCGTAAGAACAGATACGCACCTGCGGCTCTCCCGCATTGTTCTTGCTCTGCGCGTCGCCCCAGGCTTGTTTAGAGAGGTTTGCTGATGTAAGGAGGGCCCAATCGATAGAGTTTTTGGTGTTGTGGTTAGCGAAGCGGATGAAGGTTTTGATGTGTGGGGCGGCGCGGTTGCGGCCTGCTTCGCGGATGGGAGTTGTAGTAGTTGTACCAACTCCATCGGCCGAGTCGTTCGCCCAGTGACAGAACATGGGTCTCAGATACTGGAGCTGCTTGGCTTGTTGAGCTGACTGGATCTTGGTATGGATGGAACCACCGGACGCGTAACCGTCGAGTGACTTCCTGATCTCGTCCGGCGTGGGGAAGATGATCTTGAAGTCTGGCTTGGACTTGGACGACAACAGGGGTTTGGGGCCTTGGGAACCGCTGAGCGCTTCAAAAAGGGTGTTTTTGAGCCAGTTGTCTGTTGGACCCAGAGTGGCGATGGAGGATATCTGGATTACAACCTCGGGCTTTTCACTGTCATCAACATCACCACTACCTTGAGCTCGATCCCCCGCCTGGCGAACGGGAACCGATTTGAGAGTCTTCTTCATTGCGGCCCAGCCCCATCGGGTGGGAAAATCGTCAACGAGGGAGTGTCGTCCTGGGACGCTGGCGATCAGTGAGCCGCGTATCGAGGAGAAGTCATACTTGGCGAGTTGGTCAATGAGCGGGTTACAGGCAGCCCGATATGAGCGTAGATAGTTCAGAAAGTCTATCTTGAACTTCTCACCGGAGCCAGCCGGTAGTGAGGATCGAGGAGAGGACGTATTTTGCTGGGCGTCTGGCTTCAAAAGGGGAAGTCGAGGAGATATCCAGGCGGCTTGTGTCATATTACTCCAGTCTCTCGGAATCATATTTGCCGTGTGGATGATAATCTCCGCCGTATCATCGGCTCGCAAGAGCACCATCATTTTGCTGTGATGGGTTCCAAATGGCTCGGGGAGATAGGCATGGTGTGTGGTGATGTTGGGATAGCGAGCGGCGTCAGACTAGTCAATCGGTTAGGACTGAACGCACAACGGGATGGTGAGTAGTTGTTTTGGCGTACCTGTATCTGTAACCTATTGGGATCTTCCTTCTTCCAAAAGCCGTGGATGACGTGAACCTTGATCAGATGGCGGACATCACTATCAAACGCACTCATGAGGAAGTCAATGTCGTGAAGGTAGTTGAACTCCCAACACTCTTTGATCAGGGGGTCACCAAGAAGGCTCTTGAGTGATACAGTATCTTTGTTGGAATTTTGTCCCAAGGAGCGAATCGTGGTAAGATGAAAGGGCGACGCGACGACCCTACGATATGAACATGGCTGCTTTTTTGCCTGCTCTTCTGCGGGAACGGATTCTTCTTCTCCTTCCTCTGGGCTTGTGCGGCGTTTCTTGAGCGGAGGGCTGACAGCACGACTGAGAGATCGTGGTGTTGCCCTGCTAATTCCACCATTCCGGACATCACCGGCTTTACCCAGCTCAGCATCCTGAACTGTCCTTTTGGACGAACGGTTGTTCTCCATGGTGACGGGCAGAGTCGTAGCCAGTTCACGAACAGTCGAGTTAGGTCGCCAACAGTGCACGCTTGGAACTTGACGGATGGGAGGTAAGTGGGTGTATCTCAGCAGATTTGTGCGATATGTGAACATGAATGAGATGTCGTAACCACAAACTTTGTGGGGCTTTTCATCTATGCTCTTTCCGAGACCAAGGTCTATGACATGTTGGAGTCGTTCCGTCCCTTCCCTTCAGGTCATCCAGCTGCCCAGGCGCTGTCTGCTAAGGATGGCACCTTCTCAAAGAGTGGTAGGCCAAGTGGAAGTGCTCAAAGCATCATGAAACTTAGGGCACTGAGAATTTCAAGTTATTAAACCAGGGAGCGAATTTCAAAGTAGTATTGACATTTCCGTTAAACCCAGACTCTTTGCCAAATGAATCAATGGGTTTCAATGTTGTTGTCGTTGGATGCTAATTGGGGAAGAAAGTGTTTCTTTCAGCCTCCTTGTGGCTTGGCTCTCTCCCCCCCACAACACTGGATCCACTTATAAGTCTTGGCTGAAATCGTTCTAGCCCCCTGGGGCGGGCCCTGAGAGGCCAGGGGCCAGCACGGCCGGCCGCCATTGCCCGCCTTCGATCGCCTCCTGAATCCCTTTGGTCCCCTGGTCCCCCGTCGCCTGAAGCAAGTAGCGGGTTGAGGTGGAATTGTTGTCCCATGCCGCCAGCAGACAAACACCGCCTGCGCTTCTACTGTACTATTCTCAAAGGCGGTTTCGTCTCTCATCTTTTGGTTGTTGACTGTGAACACGACGACCCACGACCAGTGCACCATAATTCCCACCATCGACGACCACCCCGTCGCGATCGAGCCGGACAGCACGAATTGGGTTCGATTTAGGTTCTAAAGGTGTTTCTTCCACCCCGGCGGTGCTGGCTCGCTCTTCGATGCAGTGTGCGACAATCAGGCCCCGACATTGTTAAACATCACAACTTATCGCTTTCCCACACCTGGCCACGACCATGAGGTGGCTTCCCCTATTCCTGGGCGCGGCCCGTCTGGCCGTTGCCGCATCAACGACGACAGAAACAGAAACAGAGGACGAAGTGAAAGAGTACACCAAGTTCAACGATGTACCGGTACCACCACTCATCGAACTCACCCCCGACAACTGGGAGAAGGAATCCAAAGCCAGCAAATGGCTGATGGTTAAGCACTACAGGTATTTGATCAATTACTAAGACTCTGGTAAGCATGCGACCGCGTTAGCTGACACCACGCATCTGCACAGCCCTTACTGCCCTCACTGCATTGACTTTGCTCCTACATACCAAACATTATACGAGTTCTACTACACATCGAAGCCCGTCGGGGACGAGAACGCGAACTTTACCACCTTCTACGACTTCCGCTTCGGCACCATCAACTGCGTAGCGTACTACGATCTCTGCAGCGCACACAAGGCATCTTCCTACCCAACTACCACCCTCTACAAGAATGGCGAACAGGTCGCGGCTCTCAAGGGCGTCAAGTCCATGCCTGTTCTGAGCGAGATAGTGGAGAAGGCCCTGGAAGCGACCAAGCCCGGATCGAGACCCGCGAAGCTCGAGCTTCCCAAGCCTGGCGAAATAGTTGCTCCCGGCTACGTTCCCAAGGTCGCCGCCACCAAGGATACCAAGGAAACATCCAATGTTGATTCCGCCAAGGATGTGCCCAAGGTCGATCTTGTCAAGGACTCTGCCACGGTCGAACAACCTGTTAAAGATACCTTCATCACCGGAAATGACGAGTACTTGATGCCCACTCCCAAGACCGAGGATAAGGCCGCGGAAAAGGTTGTGGATAAGGTTGCGGATAAGGCGGCGGACAAAGCCACGGAAACCAAGGCGACGGAAACAAAGGCCATAGAATCCAAGGCCGCTTCCAAGGCCGACCCTTCTGTTGAGGCCACGGCCAAGATCGAGAAGGTCAAGGGCAAGGAGGAGGAGGAGAAGAAGAAGTCTACGTCCCCTGCTTACTACGAGGCCCCTGCTGTCGCTGCCGCTGCCGCCGCGTCTATCAAGGGCAACAAGCCCAAGACTACTCCCAACCCCAATGGCATCTCCCAGCCCCTGACTGCCGAGAGCTTCCAGAGCCAGGTCACCATGACTCAGGAGCCTTGGTTCATCAAGTTCTATGCCCCCTGGTGCCATCACTGCCAAGCCATGGCCGCCAACTGGGCTCAGGTTGCTCGCGAGATGAAGGGCCGCCTCAACATTGGCGAGGTCAACTGCGAGCAGGAGGCCCGTCTCTGCAAGGACGTCCGTGTCACCGGCTACCCCACCATCCAGTTCTTCCGGGGAGGCGAGCGTGTCGAGTACACTGGTCTCCGTGGTCTCGGTGACTTCCTCGCGTATGCTGAGAAGGCCATTGACATCTCTAAAGGTGTACAGGACGTCGATGCCGCTTCCTTCAAGGCTCTTGAGGAGAAGGAGGAGGTCATCTTTGTTTACTTCTACGATCATGCCACCACCACCGAGGACTTTCTCGCCCTTGAGCGTCTTCCTCTCAGCCTTATCGGCCGTGCCAAGCTCGTCAAGACCCGCGACCCCGAACTGTACGATCGCTTCAAGATCACCACCTGGCCCCGCCTGCTCGTCTCTCGCGAAGGCCGTCCCACCTACTATCAGCCCCTCACGCCTAATGAGATGCGCGGCACTCGCCAGGTTCTTAACTGGATGAAGTCCGTTTGGCTGCCTATTGTTCCCGAGATGACCGCCTCCAACGCCCGCGAGATCATGGATGGCAAGATTGTTGTGCTCGGACTCCTTAACAGAGACGACGAAGAGTCCTTCAACGGTGCCATCCGCGAGATGAAGTCGGCCGCTAGCGAGTGGATGGACAAGCAGATTCAGCTCTTCCAGCTGGAAAGGCAGGAGCTTCGTAACGCCAAACAGCTGCGCATCGAGGAGGCCGAGGACCGCAACGACCAGCGTGCTTTGCGCAATGCCAAGAACATCCGCATCAACATGGACAGGGCAGACAGGAAGGAGATCACCTTTGCTTGGGTTGATGGCGTTTTCTGGCAGAGATGGATCAGGACCACCTACGGTATTGATGTCAAGGACACTGGTGACCGGATCATCATCAACGACGAGGATGTAAGTGTTCAATCTCTCACTTCACAGCGTTTAGGCATTTGTTGAACGCTTGCTAACCTACTTTTCCAACCAGAACCGTCGCTACTGGGATCAAACCACCACCGGCAACCCCATCGTCCCCAGCCGCACGTCCATCCTCGAGACCATCACCAAGATCTCCCAGAACCCCCTCAACATCAAGCCCAAGCTCACCATCTCCGCCTTCGAGAAGCTTTTCTTCGACATTCGCATGACCTTCTCGGAACATCCCTATCTTTCAATGGGCTGCATTCTCGGCATCGCCTTCGGTTGCCTCTCGTGGTTCCGCAACAGTGCTCGCGCCCAGAGGAGGGCCGGTCACGGTACGCACTTCAAGTTGGAGGAGGGCGGCATTGGTGCTCCCAGCGAGAAGGGTAGCACCGGCGGCTTCATTCAAAGCGTATTTGGCGGCAGCGGTGGGAGCAGCAATGGACCCAAGGCTGATTGAAATACAGTCCTGGGCTAAGGGCTGTTGTGTTGGTTTATACTTCGTCAGGAAAATGATCTGGATTTTACATATGCGCAGGGGGTGGATGGGGGTTTCGAGCACTGCAAGTTGTAGTTAATGACTGATGGTTGTGTGTGTGAAGAAAGGGCGGGTGATTTCAAATGGGGATGCAGCGAGAAATTTGTGTATATTTGCGATGGGAGGAAGGATGGAAGGAATATCTTGCGGACAGAGCATCACCGGACGGGAGGCTTTTGGCTTATTAAAAGGAAATCCCGAACTGACAGGCTTCTTGACTGGGTATTGGTCTTGATATCATTACACTCATCTTGTTGTTTTCTTTATATCTTCCTCCTTGGCCATGCCTTTTTTTATATATATCCCCTTACACCACGTTAGCTGTGAGGTTTTCCTCGTTATCCCTGGAACCGGACTTGGCGTAAAATAGAGTTGACTTGTAGGATATTTAGGGAATTTGCTCAGAACATGAGAAGTAAAGAGACGTTGTTTGGCCCTTGGCCCACCGTTTCGAGAGGTTGACCGTTCGTTGGCTGGGAGCTGGCCGCGACAAATGGCCGCATATGTAATCCCGCTAAATATTTCGGTTGAGACCCTGAGGACGACGACGTGAGGAACACCCTATAGGTATACAACTACTGTCCCTTATTTATTCTGTCAAAATGTACAGGGAGATTAAAATCGGCATTTTCTTCTCCTAACCCCATCGCTTGTGTCTGCCTTTTCCCAACCCCAATCAACCATAATTCAACAAGCAGCCCAGACAAGTGAAACATACATTGTTAGAGGAAAAAAGAGAGAGAAAAAAAAGAAAGAAAGAAAAGGAAGTTGCCTTCCGATGGCATGAAAAGCGCGGGCTTCATCTTTTTCTTAGTCTAGAACAGCCAATACCAAAGTCCAAACCAAACCGAAGCCCAAATCCGAACCGAAACCAAAACCAAAACCCATACCTGTAAGCAGAACCGAACAAAGTCAGGAAGGAAAGAGAAAACAAGAACGTCCAAAATATGAATAAGAAAGCAACTGCATGAATGGAAAACAAAAAGACTGGAAAGTACCGAGTGAGAGAAGAGTAACGAAGGTGAGCCAAAGTGTTTCCAGCAGTCCACGGAACTCCGCCATCAAGTTAGTCTCTCATTACTCTTTCAAGACTCCTAGGACGAGTTAGAAGAAGAACCAGATGGCGGCTGCGAAAATGCGAGAAGATCCTTGTAGAAAAACGTTTCGCTCTTCTTGAGGCTGCCCTGAGGAATGACGGCTTTGCTGAACTGGGGCACTTGGCCGAACTCGATGTACCCAAACTTTTTGAAGGTGGCTTCGGCGGGGGAGTTTGTTTCGGTGTTAACACGCTGTTTTTTTTAATGTCGTCTTCCTGTCAGTTTTTTTTGTCTCCTTCTTCCCAATGTCAAAAAAGCTGAGGGGAAGAGTGTAAAAAGAAAACCCAAACCAAAAAAACTCACCAATAAAGTCCTCCCCCTCCTGGCAGCCTCATACTCCAACGCATCCACCAACGCCTTGGCGCCCCCCTGCCTCCGGTATTTCTGATTCACCAACAAGGTATCGATCTTGCCCCTGAACGAACCCGTCTCCGTGTCGCTTAGCTTGAGCATTGCCAGTCCTCGTAGGTCGTTGCCCACCGGCTTGCTGCCGGGAGGAGTCTCGGGGAGGAGCAGGACGATAACGCGCGTGCCCTGGTTGGACTCGGCGATTCGCTCCCTCCACCATCCCAGAAGCTTGCCGTTTTCGAGGGGAGGCAAGAAAGGCCCGATCATCCGGTCCATGGTCATGCACGAGGCGTGCAGGGCGGCGATCCATGGGACGAGGTGGCCGTGTTGGTCGGGGGAAAAGACGTAGGTCATTGAGGGAGAGATGGGGAGCGTTGGGAGGTCCATTATGAGTGGTGGTTGACTCAAATTGAGATTGAGAGTGAAGATATGTTGAGGTTACGCTTCGCTGAGGATGGTGGTATTTGGTAACGATCCGTTATGGTAGCGATTCAGAGATGTAGCAGCTCTTTGTCGAGATCATGTCCTTGTGTTGAGGCAAAATCCACAAGGACTAAGTTGGCCGTCCGTCCGTCTGATTCTGACTCGAGAGGGGGATGTCACGGGTAAGAAGGACTGTACTTGAGCCGGTCAGCTTTCTGGTGTAAAAAGTGCAATAGCCGAACTGGGAAGGAAAAGGAAAATGTCTCAACGGAAAAATGTGGTAGGGTGGAAAAAAAAGTGGTGTGAGAATGTGGGTGACGATCGGGGGTTAAATGGGGATTCAAGTGAATTCATGAGTGATAAACCACTCCGGATCGTGAGGTTGTCAGTGATGAATTGCTGACCTTGGCCTCAAACAGGAAATATTGTACGCCAACCTCGGGGTTTCCATGTTTCAAGGTGTGTGCCTTTTCCTCCTCCTACTCCTCCTCGTCCTCCTCCTTCTTACCTCGGGTCTGGGGAGGGAATATACCCGGTGTGCGCAGACGGTGATAGCGGTTGTATCCAGATCGGGAGCTTGACCGGACAGACGGGAGAGACCCAAAAAGTCACGCTTCCCCGTTCCGAATTCCAAAGGGTTGAAGCGAGTGGTGTGGGTGGGTGGAAGGGTGGACGGGTGATGGGGGTGCAGTAGACTGAGTGACCGAGGTGGTGATGGTGGTTTGAGAAATTCAGGAACAGTGATCACACACGAAGAAGAAAAGTGCCAAGATCTCAAACTACTTTACCTGTTTGAGACGCAGCGTCAATGCCAGAACCTGGAATTTGGGAAACCTAGAGAGTCCAAGGTCTGTTCCAAGGTTCACGGATGGAAATTTGGCAGTGTACCTGATGTTTCTGGTCTGCACCATCTCAGGAACGGGACAAATCTCAAAAGTGATGATGGTGGGGAACCGGTTGTTGTACTGTACCTGCGCCTACACTACAATACAGGAGCTGCAAAGGACTGATCATTTTTCCGTCACAGCGGCAGCGGCAGCATGGAAGCCCGGGCCAGGTACACGCCTTCAAGGGCATGTGGGGAGGGGCTAATCGCATACGTTACGTATCTTACGCGTTTCGAGTCTGAATTACAACTTCAATCTTCAGTGTTTCTATCACGTTATCACGATACTGTATGGACGACCGGAGAGTGGGAGGACCAAACGGCGTTACGGGTTTCCCCACGGGTTTCGGGCAGCTAGTCAAAGCTCGGGCTTCAAGGGGCAGTCACCTACGCCACAGCACGTTCTGTTAGGTAGGTCTGTTCTTTCGGTCTCGTAAGATTTCAGGGGACAAATATACCTCTACCACCTCGTCACCAACAACTGGACCCGTTCTCACCCACCACTCGCGGGTATGTGGATGTTCGGTGAATACGGTCGGCAGAAAGAACATCCAACTTGAGTCTCAGCACCGCTTCGAAACTCTACCTATTTATCACAGCATTCACTTTGACTCGGATTGTGCTGTCCCTCTGCACTGCTCTTGTGGCTCCTTCGTCTTCTGAGCTTCCATGTGTCAGCCCATCCTAGGGAACCTTTGTATTTTGACCTCACGAAAAACACGATAATGCCCAATTCATCGATATTCATGGCCATTCCTGATCCTCATCCGCGAAGCTCAAGGGTAGCCACGTTTCTGACCCCGGAACAGTGTGTCGACCTCGGCAGAGAACTTTTTTTTTTTCCTTTCCAAAGGCGGGGTGCGAGGCCCCAAAGGCGAAGGGGACAACGAGCAACGAACACCCTGATCTACACTGCCGACTGCCGGACGGTACAACCTTCAAAGCCGGGACTGTCCCTGAAGTGACCGCCTTAGGAACGCTGTCGCCAAAAATGTCTCTGAGAAACACCATCTCCCGCCTAAATCCTGACGGGTATGAAAAACAGTCGCACCGCAATGCATCTCGTCGTCATCACCACATGGCCGTTCGGGGCTTTTATTCGTTGACATTGTGCCTACCTGAAAACAACCAATGAAGAAAGAAGGCCTTCGAACGATCACGATGCAGTCTTTCCCCTTTCAGAGAGATGGGATGATGGACCTAAACTCCATCCCATCAGCCCTACCAATGCCTGTGGTCCACTCTGACACAGCCCTGGGATTTCTCGGTTCGCTTGCCTCTTGGCTGGCTGCTGAGGATTTCTGTAGTGTACACTACGTAAGCCCGCCGTCGTAAACATTGCTTCGCCTCAGCTTCTAATTGGTCTTTTCAGAGCAACAGCCAGAGTGCCCCCCAACAGTCCCCGCTCCTTGGGTGGCTGGCCATTGAACAAACATTTGAAAGCTCTCGTATCAGACCGCAACGTGCCCAATCATCGCAAAGTGTCCGTTTCATCTTCAGCTCCCTGACACACGCAGCTCAGTGCTTAGTGTCCACCCTGCGGCCCTGCCCCTGATTCAGCTCTTTTGCCTGTGACTGTGACGGACCTCTTCAGTCTTCTGCCCTCACTCGACTAATCGTCTTGTGTAACGACGTCTCACACAAACAGCCACCTTCTTAAAAGCCAGGCGCCTGTGTCTAAATACGACAGCGTCGATATTTGCCAGAGTGCGCCCCGCACTTACACCATCATCTTTCAACTCCCGACCATCAGGAGCGCCCATCATCACTCACGTGCTCGCTCAACGACATCTCCACCATGGGCTTTCTGCGTGATAAGCTCAAGCAGAAGCTTGAAGAGGTTACAGCAGGTGTAGAGAGTCTGCTCCATGAAGACGATACCCCCAGCGCTTCCGCCAACGCTCAGCAAGCCGGAGATGATGAAGTCCCCGAGACCTCCTATCCTTCCCAGTATGGAGCCAACCGCTTCGGATCCTTCGCACCTGAATCCTCAGGCGATGTGAAGTGGTACGTCGATGGAGCCTCCTATTTCCATGCCGTCTCCATCGCTCTCGAACGTAAGCCACATTCTTCACATGTGCCACGTTGGTCACTTCATCTGCTAATTACTCTCACAGAGGCCCAGGAGAGCATCTACATTCTTGATTGGTGGCTGAGGTATGCCTTTATGATTTCTTGCGCTAGTTGAACCTCTGACTGAATATTTGGATAGCCCCGAGTTGTATCTGCGCCGCCCCCCTGCAAAGAACCAGCAGTACCGGCTTGACCGGATGCTGCGCAACGCTGCAGAGCGCGGTGTAAAAGTCCACATTATTGTGTACAAGGAGGTCGAACAGGCTTTGACTCGTAAGTTCTCAGTCTGATCAAACGTTTTCTTTTGATGAGCTTTCACGACTAACTAACATTACAACAGTCGATTCTCGGGTATGATACTGCATCGATGTAATTGCATGACCAGGAACTAACCATGGATCACTTTTAGCACACAAGGAAAGCTTTGGAAGGTCTTCACGAGAACATCCAGGTCTTTAGACATCCTGATCATATCCCAAGGGGCAGAGATGTCATTGCCGATCTCCGGTCCAAGATACAGATGGGCACATTCAGCTTGGCCAAGCTCCCGCAGGAGACCCTGACCGCATTGTACGGAACAAAGGATGACGTGACCCTGTTCTGGGCCCACCACGAGAAGCTGTGCGTCGTCGATAGGAAGCTCGCGTTTATGGGAGGTTTGGATATGTGTAGGTTTTTCTCTGACGCTATTTTCGAACGAAGTGCGCTAACTATCCGACAGGCTTCGGAAGATGGGACACAAACAGTCACCCAATCGCCGACGCCCATCCCAGCAACCTCAACGACATCATTTTCCCCGGTCAGGACTACAACAATGCTCGTGTATACGACTTTGAGGATGTTAGCAACTGGGAGAACAACAAGCGTAAGTTTCACAGAACTGGTACTGCAGGTGTTTAGACTAACAGATGACCCAGTTGACCGCACGAAGCACTCCAGAATGGGTTGGTCTGATATCAGCATCAGTCTGCAAGGCCACATTGTTGATAACCTAGTTGATCACTTCGTCGACCGCTGGTCAGTCTAGCTTTGTCTTCCAGTGACGATGATCTTGCTAACGACTTCTAGGGCCTTCATCTGGAACGAAAAGTACAAGGAAAAGGATCCCGGAAAGTATGCCCTTATCAGTGCCGATGCTCCAAGCCGCGATCGTGGATATGGAGACAACGCTCCCTATCCTGAGTCCGATAATTACGAAACCCCTTTCCATTTCCGCCAGCATGCCCGCCGTTTCTTGGGAGATACCGACGACGTGGACCATGACAATCGCAGCCGCTCGGGCGAGCATCCGAGACGTAGCATGAAGGTTCAACTGGTGCGAAGGTAACTTGTTCATTCTTCCCTCCGTAATGTTCTGTAACGTCTGACAAGAATAGTTGCTCCAAATGGTCCGCTGGTCATGACACGGAAGCCTCCATTGCCGAAGCGTACATCGAGATCATCACCAACGCCAAGCACTTCATCTACATCGAGAATCAGGTAAGTCAGGTAATATCCTCGTTGACTCCCGTGGTACTAATCCTTGCCAGTTCTTTATTACCGCTACATCCAACGCTCAGAAGCCTGTTGAAAATAAGATCGGCAAGGCCATCGTTGACCGTATCATCCGGGCCCATCGCGAGGGCGAGAAGTTTATCATTTTTGTGACGATGCCTGCTGTCCCTGCTTTTGCTGGCGATCTCAAGTCCGACGGCGCCCTCGGCACTCGTGCTATCATGGAGTACCAATACTTCAGCATCAACAGAGGTGGCAACAGCATCATGGAATGTCTGCAGAGGGCGGGCATTGAGAACCCGTCGGATTACATCCGATTCTACAACCTGCGCAACTACGACCGTATCAACACTAGTGAGGCTATGGCTCAAGCTACCAAGGATGCTGGAGTAAGCTACGAAGGGGCTCGTCGGGATTACGATGACAAGTTCGGGCGTGCCATTGATGATGAACGGAACCAATATGAGGGCAGCCGTGATCCGTATGAGAGAAACAGGGGTGATGACGGCTACGGAAGGGGCAGATACGAGGGTGATAGGGGTTATGAGGGCGGAAGAGGTGACTACGAAGGCGGCTACGATGGCGGCAGACCCGAGAGCGACGAGTACGATGTCCAGGGCGGATATGGCGACCGGTACGACGGTGGCCGTGATGATGACCGGTACGGTGGCAGGCAGAGCGGCTATGGAGGTGGATACCGTGACGAGGACTACCGTCAAAGCAGTCGCTACGAAGACGGCTACGAAGGCGGCTACGAAGGAAGCCAAGGCGGCGGACGCCAATACAGCCAATATGAGCGCTACCAGGAAGCCGCCAGCAAGATCACCGACAGCACCTGGGACACCATCTCCTCCTGCTACATGCTCAACGGTCCAGAGGTGGACAGCGTCCCCTGGAACGGCTCGCCCGAATCCGAGATTGACGCCTTCGTCTGCGAAGAGCTCTACGTCCACTCCAAGGTTCTCATCGCCGACGACCGCGTCGTCATCTGCGGCTCCGCCAACCTCAACGACCGCTCGCAATTGGGCGACCACGACTCGGAAATCGCCGTCATCATCCAGGATAAGAACCGCGTGGAGAGTTCCATGAACGGCGAACCCTACCAAGCCTCCGCCTTCGCCGCTTCGCTGCGTCGCTACCTCTTCCGTAAGCACCTCGGCTTGCTCCCCGACCAGCGCTGGGATGCCGCCAACAACAACTGGACCCCCGTCAACCAGCACTCCGTCAACGAGTACGATTGGGGCTCGGACGCCGATCGACTTGTCGAGGACCCCCTCGCTGACGACTTCTTGGCCATGTGGTACAAGACGGCGAAAGCCAATACCAAGATCTTCCGCAAGGTGTTCCATGCTGTACCTGATGATACGGTGCGCACGTGGGAGGACTATGAAGAGTTCTTTAGCGAAAAGTTCGTGTTGCCCGGAACGGAGGCTAAAGAGGCTGAGAAAGGTTACGAAAAGGGCAAGGTTGATTATGGACATGTGGTCAAGGATGAGTTCCCTGGTGGCGTGGAGGAGGTTAAGGAGTGGCTGGGTAGAGTCCGCGGAACACTCGTGGAGATGCCGTTGAACTTTTTGATTGGTGTGGAGGATTTGGCTAAGGAGGGGTTGTCGTTTAATGAGTTGACGAACACGCTTTATACCTAAGGTGGTTGGAGGGGTGATGAGGGATAAAGATGGCCCTTGGACACACTAGGGCAGGGAATGTGGCTAGGTATAGGGAAAATGTATGGATGAATGGTGAGGTAGAGATCATGAGTTGAATACAATGTTTGCAGTGGTTTACAAGTAACCGAATTGTAAATGAAGTGCGAGTGCCTGGTTCATCATTGGACGCCATACGAGACACAGTACGTGTCGATGACTTTATGTATACCTATATAGCTATGAGATCTTCAAAACCCGTCCATCGCCTTTTTATCAAGACTACCTACATGTCAGGTATAGTCGGTCGGTATTTGCATGTCATCCCTTCCATTCAACCATCACGACACTCAACAATTATCCAGCTTTGTAATATTAGGGCGGCGACATGGCGTAAGGAAGGGAAGTAGAGGAGATGAAAGCTGACGCACCCACCCCCCTAAAAAAAAAAAAAAAAAAAAAAAGAAAAAAAAAAGGAGGAAGCAGGTTGCCCAAAGCTCAGCTGCTCGACCAAGCCTTGAACTTAGCTAGAGGCTCGCTACATACCTACCTTTTAGGTACGAAATTTTCTGGCTTCCAGTACATCTATCTATCTACCACGTGATAAGCTACTAAGAGTTATTGAAACGGTACTACGAACTTGGAGCCTTACATGGTCCCAGGTAGTTTCGGTGGACGTCCTGCCAGTGGAACATTTACTCAGATTATAGAACTCTTAAGTCTAGTGGAAATGGGGAATGGACGGAAAAGGTTGGGGGGAGAAACATCCCGCCCGTTAGAGTAAATGTGGTTATTGACATGGAAAGAGCAAGGAACACAGTGATGACTGTAAATATACATCGATTGTAAGCACCACCGCCGCAACCAGTTAATTCCTTGTTGCGAACAATCTGGAACATGAACAAGTACTGTAATTCTCTACGCAGTGCTCCTGCTTTTCAAAATAACTATCTAACAGCAGCGGGTACTTTGTCATGGGACCTGGACTCACATCTATCTGTGAAGTTGAGACGTGGGCAGATAGCTGTTATGGCACATATGATTGTCAGTAATTAGGACGAAAGAGAACGTGGGTAATGTGAAGGCCACTATTATCGTATATCAAAGTGAAATTGGAATTGCCTGAAATCAGGGCGTCCATTCTTATGTACATGCTAAGCAAACATCCATGACATATATACCAAGACCCGTACCATCCCAAGCCCAGTTCAGCGTCTCCCTTGGTCAGATTCAACCTATTACAGGTTCACTTTGCCCATGTTGAAAAAGCAATGAAAGCAGTGCACGCTCGCTCACTGGTGTAGAACACACCATGATCCGTTCCTAAACGCCATGCCGTTTCCTTTTAATGTAGCCGTAGTCGTTAATAGATCCTTTCCCTGCCTTGGTCCCTTTTCTTCTTGTCCTTCAATATTGGTATCATGTTCCGCCTACTTTGAATTTCCATTGTAATCCCACCAACCCTCAGGCTCATTAATGACAATCATTAAGCCGTCTCCGCAGCAGGAGTGACTTCTCCGTCGCTGCCAGAGTGTTGACCTATGCTGTCATCGCCCCCCACATCCCTCGACCTATCTCTCTTGACCTGGAAGCACTGGATCGCTCCGATGACGGCAACAAACATGCTTCCATACCAAGCCAAGGCAGTGCAGTCCATCTTCCTTCCCACCGAGTACAGATAGCCGGCCACAGGCGGGGCGATCATCCGGCATGCTGCACCTGCACTGGCAGCGAGCCCATTTACTTTGCCCAGAACAGAAAAACTAGGGGTAGCCTCCTTGATCAGGATCAGGAGGAGAGGGTAAAGGAGGATGGAAAAGAAGTTACGAACCACAAGACAGAAGTAAATGGCCGGGTAAAGGAGCCTCTCCGGAATGAAAAGCAGCGTTGGCATGATAACGTAGACGATGGGGTGTAATACCGTGACCAGAATGAACAGTCTGTAAACACCGAGTCTCTCAGCCATCAAAGGAAAGATGACGGCTTGCATGAAAAGGGCAATGACACCCTGAACAGCCATGATCATGCCGACTGATTGAAGGGAGAGTCCTAGGCCTCCAGGGGAGTAAAAGGGGCTCAGAACCTTGAAGATACCAAACGACTGACTGCTAGGAACCCTGTCGTCTTCGAAGAAAATGGGAAGGAGGTGGTCAAACGTCATCGAGTGATACGTGAAGATCGACAGGGAGACGATGACTGCCATGATCTTCTTGGAAAAGACGTTGTAACTCGGCTGCCTCTCGATAGTCTTCAGTGTAAGGCTGGCATTCTGAATGTCCCGAGCCCGCATGGTGCCGTAGTTTTCATCGCGAAGGTCAACAGCGGGGCGCTTCATCGCATCGGAGGTCTCGATCAAGGGTGTGTTCTCGGAAAGGAACGTATCGTCGGGAAGCAGAACGCGGGGTTGCATGTCGGGATGCGTCTCCTCGAGGAGAAAGTAACCAAGCACGATGCTCATAAAAAGCATGCCGGCGCAGATAAGGTTGGGCAACAGGTATGGGAATCGGTCGAACAAGGAGCCCTTGGGGAACATGTTTGGGAAGGAATCGTGGGGGTCAGCAAAGGTACCGCCAATAGCGGGACCAATGATGGTGCCGATGCTCCAAACAAAAGGCACTGTTTCACATGTCAGCAACACCGCAAATAAAACCACGCTTGGTATAATTCTTCGTTGACGACGTACTGATGGAATATGCCTTGGCTATTTTTGTTCTGTTAGCGAAGATCGTTAAGTCTTGGGGATGGCAGGCAAGACATACGCTCATGTTCTGGCTTTGTGACTAGCTCGCCAACCATGGTCTGGATCACACCAATATTGCCGTTAAGGAGCCCGCCTATGGCACGACCGAGCACAGCGACCCAAAGGTTGGTCGCGAATCCAACCATGATCATGCTGAACATGGTGCCGACACATCCTAGAAGCAAAACGGGTTTCCGGCCAACTCTGTCGGACAGACCTCCCCAGTACATGCCCATCGAGGCCTCGGCTAGGGCGAAGGACGAGATGAGAAGGCCGGCGTAAAATGAGGCATCATCTTCGTTTCCGATGTGTAGTCGTTTGATGAAAGCCCAGGCATAGGGAAAAATGGAGGTGAGTGCGATCGGTTCGGCGAGACGGACGATTGCTGAAAGGAACATGAGGTCAGCTTGCTGGGCAAATACAGTCAGTGGGCTTCGGTCCGGGATGGCTCACCAAGGAGGAATAGCTGGACGGCTGGGAACTTGTCCGGGTCGCGATGGCTTGTACATGTTAGGCTCATTGTTTTACAGAAAGACTGAGGTCTTACGACTGTCCAATACCTCCTCAAGGAAGAAGCAATACCAGGTGCAAAGAGCAAGAAGGAGGATGAAGACGGCTTCAATTTCAAAAGGACTGAGAGAAGGATGGACAGCGGGAGGGTGATGACGGGACAATGCAGTGGTCGGTTAAGGTACCCAGTATTCTGTCGAGGTCTTGTGAATGAGCTGCCACGGCCCAGGAGAGTGTGATAGATAGCGGACAAGTTAGGAACGGACACAGATGGGAGAGGTCTCGACGGAAGTCAGGACAAGTTTATTAGGGCTCATAACAGTAGGGAAAATATTTCGTCCAGTCACCGCATGTATATGTTAAGGTATGGGTGGATGCCACCAAGTGCTACGATGTGAGAGAGGAAAAAAAAAGCTGACGTTCGGGGAAAAAAAGAAAAGGAAAAAAAAAAAAATATAGACCCGGCTGGGCTCGCAGGGAAGTCGCGAACAGCATGGGTTGCGCATTGATATCAGAAGAATGGCGGGGAATGGGACGGTTTGGAAAGATACGGAAACCATAGAAGGGAAAAGGGTCTTTCTGGCCAATCCGCTTGCGAGTGCTTCCAGAACCGGCCAAGGTTCCAGGGCCGGGGCCGTTCTCAGGGTTCGCATTCCGGCTGCATTCCAACAACATGGTTCCATGACTAGAAACGTTACCGTGACAGTGCGTACCGTACATACATATCAGTTTGTCCGACACATCGCCGTGCCAATGGTATCCTGTCATCCTGTTTCCGAGCCACTTCTGGTCCTGATAAGTCCATGACGGGAGCCGGTTGCCGCGAATCCTCTGGAAAACGACCCTCCCTAGAACACATGCTCGAGAATGGAGGACGGCAGCATGTACACTAGACGCAGTGACGCAAAGTAACGAGGGACGCCGGCCTCGATAAACGACCGATAACAGGCTGACAAGAGGTCGAGGGTGGTGGTCTGGAGCCAGGTGCAGCCACGCACAACCACGGAAGCTGGAAGGGTTCCCCGGCACATCGCGGCGCATATTTGCTCGCGCCAACAATCACTGATTGCTGGGTTTGCTGCTCATGCTTATGGAGGGGAACTCTGCCCAAGTCGGATCCTTTCGAACAACAGTTCCGTCCAGCTTTGTTTCCAGGGTAGTTCAGTGCAACGCAAGACGGTCAAAATCGGTTGATAGGCTAACAGCCCTGACCGCTGGGCCCCAGACTTTGATCGCTCGCGTAGACTAGTCGGTAGCTCGGACCGTCTGTACCAGAACGGCTATGATGATGATGATGATGATGAAACTGGGGAACGGACACGAAAACTTTGAGATTCAGTTCTGCCACTGACACTCCCCGCGCTGGGGGGAAATGAGCTTGGATTACCCAGCACATTGGGGTTGTTCCTTCTGTGTTTGCTGCTCGAGAATTGAAATCGTGCAAGTGCGACCGCATGATGGGCAGGGGTGGCAATGCAGCTGCGACCAATCATAATGTGCATGGGACTTACAAGAATTGAAGTCGATGCAGTGGGTGCCCACTTAATTGGTCCAGATCGTCGATTTTCGTTGATCATGGATTGCTCGCATTGGTGGGAGCTACAATGATAACCTTCAACGTCGTTGCTTTCCTTCCTGTTCCTCCTCCACCTCGAGCAGAAAGACCAAGACGGGCATCTCGCTGCTTCTGCCTTTCCGTCAATATTTCCACAGCTCATGGATGCGCAACCTCTGATGTCGCCCGTCCTTCAACCACCTTCTTCAAGTCCATTCCGTTACGTCAACAACCATGCTCAAACCTAGAGGTATGGACTGTGCGGCTTTGGATAACGGAAGTGCCAAACTCCGAAGATTGTTCCAGCCCTTCGCCGGCGTCTAGCGGTGAAACCAGACACAACAAGTGGAATGTGCTGGTTGATGTCGCGAGTGAGACTAATGACCGTTGCACGCACATGATCATCATATGCGCATCGAGGCCGACCCCGGAAAAGCGTTCTTAAGGCTCCCGCATCGTTTTTTACCTTAGCTTCAGTTCCTACCCGCCCGGTCTTAGGATTCTAGATGATAATCTAGGCCGGCACTGTGTTTCACTCGAGCCATCTCCGTCACCCGGAACGTATTTTACCATCTTTTCGGCGTCAACTCTATATCCCCGTTTTATATATTTTCCGAGTCTGCTCATAGCCTATTAAGTCCTCAGATACTCTCACTGTCAGATCGCCAGCTTTTTTGCTTCGCCGTTATCATCATCTCGCAGGACAAAGAACGACAACTCACCAATCCGATACATTGCAAGCTATCAATGTCAGAATTTCTTCAATAAAGAGCGAGAAGCTTATCATGTTGCATGCCTGCCTGCAATCCCCTCTTCGTCGGCATGGTTGCACTCGGCATTTTCCATCATTTCACTCGTCGGTAAACACCAGGTACGGATATATAGTACATGCCTACACACAGTAGTGTTGCCGCCTGCAGAGTCTGGTTTGGCTGCTGCAATGCATCCACCCTGATGCGGCTTGCGTGTACCCGGCCGGATCTTCCAGGGCGATGTCACTTTGCAAATACCCGGTCAACCCGCCCGGGCCTGCTCTCGGAGTTACATAGCCCATCAATACCATGTTCTCCTTTCTGCTGACCCTTGTCCATGAACTGAAGATGCAACCACGGATGGATGATAACTCGACCCATGCCGCCTTTTATTACTACAATACTGTACTGCATATTCATTCACCAGTGCCCGCAGAGCTGTTTCTCAGAAGAACTGCCAAAGGCAAGCGGCTGATGAGTTGATTGACTTACCATCAGGTGTTGTGTACTTACGCAATATACACACCCATTCACTCTCTCCTCAACACTGTTTACACAATCCATCCTCCTGCAAGACCCAATTGCATTGGTGTACGAAAGGGGAACCAACGGATTACGTCAAGCATGGAGGGTATAGTCCGTGAGCCACCCGGGAAGTGAGGTATCACTGTTTGGGTTTTAGTTGTTATCCTTATTGGAATATTCTCAAGCGACCCAGTCTCGGCCATCAGTTATCGGCCAGCCTTTGACAGCTTCCGTACTTCTCCCGAGGCCGGGTTAACGCCGGCTCAAGATACCTTGATCAAGATGACCCGTACCCAGCCGGTCTTCCCACCCAGCCTCCATGCAAGCACATCTTTGTGTCACGCTACCGCATATGCATCAAGACTCGAAAGGTTCGGGATCAGGGCGCTAGCTTGGCGCTAGCTTGACGCCATCCTGAGAAAGCACAATGTACTCGAACAGCCGTCAACGTACACACCCTTGGGCATCGTTCCTTTCGTCTGCCTTATGGGAAATCAACCAAGTCAAGACGTTATCCCGCGCACGGGTTCCTTGTACTGGTGATTACTCAAATTCCAGGACTACTTTGTACAAGTAGTTGTACTGGGATATTTCGCAATATCTTGCTTTGGCACTTTCTAGGGGTCCATACGATGGGGAGACACGCTTGTTATAGCCCTATCAACATCTCTCCGTCCGTTTTTGCCTCTTTTTTTCTGGCGAGACGTTCAGCATCGGAACATTAACGGATTCCTACACGCATCAAAATGACTAAGTACCTCATCAGAAGCCCCTACCAGTCCCATATCCGAGCCGTGAAGATACTTTTCTACCAGCGAGTGTGATGAGGTTTGCCGCCTTACACAGCAGAACTACCGAGCTAGGGTATCCATCAATTGTCGGATTACCAGTTATGGGTTGCGCCCCTATCTCCCTTTTGTGCCGCTTCGCAAGGATGCAACGGCCAAGCGAGCCAATAGCGAGATATCACATGCATGCAGCCCTGTAGCAGACACGAATACCTACTGACGTGCCTCATCATATCGGCGTCCGATGGGTTTGCAGTGTTCCATGCAAGAAGTCGGAAGTAATTGTTCTCCGAGCTAGGGTTTCGGGCCGCTGTGTGGAAGGGGACAAGTACCATATCTGCCATCCCGAGAAGGCAAGTAACAGTTCGGTACGGCATCAGCCAGCTCAGATAAGCCTACATCATTCCCTTTCTGACAATGCTGCTATGCGTTAAACAAAAATATGTCTTCAAGCGAGACTGATAAGAGTAGCATACCCAGCATTGAAGCGTCTTTCCCTTTCATCCTCAAATCCACGTTCTTGAAGTCGACCAAAGGAGCTATCTCGGAAGAGGCCCAGTGTCAACAACTTTCTTCTAGGCTCTTAGGCTCTTTTGGAACAATCCACACTCAAGCCGATGAGGTTGACGCGAGCCGGAGACAATCAGATCAAACAAATCTGATCATCGTCTCGTTAATCTCTGGTCGTTAACCCAAATAACAACACAAACCCGCGGAACAACGTGGCTACTCTGGCAACATTGACAGCATACTAGATGCCTTGAGGATATGGACACAGCAAGCAAAGAACCGGCAGGCCAAGCGCCAACACACCAAAACGGGGAACGCCGGAAACGGGTGTTGCGTTAGAAAAGAAAACTGTACGGCGCAAACAGCGTGAACAGATCGGTACCCATGACTGTTGTCGTCTCATCGTGTGATCTTCTCGCACCGGATGAATCACTTGTTCATGAGGCAGATGAAGGGTGAAATATACCTTTACCACTCTGTAGATAGGAGTAGATAGTATATTGTTTTAGGAAGAGGAATTTCAAGAGGGGGGGGTCATGGATAGTGGAAAGTTCGCAACGTGCCGCTGCACGAAACCAGTATGAGATGGTCTGATCTTGATTTGATGTATGGTGCTATCTTTCACAATGGACAGACAAGACTATAGGAGCAAATATCTTGATCATACCACGCGCTTCAGTCATGGAAAACGGCAGAAGCATTTATTACATGCCCGACGTAGCTGACCACCGGGGCGTTAGTTCTTGCAGCTTCATACACGCTCCACCTTGCCGTTTGATGTTTCTTCAGGCGCTTCGGAGACAGCCGAGAGAGTCGTAGATAGTACAAGAGTTTCAAACCTTTGGATATCTATAACGCGGTGTACACTTGAGTACTCACCGTCAGGTGTTCAAATGCCCGCTAGCATTCCACTGACAGCAGCCATCCATGTGTCTGCAAAGTCAATGGTGGAAGGTGCTTACTACCTTTCTCTTTCTGTGGTCATTTTGGCACTATATTCGGGTCTAGAAGAAATGTGTGCATCGATACATCAGCCAAACACAAGTACACTATTGGTCAGTCCCTCTTTATTTCCTTTCCCAGCACTGGTCAGGTAGTTCCTGTGGTAACAAAGGCATCATCTGAACAGTGTCGACTAGCGAAGTTTTGAAAGTGAACGTATAGAGATTAAGATGCAGAACCGCATTCAACAATAACACGGTCCGATGGTGTAGTTGGTTATCACGTCAGTCTAACACACTGAAGGTCCCCAGATCGAGCCTGGGTCGGATCACAGTAAATACTTCTTTTTGCATGTTTGCAAGCCGTCCTCTGCGGACGCTCTTCTCTGCGTTTTCGTTCGCTTCCTTTTATTTTTGCAACCTTCTTGACACAATCTCCGGACCAGTAAAATGGAAAACCTCTCATCCTTGCGGCTGCTCGATACCGGTTCCTATCTGGTGCCCCGCCCCCGCAGCTCCGGGCCGTTGGTTCCACATCGGAGCCGGACCCGCTGCGGTAAAAATGTTTCCACTGGCCCCACTTAAAAGTTTCCCGGAGCAGAAATCCAGAAGAAGCTCGAAGAATGTCGCTGAGCCATTACTATTTCGGGGATTATTCAACTTCTCAAGTGAACAAAAAAAGGTTACTTCATTCTATCGTACGGAGGGAAGTCCTAAGAGCTTAAAAGCTACATACAGGACTTGCGAGATTTTTGAATACGTTTCGTTACAAGTCCGAGTTCATTTTGAGGTTACGTCATTTTCGACATTAGCAACGGAAAAGTCCAAACTCAACAACCTCGAGTGAGTGAGCGGGAGTCTCACTTTTACCACAACCCAGACAACACAATCAAGGCTCAACATGGAGGACGTTACAAAATCCGCCGAATCTCTCAACATTTCCAACGACAATGGCGCCTCTGAGTCGTCAGCTCCGGCCGTCATCGGCCCAGCTCCGCCCCCGCCCGGCGCTGACCTCTCCGCCCTTTTCGGCAACCTTCCCCCCGGTGCGCTCGCCGCCAACGCCAAGCCCATGACTGTCCAAGAGACCTTCGAGGAGATGAACAAGCATCCCCTCTTCATGACCTCCCTACCCTCTGACGAGGACAACGAGGAGCTCGCGGCCCTGCAGGCGCTCGCGTACGAGGGCACCCCCCTCGAGAACGCGCAGAACTTCAAGGAGCAAGGAAACGAGTGCTTCAAGGCCAAGCAGTGGAAGGATGCAAAGGAGTTTTATGGCAAGGGCATCGCGGTGCTGGTGAAGGCCGACAGGGAGAGACGGGATCCGGCCTTCAAGGCGAAAGTCGAAGAGGAGAAGCGGAAGCGGGAGGAGGAAGCGCGCAGGGCTCGGGAGGAGGGTGATGCCAAGGCCAAGATGGAGGCGGATCTGGAGAATGTCAAGGCTGAGATGCCTATCGCGGAAGCAAAAGATGATGAAGACGAAAAGAAGGACGAGTTAAGCGAGGAGGAGACGATCAAGCAAGAAGCCTCGCTGCTCGAAACCCTCTACTGTAACCGCGCCGCCTGCCATTTGTCGCTCGCCAACTACCGCTCCTGCACGCTCGACTGCGCCGCCGCGCTCCGTCTCAACCCATCCAACCTCAAAGCCCTGTACCGCTCCGGCCGCGCTTTGTTGTCTGTCTCCAAGATCGCCGAAGCCGACGACGCCTGTGCTCGCGGTCTCGAGATCGACCCCTCCAACGCCGCCCTCAAGCAACTCGCTCGCGATCTGATTGCCAAAAACGAGGAAATCACCCGCAAGCAGCGGGCCGAGGAGGCGCGCCTGGAGAAAGAACGGCGCAAGAAGACGCTCAAGAAAGCGGCGCTCGAGGCACGCGGTATCAAGACCCGCTCGACCGATGACCCGCCTTCGATGGAGGATGCTTGCATCCAGCTTGTGCCTGATCCGCTTGACCCTCAGTCGGAGCTGAGTTTCCCGGTCATGTTGCTGTACCCCTTGAAGCTGGAAAGTGACTTTATCAAGGAGTTCAGGGAGACCGAAAGTGTGGGCCAGCATTTGGAGTATATACTGCCGGATATGCCGTGGGATGAGGAGGGGGAGTATGATAGACCCGACAAAGTGGAGTGTTACATGGAGAGTGTCAGTGGCGGGCTGATTAGGGTCCCGCAAAAGGCGAGCTTGTTGAGGGTGTTGAGTAGTGGGAAGACGGAGGTGGTGGATGAGTTGGTAAGAATATTTGTGGTACCGAAGGGGGAGAAGGCGGAGGGCTGGATTAAGGAATGGAAGGAGAAAAAGGCGGGGGAGAAGAAGTGAGTCAGTGAAAATCGATGAGGACCGGAGGAAGGACGGGGAAAGAATTTATGATACCCAAGGTAGCCGAGTGGGAGGATGCATATGATGCGGGGAGAAAAAAAAAGACGGAGAGGAGGACTGGATAGATGGGCTGTTTACTAGACATTTAATAGTTGCAGATTGCTGTTGCAATGTCAGTCACAACATAGGGTCATGGGATAATCTTGTTCGCTGTGTTCAGTTGTTCCATGCTGATCTGAATGTCATCTGGAAGTCTGTCTCTCGAACCGCGTTTCTTGGTAGGGTATTATTCAATTCTCACTACTTCCAGCTACCGGCTCTTCCTCAAATTTTTATGAGGGGTATCTCATTAAGGAGTTATCCTAACTTTTCCTCTTTGCAAGTCTAAGGATTCCATCCTCTATTTTCCTCATAACACAGAAAGAGCCAAACCCGATCAATCCAATCCCGGCAGACCCTTAGCAAGCTTTAACACGATGAACATGCTTCGAAGTCCGTCAGTAAAAAGGCACAAGTAAAGGTAAAGATGCCTGTATATCTCAGTGTCTTCTTTTGTGGATTGCCGATGGATAGATTATGCCCTTCTCTGCATCATCAAATAGACGCTATGGAGAGACCCCCTCTTTGTATACCTCAACGCTGTTATGCAAACAGGACACAGCTGAGTAGAAGGAATGTACGGATGAAAGGCAGTAGTAAGCTGCTACTGCAGGGAATGAAGATAGGGTATACAAAATAGAGAAAGAAGCGCCAGATGTCGAACCATTTGACCCGCTGTGACCATCAATTCAAGACTTTTGATTCACACAATCAAATCAGACAGTCAATGACTGGATCGATGGATAGTTGTAGAAAAGTGTGAAAGTGTCCAATCTCGGGGAAGAGGAAGCAAAGTCATAGGATCAAAGGGTGGGGGTCATATGATGTGTGCTCAGACGTACCAAAAAACAAAGCAGTTACAGGTAGGTACCTCTAAGTATTTATCATCAAACAAGATATGGTGTTGGATGATACATGTATCGACACTAAAGAGAATGGGCGATCCAGCCGATAGGGACTGGGAAAAGAACGGATTTTCTTGACGACACTCGAACAGTTCGCTTTTTTCTCTCTCTTTTTTTTTCTTTTTCTTTTTTCTTTTTGTTGGGGAGGAAAGGGGGGAAAGAGGAGGCAACCACCGTGCCAGTGCACCTTCGTGCTCGCCCTGTGAAGGCAAGTGCTGTGTGAATACATAACCCGGTACTTAGGTAGAGCAGACAAGAACGATGGGCAGGGACGATAGAGAATGTCAGGCAAGTACGACAATAAGGGTACCGACCTACCTACAAGGTAACGCTGGCCTGTCGTGCCTTCCCTTGTGTTTGGGATGCTCTTTCTTTAGCCAGAGGATAAACATAGCGATGTTCCGTTTGATAGCTGAGGGGGGGACGGATGGATGATTTGGTGTTATGTAAGGTAGGTACTTATTCTACCGTGATGACCGAGCCGTCAAGGTTCTCTTCTTTTTAGCTATCTTTCATCTTCTCGACAATCCAGAGGTCTGGGTGGAGGTAGCTATTGCCTCCTATCTTCCTAGCTTCTGCTATAGTTGTGTACGTGCGTGCGTTGTGTAATGTTGGGTTGGAGAGGGTAGGTTGGCATAGTTGCCTGTGACCATGGGGGGAGACCAACCAAACAGATCTGATCCAAGCCGGTGAAGCGATCAAGTGACTGTGACGGTAAAACAGGGAAGGCAGAAGCGAAGAGCAGACGATACACACGCTTGTCATTTCTGGAAGGGTGAAGTTTTGCCTGTTCCTTGCGAGCTATCTAGAGGAAGCGGGAACATGGCCTTAGGTCTTAATGGAGCACTAGGTGGTAGACGGTTGACAGTTGTTCTTGACATCTTCGGCAGTGAAGTGTGTTGGATGTGGCAAAACAGAGATTCCAGTGCTGTTTCATCCATCGCATCGAAATCACTAGACAACATCTCGTCAAGCTTCATAGTTCAGACAATCAAAGAAATTGTCGAGCATTGCCCATTAATCTCTAAACCAAAGAAAGCATCGCCAAAAATCAGAACAAAGAGAGGAAGGATATCAGAGCCAACGAATTACTTTTACCATGGAACTCAACGCAAGGTAACAACGTAGCAAAATCTAAGAAGCTAGTCAAACAGGGAACGGACGCCCGTAATCCGCGGTCTTCGATAGCCGAGCACAGACTCTCGACAGTCTGTTTGACGCGATAACCACAATAGCAAAGCAAAGCAAAGAAAAGAAAACAAGGCACACAAGCTTCGCGAATGTCAAACACCTTCCTTTATTCACTGCAGTGCCTTAACCCTATCCTCCCTTCTCCTCCCAGGAAGAATTGTTGTAATGATAGTACTCTCTTTCTTCCTAACCGTGATTTTTTTCCTAACAGGACCAATACCAACATCAAGCAAAGAATCTGCCCCGCCCTTTCTCCCCAACACAAGAATCCGTTTTTAGCTCTCCCTAAATGTACACATGCAAGCAATCTTGAGTTGTGTCACTTCAGAATGACTTTGCCCTCCCAACAAGCAACAACCGTCTCCTCTTCCTTCTGTGTTGTTGCTCGTGCTCATAATCATCCTCATCATCAGCATCGCCATCACAGTGACGAGGATCACCAGCAACAGCTTCTTGCCCAGCATACCTAATCATCTCGTTTGCAACGACCGAGTTCTCCCTAGTACCATTACAACTTGTAGAGGGAGAAAAAGAAGAAGAAGAAGAAGCAATGGAAGTGGAGATGGGTGAACCCAGGTAATTACTACTTGGCGAGGGAGGTGGTGCCAATGGCTCGGTAGTGTCAGGAACAGCAGTTGCAGTAGCAGTCGTAGTACCCCTTCTCGAATTGGTAGTAGTAACCACAGCCGACAGCGTAGGCGACGGTTGACCAGAAGTGGGCGGGGGAGAGACGGGTGATGAAAGAGAAGATGAAGGTGACTCTGGTCGTTTGGTAGAGGAGTAAGCAGCAGCAGCAGCAGCAGCAGCAGCAGCAGCTTCTTTCTCTTCTTCCTGCTGTCTCAGATGCAGGAGTGTCAAAGCCGCCGTCTTGCGAGCCGCGAGACTTGTTTGGCCGTCATCACGACCACTACCAATGGAAGCGCAATTGAAATCCCGGCTGCTGCTGTCGCTTGTAGTGTCATTCGCGTTTTTGTCAGCCACAATGGAAGTTGAGGAGGAAGACCTAGGTAGTGGTAGTGGGAGATGCAGATGGCCTTCGTTATCGTCGCCACATTCCATGTTTGCCTCTACTGCTATCCTCCTGGGCTGGGTGTTTAGTATGTGCTCATACTCATGCTGGTCCTGTAGGCCTGGCCTTCTTTGGCTCCTCCAGTGCATCGGTGCCGATCTTGATGAGGGAGGAGTGAGTGCTCTTTGGTATCCGGCGGAAAATTGATAAGCGCCACGAGTGTTGTGGTCTTGACGAGAATGGCTACTAGTCGCATCACTTCCTACTCGGGAAGGCCTCCCATTAGGAAGCCTCCGCCGACCAGAAGGTACAGGTAATGAGCAGAGTTGGGAGATGGGTGGTAGCTGAGGTTTTGGGCTGGGAGAGTTAGATGATGTACGTGATACCATTGATGACGATGGTGAGGATAGTATGAGAGAAGGGGATGGTAATCCTTGTGGATGTTGGCTGGCCATGCTGTTGATACTGCCAGCTCTACTCCTGCTGGCGCTGCCTGGTTGAGAAGCCCATGGGGAGGAGGATGTTTTTCGAGGAGAGCGTGGAATGGCAGTAAGCCATGGGTTGGGAGCTTGGCTACAGGATGGCCAGTTCGAATGCGATACCGACTCATCAGGCTCATTGGAGGGAAGTGGGCGCTTGAGTGAATATCTATCGAGGGAGTTGTTGGGTGGCTGGCGATTTACCGCTGTCCATGCTGAACGGTGAGGCGCCCTTTCAGGGTATGAGATAGAAGAGTGTGTCGATATCGACATCACAGGACAAGGCCGGCCTGCACTTGACCGCAGCAGGGGTGGTGTCCACTCGCCAGCCGGTGGCATCGGTGCCGAGATACCACGCAGCTGCGGTATAGCATCTACGCAAGAGCTCTCTTCAGCGAGGCCTCTTCTAGAGCGTACCGTCCGTTGTTGCTGTTGTTGGCGGTCTCGGTGCTCTTGGTAAGGATGGTGGTGATGACGTTCTTGAGACCCAGTGGAGGCTGTCCGAAGTGGACGTCTGGCAGGGGATGAGGAAGTGCAGCCACCTCCCCAATTGCCGTATCTTTGATACAGTTCTTGTGCCTTTCTCATTGTATCGCTTATCAACTCTGACTTGATGATCATGATGCCGTATCGTGGCTCGCCAGGCGAGATGCACTCTGAGGGGAAGTCAGGGCCAAACAGGGGTATTAGTGCCCCAGCGATCTGGTAACAGAAAGTTGCGCATACTGCTTTGGCACAAGCGTATGGCATCCAGTACCCTATTACGACCGGTTAGCCATCATCTAGTATGGCACTGAAGTGTTCAAAGATCAATACCTTGTGCTTTGATAGCGCCTCCTGTAATGCTATATGCAATGCCTTTCAAACCGGGATTTTGATTCAACATCTTCGCAGGTGTTGTCTACACAAAGCCGTTAGAGTCTACAAAACACCCGTACAGAGGAATTGACGAACCTTTGAGTATCCACAGCACTTGAAGAAATGGGTCATCCGAACAAGGCCGACTTTGTAATCCCACATGACAGTGAACTCAGTGTTATCTCCGGGTCGTTGGAAGTTGTACTGGAAGACTACGGTAAAATAATGTTAGCTGTCACTTCGGTTGTTTTTGAGGGTACCGAGGTAGCTGGGCATCTATACCATCTAGACACTCTCGACCAGTCTTGCTTTGAAAATCTCTCTTTCCGGTGTTATACGGAATGTTTTCAGGTCTTTGTTGAATTTCTCCAAATGGCGTTATGCGATACCGGCGGATCTCTTGGAGTGCTATCGCATCCAGGCCCTCTTCAAAAGGGGGGAAGTTAACATCGGGTAGTTCCTCCGTCCTGGGACTGCTTCTCGAGGCTACCGGCCGAGAGAAACAAGTGTTGGAAGATGATGGAACTGGAGCCACACGAGGCTCAACCGGCGTCGGGTTGAGCAAAGAAGTTACCGAAATCATGGGAAAAGATGTCCAAGTTGATGTAGCTACGCTCGTTGATATGTCGTGGCCACTGGTAACTTTAGAGTAGAGAGATGAGAGGAAAGGAAAGGATGAAGCAAGAAGATGGGATGGGGCTGAGGATGTTATAGCTCGAACAGTGCTTGGTATTTGGAGTCAGATGCGAAAAGGTCAAATTGCCCGTCAATACGCAAACAACAAAACGCTCACCAGACTCTCGCGAGCTGGCTGTGCCTAGGTGTCTTGTTGTACACGACAAGGAACCAAAGGCCCTCTTTTACCTTGACTTCCGCCATGCAGCGGTCTGCAGCCCCGGTCGACGGCTTCCTTCTCTCCGTCTTGTTGCTCGACAGTCTCGGTGCAGTTCCTTTGTCTGGGGTTCCCAGGAGTCGAATTCAGAGGCAAGGATAGCGTTTGGTTCGTCCACCGCTCTTTTGGTGGTCGAGGTGAAGCCACAAAATGATTACTGACAGGCACAAGTGACGCTGAAACCACAGCTTGAACGCCCGACGAAGAAATGCAAATCGCTGTGACGGACCGGTAGCAGTAAAAATAACAGTGGCTCACTTGGGTAGCACTGCCAAAAGAAAGGATGATTCAACGTTACGTCTTTTGCCAGGCCTGACTTCGGCTTTGGGACGTCCTGAGGAACCAAACGACCCCGGCATAACCACCGTGGTCGATTATGTTGCGTTGTTGCGTATATCACGCTGTTACATGCAAGGCAAAGAAGAGGACCCACGACCGGAGTCCAAGCGGCTCGACAAGGAGGAGAACGGGGAATCGGCGAGCAGACGTAGTGTCATGTTTGGACGGATATCACCGAGCAAAGGACTGACACTGGTCCCAAAGACAGGGAACGATCGCACGCAGCGAGGTGAAGCAGTATGTCCGTGGCCAAAGCAAAACATCAGGCGAGTTTGGCGGGCGCAAATACCGGTCAAAGATCAAGCCGGCAGGGTAATGGTTTGTTGAGTGCTTCTGCCACAAGGTAAGGTGCCGGATGGCTGCAGGATGTACCGCTGGACGACGAGCCCGGGCAAAGCAACTGGGTGAAATTTGAACAAAGACTGACCGTCGTTCAGGCATATCCATCACAGCCCAAAATCTATCCTTGACTCGACACACGTGGCCCCTTGACCATGGTTCACCCGCTTATCAAGTGAATGAGATGAGCGAGGTGGCAGGAAGAATTGCAACGAGGCTTGCTGTATGATTACAGTCGAAGTAACAAACCGTTTGCGAGGGACTGGTGTGTTCATGGCTTCCATATCACTAGCAAAGAGCAAGCAGAGCATGAGACTTGCGTCAGCATCGAGGAAGACCCATCAGCACTCTGTGTTTACATCACCACTCAGACTTAGGCTAGGGCCTGGACCGACTGAGCAGATTACTCGCTGCAGTGAGAGGCAAGCAGGGTTGCGTTGGTAACGGCGATTTTAGAACACCCGGAGAAACAAGTGATACCCCTTGCTTCCACGAGCTCAAGCTCGATCCTTGCAAATTTGTACAAGCAAAAATTGCCCGATTGGAAGATCTTCAATATGGCCAGGGGTACAGGTTGATGATTTCTGGGGTCCGTGTTCTGTCCTCCAGATTAGGGAGGATATGCTTGAGGCTGCGGCGTATCAAGCGCTAGCAAGCCAAAATCCAAGAAGGAAAAAGGTGCAGGAGCGAGAACTTGCGATAATGGACCGCGCCGAGGACTTGATGGGCGGGCAGTATCAATAGATGGCGAGTAACGCAAAATCGAGAAATCGACTGTTGGGTGCATTGACCGGAAGAGGGAGTGTGGTAAATAGCAACAGCGTCTACCAAGCCTTTGGCTGGGCCTGTGAGCCCGCAGAGGTGAGCACAACAGATTGTGGCAACCAGGCAGCATTGCTCGAGTCAAGGCGGGCTTCTCGCCAGCACCCAGTGGATAGACAAAGATACCTTGTCTTGGCCAGCCTGAGCTGGGTAGCTTCCGAGACGGGAGGTAGTGAAAGTACCAGCCATGATTGCTGCAACGGCCCGCCGGAGCGCTCCTCTCAAAGTTGACCATGGATGCCACTGCCGGCGCTTTTTGTGAGGACGTGGCTGATGCGTTCCCGCAAATAGAAGCCGGACAAAGCTGGAGATAATTGAAATCTACCCCTGAGGTCAAAGAACAGTACGCTTCGGGAGGGAATTGTAGCCGAGCAAAGTTTCTCAAGACCACCCGCGAACCTGGACATGGGGATCGTGAGTCTCTTGACGACATGTACATGGTCTAGCATGACAGGACTCGTGCTTCGCAGAAATGGCTACACCGATGTCACCGAGCAAACGACTCCCAAGCCCCAAGCCAAGTTTAGCGATGGTCCAATGGCACGTCGCAAGCGTCCAAAATATCAAATATGAGGAACACAAGTGAGATGTGTAGTTGGGAGGGGAGGAAGGCTGATCAGGAACCCCATTTCTGACAAACTCTTGTCAAAGGCCTCTGTACCTCATGGACATGCTCCAGTTTCAGATGAGCCTTGTGCAACGGCGTGGGATTTTGACAGGACGGAAGGGAAGGCAGAGCTTGAGGAGGTCCAGGGTAAAGAGGTCTCTAGAACCCTTCGGTCCAGGACTCTGGACATGCCGTGTATCGTGAGCAAGCTGATGTAGCCGTGTTCCGTTGCGGATCGACGCATCTGACCCCGGACATTTTCCTGCCCATCCCGCCGTGCCGTCCTGTCTCCCGCTCGCCCTGTGTTGGGGGTTGTCATGGGGGTTGTCATGGCTCAGCTGACTGCCCTGGAACAGCAGAGCTCTGAGAGCCCTGACCAGGCGGGTTTTGTCTTGGCTTTGCATTTTCTCTCTGATGCTGTCCGTCTCCGGGGGCTGGCCCACGACGCCGTAACACAACATGCTTCCGTGCAGTATCGTACGCCACATATTCGTGCAAGAAGAGCCCCACGCATGGGGGGCGACGACAGCGGCAAGCAACACAGCGTGTCCACGGGCGCCCTATGAGGGCCCAGCATGCAAATGGGCATTATGCCATAACACTTGTCAGGCAGAGAAGGACTGGTGTAGAATTCGACAAGTGTCTTGCTCGACGGAAGATGGACAGGCCACTGCAAGTCCTCCTCTTCTACCTCGTGCTGCACTGCAGGGAGCCCATTGCATGCCCCTTATGCCAGGCACGACCTTGCAAGGAGCGACTGCTTCGAGGCTCCATTAATATCGAGGGCTTTGTACGCCCCCAAAACAGACAAGCAGAGCCAAGCAGATGGACTGAATACCTGTGGCAGGCTGTAGACAGGACGGGGCTTTGTTTCAAAAGTGATTTGTGATTTTTTTTTTCCCCGGGACAGAGACGATCACAGAAGCGACCCCTAGACCCAGGCATCCATCATGGCCACACTCGGGCTCGGGGAAATTCCAAGACAGAACAAGTGATTGATTCAAGCCCTTGCATGTCAGGAATAGTAACGGAACTCTTAGGTAACTGCCCTGTGCAGACTAGGACAGAGTAAAAGGAATTCCAAATTCCAAGCGTCCAATCCAGTGTCTTGAGTGTTCTGTAACGGGCCGTCAGTGACGACATGGGAAGCCGGTGGGAAGAGGGAGATGGACGACCGGATGGATCCATTGGTTCAGAAAAGGCAGACGAAGGAGCAGATTCGTAGCCCGTCACCCCGTCTCCCTCACTTGCGCCTCTTGTGTTCTTCTGTGACGGAGGGACACAACCACTCGCCGCGTTGTTTGTAAGACCTTGGGCGGGCCGCCATCAAATGGAAGAGGGAGAGGAGGTGGGAGTAAGAAGTTGGACATGAATGTGTGAGAAGTGATGGGTAGGAAGAGCACCGATGAGCATGGATGATGCACCCGGGGAGGGAGATGAGAGCAACGGCAACCCAGCTTGGGACAAGACGAGGCGACAGAGCCACAAGAACAGGTGCCCTGGATACAAAGACGACCATCGGATCGTTTCAGTTTCTTTCATTTGTCTGGTGGGAAGCTGGAGGTCCCGCTAGACATGGCCGAAGTGTAGACGGTGATTTGCCGTCAGAGAATCAGACTCGAGTCTCGTCTCTTTGGTTGGGTGCACTTTTGTTTGACCGTCATTGTCGGAACACGTTTGAGAGATGAGGCAGAAATTGACTTGGTCGATGGGAAGCAAGTGGCCGAGACATTTTCATGGGTCAGCCATCCGAGCAACAAGAGTCAAGACCCGCGGACGTCGAGGCGACGAACGGTGTTTGTGGCTGGTGTAGTATGGATGTGTGGCTAGCTGTGAAGCGAGTGGCTGACGTGATAGACACGTGAAGATGCTCTCGCTGGCCACCTGTCTGGCAGGCTTCGCCAGGTGTGAATCCACTCCCTTGTGTTTGTCGCTTCGTTTACCTAGTTCTGTGTCCAGCGTGTCGCGCTACTTGTCGCGCCAAGACATGGGACGGTGGGGACTGGGAACAAAATGCAAGGGAAGTTTATGCACAACACCCAGCACAAGTTGCCAAGTGCTCATCAGCCGCTGTTTACTTGTCGAGCTTGTCCATCATCCACTGTAGCGACCACTGTCTGCAGTCTGGCGTGCCCTGTCGTTCCCTTCCCGTCTTGACTCGAGGGGCTCTGTGTAGGTAAACAATTTTGACGCGCCACCCCTCCACCTATCCCTCCCTCCCTCCCGTCTCGCATTCAACCTTCCACTTCCTGCAAATCGTCCGTCTCCAGCCAGGAACCACGTCGGTCTCACTGCACGCACCACATTGCAACCGACCGCGTTGTCACCTTGACTTTCTACATACGACACAACTTGAAGTGAGAAGAAACACCACCACTACCACCAGAGTCCCTTCGTTCCTCCTCTGCTGTGGTAATCTCCAACTGGGGCCCCTCCTGGTCTTTCCCCCCCATCACCTCAGTAAACTCTTTTCGCCGCCCTGTCCGCCTGGTCCGTCACGGTCGCGGCAAATCCCATCGCGTTGTGAATGTGCACGCCTCTTCTGTTGTCGTCCTGGGACCAACCGTTGTTGCTGCGTCTTGGAGGCCGCAGACTCGCACAGCCGCTGTGCACTCTCGCCCTTAGACACTTTTCTGCAGCAACCACACCACCACCACCAACAACAACAACAACAACATCACTACTACTTCGGTCATCACGCCCAGTACCGCCAAGATGGCCTCCGACGTCGAGTCCATGTTCGAGGGGGAGTCCGACGCCTATTCACCAGAGGTGGTACGTCATGATGTCTTCTGCTTATTATGCTGTGGGTTGGAACCGAGCCCCCCTTGCCGTTGTGCGATTTATGCCATTTACGCGCTGCTTGCTTTGTTGTGCTCTTGCTTGTTTCCCCTTCTTGGGCCACTTAACTCTCTCGTCTTATGCTAACCCTTTCCTCTCTGCCGCAATACAGAAGCCCAAGGCCAAGAAACCCGCTGCCAAAAAGGCTGCCGCACCCAAGGCGCCCGCCGCAAAGAAGTTGACCCAGACCACTCTCACCGGCGCAAAGGCCGCTGGCAAGAAGCGACCAAAACCCGACAGCGAGGATGAGGACGGATCCTTTGGTAGCGACAAGGACGACGGCATGCTCGACAACACCCCTCCCAATGCCAAAAAGCAGAAGAAGGCGCCGGTCAAGAAGGCCGCCGGCAAGCCCCTGGCCGAAATCGAGAACGATAGTATGCAGATCGATAGTGTCGCTCCCGCCAAAAAGACGGGCGCTGCAAAGACGGCCACCGAAATGTACCAGAAACTCACCCAGCTCGAACATATCCTCAAGCGTCCCGACACCTACATCGGCTCCGTCGAGCGTTCCGAGCAAAAGATGTGGGTTTTCAACAAGGCAACCGGTCTCATGGAAAACCGCCAAATCTCCTTCGTTCCCGGTCTCTATAAGATTTTCGACGAGATTCTCGTCAACGCTGCCGATAACAGCCAGAGAGATAGCTCCATGACCTTCCTCAAGGTGACAATAAATCGCGAGTCTGGCGAAATCTCGGTCGAGAATAACGGCAAGGGCATTCCCGTGGAGATTCACGGCACCGAAAAATGCTACGTCCCCGAGCTCATCTTCGGTCATCTCCTGGCTGGTTCCAACTTCGATGACAACGAAAAGAAGACGGTCGGCGGTCGTAATGGTTACGGTGCCAAGCTCACAAACATCTTCAGCCGAGAATTCACGCTCGAGTGCCAAGATTCCGTCAACGGCAAGAGATACAAGCAGACATGGACCGACAACATGAGCAAAATGGCACCACCCAAAATCACCTCCAACAAGGCTGCTGATTTTGTGCGCATCACTTTCCGCCCCGACTTCAGCAAGTTCGGCATGGCTGACGGTATCGACGATGACCTGGAAGCCTTGCTCTACCGACGTGTTTACGACATGGCAGGTACGGTTAGTGGTGTCAAGGTTTGGCTCAATGGTGAACACCTCAAGTTAAACTTCAAGACATACTGCGGGCTGTACGCCAAGGCCATCGCCAAGGAGCGTGACGAGGTAGCTGACGGCGAAGATGTCACTCCTGCCACAGTCATCTTTGAGCAGCAAAGGTCCGAGGGTAAACTATGGGAAGTGGGTTTTACGGTTTCGGATGGCTCGTTCCAGCAAGTCTCGTTCGTCAACAATATTGCCACCACCTCTGGCGGCTCCCACGTCAATTATATTGCCGATCAGATCATCGAAGTCCTCATGAAGGAGCTGCAAAAGAAGAAGGGCAAGGGACACGGTCTCAAGACGGCAAACGTCAAGAACCAGTTCTTCATCTTCATCAACTGCCTGATCGACAACCCGGCCTTCAGCTCGCAGACAAAGGAGCAGTTGACGACCAAGCCCGCCAAGTTCGGCAGCAAGTGCCAGCTTGGTGACCTGTTCCTCAAGAAAGTGCGACAATCGGAGGCCATTGACAACTTGTTGAGCTTTGCCGACAAGAAGCGAGACAAGGATTTGGCCAAGAACGATGGCAGCAAGCGAAAGCGTATCAGCAACGACAAGCTGATCGAGGCCAATTATGCCGGTGGAAGATATTCGCAAGAGTGTACCCTTATTCTCACCGAAGGTGATTCCGCCCGAGGTCTTGCGGTCGCTGGTCGTGCTATCTTGGATCCTAACCGTATCGGTGTCTTTCCCTTGCGTGGTAAGATGCTGAACGTCCGTGACGCCAGCGCTGATCAAATCTTGAAGAACAAGGAAGTCGAAAACATCAAGAAGTTCCTTGGCCTCAAACACGGAAAGGTCTACACCGATACGAAGGATTTGCGATACGGCCATCTGATGATCATGGCTGATCAGGATCTTGACGGTAGTCATATCAAAGGTCTTCTCATCAACTTCTTTGAGTGCCAGTTTCCATCACTCCTGCGCATTCCTAATTTCTTTCAAGAGTTCATCACGCCCGTCGTCAAGGTGTGGCAAGGTCCTAACCCGAAGAAGCCTCAAAGGCTACAGGGCTTCTTCACTCTGCCTCAGTACGAGGAGTGGAAGGAAGCTCACAGGAACGAATTGCGCAGATGGAAGTACAAGTATCTCAAGGGTTTGGGTAGTTCGACAACAGACGACGCCCAGCTCTACTTCACCAACTTGAACAAGCATCTCAAGGAGTTCGATGTCATGACTAGAGAGGAATCTGAGATGTTCGAGTTGGCCTTCTCCAAGAAGAAGGCCGACGCTCGTAAAGAGTGGCTTGCCAAGTGCGAGCCGGGCACCTACCTTGACCATTCGACCGAGAAGATCTCCTACACTGATTTCGTTAATCGCGAACTCATTCTTTTCAGTATGGCAGACAACATTCGATCGATCCCGTCCATGGTGGATGGTCTGAAGCCCGGTCAACGCAAGGTTCTGTTCGGCTGTTTCAAACAAAACCTCATTCACGATCAAAAGGTTGTTGAGTTGGCCGGTTATGTCTCCAAGGAGGCAGCCTACCACCACGGTGAACAGTCTCTGCAGCAAACAATTATTGGTCTTGCGCAGAACTTTGTCGGTTCAAACAACATCAACTGTCTCGAGCCTAGTGGTAACTTCGGTTCGCGTCTTTCCGGTGGTTCCGATGCTGCCAGCGCTCGTTACATCCACACGAGACTGTCTCCCTTGGCGCGAAAGATCTTTCACCCACTCGATGAGCCCAATCTAGAATTCCAGTTCGACGATGGCAAACTGATTGAGCCCAAGGTCTATGCTCCCATTATCCCCATGGTTTTGGTTAACGGTGCAGATGGTATCGGTACCGGTTGGAGCACTTCCATTCCCAACTACCACCCTCTTGACATTGTCGAGAACTTGAAGCGTCGCATGGGCAGGGACTCATCTGGCGACGGGGAGGAGAAGCCCTTTGAACCCATGACTCCGTGGTTCCGTGGTTGGAAGGGCACTCCTGAGCCAGACGGACCCAACAGATTCAAGTTCAACGGTATCGTGGAGGTCAACCCTCAGAACCCCAATGAGGTTGATGTTACGGAGTTGCCCATTCGCATGTGGACCGATGATTTCAAGTCCAAGCTGGAAGAGATCATCCGTGGCGATAAGAGTCCTTCATGGATCAAGGACTACAAAGAGTACAACGACCACCAGACTGTCCATTTCATCATCGCCCTTGAGGAGAAGCACATGTCCTCGGCTCTTAGGGACGGTCTTATTGAAAAGTTCAAGCTTACCAAGACAGTGGCTACGACAAATCTAGTGGCCTTCGACACCCGTGGTAAAATCCACAAGTATGAGAACCCGCAAGAAATCATGGAGGAATACTACCACTACCGACTCAACCTGTACGGTGAGCGCAAGAAGCACTGGCTCAAGGTCTACCATGCGGACTACCGCAAGCTGCAGAATCAATACCGATTTATTTCGGAAATCATTGAGAACAAGCTCGTCGTTTCCAAAAAGAAGAAGTCGGTCCTTGTCCAGGAACTTCGCGAACGCAAGTACGAGGCCTTCCCTCCGAAATCAGATGGAAGGAATGTGAAGTCTCCTGATGAGGAGCTCGGTGCTGCGGACAACGAGGACGAGGATGATGCCGTTGGCGGAGCCCGCGATTATGACTATCTCCTTTCGGTATGTGATATCGAGCCTACTGATTATGTTGCCGGAAAGACTAACATAATGATAGATGCCCATTTGGTCGTTGACCTTTGAGCGCCTCGACAAGCTCAAGCAGCAGATTGCTGCAAAGAAGGCTGAGCACGATGAACTCGATGCACTCAGCGAAAAGGATCTGTGGTGCAGAGATCTCGATGCTTTCACCGCTGAGTGGGAAGAGCAGTTGAGGCTGGAAGATGAAGTCCGGAAAGAGATCAGGCAGAAGGGACGCCGTGTCTCGTACAAGGGCGGTGCTGTCTCCAGACTCAAGAAGTCCAAAGGTGCCAAGGATGACGAGGACTTCGACCCGGGTGCCAAGAAGGCCAAAGCCAAGGCAGCTCCCAAGGCTGAGACAATCAAGACACAGCAGCGTTTTCTAGAGAAGTTCTCTGGGATGGCGAAACCCAAGCCTAAGTCGACCGCTTTCACCGACGGGGCTGATGACCTCTCGGACGATGACTTCGACTTGCTGAACAAGAAGGCCCCGGCTGCAGCCAAAAAGAAGGATGAGGATGCGGAGCCCGTTACTACCATCGCCAGTGTGCGCGCCAAGCGTGCCACCGTAGCGAAGCCTAAGACTTATGCGCTCAGTGATGAAGAATCGGACGATGACTTCTTGGACATCGCAAAGGTTACCACAACTTCTGAGAAAACGACCACGTCGGCTTCGGCTTCGGTTTCAGCGGCAGAACAATCTGAGCGACCTGTAGCAAAGCCCGCGAGGCGTGCTGCAGGAGCCAAGAAGCCTATCGTTGATGAGGATTCTGAATCCGATTTGGATGACTTCATTGACGACGAGTCCGAGGAAGAGGTGATTCCTAAGCCCACTACCAAGCGAGCTACCGCTGCCAAGAAGCCGGCCCTCGAAGATGAAGACTCCGATGTCGAGTTCCAGGACGCTCCTGAAGAGCCTATCCCGCCGACCCCCAAGCCGGAGGCCAAGAAGGCTACGGCCAAGAAGCCAATTGTAGTTGAAGACTCTGACGAAGACATGATGATCAGCGAAGCTGAGAAGCCTGCGCCCGCAGCTAAGCCCGCCACTAAGCGCGCTGCTGCTCCCAAGAAATCACCTGTTCTCGAAGATGATGACTTCGAGAGCGACGCTGATGACAAGATTTTGAGCGAGGCAGAAAAACCTGCGCCGGCTAAGGCCACCGCCAAGCGTGCGGCTGCTGCCAAGAAGTCACCTGTTCTTGAGGACGATGATCTTGAGAGCGACGGTGATGACAAGATGGTAAGCGAGGCTGAAAAACCCGCTCCGGTCAACCCCAGGAAGCGCGCGGCGGCCGCTAAGGCCAAGTCCTTCTTCGTAGACGAAGAAGACTCCGAAAGCGAAGCTTCTGATGACGACGACATGCTTCTTGACGTCGGCTCCCTGGTCAAGGGTATAGGAGCCCCTGCCGCGACGAGCGAGGGCCCGAGGCTCAGCCTCTTTTCCATGTCCCGGCCAGAAGGCGAGGGTAGCGGTATCGGCCTGCCCAAAGTGAAGGGCAGGGCTTTCCACACCAAAGCTTTTCTCGACAACGATAGCCAGGATGACACCAATTATGAGGCTCTTGCCAAGTCGTCCCCGAGGAAGCATTCCAAGACCGGTGAGGCCGACGAAGGCTCGGAGGACGATTCCATCGGCAAGAAGGTCAACGCTGCCCCTGTAGTGGCCAAGAAGCGCGGTCGTCCTGCCGGCAGTAAAAACAAGGCCACCGGCGACGACGCTGCTGCCCCAAAGCCCAAGCCCAAGGTCACCGCCAAGAAGGCTGCTGCTGCTGCTGGAGAGACGGCCTCTGCCGTTCCGGCCAAGCTCAAGACGCTGGTCCATCTCTCGCCCGCTGCTAAGGCTTATGCCAAGAAGAACCAGAAGGCAAAGAAGCTCGCTAGTGACGACGAGGATGACCTTGATGGCGATGACATCGTCATGAAGGATCCTGCGCCTGCTCCGGCTCGCAGCAGGCCTGGTCGCGCGGCCGCTGCTAGGAAGCCGATCGTCATTGATAGTGCAAGTGAGGATGATGATGACTCGTTTGGGGATATTGGCGTGAGCAGCAAGGCGAAGAAGGGTGGTAGGAAGGTGCCTGATGATGCTTTTGATATGGAGGATAGTGAATAGACGGTTGTGGAGCAGAAAATGTGTGATGATGACACGAGGCTCGGCGGAAGTTCATGCATATAGAAATAGCTTGCTTAAAGCTGAGAAAGGCGGGTTTCCGTTGGTGTCTCTAATGATGACTCTTTGTTGTTCTTGTACATACGTGTATTTTCGTTTGGTTGGTTTGATGGGTAGGGTTGTTTCATAGGGACGAACAAGATGGTTGGCATGGTCTACTGTTGCTGTAGCTGGTTGCGTAAAGATACCACAGGTTCTGTTTTTTTTTTTTTTTTTTTTTTTTTTTTTTTTTTTTTTTTTTTTTTTTTTTTTTGCATGATACACTTACCGCTTGATGTCTCTATTCACTTACTTGTTATTCATGACTTCTAGCTCCAAAGGCTGCGTGTAGGACTGCCATGCATAGGTAGGCATCAGGTAATTCATTCGCTAGGAAACGTGTCTATTCTATATCCTGATCCTCATCATTCCCTATAGCCACCACTCACCACCTCCCAACCACTACCTCCTTATCAACCAAAACCCTCAACCTCTCCCTCTCCTTCTCCCCTTTCCCACTCCCAATCCCCCCCTCTCTTTTTACTGTAACCCACCCGCCCTTCTCAACCTCCACAATAGTCCCATCCACACAGACCTTTCTCCATCTCTCATCTGTTTCATTAATCACCACTTTGATTTCTTCTACTTCTTCGTAGCCTACCACGTCCTTGAACTTTTCTTCTGGGTCGTTGATGTGCGCGCCATCACGATACGCGGCCATCATGATATCCATGGTTTGTTTTCCTCTGTTTCCAGCCTCCGCATCGGCTCCTCCTGCGCCTTCTTCGTCGAACCCAAAATGTACCAACCGCAACTGTCCATCCAACGGCCGCGAAGCTGGCGAAATACAAAAGGTCTTTTCGAGGTTAGAGACGAGGGTGAGAAGGATGTAAGTTGAGTGGGAATCTTTGGGAAGAAGGGTGATGATTTCTTCTCTTCGTTCAGAAGAAGAAGACGACGAAGAAGACCGACGAATAAAAACGTCTGCATCATATAAATGCGACAACTTCAATAACTCCCCAGCCGCCATACCGAACCGCTTGTCCCCGTGCACGCGGTAAGCAGGCGTGTCGGACTCGTACACTAGGGAGGCGTGGAAGCCGTAGGAGAAGACGATGGCGCCTAGGAGGTGGGTGATTTCCGGCCGTTTCTTTGGAGTAGTACCAGAGCTCGTGCTCGTAACGTCGAATAAGAGGTTATCTTTTGGTGAATCGTTACTGTTGGGAAGCACTTCCGGTTGACCGGAGATTAACTTTGCTCCGGGCGAAAATTCGGCTCGGAAGGTCGGGAGTGGAGCTGAGACGCCTCGCTTGAAGAGGGTGCGGAGGCCGAGGACTAGTGGTGATGGGCCATCGGTGCTCTGGGGCTTGTAGAGAGGCTTGTGGAGGGAGTGGAAGAGGGCGTTGCCGGTGCCTAGGGGGAGGATGGCGAGGGTTGGGGTTGAAGATGGTGATGGCGATGAAGACACGTCGAGCGGATGATGGTCGAGACCGTTGAGCAGGTCAATGATGCCGCCGTCGCCGGACAGGAGAATGATGGTCCTGCTTGGTTGTCGCTGTTGTCGTCCTTGAGCAAAAGAAGATGATGGAGACACTAGTCCCCGAGCAAAATCCTTGACTGTGTCTGCGCTTTTGGTGAAGGTAATCTGATATGTTTTGCCTGATCTGGTCTTTCGCCCTTCCTTGTCGTCGTCATCATCACCCTCAACCACATCGCCAACAGCCTCAAACCCAAATCCCTCCTCCAAAAGCGGCTTCAAGACGCCCTCATAGAAGCCCGCCGCCAGCCCCAACCCCGACCGTGTCGAGACAATCACATGCAACTCGTCAACCCCAGCCAAGTGCTCCGGCGCCTTCTCAACCAGGAACTCCCGCGTAAATTCTTCTGGCAGACTTTGCGCATATGTGACGGATAGCTTGAAGGGCGATAGTTTCTTCGTCTTTCTATGATCATCACCGGCCTTTCCATTGATGACCTTGGCCTTCTTGATCTTCTCTCCGTCCTCGGAAGCGCTCTCGTCGGAAGACTTGGCGGCAGCGGCGGCGGCAAAACATGGCTCCCCTTCGATGAGCGAGTAAATGCGATACCCGCCATTGCCGCTTTTGAGGACGAAGACGATTTGGTTGGGATTTAAGGCGCTTCCGGAGTTCTCGATATCCCCGACTCCATTGTGAGCGGATGTTTGGATGAGGTCACCGGTCCTTTGACTGAGATGTATGTGGTCTGATACTGATGTGGATGTCTTTTGGGTGGATGACACGGCGGTGGTGGCGGCGGCGGTCATATTGTCGCTATCGCGGGGCTGCTCCTCACTATTCTTGGTGGTGTTGCGGGGTAATTTTTCCTGCGGTTGTGTCCTCTTCCTTTCACCAACCCTCTCATCCGGTTGACTTTCGGGCGTTGACTTTTGTCCGTTCGAACAGGACCCCTTTGAAGGAGCAGTTGATTTGAAATCAGATCGACTGCTGCTCTGATCTTGTTTAGTGACAGAGGTGGAGCCCTTTGGTCGACGACCAAGTGAGACAATCTTCTTGAGCCAGGACGGCATCTCGATCGAGCAAGAGAAGGCAAGAAGAACAAAGCAGACGGAAGGATGTGAGCTTTCGATCAGCAATTGACGTTTAGAATGAATTAATATTCTTGACTTCCTCCTGTTACGGTGTCAGACGATGATAGCTCCAGATGTAGATGTTCGGATCAGCGGCCGCCTTATTGACCGAACCTGGAAGGGAAACTGGAATGCAGTAGAGATGCGTAGTCATTGCTCGCTACCAAGTGTGTATATGGAGTTACACCAGATTCATTGTATGATATTACTTGCTATCTGCTATATACAAAGCCAGCCGCCGAATTGCGTCATCACCAACCCCCCGTTGCTATCGGCGGACAGGTCGGCGCCGACCGAACCGAGTGGGCCACCTACTCGGCATCAATCCCCGACCCTATAACACGGCGCGGTGATCGTAGTCAATCGCACAATAGATCGGGTACCAAAAGACAAACCAAGCCTAGCTCTCTGAGCCTAGGTTCGGACTTTGAATCCTTTTGAGGATTGCACCTCATCATGAGTCAATTGCTGCCTATCGGACCAAGCTTCTTACTGGCTGTCGGATCACTTTATCCTCGGACTCCAGCATCCTTTTCGCACCATCTGGAAAAGCGGGCTCGCTCCTGATTGAAACCTAACAACACGCGTGCTCGTATCTAAACCTCATCAATCCTTACGATGGTGAGAAGGCACTTTTCCTACTGCCCTGTTCAGAGGACCCCAGTTTTCTCTTGGGTTTGCCTGATACCGGACCAACTTGACAGTCTTGTCGTCCCGACCAAGCTGCTCATCAAATACCACCTCGGGCATCTTCTCTCCCTCCGCTTGTTTGCTCTGCTGCTCCTTTGGCGCCTCGGTACCGTCTGCCTGTTCCGCTTGCTCCTCCTGCTTCTTCTTCTCACCGAGACGTAGCAGCCTGTATCCAGGCGTACCTGGCTTGATGTTGTCCTCCTTCACGGGTGCCTTCTGACGGATCCACTCCCTGAATACATGCCAAATGATAGACCATGGTGCATCTGTCTTGATGCTACCCGGCTTGCAATGACTCCTTGTAACCCGGTACCCGAGACCGCGCAGCGCGCCCTTAAGCGGTGCCTCTGGTGGGCAGGAGCATTTGAGGATGCCGGATATGGTAGCGGGGTGGAAGTAGAATGGGTAGGGATCAATAGCCGCGAGCTCAGCCTCCTTGAAGGCAGGGTCTGGCTTCTTGCCGGCCTGGATTGCCTCCTCCTTGGCTTTCTCCGCCTCTTGTTCCTCGGGGGTCAACAGAATTTCTTCAAGTGCCGTCTGCAGCATGCCCCTTATCCTTGGGGTCGTTCCGTAAACATCTGTGGGCGCCTCATCGAGTTCGCCGAGGACGCGCTTGATGAAATCGGGCGAGTGAATGCGGCCACCGTACATCGGACCAGCCATGTGCATTGTGGAACCGCAGTGCTCACAGCCCTTATCAACCGAAGGTCCTTGGGCAAAAGTGTGCTTGTAGAAGACACCGGAGCCCTTCTTGTTCGGCGAGGCCTTGTTTCTCATCAGGAGCTGTGTTGACCAAGCTCCGCAGCCGCTATCGCAGTTGTAAACCATCATGTTCTTGCCTCCCTGGAACTTGACAGCAGCAGGAGATTTCTTGACGCGGACGAAGACTCGAATGTAGAAGTCGATGGAAAGGGACAGAAGTGGCTCGATGGTGAGACCGTATTTCGCAGCTGCCGTTTGAATCGAGTAGAGAATGAGTCTAATACCGACTTCATGAGAGAACCATGCCTTGACAGGGACACCGCCGTACAAGGAGTAGCACTTTTCTGGGTATCCGTTGGAGGCCCACACACCGGAATCAGTGCAGGTAACGCAGAGCAAGCCACCATCATCGCGGACAGACTGGACGGCAGCATCCAAGAAGGGAGCAGCGGTGCCGTAGGGATCGAGATCGACAACATCGTACTTTTCGCTAATGGTGGGCTTGCCCTTGGGATCCTTAGAGCGAAGCTCTTTGGCAATCAGGGTGTACATGTGGGCCAACGCATCGTCGTGGCAAACGTTGACCTTGTCTTCGAGGCGGTTGTGCTTCACATTGAGCTTGATCGATTCGACAGCGGTCGCGAGGAGATCATTCGCCGTTACTGAGGTGAGGAACGGGATCTCGTGGGCATACCTGAGGGCACGAAGGCCACTGGCTGATAGCGCATCGAGGACGGTAAATGGCGGCTGCTTTCCCTTTTTGGCTTCACCATTCGTAGCCTCTTTGTCGCCCTGCTCGACGGGGACGTCGGTCTCTTGTTCTGTGGCGTCCTTAGCCTCTTCTCCATTTTGCTGCACTGTTTCGGCCGACGTAGCCTCAGTCGCGGGTTCGGTGGTCGCCTTCTCGCCGTCTGCCCCCTTTTGGGCCTTGTTCGGTTGCTGGTCCTGCTTCTGTGCCTGTCGCTTTCTTTTCTTCTCGATGATCTTCTCGAGTTTGGAGTGGCTGGCTTGCTTCTGCTGGACCGCTTCCTTGCCGTAGGCCTTGATGGCAAGGACGGTCAAGTCTCTGTTGTACTGCTGGATGGGGTTGTAGAAGACCTGTCGGACAGCCTGGTCGGGCCTGAGGTTCTCCTTGTCTTCTTCGGACGGTTCCGGGACGAGAATGTGTGCGAGGCCTTCTTTGACTGTGACGTAGCGCTTGCCCTCGTGGGCGATGACCTGCTTGTCGGCGGGCGGCGCCGTGATGTCCTTGGCTTCGGAAGCCATTGCGCGGAAGTTAGTGAGGGGAAGGACCTTTTGGTGGGCTGGTCTGATCAAGCGGGTGAATATGCGCCGGAAAGATGTGGCAGCAAAAAGGGCGCGCATATAGAAGGGCGCAGGCGCGTGTTGACGACCTGATCAGTCGAGGCGCAAATTGGTCTTCGAGTTCAGAGCGCAAAGAGAATCAGAAGGCAGTCACGCACGACCCTTGTTGATCACTCCGCGAGACAACATTTTTGTGGAGAACAGTGAACGGCAGAAAATACCACGGACCCACTCCTGCCAAGGGTTAAGTTCTGCTCTCGGGCGGTGAGAGTACAAAGTACAACGTACCCCTGCTGTTCAAAGCCCCTCCCCCTTTTCTCCTCGTTCCTTTTTCTTCCAAAAGTAAACAAGCCAAGAGACATGGATCTTGTGAATAGCTTCAAGTTGCGTCTCATGAGCATTCGCGGGACCAAGAGACACTGTTAAAAAAATCAGATTTCATTGGTACTTGTCATCTCCACCATTTTGCAGTTTTGTAAGAGCAAAGTGCTCTCATTTCCATCTGCATTGATTCCACTTCCCTTTCAGTGCTCTCTCCTTCGTTGCTTCCGTGTCGTGGTTGCAGCCTGCCCAAGATGGGGTGCTCCTTCTCTTCTCAGACCATTTCCCGAGTAAGACATTTCTTGTGATCAATGCTTTGGAGTCATGAGACAAACTCGTCCATTTCTCTCCCCTTACTTGATGTTCAACACAGGCTGTTTAAGTTCGTCATTCATCGTTCTTGTTGGTGTGCCCTTTTTGGTGTCTTGGAGTCGGAGTGCCAGACACTCCATTTTGCCAAATCACCCAAACAGGTTATCACCAATCTTTTCGTCTGCCAGAAGAACTGCCACAATGGCCAGCCCCAAGCATCAAAATCGTGACTTCAATATCCCTCAGATTCCGCCCCAGTCCCCCGAGTCCGAAGCCTTTGGTGTTGAGAGCATCATATACAAGTCCGACCGGCCGTCCAGCATTCCCATCCCGATCACCAATGCCGGTGCAAATACCAACCATGGCAATCGTGTTCCCTCGAACCCGAATCGACCTTCCAGCCGTCCATTTTCAGCCTCCACTGTTCCTCACATGAACAACACGGCAAACACCAGTACCTTTGTCGCCAACAAGAACGACCAACAACCCTTCACGTCAGGCTCTCCTCGCCCCATCTCCTACCCCTTCCGTACCTCAAGGCATCCCAAGCTCCGTTTCTTGACGCCATCGGAATGGGCCCGTATTGCTCGCAGCATCGGCGGTATCGCGGACCCTTCTTCCGAGTCACACAATGTTGTCCATCCCACCTGCTGGTACTGGCCGCCGCGGGGTATGCCCGAGGGGCTTTACAGGGATGTCATTTACCAACGGACCCGGTACCTGTACTCGTACCACATCTTCAGCATCATGCGCTGGGTGTTGATGATCCTGCAGATTGTGCTAGGAGCGGTCCTGACGGCTCTGGGCGCATGGGGAGGCAGCGAAGGTGTCGGCACAGGGACGCCAATCACGATCCTGGCGGCTGTAAACACCACTGTCGCAGGGCTGTTGGCGCTCATGCATAATAGTGGGCTGCCGGATCGATTGAGGCTGAACAAGGTCGAGTTTGAGCAGGTGGCGGATCATCTTAAGGTTCGTTTCTTCCATCTAGTCTAGTTTCATGTCACTTGGAATTCGTTGTGTTGCTAGGTACTAATGAACTGGCGTGTTGTAAACAGGAAGTCCTCGATACGGGCATTATCGAAGATGGTCAAGGAGTGGACGACCTTCTCAACAGTTGCTTCTCGCGGTATTACACGGCCAAGGCTACCGTGTGGGCCAACATGCCTGATGCGTATACGTCGTCGTCTGCTGCCAGTAGGGATAAACCGCAGCTGATATGCCCAGATCCGACCATCCACCTTCTTGTGAACCACGAGAAAGGATCCACACAGAGAGAATAAAGGCTCTAGTTCCAATTTTTCGTGAAGCCGCATGGCTGGGCTGTGAGAACATGTGTTAGGGGAGTCTGGCCATTGAGAAACATGGTGGAAGGGTGTTTGGGCAGTCAAGTCTTTTTACGTATTGCGGTCCTCATCTTTTGGGTTGGTCATCTGGTCAAGTATGAACATGTATGGGGCCCCATTTTCTGGTGGACAGGAGGTAATGATACTTGTATGAGGTGGACATGGAAGTTGATATGGAAACACTCGTGGTACAACCCTTTTACGACGGATATTTGTGCCATCAATCTACAACACTCAACGAAATTGATAGCATGTCTTCTGCTTTCAAGTCAAAATCAAGATCATCCCTTCGTGGGATGGCTATTTCTAAACTCCAGTGCGTTTCCCCCCCGTCAGCCGCTTCTTCCATCCCATTCCATCCCCCAGAGCCCGCCTACCCGTTCATTCCTTCCAATTCGGAACCCAATCCCCCAAGCAACGCCCAGAGGCACATAAGCTCCTATTCCATAACTTGCTTCCAACACCCCCCAGCCAACGACCTGTTCGACTCTGGTCGGATAGCATAGTTAGTAGTGCCGTCCCAGCTTTGCATCTCCCACCCTGTCCGACTTCGAGTTCGATTCTCGGCATTGAATGATGCATGTGGACACAGTCATGTAGGTCTGCCGCCGTGTCTCGATATGCATTTTGGGTTGGTCGGCGACACACCTCTTTTGCAAAACATATCGTCATGTTGACATACAGTTATTTAGTGGATGCTAGCTAGAATTCTCGATTATGACTGAAGTTTCAGTGAAATACTGGCATTATTTACATTATATAAGGGTGTGTGTTTTGGTTTTGTATAGATATTTACTGAGCGTCGGTCGGTCTGGTATCATAAAATGCAATGGACAAAAAGGGGTCGTTTACCTCCAATTCCCAGTTTCCAAACCCAGTTTCCATAATCACCCGCCCGCCTTCCATGGCATTATTCCCTTGGAAACCCTGATTTTTGCGTTCCTTGCCGTTGTTTCGCCCACCCTACCATCCATTTCTTTCAAATCGATTAACACTGCCCAGAGTGACGAGCCAGGAGATAAGGAGCCCCGCCCCTTCTATGCTGTCACAATGTTGGCTGTGTGTTGTTATTACCAACACCTCTCCTTCCGAGCTCGGCCTCACCAAAACTCCTTCTCACTTCCTTTTTGTATATGCCGGGCTGCAGGAGATGAAACCCAGACGTAAACACTATATCCGGCCGAACCCGTCCCGTCCAAATCCAATGCCCATCGACCAGAATGACTTTCCCCTTTGCCTTCCCAGCAATCTCCGTTGCGTAAGTCCACTTTCGTACCGATCATTGCGCCGTTTCATCCGTCCGTCCGGTCATGGATAGCGAAAAGTACCCCATCGTCACCCACGTGTCAGATCCGATTGGACGGACCGTGCTTCTTTCCTCTGCGCCAAAGGTTCAAGTAATGAATTAAGCAGAGTACCGCCTCATCTCCAAGCAGGATAAAATCCATCGTTACCAGTCAACTGGTTGATATCGCATCATCAAGATGGTACAACAGTTGACTAACCATGCCCAGTGGACCGCCGAGCGTTAAAATGATAATTTGATGATGTCCTCCCCCACAAAAAGAAATACCAGTAAGACTGAGGATTGGGTTTAGCGGTTCGTTTCGTTTGTTATTCGCACTCTCAGAACGCGACACCCACGCTCTGCGGCCGGTGTCCATTCCTGTGCTCGGGTATCTTCAGTCCCGTAACCGTCACACATGTTCCGGTATCTCCTGCTCTTTCACCTTCACCAGCTTCTGCACCTGCACCCTTAGAACTGCTGCCATTAACTGCTCTTTCCCCTCCCCCTTGAACTTCGATTTTGGGTGCAGTAGTAGTAGATTGTGCACCAAAAGCAGCAGAAACAGCGAAATTAGCCTCATCAGCACTCAGCACCGGAGTCTGCTGCTTGGGCGTTTGTCCGGGCGTCTGGCGCACTGGACTGCTGCCTAGCGACCAAGTGGTGGTGGGCACTTCTTCTTCTTCGGATCGCCATGAGGAGGGGGAGCATGTGGAGGCTGTGTCGCTGTAGGTGTTGTTGTTCATGTAATTCATGCTCGCGCCCTGCTGTCGTTGCTGTTGCTGGTTGCCCTGCGACGGAGTGAAGCACTGATAATATCCTTCGTTTTGCTTAATCGGCCTCGGAACGTTGGTGACCGAATCTTTGCTTATGCTGTCCTGTCGTTTTCTGCAGCTGTCGTATGCGTCAGGGAGATTGCTGTTGGAGCAGTTGGACACTGTAGCACCACCGCCCGGAAAGAGCCAGTTGGAGACGCGGGAAAAGGATTTCTTCTTTCGCAGGGGTGGGCGGAGAACGAGAGGAAGCGGAGGAGCGAGGGCACGATCGAATTCCGAGGTGATGATTCTTTGTGACGGGGGGACGGGCTTGGAGATTCGGGTGCGAGACTCGTTGGCGCTTGCTTTTACCGTCGAGGTGGAAGGTGATTTCCGGTGTCCATTCGCCCCGTGGTCAGATCCATTTTGTCCGTACCAGTGGTGAGCAAAGTTGATCATGGGTGGGTGGGAGTTGAACGCTGCCGCTGCCAGAGCAAGTGTAGTTCTGTCGGGCGTGGCACTTGCGGCCTTCAGATCGGAGAAAGCTCCCGGGCCCTGGGGTTGACTGCTTGAGGGAGCAGTTTTCGGTCTACGCTCGTCGTAGCTAAGACGTTCGGCGAACGATGGAGCTGCAGCTGGGATAGCAGGAACATCGAACGCGGGCATGGACTCACTCGCTGCATAGTTTGCGTTAGTGATCTGGATAGACATTGGGGTATCATGATGATCATACCACTACAGCCGGCAGGAGTACCGGGCATGCTGCCCTTATATACACTTTGCCGCTCAACAAGCTCATCAAGTTCAGCCTGCAACTTCTCTCTCTCAAGCATCGCACTTGCTATCCTTTCCACCATGATCTCGGTGCTGGGTGCAGTATGAGCTCGGGCTCTGGACTTTGTCGGAATTCTTGGTGGGAGCTGGCTATTGGTCGACGATTGTTGGACCTGTCCAACTGCACGACGTGGTAGATGGAACGAGGTTGGATAATCCACATTATTGCAACTCATGGTTGCACTGCTAATGTCCCATTGCGTAATGTTGCTATCCTCTGCAATGTGTGCTGGCGGTGGAGGGGTGATACGGCTTGTGGTCTCATTCTCGTCGGCGGCATAGTCAGGTAGTAACGGCGAGGCTCGAATGCTTAGCTCGAGGGGGTGAAACGACGGCGGCCTTGACCTTTTCGGTCGCTGGTGCTGCTCCTCTTGTTGTGGCTGTGGCTGCGGTAGTAGGCATTGTTGTGAAGGGTGGTCACTAGGAGTAGGGTACTGAAAAGACTCGGAATGTACATGGCGAAAGTTCGTGGGGGCTGATATGTGCGGCCGGTGTCGTGGGCGAGATGAAGATCTCGACAACCACCTTCCCCTAGACCTAGAGACGGAGCCGCCACGTGAGGACCTAACGCCTTTGATAGACCTTGACCTTCCCCTCTGACGCTCATGTGTCGGTTCGTATGATCTTTCATTCGAGAATACCGGTTCGGCATACGGAGGCGGACTGAATGTAGGTCGCTGATCCCTCGTGATGACAATGGACTTCTCAGAGTCTAAAGCAAGTAAACATCAGTAAAGTTTAATATATGGTTTTGGTATCTTGACATACTGGAGTTGGACTTATTCCCCCGTCCAAAACATGAGTTTATGGAACGCATCCATGAGGCGCAGGTGTCTGAAAGCATGCTGCCCAGCGTGCTCGTTGCTATTATCTAGTAGCGTGGGTGAAGATTATGATAACGAAGGATGTTGGTTAAAGCGTTCAGAGTAAACGATTGGGACGATGTCGAGAGGGTGTATAAGCCATTGAAGCATCAGAAAAGGTAAATGAAGAGACCGACGACCAGCGACCAGCAACCCAAGAAACGTCAACAAAGGAAAGAAGACAACAAACTAGGGCAGCAGCATAACGGTGCAGAAGGGAGGAAAAGGGATAGTAAGAGAGCTCCGGCGCGAACGGCGGAGTATCTCATCTTTATCACGGAATTGGGTGAAAGTGAGTGTGTGGCATACAGCAACTGCATATGTATAAGTACTCTTACTTGCACCAGCACACGCAGTGGCCCGGGGAAGATGACATATGGATCACCGCACCCACTCATCATCCACCCGTCCATCCCGTAGCATACTAATGCTCCATGATGCACTGTGGTGGTCGAGGTGCCTTTGCTGGCATTTGCCAGTTGCACTCTCTCACTTCACTTGCTTATCACTACCCACACACCCAGACATCCTGGGAGGAGCTGGCTCGTGGCTAGAATAGTAGCCGGAATACTTCCACTTGGCTGAGATGAGGAAAATTACAGCGTGCCATCTTCAGTTGATGGCTTGGGAGTGCGGGAGGCGCTGACGGTTCAAGACTCGATGTGATAGGTTGTTGGGTGTTCCCAATTGGCGCTTACAGAACTGGGGTCGTGATGATGTAGCGGATGGCGGCGCTACTTCTGGCTACACACCAGGGGGGGACTCGTCCACCAGTGGCGTGCCTCCAAAGCTGCCGCACCCAAGAACAGTGTCTCAGATGTTTCTTGGATACTGCGCATCCCATTCACCACTCGTGACGACGGCATTTGCCACAGGATTCCCCGAGAGGTAACGATGTATTCCACTTGGTCATGTGCAGCAAGACTGAGAGGGTTGGAGGGAGAACAAAGCGTGCACCGGCCGCTGGCTTGGCGTTGGCGGCGGGATGGGGGGCATCACCACATGTTGAATCCGACCCATCGTTTACTAGGTATGTAAGCCTTCTGACACTGACACATTGTCGGTCTTCTTCTTTGTTCGCGAAGGCCTCGAAACAAGACAAACATGGCCAAAATAAGCAGCAAAAGAAAGCTAGAGGACACTTGTTGGTGAAACAGAGAATTTTTTTTTTTTTTTTTAGAAAAGGGAAGCGTTTCTCAAGGGAACTCCAAACCCACTGGAAGTGGTACCGACAGGGATATAACAAGGCGAAACAGCCCCGCTGCCGGCTAACTTGCAGTGATCTCCAAAGAGACGTGGTGGACTGGGGTCTTTCTGAGGCTCCCGCGATCTTGGTAAATCTGCCAGGATCCGATCTTTGGGTGCAGCTCTGGCCCTCTGCCATGCCTGTTGTCATGATAGACAGCTGTGAAGGCCGTCTCAAGTCGTGTGCGTTTACGAACCCATGGATGCCGTCGGTCCTCTCGAACCGGTGACGGCGCTAGAATGGCCGTGTTTCAAAATAAGGGCAGTCCCCAGACCCTTGGGCGTCCATTGTGTGTCCGTCGTGTCGACACGAAAATGATAGGAGCAGAGGTGCTCATCCAGATGCAAGGGACTAGTGGCACCACACGGGTAGGGCGTTTCTCCATCAGCGAATGCAATTGTTGGATTGATTTAAGACGCCGCAGAGGCAACCCACGGAGTGATTTTCCGTCTGCTCCCTTCTCTGCTTCATTTTCTTGCTTCTCTCAGCAGCCATTTCGTGTTATTATCGTCATACACCACTTCCACGGCGTCGACCTGTGTGTAAGTAGTCTAGAGGTTTGTGTCTTTGTCTTTCTTGGTGTGCTGGGAAACGGCGGGGCCGAGGAGGCGAACAGATTGTCCAAGCCTCTAAGCCTCCAGCTATCCAAGCTTTAACGTCAACTATCACCTTGATTTGGAGTGGGGAGCACAGAGAGTGGCCAATGTTGACATGATGATCTTGATGGTGTAAATATGAGGTCGGTTGTTGGGTTAAGCGCCGAGATGCGCGGATTGCGAAGCACAGACGGGGTAAATGTCGCTGCTGTGCAAAGACACAAATATGCGGTGCGAAGATGCGCTGGGAAGAAACCGTGACCTCAGAGAAAATGGTGCTGGAAGCAAGAAGAAAAGCAACTGGAACCGAGCACGGCTACGGTAAGCAGATTGCGATGCCCATGAGACAACAATGATTGTACGAGCTTCCCGACGCCGACTTTGGCAGAATTGTTACTAGAAGAGAGATCATTGGTCCTCGTTGAAGCGCGTCGGTTTAATGAGAGGGGAGTGATGAAACAGACGGAGAGCCCAGAAGGGCGTACTACTAATGGATAAGGAACAGCCACTTTATCAGATGCCAGTTGTGGCTGGTACATCGCCACCTTTCAGTTTCAGTGAGGCTCAATGCTACTCAGGGTTATAGCCGGTAGTCGTGCTAATTATGTGCTGCAGGAGCAGACAGAGATCCGGGACAGGGTTAAACGTGAGGTATGCTTTGTACAGTCTTGGCATGGATGTCATTGGGCCATGGCCGCGGGCCTAGCTCTCACAGCTGCCGCAATAGGCCTGGCGGTCGGGATGTGTAAAGTACAGATCGCAGCTTTGAATGGAGGTCTAGTTCCGTCATCCTCTTAGGTTTTAGTGCAACGGCATCTTTCTATCACCCACCACACGCCAAAAACCGGTGCAGCAAGGAATTACTGAACCTCGACTCACCACGATTGTCGCCTGCCTCTGCCACGACAGATCGAAATCGCCGCAAAACACTGATCGAGCTCGTCCACCATGGAACAGGGTCCTCCTCAACCGGGCCCAGGGCAAATGCCCATGCCGCCTCCTGGCCAGATGCCCACGCCCGAGCAAATCCAGGCGATCCAAAGACAGCTTGCCATTGATGCCGAAAAGGCTGGCATGACCGTTCCCGAGTTTGTCGAGCAGCTCAAGAGACAGCATCAGCAGATGATGATGAGACAAATGCAACAACAGCAACAACAACAACAAGGAGGAGCACCACCTCCGGAAGACGGCCACCAGCACCAGCACCAGCATCAGCATCAGCATGGCCCTCCCGCCGGTCAAGCCCGGCCCATTGTTCCCGGCCCGCCTAAGCCCGAAGCGATCGCTCTCGCCAAGTTCCTCCGCAGCCAGGAACTCAAGCCCCGTACCGTCATCCTCAATGGCGAACGCAAGGACATGTTTAGAGGTGAGCATATACGACATCGCCGAAACCCCCCGAGTATCCAGTTGCTAACCTGATATCTCTCCAGTCAAACGTGCCCTCCGTGCTCTCCAGTCCCCCGCCTACGAAAAGGCTCGCAAGAAGAACCCCCTCCTCCCCGAGATTACCGACCGCGCGTCCCTCGAGAACACGTTCAAGCTGCTGCCCATGTCCATGCTCGCTCTGCGCGTCACAAAGATCGACCCGCACGAGGGCCACGACCACCCGCCCACTAAGAAGCCGCACGGCGGCGGCAAGCGCGTCAAGGGTCTGTGGACGGTGCGGATCGAGCCGCAACAGGACGCCCAGGACGACATGTACTACGTGTGGCTGTGGGAGGGCAGCCAGGTCATGCGCAAGGTCTACGCAGCGCTCGCACTGCTCGTTATCTTTGCCGTGGTACTGTACCCTCTGTGGCCTCTCAAGATGCGCCAGGGAGTTTACTACCTCAGTTGGGGTTTCCTGATGTTCTTGGGTCTGTTCTTCGCCATGGCTATCTTCCGGGTTATCCTCTTCTGCATCACGTACTTTGTGCTATCGCCAGGTTTCTGGTTGTTCCCGAACCTGTGGGAGGATGTCAGTGTCGTGGAAAGCTTCAAGCCTGTCTGGGCTTGGCATGATGTGAGTTTGCTCTGCTGGTGCTGATCTACCCCTCCCCCTAAAGAGTGCTTGACTGACAATTGTGACCAACAAAACAGCCCAATCCCAAGAAGAAGAAGAAGAACAAGTCCAAGACCCCAGCGGGAAGTGCCAAAGCCAATGCTACGTTTGCCGCTACTACTGGCCAACCTGCTCCGGCTACTGCTGTCACCACTGCTACCGACACTCAAGTTGCTACTGCTACACCTACAGCGGCAGCACAGCGAAACTATGTTGCACCGAAGGTGGAGGAACTTGCGGACGATGAGTAGGGACTGGTACTTGACTAGGCAGTTGTCGTGGAATTTTTTCAAAGGGAAGGGAGATCTTTCGTCTCAAACTCATGACCACCGGCCAAATATGTGCTGCGGCAGAACAACGCGGATGCCGTCGTGGTGGTCAGTTGGCCCCAGGCGGAGGTGTTCTAACTCTCGGTGAACTGGGGCAGCTTAATAGGACGAGGGATGTATCTGGTCTAAGCCAAGATGTGAGAGGGTTTCTTTGATTGGCGTTGTTTTATTTATGATATCTCCGGGGTTAAAAGACCAAGAAAGAGCTGCTTCACTGGAGACACGAAAAAATGACCGCTAGTTCAAGATTCAGAGTGGTGCAATAATCAAATGTATCAGACCATTCTGAAGCTCAAATAGAGGCACTATCTAAGTATTTCGTACATCATTGATTTTGTGAGCTTCGTTGATTTCGCGAGTTTGTATAATCAAGTCGGACTTATAATCATTAACTTCAATGACCACAGTGTACCCCGTGTGCTCATGTAAGATATCTACAGGAAGTTCTATCCTCAACTTCATACGCCTTTGTGACCCTCCCTCCCTTTAAACTCCTTGAATGTCTAGATCCACACATAATTTGAGATCCATGAGTGTATCCGTGCATACATGATAGTACCTTGATGTCCCTTCCCAAACCTGCCGTATGACCAATTCCCAAATCCCACAGTGCCGCTATATAAATACATTCAAAGAGATGGACTAAAAAAAATAGAGGAACCCAGAACGCCATCTAAACCAAGCCCAAACCGAGAAGCTTATCATCACGGCCACCACCACCACCCACTCAGCCGCTCTCATCTAACCTATTTCTCAACCGGCGTAGGTGGCAGCAACCCTTCCGCCCTCATCCGCCTCCCCCACTCCTTCGTCTCCTCCAACTCTTTCCTGACAACCTCATTAAACTCGTCCGGGTTGTCGATATACAAATGATGTCCCGCCCTCCTAATCACCACCACCTTGGCACTGCCGTTCTCCCTCTTCCTCTCTTCTTCAGTTCGGGTCTGGTCAGTCAAGGCCTGCTCCACCCTCTTTCTGATTTTCTCTTCAGCCGCGTACCCGCCCGCAACGTCCATCCAGTCGTTTTCACCGTAGAGGAAGACGATGGGGAAACCTGCTTCACGGACTGGAGCTACTGGTTGTTCGGGGGTAGAAGCAGAGGAGGACGGGGGTTGAGCGATTATTTGGCGGCCGACGTCTTGGATACGGTTGATTACGGGGGACCGAGCAAACGCACCCGGGGCGAGGAGGTAGGGGAGGACGTATTCGCCTGAACCCTTTTGGCGGAAAAGCGAGTAGGAATATGTGTGAAGGGCTTCTTTTTCGTCGGGAGGGAGGTGGTTGAACCGGCGAGAAGTCCAGCCCGAGACGAAGCGGGGACCGAGAGGGCCGGTCATGCGCACGATGGAGAAGGGGGAAACATTGGCGTCCCAGAGCCAGGAGATCCAGCCGGGAATGGGGCGGCGGGGTGGGGCTGTGTCTTTTTTGGTGTTGGTGCCGTTGCTGTTGTTGTTGGGCTTCCCGGCTGAGGAGGCGATAGCTTTCTTGTCCTTGGGATCAGCCTGGATGAAAGCCGTATTAGCCCCTCCCTCGGGCGTCTCCCTGTTGACGATGCTCTCTTGGTCCTGCGTAAACTCGTTGCCGTACGCGGACTCTTCAGGCTCTGGCATCGCGGCGTTAACAGCCCACGGGTCCTCCGGGATACCCGCCGGCGAGGCGAGGATCAGCTTGTTCAGACGGCCGGGGTACTTGAGTGCGTACGAAACGGCCAGGTAGCCACCCAACGAATGACCCATGAGCGTGAAGCGCTCGATCTTGCGGGCTTTTCGCCACTCCTCCAACGCATCAATAAACCAGGCCTCGGCCTCGCGGATCTTGCCCTGTTGGTCCTTGGCGTGGATCTTGAACGGTGGGCGCGCAGAGTTGCCCATGCCGAGCATGTCGAGGGAGTAGAGCTTCCAGCCGGGAACGCGGCTGAGCGGCTCGTAGTTCTTGTAGAAAAAGCCGAGGCCGGCGCCGTAGCCGTGCAGCATGACGAGGGTGTCGTCGACTTGCTCGCCGACTCGCTCGATCGAAAACTCGTTCAGGGCTCGGTCTTTGCCGGAAAGAGGGACCATGGTTTGACGCCATACGCGATGGCCGAATGGGTCGGCGTTGGCGAGATCGGAAAGTTGAGAGGCGGTAGAGGCATTATCGGCGGTGGCTTCGCGGAGGAAGGGGATGAAGGAGAGGACGTTGCGCTCTGCTTGGCGAGCGGTTACGCTGGACCACTATGGCGAGGGTTGTATTAGTGAAAAATGTTTGGTTGAACAGTTGTGAAAGTAACGAAGTGGCACTCAGGGGATACCAACCCATTGTTGTGCGGCTTCCTTGTAACCAAGAGGGAAAAACGCAGAGCCGGCGCCGCGAGCCTTTGAATCTTTCTCGGCCTTTGTCTGTGTTGCCCGCGACGAGGAAGGAGGAAGAGTGGTGTCGGAAGCCGACATGGTCGAAGAAGGGGTGGTTGTGGTGCTAGCTGGTCTTTGCTGACGTCGATATTGGCGATAGCCAGATTGTGTATAAGTCGGATCAGAAGAGGACGGCGAGTTGGTCGAGTTGAAGTGCCCAACGGCGGAGGCGAGCTTCAGTCTTTTAGGAAGTGAAATAGCTGTAGGATATGTCTTGAGCATCCTCAAGGCAGCAGGGAGGTTTACGCGTCGGACGGATGTCCCCCTTATTAGTCGGAAGGATGCTGACACATTTATTGTTGTAGTATGTATGTTCCACGCCAACGATGGCAGTGGCTTCAATTTCAATTTGTAAAGTTGCGAGCGAATGCGTCCGAGTCCCCTCGCCTAGCCTATCGCATTACATGGACCATCGGGGAATCGGCATGATCAAGCATGGCCTTAAGTAGTGCTTTGGGTGATGACTATGTACTGGGCACTAACATATGTATGGATCTTGCTGGCACCAATTATAGATCTGGACGAACACCGATCCCCGGGCGAAACAGACCGCTCACCTGACCAGGTAATCCATGGATATGAGGTTTTGTTGAAGCTGTGGTGGCCTGTTGCAGAGTTGTCGCCCCCCAACGAATGCTCGAGATCCGGAGGTTCCATCAGTCGTCAGCTTCCCAGTTCGTTGGGATCGCGGCCGGCCGGGGACGGGACGGGAATTGGCGGCCCTTTGTTCCCAGTTTCGATTCTGCCCATGATTCATCCATTACCTTATACCATTGTTCGTGTTCCCATTTTCCTTTCCAAAAACTCGGTGCGGCCGATGCGGACGAGTGCCCGCGATTTGCCCGCATTTTCCCTCGGACTTAGCGCGTTTCCCCGACATCCCGATCGATAGTGTAGGTCCTCCACAGGCCAGCCCACATTGTCTCGTTTTGAGCACCACCTTCCCCAGATCTGAGGCGATGACGTCTCAACAACTTTTCTGGCTCCGAAACTGGTTGTGATTCGATGGAAAATTGTAGCTGCGGCCTATGTATTGTCTGAAAGATTGTTGACACCTGTCTGCAGTGTTGCTTTCGGTTGGGCAGCTCTGTGACTGGTCCCTTTAGTTTTCAACTTGTTCGTTGCGGAGAAGACAGGTTGCCTTTTCGCATTGAAAAGGGGGTGCTCTTCAGAAGCTGCAATTGCTTGCATGTGAGAATGTCAGGTTCAGTAGGTTGCGAGCCAAAAACCCCAATCCAACAACAGACCATTCCCCACTTCTCTCTCGAGGTACCTAAGGAGTACCTGGGAATTGGCGCCAGGGCATGCTCTGTCGAAAAGCTGACAAGTACCCTGTTCACCTGCAGCAATGACATAACGGCGCAGAAGAAGACTCCTTTTTTTTCTGCTTTCTTTGGATTTCTTCTCCCCAACATCAAGACACTCTCGCGGTTCACCTTCTCAGAACGGGAACGGTTGCACTCTGAACCAAATAAACAATTACAACTCACAAGACGTCTTTTCAATATCAATGTCAAGGGTACAAGTGGTGTGTGCAGCGGTCTGAGGCGGTCAAGACAAACCCTTAGACCTTTGAAAACGGGTGACGCAGTGTCCGGTCCCTTCCAAAACACGCCTAGAAAGAAGGAAAGGATATCCAAGGTAGCGGTCAACTAGTCAGCGCGTGTCCATTCTAGCTTCTTCTCAACAGATTCCAGACGGTCCATTTTATCCCATTCCCGACAGGCATCACCAGCTTTTCGCTTCAGACCAAATAAACATCACACAAGAGTCGCACAAGGCTGACACCGGTCCAGTCCGCGCATTCCTACCTCTCTACCTACGTATCCGTGACAGTGACAGGGGCTTCCCGCGGACACCCGAACGCACATTGTGCAAAACCCTTCCCGCTTTATAGAATCTACATCGAACAAGTCCGACCACCAACAACTCGCTTTAGGCAGACATGCTGCCGTGACACGTTGAATCAAACGGCTGCCGATAATAACACCCTAATCCTCCAATTACGCGGCCGGGCCGACGACCAAGCCTTCCCTCGGGCATCGAGCACCTACTGCGCGCATCCCTCGCGATCCCCCGACCGACGAAAGTTCCGGGACACATATACACAAAAGCAGGGAACACACGGGTACCGCCATGGCGGACGCACTCGATTCTATCGTCAAGGGTGCGCCGATGGCCCAAGACCTGCCTCACCTCAACAGCCTCAACAGAGCCATTAGCGGCACCACCCCAATCGCTTCATCGAATGTCCCCTTGACGCCCACCAAGGGTAGCCATAATGGCGCCGCCAGCAGCGACCCGCTCAGCCACACGCCCTCGTCGCCGTCCATGATCTACCTGAACCTGCTCATCCTCGAAGCCTCGCTGCGGGCGCAATACTTGGACCTGCGCGCTCGCCGCCGCCACCACACCTTTTTTCTCGTCCTTCTGGGCTTGTGGACGACAGGATTTGGGTATGCCCTTTTCTTGGCCCCGCGCGAGGACGGCAGCGGCGTCGGCGGAAGCGTATACTGGGTCGTCGAGACGGGCGAGAAGGTCTTTTTCTTGGGGGGCATCATGACGGGTGTGCTGGTCTGGGCGACGGGCATCTGGGAACGCGGCGTGCGCTGGCCTCGCCGCTGGCTGACGGTTAGCAACCGCGGCCTGCGCGGGTTCAACTGCAAGGTGGTGCTGATGAAGAGACCCTGGTGGAAGGAGGCGCTGGGCACGATCGGCTGGTTTCTGACGTACGGCCTGTTCACGAACGCGACGTCGAGCTATCGGTATGTGGAGCCGGCCATCTTGAAGGAAGTGGACAGGGAGCTGGGGTTGAGTGGGCATGGACACCCGACATTGCCGGTTGTGAACGTGGGTCACGACATGGAAAAGGGAGGACACGAAGAGGATTTGAGCCCCGGAGGCGACTACGTCAAGCTGCTGTTACTGGCGAAGCCGTTTAGCCCTACGTTCAGGGAAAACTGGGAGCTGTACAGGAGCGAGTATTGGGAGAAGGAGAACGAGCGGCGCGCGCTGTTGAGGGCCAAGCTCAAGGAACGCGATCGCAAGCTGCGCAAACAAACTGGCGGCTGGTTTTGGTGGCTTCCCTGGCGACGGATCGCGGTGGGTGAGAAGACTCATCATCACCATCACCACCACGGCAGCTCCGTGTCCGAAAAGGCACTTCATCCTCGCGCCGCAGCCGTGTCGAGTGAATATCGGCGTAATAGAAGCAGCAGCAGAAGGAGGGGAAGCATGAATGGAAGTGCTTTGCGCAGCACGACACCGACACCGTCGCCGAGGGGCGAGCATGACGAGCCCGGGCTGGCGAGAAAGGGAAGCTCCAGCCTCACGCCGGAGAAGGTCAGGAGAAAGAAGACGCTGGCTCCTCCCGGTTCGGCAACGAAGACGCGACCGAAGGTGGAATCCAGGTCTGTGACGCCGGAGAACCCGTCGCCATTGGCCAAGGAGAGCAGCCTGGAGCCGGAGGGCATGAACGCATGAAGAAAGCGCACTTATAGACGGAGGATAGTTTAATGAGGACTTGCAGGCAAGAGGCCGCTAACGAAGTCCATTGGGAGTCTACGGACGGGATCACAAAGCAACGAGTATTACGCAGCCTGGCGATATGTTTTGTAATGGTGCAGTGTATTTTGCGTGGAAGTATTGTTAGTTAGAAGGAAAGCGAACTGGAATGCACCGGTTTTGATGTGTGACTCCCAGTGCATTGTTCTACATGGCACGCCTCTACATGGTCTTTCTGTTGGTGACTGCTGGAACGTCTCTTTTGTCATCTCATCTGTATTGCTTATACGAACATGATAACGAAAGAGGTCCGTGTTTGAGAATGATCAGTTAAGCCCAGGGTAGCGATGCTAGAGACCTTCAAGGTTCAGTCCTATTCTCAGGGGTTGGAGCTAAGTGGAAGGTTCCCCGGCTCGCCTGGGTGCCTGTGGCGTGGACCCAACACGGCCTGGGCCGATGGTCAAGCTGCAGGGTCTACAGTGCGGTCAATTGCATGCAATTGGGGCTTCCCCTCTTCGTCCCGTCTGCATTTTCGATTGTCCCCTGCGTTTTTGTTTGTTAACAAATGTCAGCGTGATTCACACAATACTTTGCTAAGAATCGATCTGATCAAGGTCCCTCTTGCAGGTTCATCTTGTATGTTTGACTTTCCTCCGTTGACTTGCCTTCCAGGTTCTCCCGTCCCTTCACCACACTTGTGATTAGACCGAGATGAACAGTGCTTTCTGTTATTCGTTCCTCTCGAATGTAAGAACGCTCGCCATTCGAAGCACCTTCACAACACCTGCGGTCATATTGTTCTTTTGCCCACCGTTTGCCCTCAAAACCGCCTAGCGCATGCCACCTTATTAGTACAAATACAGCGGTGCTTTTCCCAGGCATCAAAATTTCATGATCTACCTACCTTTTACATCTGTATCTGAGCTCAGACATATATCAACACAACGAAGTTAATATCTCAACCCAGATTCCTTCCTTCCCATTAAATTTCGAACCCGTTCGCATATATCGGAAGTCGCAACCACATGTCTTAATCTCTGAGCCTGGCCAGCAACTCACCAATTTCATTCCCGTCGAGCAAATCACATCCTCCCGTCACTACACGAGCCGAGGTCTTCCTTTTCAATAACCCAACCCAGAACTGACCCAGGCCTCACCATATCTCAACGAACGACAACAAAAAAACCAACACCCCACATCCTCCACTAGCTCACATTTCCAAAAAGGACGTCCTCTCATCGCCAACAAGACTAACCTCTCAGCCCCAATCCCACATAACACCTCCTCGCCCAAAATGCAAAACGTCCCTCACACCCTCTCCCCGGGGTCCCTCATCCGCGAGTCCATAACCCGCGCCGCCCCCTACGACACCCGCCCGCCCTCCCCTCCCACAGTCGACATCCCCGCCACGCGCGCCGTAGGCCGCAACTCCGTCCTCATCGCCCCTTCCCCGCGCAACCTCGACCCCGCCCTGTTTGATCTCAACTCGGATTACGCTTCAGTCATCACCCACGGTCTGCGTCCACAGGAAGCGCTTGACCAGGCTTCAGACTGGGAGTACTCGGCCCGCCGCAGTGCCCAGAAAATTATCGACCCTTCCCTTTACTTGGGTCCGCTGAGCGTGCTGAGGGACAGGGAGTTTATGAAGGGGGAAGGGGTGACGATGGTGGTGGTGGTTAGGGATCGGATTATGGGACTTGGACTTGGGGGAGGACATCAACAACATCAACAACAGAGGACAGACGGGCAAGGGGTTCCGCCTGTTCCGACGCTGGGACCGGCAGCCAAAAAGGTTACTGAGGAACTTGGGGTTCAAGTGGAAGCGGTGGGGGTTGGTGGGTTGCAAGGGCTTATCAGGGAGTTTCCGAAGTTGAACGAGAAGATTGTGAGGCACTTGGTCGCAGTACACAAGAGGAGTCTTGGTGCCCAGCAGGGAAAAGTGCTGGTGTGTTGCGAGACAGGGAATGATCGGTCGGCAGCGGTGGTGGTGGCTTACCTGGTTGAGGTTTGGGGCGTGGGCTTGATTGAGGCGCTTAGGTTCGTGCTGTACAGACGGTTTTGCGTGGCGTGGGATGACGATACGAGGAGGTATCTCAAGAACTATGAGGATATTTTGATGGCGAAGAGGGCGCGTTGGCAGGATCAGGAGGCCAATGACAGGGACGCCGCCGCTGCTGCGGATGAGAGCAGGATGAACAAGTTGAAGAGACAATTGGCGAGTGTCGGCTTCGATGATGATAGTGACGATGAAGATGAGGAGATGTGGGGCAACTACAAGGGCGCCAGCTCATCGTCTAAAGAGACAATCCATCAAGCGCGGGGGAGGAACTTTGCACCCTTTCTGGATCTGCCTCCCCGTGGGGCGGAACACAGAAACAACGAGGGAGAAAACAGGCCAAGCTAGCCTATGGCTTTGAGCGTCATTTGTTACAATGATTATCAGCAACCGCAAGCAGATGATACGAGGTGTCGACCGAAGATGCCATGTCACGATCCAGAAGCGAGAGGTTGAACTGTTCTAGAGCTGAGGCGAGAGAAAAGTACGTTATTTGCTCCTGGTCCTTGCTGCTATCAGTTTGGCGTATTCAAGCCTTGCGAAGGAAATTCAAACACTTCATACCCAAAGGGGGCATTGCGTCCTCATTCAGTACGAAGGGTTGAGATTGTGAAAAATTCAATATAAGGTTTCGTGTCGCCAGAAATCTCCAAATTCACATCATGGTCGATCAGGAAATATTCTCCAAATCGATGTGACCGTTACTCGTCGGTTCCCCAGCAAGTCTGTCAAGCATATGCCCCTTGGAGCAGAACTTACATACCCCCACCTTCCATTCTGCCAACTACGCCGGCCCTATTGAACCATGAAAACACTTGGAATTACGGAACACGGTGGTAGTGTCAGACATGGGATGAAATCTCACAATGACCCATCAACAAACAAACCTTAACGGTCTGGAATCCTGGAAACGGACCGTTATGACTACGTTCGCGGCCATTCACTTGCTCGTCCTCTGACCCACGCGCTTGCAACGACCAAACTCCCGTCTTCACACGTGCTTCCTATTACGACACGCCTCAACGAGCAACAATCTTCAGCATTCGCTTCTTTCCTGTCAAGTCCTAACTCTAAGATGACGCGCTTCCCATCTTATTGATCAGGTAAGTAAACAAGTCCAGAAGACACTAAACTTAAGTCACCACTTCCGGATTTTCTTCCACGCACTTGTCTCTCCAAAAAGAATAAAAAAAATTCAGCCTCGATATCCATCATCATCATCTTTGGGCGTCATCTTCTTTACCTTTAGCTTCCTCTTTGCGCAGCAAATATCATATCAGGCTTGCTACACAATAATTGGTTGCCTTCCTTCCACAAACCAGCTCATCAACCCCCAAACCAAACAAAATCATGCATACGTTCAAGCTGACAGTAAGGTGAATAATCTGTCAGAGGAAAGAAGAGGATCAACAGCAACAGATTCCTTCCCCGAGTGAACACCTCGCTCCTGTTCTTTAGCAAAGAGTCAGCTGGAAGGTAACTCAACTGTCACCGGCAACTTCTTGACAATCGCGCCGCTCTCCTTTCTCCAACACCAACAACCAGAATGGCCTCCCAAAGAAAAGATCGTCCCCAGCGCAACCGTAAGCCCCCCAAAATCTATGGCTTCCACGTTTCTGGGCAAGAGGAAGACACTTTCACCGACTTCGAGCCCCCCTCGCCTCCCCACAGACCTGTCGATACCCGCCTGCCCTTCGACCCTCAACTTGTCGAGGAATGCGCTTTTCCTTCTCTCGACCCTGTTACCCACGTCGGGCTGGGACCGAGCGAGGTGTACAAGGTCTACCGACAGGCGAGAAGGGAACAGGAAGTAAAGCGGATGGTGGAGTATGAGCCCTTGTACCATGAGCGTCTTGCGCAACTGAAGCAAAGGAAGCAAGTGGTGGGGCGTAGGGATATTGGGGAGTTTCCCGGCGGCGTAGTCGATAATAGAAGCAGGGGAAGGCCGCGCCGTGTTAGCGTTCATTATGCCAATACTCCAGAGGAAAGGGCCAGGTGGGAGAGAGGTCGTGAGCAGGAGTTTGTTTGGGCAGTTGGCGAGTCTTCCTCTGAAGAAGAGGATGAGGAAAAAGAAGAGGAGGAGGAGGAAGACGACGACGACGATATTCAGCAGAGGAATATGGTCATCAGGACGTCGAGACTGCTACTCAGCGTGAGAAACGCAAATCATACGAAGCAGAAAGAGGCGGTGGCTGCTGTCGAGAGGGCAAGGAGTAGTGCCCAGAGTTTCGCCAGTAGCCAGGGGCAAAAGAGTCCGGGACCGCCTCTGCCTCTGGCTTCGGCGTCGGTGTCTGTCGAAGGAAAGAATCAAAAGGATGGCGATGGGGATACGGTTATGGGCGATGGAAGTTCGTCTCACTCAACCAGACAGCTGGTTGAGTCTCTTCCTAAACCGCGTTGGGTCTTTACAATATCCATACGGGCAAAGAGTCCGCGACGGCCGACAGCAGCAGAAAAGGGCAAAGTAAAAGAGACTGTGCTCTGGGATGCGTCCCGGAATCAGAGCACGTTGGGGCCTACACAGGTATCCCAAGATCTCAACAAACTTCTTCAGGGTAGCGATGCCAGAAAAATTGAGAATCCGACAGTGATGGTGGGTTATAGAAGCAGGTTGTCTATAAAATATCAGCTAATCAGGCCTCTTGATCAGATACTCAACACAGCACGCGTAGCAATTCCCACCTGGTCGTCTCTACCTGCGAACATCCAATACCTTACCACCTACCATCTGACAGCCATCCATGAACCGCCATACTCGTTTGCGCAGCTGAGCACGTTATTATCCCTCTCCACAGATGAAATCATATCTCTCCTGTATTTGATCAACCATGAAACCCGCAAGATGATCGTCCTAGACAGCCTCAGCAATCAGCTGGCCGCAATCGAGGATATTGATGCAGTCCGCGACGCCCTAGACCGACTCAAACCGCAAGGTCTTGTCACCGACTCCGTATCCTCTGAGGACATCCGCCAGGGCCAAGCGTTCTTACGGTTCATGGGTCTGCACAAAGTGGCGGAGTGGTTGGCGGAGTACGTGGGGGTCAGCAACAGCCGGGACAGCAACGAAGGACGACATGTCATCAAGATTAACGGGCAGCTTGTGGATGGGGATATACCAGCTGAAGTGGCAGGCAACGTTTTAAGACGCATCTGGAAGGAAGAGCAAGAAAGGGCGACCAGGATCGAGAACGCCAGAAGAGCAGAGGCGGCAAGAGCATCGATGCAACCTCCACCTCTGGGCCTGGTGAATCGCTCGGTATTGGAGCTTACAGACAGGAGCGTACAGAACGGCAAAGTCTTGACCATTCAGGAGGCGGAACAAGCAGCGAGAAGGCTTGCTGACTTTGGGCTGCTGGTTCCGCAGTCAGATCACTATACGGTCAGTTTGAATGGCGAATCCGTGCATTTAGAGCAGGATCTGCAAGCGCGGCGACTTTGGAATCATGAGCTAGAAGCCATGCGGAAGGCTCAGAGACAAAATGAAGTGGCACCTCCGGCTAGGCCGACATTGGAGAGTAACGAGGAAAGACAACCGTCAAGGCCGACACTCGATCAAGTGGCGGGGAGTTCCGTCGGCAACCGAGAAGAACATAGACAAGGAGTTAGAGAGACATCTAGGGGTCAAGCGACCCTTGTGCAGCAGCCCCCTCCTTCCACTGGAGCCATTTCGTCTGCTCCTGTTCCAATGGACATTGACTCAAGCATAAATAGGGCGACGAGGCATGATAAAAAAAAGCAACAGAAGGGACAACCCTCGTCATCGGCTAATGAAGTAGACCAGGAAGCTTCAATAGCCGATGAATCCCAGTCCCGTAATTCACCGACAAACGACTACTTGCTGTCCATCGGCATCAATCTTTCCCTTCATAAATCACCGCCGGTCGACACATCCTCGGGGTCACCTACCCTCGAAGAAAGAACCGCCGCGTTTCTGGTGGCCAACAAGGCCACACTCGACGCCATAGACAAGGAAGACGAAATGGAAGCTCGTCTCCGAAGACGGCAACCGGCACAAAGTCAAGCTCATGACGAGGAGCCAGCTATCTCCGTCTACGGTTTACGTAATGTCAGTGAGGCTCGTACCTTACGAAGTAACAGCATATACAGTTCTCGACTTCTTAGCGAAGCACCTCCCGTTGTGCCAGCCGCAAATACAACTCCTACGACAGCCAGAGGCAATCGTCAAGCGACCCCCGTTGTTGCTAACTTGAACCCTTCTGGCTCCGCACATGAAATGTCTGCGGAAATACAGAGGCAGGTGCAAGTTGTCACGGAGGCAGGGGCCTCGAGTGTTGCCCCTCATAATGCTCTTGCTGGTAATGGCAATTCCAACCAAGTGCCAACAGCAGTGACGACCCAAAGGGAAGAGGCAAGACCAGTCGCAGTTGTGACGCCTCCCGCCCCCGAAACTCCGGCATCGCAAAGAAAGACAAGAATTATTCTCAAGGTTGGAGGTCGAAGGGTTACCAGCCAATCGAGCATCACGTTGACGGATACTCCACGGTCTGAGCCGCCGGTGCACACAAGTCCCCACACCCTGGGGCGGAACTTCTCCGAACCTACGAGACGTCATCGTGAAATATCACAGGAAATGTCCTTTGATGACGAAGCTACAGACCATACAACATCTCGTAGCAGCTTCAAGCAATCATTGCCGACACGCCGAAATCTCTTTGGGACAACCCGTAAACAGGAGCATGCATCGTTTTCGACTTCAGGGACACTGATTGCCCCAAATCATATCCAAAGTCAGGTTTCAATGCCGTCCTTGGTGGTCGGAGGGCATCCTACAAAGGCTAGTTCACACCCAAGCCAACTGCAAAGGCCTTCAATGGCTGGCATTCGGGATCTCGCTTCAACAGAACCTGGCTCTCATCGTCAAAACGAGTTGAGACTTGCTGCTTCCATGCCGACCGCAATACCTGCAATAATCTCACCTACCCAGACCAATCCTTCGCAAGTTATTCGGGCCGTCGCTGTCAGGGAAAACCAACAGACCATGCGCGGGGGAGCGACCGAGGAAGTTGGGAAGAGATATGCCACTAGAAGCCAAGTTCACAGCGAGGAACAAGGAGAAAGCGGTCCTTAAAGGAACGGCACACGGTGGCCATGTTCACCCTATGCCTTACCTACCGACCAGTTATTTTCACTACAACTTGAACAATATCTTATCAATCTGCCTCAACCATCTCAATCACAACCTGGGTTTCGATCTCGGCCACGGTCGAGGACAAGTATTCGGCACCGGCAGCATTAAATTTCAGCCTCTAACCAACAAGGACTGATTGTCTCTAGCGACAAACATAGTTACTTATAGCTTTCATCCTCGACTGAAATTTATCATCCCCATTGTAGTGCTAATTGTAGTCTTAGTTGCAAAATTCAAGAGGTTCGCTCCTTTCTACGGATCTTCCACTCCCTATCCCGTGTCTCTCCGTTCCCTATGCCGAGTTTTGCGGCTCTTCCGGGCTGTAAAGCTCTGCTCTGTCCGCGACTGCCCGACCATGCAGCTCTGCCACCTTGACCTTTGCTCCCTTGTACTTTGATACCGAAATCTGGCCAGGCTGATCAGCATCAGCGGCCCCTCTTCCACTTTTCTGCCTTGCCCTCACGAACAAGAAGGGATGGATATATGGCAGGCAATTACGACTACTGACACGCCTGCTCCAGCGCCTATCCCAGCTAATGTGGTGAGGTACCTGTATCTGCTATTAACTACTCCTTGCTTATCGCTTCAGCCGGAATTGTTTGTTCTGGCTGGTTGTCGATCTGTGTTCCCGTGATAGAAAAGAAGTGCACGATGCGGTCGACAAAGACACTGTCGAAAGTTTGGTTGAAGTTATGGATCCTGTGTCGGCGCCACTATCTTCAATCACCAACCTTGTAAGGCGAAATGTACAGGTGAACCCATTTCGCCGGTGACCGATGAATTTGAACGGAATGCGCTCCGAGCCGACAACATTGGGACACGCTGAATCTCCCGAAAGGCGACTACCGGCCTGGTTGGACTCCTGATTGCAAAAGATGTCGAGTTATAGGAGTCGAGCGAACTAGTCCAAGTTACCACCTTGACCCGGTGGAGCATGAGGGATATAATCCCATTTTCAAAGCCAGGATAACCATCAAAGCCCGCATGGCTCAGTGGTAGAGCGCATCACTAGTAATGATGAGGTCGTCAGTTCGATTCTGGCTGTGGGCATCAAAGCTCGATGAAGCTCATGATGTTCTATTTTTGGGATTTTTTCTCTCTTTTGGTAACATCATCTCAAGTTGTGACTTTTTGATGTTTGGAAGGTTTTGTCCCTTCACCACATAGTGTGAACCGGGCGGCTGGTGAATTACTAAAGTATACCCAGCCCTCACCCGACGCGCATCTAATATTCAGTTCCTGCACCTGCATTGGGCGCCGCTTTCAGTTTTAGCAGTCAATTACCAGTGTGTTCATCGACATGAACGTCTGAAGTGCTATGATGCCACTACCTGTTGGGGAAGGGGGTCAGGCTTCCTGTCTGTGGATTTTGCACCCTCCAGCTTGGACGACAATCTCACACATTTAATGGACGAAAGCTTTTTCAAAAAATACATTTTTATTCAATCCAACCACGTTTGATGCTTCATAAGATAAGTCTTGGTCATTGAAATACGTCAAGGCTCGCAATCGCGGAGTGACAGAGGTGAAATTCGACTTCTTTAGGGATGACTTTTCGGTCGGTCCCGTTAGCATATGTGATCCTTCCCTTGTTGGTTGGGGACGATCGAGATCCGGAGCCCGAAACAGAAGCACGAGTACGTAGACTCTTTGAACGTACAAAGGAAATCGAAAAGAAGAGGAAGAAGAAGAAGAAGGAAGAGAAGACAAAAGAAAGAGCAGAACGAAACAAATAGCCAACCCCAAAGGTATCTGTCCCAGAATAAAACTTTGACCGCAGTGATGCAACACATCTTTCCATCTTTTTGATGTCCAATTGCCCAAACAAAACGCCATCCTTGTTATCACCGGCGCCATAACAACATCCAAGAAACGGACAATAATACCCAGCGCAAAGTCAGGTCCAGTCACTCACTCCCTCGTGACATGCCACTCCTCCGTAACCTGGATCACCGCCCCCTTTCCTCCCGAGCTTCTTTTATTTCCCCGGTGTCCTGCTCCTTGTGCTTGTCCGGCACCAGGACCCTCCCCTCTCTCCAAGTCACCATTGTCCTTTCCATGTCCTCTCCGATACTCTTCGCCCAAAATTGACTCCTCACTTCTGTTATCCATCCCACCCACTCGTCCCACCGCTACCGTCGCGGAGGAACCAGAAATCGCATTCGCATCATTGAACGGACTCTGCCCTGCTCCAGCAGGTCCAAGTCCAAGCCCATCACTCCCACTACTATCTGGCATCGTTCTCTCTCTCTGTAGTTCAAACTCATCCGACTCATCATCCCTACCCGGCCTGGACTTGTTCTTGCTATCTTGCCCCCCAGACCTGCCAGGGATGACGCCGCCACCAATCGTGCGCAGACCAAGGCTTTGACTGGCCCCGCCGCTCTGTTTTTGGTACCCCCCGCTACCGTTACGGGAGGAGATGATTTTTTCAAAGAAGGACTTGTAAAGTGGTCGGCACACGGGAATGCCGATGCAGATCATGGTGATGGCGATCTCGGCCGAGGACCAGACAATCAGGCCGACTGTGTCGTGCGAGTAGTTGTTTGTGGAGAGGTTGGGGACTTGGAGGGTGCGTTTGATGCCGCAGGCTCCGGCGCTGTTGAGCAGAATGTTAGTTGTCGAAGCTTTGATTGGAAAGGAGAGAGAGAGAGGAAGAAGTGATGTAAAATGGGGGGGGCGTATTAGGGATTGGTGGATGTGTGTGAGTAAGTGAACTTACATGACGCCTAGACTCATGCTGATGGCGATGATCATCTTTTCTCGTTGATTCATGTTGAGTTTCCAGAGGAAGATCCAAGGCATGAGAGCGAAGAAGAAATCGGCAATGACACAGAGGGCTTTGCGGATTTTGTCAGCACACTTTCTCTCATCATCTCTTCTCTCTGGCAACTGGGGACACTCTCCCCGTTGCAAACCGCAAAACTTGGATACAACATGGAAGAGGTAAGTAGGTAACATACTAGTAAGCGTCAAAGAAACTGGTGTAGCATTCAAATCACAATGACCCCCAGGAATCGATCGATCCCAGAGATACGCCGGCGGCGAGCACTGAAGCATAAAGACAAAGCAGACGGAGATTGAAGCGCCCATAAGCGATCCCATCATAAGCCAGATGCTAACTTTGTGCCATGTCTGGGTGACCAGGCGCAACAGGAAGAGTCCCAACGACCATTTTGCCAAAGCCATGCCGATAACGGCGAAGCACTGGCCGATAGCCTCCCACATGATGGCGCCGGGGACATCTTCCGGTGGGATGTCCCACATGTTTTGCCCAAAACCGTAGTGGGCTGCTATGGTACAGCAGATTGTGTAGCCGACGAGTAATATCTTGATAAGAAGAAGGTATACAGGGTTAATGTTTGACCTTCCAGCAGCAGAGATGGAGTAGAAAGAGAGAGAGAGTCTGAAAAGTGCATGTTGTTTTCCAGTGTATACTCACAAACGCAAGAACATAAACATGATCATCATAACCCGTATTCGCCACAAGAATAGTACGAACGTATAATCGTAGGCTGACGCAAAGTGCAGTAAGTGCGACCATAACCCACATTACGGTTATGGCCCCGGGGCCCTCACCTCCCATTGCCATGATGTGAGGTTACTAGTCGTTTTCGGCTGGTGGGTACTGTTTTCTTAGGGGGTAAGTAAACAAAGAATGGCAACCAAAAAAAGGTAGGAAGGAGCAGTGCGTTGAGAAGACCGGACATGACATGCACAAGCCACCGTGCCGGAGGATGGATTTAATACTGAAAAAAGACATCAAAAGCCTTGGTCCTGATGAACAAGAATGAACGTCAGGAATAAGAAAGGAGAGTGATTCGGGTTTCGGTATCCTAAACGCCTAGTTGGGTGGAAATCGGCCTGCCCTCGCCACGGAGCCATTAATGCGACTGGGTGGTGTAGAGGAGGGACTACCGGGTGTCCAGGGTGTATGCGGCTGTTCTAGATGAGTGTTGTGATATGGCAGACAGGAAGAAACCGCATGTGTGCTTTTTCTTCTCTCCCTACTAATACGTAGTCAGTTAGCTTGAATTACAGGAAAGTGCACCCGAAAAACGTGTGGGGGCTCAAAGCAAGGGGAGATGGTCTTCTGGAAACTCAGGACCGATGTTATGTAAGGTCTGCGGTCTTCACACGCATTCCTCAACCTTGCCACCTCAAAAAATGAAGATGGAATACCGTATCCTCTCACTCCAAGTGTGTCGCCATGCTGTCCTGGCCAATTATCTTCTGCAAGCCCCGTTGAAATCTCAGCGCGTAGGCCCCCTTCCAGAATGTAATGTAATTGGTTTGAACCAGCGTGGGGATGTCTCCGGTTCAAGCGAGAGGATGCGATATCCATGAGAGTACCCGGATGGTGGAGGTGGAGCTACTTTCCCACCCCCATGGCCCGGGAAGCTGGAGTGTGACGGGGTTAGGTGCGAGGTGGGCAACACTAGGGCTCAACTTCGGAAAGTATACGTTGATCCCTAGAACATAGACGACCATTGCACCACTCTCCTTCAAGTTCTCGAGGTGTGGATATGCTCTAGGATAGCCGACCCAGGGGCTGGATTGGAGGCAACCAGATTTTGGGGATATAAACCCTAGCTGCCCCTGTAGACTCTGAAGAAGAAAAGAGTTACATCGAACACTTAGTCCAATGGAACACGAGATGAGAAATTCTTCACGACATGGTGTCGGTTTCAGGCCCTGAAAACCGCGGTTTACCTGCACGTACCACATGCCTGAGGAAGATGTAAACATTGGCCAGATCGTGCATCTAAACCGGCGTTATATCAACCACACATGTATGTGCCTGTTCCCATCACTTCTATATATGTGAGCTTGAGGTGCTTCAAGAATACCATGGGTTATAGGTGTACCGATGACGAGGATAGGAATGGCTCAATTCGACCCGGCTGTGGAAACGGTCGTTAGATGAAGAACATAAAAGTATTCGTATCCGTAGTATATCCGCTTTACTCACATGAGCAAAATTTAGTCGGACCTCGAGTGGACATCAGAGCGATTGTTAGTATCGTACAGATACTGGACGTGCTTTTAGAGTCTGCCCAGCGAGGCCAGTGAGCTTGAAGGAATTGTCGTGATCTTTTTTGCGAGCAAGGGTTGCATATTGAGTTCCCTGTCAAAGACCCAGACCCATGTTCACCGGACAGATATGTCGTCTTCCGCGGCAAGGCCATGCCGGTAACCCAACCGGAGACAAACTCCTTGCCATTCTCCCGCCTCATCACGCATGATATGTATATGTATGGTAACCTAGACGTCCAGTCCAGTTACAATGCCAGGTTTGATGTTGGTAATGTGGGAGACGGTCGGGGGTTGGGTTTGGGATCATCATCCCAGTCGCTTCAACTGTGATATGTCTGGCATCCTTGGCACCTGAGATAGGAGGGTTTGAAGGTGCAGCGAATGTCTCATTCTGATGTGCGAAAACCGGAAAATGATGATGTTTTGGGTAAAGTTTGAGAGGCTTATATACTCTTTGGGTCGATCGTTTCCGTGCAAGTACCCGAAAGCATGGTCGGCCAGGGGAGAAGTGGTGATGTTGTATATTACACAGATGATGCCCTGAACCGGTATGCGGCAGCGAATACCGTCTTTTCAGGTCGTGTACTGTACCACATAATCCAGATGTCCAAGATAAGCCACACGTCTGGAATTATTGAGAACGACGCTCGGAACAGCCCAGAGGCGGTGGATGGCATGGCGCTCAGGGTGGGGGCGAAATCGTATCTTGGGACGCCAACACCAGGGGGATTCATAGGGGGACGGTTTCTTTAGGTCTTCGGAAAGAAGGACAGGTTACTTGAGGGCTTCTAGGCAACCAAGTATCACAACTGGCCAAGCCACCAAGCCTCTTCCATAATGCTGTAGCCATCGAGATGGCAAAAGCAGCGGTCTGCCGTCATTCCGTCCGGTCGAGTGTCTCGGGGGCTTGATGAAAAGGAACACCCATGCCGTCAAATTCAATCTTTGGCACTACCGGAGAGTGCTACTCTCGACAGTTCTTGGAAGTGCATTCAGCATAGTGCGAGAATACTGTCCAAGTCTCTCGGGGAACACTTCCCGTCTGCGTACTGTGCAAGGTCAATGCTGGATTGACTGTTAGCTAAAGACTTGCTACCTCCTCGGATAAGGGGAAAGACAAGGAAACCCCAGAGTTCTCGGTGGTCAAGATGACCCCAGAGTCAGGGTCAGGAACCACAAACGGTCATGTTCCCCTCACATGCACCGAAACTTGACTCCATGTACGTGTAGTGTACAGCGGTACGGGTAACAGCCAAATGGACGCTATTCACGGCAGCGATCCCGCCTGGCCATCCTGAAAGTGGTTACAAGACCCTCTGCAAGTATCGCACTAACACTGGACACAGATCAGGGGTAGGCTGTAAGGCGTTAGCTCGCTCTTGGCTCCTTACCTGGCAAGGCTACAGCCCTAATGCGATTGGCCCCGAAAGCTTACCTGGGTTCGTTTAGCCGAGCATTGCTATGATAGCGTGATGACTTTCTTGCCAGAAACTGCGCAGAAGAAAAAAAGCAAAATGCATGATGTGAAATGTGACATCGGGCAGCGAGTTAGCAACCACCATCCACCTCAAAACTTCAACAGTTTCCAACTCCTGCATACGTACACATCACGTGAGCGTCCCAATGCCAGAAATTCCCCGAGAAGGTTGAAGGCGACAGACAGCTGTACGCCAGTGACCCGAATCACATTCATCACGTCGGTTTCGGGCATTGGCCAATCAAAAGATGGCGTCAAGTGCCTGGCCCGGCCCGCTCTATACGTCTGTGTAACCTTCAACGGCTTTTGTGTCCACAAGGCGCGCCCTGCCCCGGGATGTCTCAGCCTCTCAGGGGAAAGCCAGCGGATAGCGGAGAAATAAGATCAGTATTTTCTTTGGGAAAGGTCCGATACAAGCGGCATTGTCATTGGTCCGGGGACGGGGAATTCGTAGACCGCTGTCGAGGCCCAGATTCTCGTTTTACATACAAGTACACTAGTGTAGTGCACACTACACTACACTATAAACATCTTGCATGGACCAGGGGGTACGAGTCTGTCCGGTCCCAAAAAGGTGAAAACATATCGTAGCAATGGGTGAAGGTTGCGGAAGAACGGATATGAAAGTCGCAGTGTAGTCCACATCGAGTGTAGTCGAATGTCGTTGTAGTAACTCGCTTACTTTGGCAGCATCGTTGGACCAGGCCTCATCCGTACTAACAGTGTCGAACGAGATTGGACTGGAAGGGTGATTTCCTAGAGTAAATGTCTTGGGGGGATGTCGTTTTCTTGGCTGACTCCCAGACCTCGAACTGATAAAGTTACATAACTGAAGTGACCAGTCAAGCGTCTTGAATGTTATAACCTTGATAGTCCAGACAATGATTTTCTTTGCTTCTTCTCATCAACCTCAGGGGTATCCACCTTAATACCGTTCGATAGACCAACTCGCTTGGTGCAGATACAACGTCAACACGCTAATTGAAGTGCATGAACTGGTGCCAGTCTTGGGCACTGGGGGAAATGCTCGAGTCTGGAGCCCGCAGCGAAGATCCACTCCCTTTTCTTCCACCGCAATGCTGTTGATCCCCGTTTGCAATGTTTGCAAAGCCTCACTAGTGTCTCTGTATGCATCCTTCGAGTTCGAAGTTTGGTAACGGTTGAGAAATCCTGGCTTCAGGACCCCGCCGATACCACCCTCATGGGCCTGATAACGTACACCACCATGCCAGTCCGTTTTCATAACCTTCTCGAAATGGGGATAGGCAGGGAGGGCTTCAAGGCTTTTGAAAATTCCGGTTGCGTTGGCCCGACATGTTGGCGAATGTCAATCTCTTCATCTCCTGGACAGCCACCACTCTTATGGACTCTTGTTTGCCCAGGCCCCCCTGAATACCACGCGCACTGCGACGTGACCTTCCTTTATAAGAAGCCCGGGGAACACGTTCCTTCTGGAGAAGTTCAACACAGCTTGATCATCAACTGCCAACCTCCTACAGCTTGTAGCCATGGACTCACACGCTGGCTTAGATGGAGTTCTCCAACCGCAAGTCCTGAAACTGACGTTGAGGACTCTCCCATCGCCATTCATCTCTCTTGTTGTCATTCCCATCCTGTCGATTCTTGGATGGTACATTATCTCGTGGGCTACCAACCCATTAAAGAAGTACCCGGGCCCCTTCCTTGCAGGTATGTGAAATAGATATTCTCAAATCTCGTTGTGTGTGGGTGAGGAAGTACGTCGCTGACCATTGTCTTCTTCGGTTTCAGGTTTTACCAATTGGTGGCGACTCTACCAGACTCGGACTGGCAGATACCATGAGATCGTCTATGACCTACACAAGAAATACGGGCCCATTGTCCGTATCGGCCCTAACACTCTCGACCTCGATTACCCCGAGTTGATCAAGACCATCTACAGCACTGATGGCAAATGGCTCAAGGTAAGTTTCGGACAGGGCAATCGTTGTGAAGCTATCAACTAACGACAAAATGAAAATTAGACCGAGTTTTATCACAACAACAGCGCCATCGTCAATGGGAAGATCACATACCATATCTTCAGCACTACGAGCCCAACTGAACATGCCAAGATGAAGCGTCCAGTGGCCAAGTACTACTCCACGAGCTATGTTCAGGCTCTGGAGCCCCATGTTGACGTTGTTCTTAACGACTTCTGCAAGTATGTCGAGGAGCGCTTTATCAATGTTCCCGGTGGACCTAAGGAACTTGACTTTGGCGAATGGCTCGGATACCGTAAGTTTCCCTCGGATCGCCGGGTACCAATGACTGTGTTCAAAGAGCAGATGAACTAACGCCGTGCTCAACTCCAGACGCTTGGGACCTCATCAGCTCTGTGACCTTCAGCCGTCGCTTCGGCTACATGGAGCACGGTAGTGATTTCGATGGGACCATCGAGAAAGCCGAGGCCGCCCTTCGCTACTTCCAGACAGTCGGTCAGATTCCCATCCTTGACTACTTCCTTGACAAGAACCCCATCAAGCGTGTCGGACCCCCCAACTTGGTCCACCCTGCTCGCATCGCCGTCCAGTCCTTCGTTGCTCGCCTGCAGGGCAAGGACGAGAACTATGACCCCAAAAACCCGGATTACCTCCAGCATTTCATCGACTCCAAGGAGTCTCATCCGGACCTCGTTGATGACAACCAGATCATCAGTGATGTGCTCGTTAACCTGCTCGCGGGTGCCGATACTACTGCCATCGCTCTCCGCGCTGTCTTCTACTACATGCTCAAGAACCGTTCCGTCTACAACAGAGTGTCCGAGGAGATCCAGGCCGCTGGTTTCGACCGCTCCAAGCCTGTCCCCTACTCCGGTGCTCGCCAGCTCCCCTACCTTGAAGCTTGCGTTCGCGAAGCTCTCCGTATTCACCCTGCTGCTGCCATGCTTCTTGAGCGTTACGTCCCCGCCGGCGGCATCACGCTCCCGGACGGCTCTTTTGTTCCTGCCGGTACCGCTGTTGGTCTTAACCCCTGGGTCGTTAGCCGTAACAAGAGCATCTTTGGTGAGGACTCTGATACTTTCCGTCCTGAGCGTTGGCTGCAGCAGCCTGGCGAAGATGATGAGGCATTCCATGTTCGCATGCAGAAATGGAACGCGGCGGATTTGACCTTTGGTAATGGTTCGCGCATCTGCACTGGCAGGAACTTTGCCATGTTCGAGCTGTACAAGGTTTGTGCGACGCTCTTGCACAGATTCGAGATTGAGTTGGCAGACCCGACCAAGGAATGGAAGGTCTGGGGTTCTTGGTTTACCATCCAGAAGGATGTGATTGCCAAGATGAAGGTTAGAGGTTGAAGAGTGAAGGTGATCAGGAGACGATCCGGGTGCATACAAAGAAGAACAGCCACCGATGACGGGCTGAATAGTGTGCTTGAGTTTCGGATTCCCATTACTATCGAGGTTTACTGTTCTTTTGTGTGATAGAGTAGTTAATTATAATCAGGTTTTTTTCGTTGCCAGATGCCAGATTGAAGTATCTTGTTGTTCTTTCCAGGACGCATCGTGCGTTACATCTGAGTCGTGACTAGCCAAAGGCAAGGAATGGGAAGCATACCGAACTCGGTCAAGTCGGCCATGTTCGCGGATGATCTTTCGTTTGGTTCAAATCCATCCACTGTTCTCCACATTGCATGTAACGATGTGTTTCGGGGAAGCCTTCATGAAAGGCATTGAATGCCACGACACATAAGTGAAGTTTGGCAGGAGTTGGGGATTGGTGGATAATTCAGGCACAATTCGTGCCCATGCCGAAACGCCAGACACGCTGTGGTATCATGCTGGTAGGGGTTTTTAAATTGTAGGGGCAACCATGGAGATATTTATCCGCCAGCGACGGAAAAATGTGGAGTGAGGTACTGACCATTACAGGTTACTGCCGGAAATGGCCAGTCGCTGAGGGCGAGACGATTTGCTTGGGGAAACAAGCAATGCGTGTTTGTCTGAGAAGAGTAAGCAAGTATATAACCTCAGGACAAATGCATGTTTCTTGCGCTCCAACAATGAGGAAAAGATACGTACTGCTCATTGCACACAACCGGGTTCCTCAAGTACTGCGACACAACGATGAAGTTCGCCTTGGCTGTAACTGCCTTGTTCGCTCTGGGGACGGCAACACCAACACCCACCCGCGACAGTGAGGGGAGAGTTCCTCTTGCCAAGAGAGCAACTGTTTCCGATATAGCCAACTTGGGTTATGCCACCCAAAACGGAGGGTAAGTAATCCTGACGTTTGAACGTTGAGCAAAAAGTCAACAGCTGACACAGCTCGGACAGAACCACCGGCGGGTCAGGCGGCACTGTTACCACGGTCTCGACTTTGGCCCAGTTCACCGCGGCTGTCAGTGAGAAGAACACCGCTCCGGCTATCGTTGTTGTCGACGGTGTAATCAACGGCAATGCGAAGGTCAGAATCGGCAGCAACAAAACTATTATTGGCTTGCCCGGCGCAGGGTTCAGCGGTGTTGGCCTTCATTTTCGCCGGCAGAGCAACCTAATCCTTCGAAACATCGTTTCATCCTTTGTGGAGGCAGACAACGGGGATGGTTTAACGATCGAGAAAAGCAGTAATGTGTGGGTCGACCACTGCGAGTTCTACTCGACTCTGGCTCGCGATAAGGACTTTTATGACGGCCTTGTTGATATTTCCCATGGGTCCGAATGGGTGACAATCTCTCAGTAAGCTTGGATCAGATTACACTTGCCCAGTACGCCGGTCGGAAATGAACTAACCGATTGGTGAAGCACTTACTTCCATGATCACTGGAAAAGCTCCCTCGTTGGTCACAGCGACAGCAACGGCTCCGAAGATACCGGGCACCTCCATGTGACCTATGCCAACAACTACTGGAAAGATTGTGGCTCGCGTGGTCCTTTGATCCGTTTCGGCACCGCCCACATTTACAACTCCTACTATGAGAAGTAAGTGTCCAGCTGGCGATGCCCCTCTCATCGTATTTGCTACGGAAACACAGATGTGAATTCATGCGCGAGAGGCAAAGACTGACAAGCTGTTCCACGCAGCATGTCGACTGCAATTAACACGCGAATGCGCGCCCAGGTGCTAGTTCAAAGCAACGCCTTCAAGAACGTGACGAAACCTCTTTTTAGCGAGTACTCGAAGCAAGTAGGGTATGCGGTCGAGATTGACAACGACTTTGGAGGAGCAAGCAACACTGCTCCCACTGGTACCATGACCGCCAGTTCGCCGCCGTACTCATATAGCCTTCTTGGATCTTCGAATGTGGCAGCTACCGTACCGAAGGAGGTCGGTGCTATTCTAAGCTTTTAGCCAATGAACCGGCAAAGATGTTAGGAGCTTGGGCGCCATCAAGCTGTCGTAACATGAGGATTCGGACTCGGTGGTTCTGTTTATTGATGATAATATGAACCTTCTCCCACATACATCGAGAAACGGTGATTGCAGTAGGGAGGGGAGCGGCTCAAAGCCAAGCTGTACACTCTTATCATTCATCGTACATACCTCTAGTCCCTGAACACGCTTGCTTTCTTTGCTACCCTGGATTAGTGATGGAAAAGCAATATATCTCATACGCTTTGCTCCTCAGGATTTGCAGAGACACTGATAATGCCAGGTACTATACTCAAAAGCGGTTCCGGCGGATGTGAAAGTCAGCAAGCCATGAGCCTTGCAAGTGACCTGTGATGTGAAACTCGATTTTCCACACATAATCGATCACAGCCCGGCACTTCCGTGCTTGAAATCATCGTTTGAAGTCATCTGTCACACGTCAGTATCGTGATTGTCTAATATGCCGTATTGAGTCGAAGCCGTTTTTAGAGTAATTACCAAACAAGGCAGGTCTCCAAACAGACCATCCGGAAAGCGATGTGATTAAGACCCCCTTATGCCGCTTGTCTGGTGACTCTGGATCGGGATTGTAGGAGCGCCATTGGTCATGGGACGCTCATGGATATATAGATTCGAAATCCGGAATCACTCGATGTAGACGAGGAGATAGGCACTCCACCACTTGAGAAAAAGAGTCAAGGCGAAGACCCGGCACATCGACTCCTACCAATTGCACTGGATGAAGGGAAAGGTCCCCACTGCATCTCACTTCCCTTTGTGGCGATTGTTATCCATGGAGCTGGTCTTCGAATGAAAATGAAGGCGCTTTTAGCCTGCAGAAGAAAGTGTGTTTGTGGACAGGATCAAACCCCCAAAAACCACGCATTTAACTTCAGATAGATGAATAGCAGAAAGTTGATTCCATCCAGTAATGACGGCAATAATCCACGGCAGAGATGGAGAGGCCTTTGATGATTGAAACGATAACCGACTATGTGGTGTTGGCAGATAAAAACGTTGGTCGGACGGGCCCCAGATCTCAATGGTGGTCGTCTGTGTTTCTTTTCGATCAAGCTTACCGAAGACTTTCACTGTAGTGCTGCTGAAGCATATCCCGGAATATGATGATGTGGCTTTCGATGACTTTGGCTCTCGTCGGGCCTTCGCAAGCGGCGCTTCGTTTTGGATGCTCAACTCTTTCGATCCAACGTCTTGATCCTCTTGTCGAACCTGGCCGTCTCCCGTCGTCACATGTCCACCAAATTGTGGGTGGAAATGCCTTCAACGTTTCCGACTTTTCCAACTACTGGACGGCCGTCCTGTTTTTCAAGCACACCAACGGCACATACAAACGTGTGCCCATCATGCAGAATTCTGCACTGCCCAACGGTATCAATGGCGGCATGACCATCTACTATACACAGCAGGACTTTTTCTCGAACGGCAACCAAAAGATCACTGCGTTCAAGCCTATAAGTGAAACAGTTAGCCATGGGCATCTCAAGCCGAGGGTTGTAAGGGAGGTGTAACTAACCATTCGTGGGGAATAGGGCTTCCGTATGACTGTCGGCTCTCCCACCACCAACAATCTCAACGACGCCAAGGGCCACGTTGGGATACGCTTTGTGTGCTTGACCGACAAGAACACGCGCTTCCCCGAGTTGCCTGATTTCCCAACCAAGCCCTGTAAAGGAGGCATCATGACGGTGCAACATTTCCCGTCATGCTGGGATGACAAGAACCTCGACTCGCCCGACCACCACTCGCACATGTACAACACGGCTAAGGAGGCTTTTTCTCCCGCTGGGCCCTGTCCAGCATCGCACCCGGTACGTATGCCACAGGTGGCGTATGAGACACTCTGGGATACGACCCAGTTCAACAACATGTGGCCAAAGGACGGATCGAACCCCTTCGTGCTGAGCTATGGCGTCAACAAGGGATACGGAACCCACGCGGATTACGTGTTTGGATGGAAGGGAGACTCGCTCCAGAAGGCGATGGATTCGAGCTGCATGTTCAACGCTTGCGAGAATGGCCGGCCGCTGAAGAGCCAGAACGTGCAGGCGATGAACAAGTGCGCCGTCAAGAACATGGTGAATGAAGATCTGGATTCATGTAAGCCAGCTTCCTCAATCCTTGCTATCCTTCTCTGGTGGGGTGGAACTAACAGAAATCGCTGTTTAGGGCTCAAAGTGCTGCCTGGTCAGGCGATGTGAGGTGTTGCTCCGGCAGCCTCTTGCTTTGTGGTGTTTGAGGTTTGATGTCGCGGACTGTTCAGAGATAGGCCGCAAAGTTGTGGGTCATAGATTACTAGGTTAACGATGGGTGGACTGGTCGACCTGCGACATTTCGCATGCGGGGTTGTTGACGTGCTCTTCAGAAGTGCAAGCCAGAACGAGCAATGGCTGTGTGCTGCAGTTGATTCATCGTTGTTGGTGGCTCTCGGTCGTTATTTTTTTTTTTCCTGTTCGCACAAGTGCGTGTTGACTGATTTCACAAGTAGTGTAGTACCTAGGTACCTTAGTACCGAGAGAACCAAAAGAAACCAAAGTCGTGTCGTGAAAGCTCTGCTCCTGCTCCTGCTTAGTTGTGCGAAAAGAAGGAAGGAATGGCTTCAGACGACGAAGGTGCAGCGATGAGCCGACGGCGAAAGCTGACTTATACGTCCAGAAAGGGAAGGAGTGTCTAAGCGTGAGCGGGTCCACCAGAAGCAGCCGGGCATGCCCAACCAACCAATCAAAATTTGATGTGGCTGTAATATAACAGGAATATTACACCGAGCAAATCGTCTAATACAGGTAAGTGCACGTGTATTACATGATACACGTCTGGTTAGAGGTATCGTTGATCACAGCAAACTGGCCAAAAAGAGCCTTCTGTTTCAATCCAGACAGAATGAGATTCCACAAAGAACATCTTCTGACTGGAAAGTATCATAAACTCACATTGCGGGTTTGTGACGGCCTTGTTAACGTAATGAAGGGCCTGAGACCGATACAAGCAAGCCGTATCCGGGCTGTATTGATGACACGTCGGATCGGCAAGCAAATTGGACCGACGGCCGATACCCTTCTCCCACATTTACGGCTGACTGCATGCCCTGCCTGTAGTTCTTGCCTCTTTAGCGAAGGGCAACTTCTGCCGATTCCTTGCCGATCCCGACTTCGATCCTCATTACGGCTGACAGCGGTTGTCTTCTTGTCCTTGCTCAACCAAGTCATCATTCCTTTTCCTCATCACTGTTGACGTTTCGCTTGTTGATGGTGGGTCCTGAACAGATTCTCCATCGCTTCTCAATTGCTGAAGAGGCTCGGTCTAATTACCTACCCACCGAAAACCGCCGGCGCCCTGTTTGGAAGGGGTGTAGTACGCTACCTCTTTAACTCCAACACCATCAAACGAGGACGGTTCCTTGCTTCCCACACCATGAGAGCTCGGCCAACAAAACTGCAGCCATGGCCGACATTCCCATTTTGAGCAGCAACCTGAACGGCTCGGACACAAAAGAAAGAGCGCGAGCGCGAGCCTGTGTCTACTGTAACAAGTCCAAAACCAAGTGCATATGGCCTGATGGTGAACCGGGTGTTGGCGCTTGTCAACGGTGTGCCCGGTTGCATCGTCCCTGCACGGTCCCTCACACGGCGAAAGAAAGACGGCGCGGAAGAGGTACTCGAGTCGGCCAACTAGAGGAAAAGATTGACGGTCTCGTGTCACTCCTGAACGCTTCAAGGCAGATTCAACAACAGTCTTCAGCACCAAGATCGGCTTCAACAACATCTGAACCCCCTATCTCCGGCCATGATGCGCCAGACAGCGCAGTCTTTGGTCAACTGCCAACACCGGCGACATCAAGCCAGGAACAGCCATCGGCCTCGCGACCCTTTTGTATACTCCCCATGAGCTGCCACCATGTCAATGATGGTCACCCTGGAGATTGTACCGGCCAACATGGACAAGATTGCCCTCCTCCGGGCCATACCACCCTTCAGACTCCAACCTCTACTGCCCTGAGTTCCTCTGGAGGGTCCGAGCCTACAAACAGTTACATACCGCCAACGGCTTGCATCGAGATCACTCCACAGCCATACGGCTACCTGCGCATAACCATGGGTGAAGCAGATCGGTTGCTCAAGTTATACCAAACCGACTATCATCCTCGATTCCCGTTTGTGCCCATCCCACGGAATACAACAGCGCAAGACCTTTTCCAGAGGCAGCCATTCTTATTCCGGACCATTATTCAGATCGTTGCCCCTCAGAGCGCCGCTTCGCAACGTGGTTTCACGACTTGGTTTCGTGAGTACATTGCAACCCATATCGTTGTCAAACAGGAGAAGCGGCTGGACCTGCTACAAGCCATATTGCTGTTCATTGCATGGTTGGTTTATTTTCCTTGTTAATTCAACCCTTTTCTGACCGTTTGTGTTCCGTGCTTGTTAACCATTGGCATTGTCTTGTGCAAAAGGAGCGAATCTCATTACTATGCTGAATCATGGGTGACAACCTTGCACCAGCTAGCAGTCGGTCTTGTGGTAGATCTGGGCCTCAACAGCCACAAACCCTCCAAGCAGGACGGCAATGGTGCAAATCAGTTTGTGGAAGATGCCAGGCGTCTCAATGGCCACCGGGGACGGCCGCCTCATACACTAGAAGATATGCGGGCCTATCTCGGATGCTTCTATGTCAGTTCACTGTAAGTTGTGTCCCCTCGGCTTTACATGAATACCAGACTTTTACAGTTAGTCTTGCTCTTCATGAACTAGCTCTAACACCATTCATTCCATAGCACGGCTGCCTTATTTCGACATATCCCTTTGATGCCCTGCTCCACCTACTTATCCTTCTGTTGTGACAAGATCGAAGCCGAGCAGGAATACATTGCGGACACATACCTTGTGGTCCTCATTAGAATGCATCGCATTCTTTGTAGGATCATTGCGGTTTTCCCGGCTCCCGATTCGGATGGGAGCGGTACTGCGACCTTCTCCGCAGCCGCACACATGGCAATGTCAAATCTGCGTGCCGAGCTAGATGATTTCAAGTTGCAAGTACCAAGGAACATTCGAGACAATTGTACGTACAAGAACATTGACCACTAGGTGATGAAACTGGCTGGATGGGTTTCACTTTGCTGACCTGGACCCCAAAGTGTCGTTTGAGATTGGCCTCAAAGGCATACTCGTCAGGCTATACGAACCCGTAGTCTATATGGCGTCATCGCCGGTTTCATCCATTGACGGCATCCGAAAGTCGGAAGCAATGTGGTGCTGCCTGGATGCTCTCAAAGCAACGTTGGATGCATATGCTTCCATCCCCGTGGCCGACCTCAGTTATCTACCCTTCAACACCTACTGCCACATGACATTCTCCTTGATTACCGCTACACGCCTGGTTGTCTTGCAAGATCCGGATTGGAATAGCAAGCTCGCGGGCGAAAGCCTTGACTTTGCCGGCATAACGCAACGCATTAGTGACCGGTGCGATCAGGCGGACACCGTGGCCATTGCAGAAGAATGGCGGCGAAAGCGCAAATATGTCAATGACACTGTGTCAGTGATGTCCATGCACCGCAACAAGCTCCGATGGATTCGTTCGTGGTATCTCTCCAAGACAGCAGCACCGAATCCTGCCGCTCCTGAAAGTCACTCACCGGTACACCATTCGGATTCACAATACCAAGGACAAATCCTGCCAGCTACTGAGATGATCGCAGATACCGGGAACCCCGCGCCCGTTGAGGCACTGTCGCCGGTGTCATTCCTAGGCGACGAATGGTGGCAAGCAATGCTGGATGATATGAGCTTTCTCCAGCCGTAGAACAGTCAGAATGATGGTTTGTCTGATGCTGCAGGCTACCATCATTGCGCAAACACTGCGAAAAATGTTGAGCAACCGGGGCAACAACCAGTTGCAGCCTGTAGGACAGGGAGCCTTGAAATCTAGGATGGCGACAGGCTCTTCTGCGCCTTGATGTTACACGCATCCCTACAAGCGCGCGGAAGCTTGATAGCGCGTCTGCGGTAAGGCGAACAAGAGGAATGCCTGAGATGGTTTGAGTACCGACTGGTGGAATCATAGGGCTGAGGCGCGTGCTGGGCTCGGGCTGCGGAAACGTGGGACTTCGGACTCCCGGAATAGCCTCCTCAATCGCAGATGCATCGGCCTAGCTCTCACCGCATGCCTGAGCAAAAACTAGGCTTCAATATTACACTCATTCCGTTTGGACAACGTGCCTTAACATTACAGGCTTGGAATTTTATCGCTCCAGAATAGCCGTTCTCGGTGCAGTCGGCGTGACATCCACGCCGCCGAATGGAACGATAAAATCACATGGGTCCGTGCATTCAGGCATGGTTACCTGCCAAGGTACTGTGTACGGTAGGTACCATTCAACTAGGCGGGTGCCTAAACCACCGATCAAGTCTCCCAGTGACGATGTTCACAGGGCCAATTACCCCTACTGGACGCTTCTAGCAGCGGTCATCACCAGGTTTTGATACGGCCCAGCGGAGCTTGCCACTATTACGCCCCCAAACCTTCAACCTGCCGCAATCCGATATCTGGCGAAGGTTGAACCCTCCATTATTGTTGGAGGTAGGTACTGAGAGGGAACACAGGAATCAAGTAGAACTGAACATTCTCAACGAACAAATCTCGACATGTTGTGTGGCTATAAATTTCGTTAGCAGTGGCATCCTCCATGGACGTGCATCTCTCAGTCGCAGATTTAGAGCTCAAACCCCTAAGAACGGGAAATGGAAACATGTGGCTATGGCTGTCATGATGTTACGGCTCCTGAATCAGGCAGCCAAAGATATAGGGCGTTTTTCCAACTTTATCACCACCGCACATACCAGCCTACTTTAAGCTTTTAGCGATTTTTCTTTACTGCCTCTGACATGGGAACTGACCAATCGCATGTAATACTGCTCTGTGGAACTTTCCTTTTCCCGACTCTTTTCGATCACCATTTTGGAACCTGCCGGACTTCGTGCCTCATCTCCGTTGTCAGTCAAAGGAGAATAACACATCAATGGAGTACTCAACGGTTGACCTTGGTAGAAGTCGCTCCTCATACTGTAAGCGGCCCCCATTCGGAATTCGACAAAACTACTCCTACTGTATGCTATGCCTGTACTCGGCGTTATCAAATGGCGATGCACAGGCACACATGTTTTGAAGATCAAAGACCTATAAAGATATCTGGCCGACAACGCCTTCAACTAGATTGTCTGGATCATGATACAACTCAAACAGCTCCAATACCAACTGAAGATCCAATAATTCAACAGTCGCTCATCGGCCCATCAGCTCATACAATCGGCAACACTTGATATTAGTTCAACAACACAATCGCTACTCCCAACTTCCTCCTTCGGTAACCCAAGATTCAAAATGTCTGGCCACTCTTCTTCTCACAGCTCTTCCTCCGGGAAGACCAACTGGGACTCCATCGCCATGGGTTCTTCTGCCCTCGGTTTCATCAAGACGGATGTTGCCTCCAAGTCCTCCAGCTCCCGTGGTGGTTCCTCTCACGGTTCATCGTCTGGATCCAAGTCCAGCGGCTCTTCTCACGGCAGTTCGGTAAGCCTCTTTTACTCCATGACACTGAGATAGCTCGGGTGCTAAATTTGAGATAATTACAGAAGGGCTCCAGCAGCGGTTCAAAGCGTTAAGCGAACTGCTTACATCTTCCGTCAGATCTCTACAAGGCAACTCGCGGTTTTTCCTTACCGGACTTCTTTGGCGTACTGGTCTTTTCAAGATGACGGAGTGGCGGGTATTCCATTATCCCCTCTCGCAAGACTTTCTATAATCTCATGGATGTGTTCATCCCGCTACCGGGAAACGGCGGATGTGTTGATGGTGGATATTTTCTTCATGACTCTTGTTAGATGGATCTGACACTCCCCAAGGAGTGGGTGCTTGGTGATTCAGATTTTGGGTTTCTATTTCTGTGTGCACTTTTTGTTGTCATTTTCAAGAATTCTGGTTCCTTCTTCATTTTGTTCCTCCAACCTCCACACTCCTTTTCACTGCCACTGTCATGGTCGACAGAAGCTTGTTAGTCAAATATTCAGTATCCGGCCGGATTTCAACACTGCTTCTTTGATATATTGCTGATAGGTGTAGCGACTGGCTCTGCTCAGCTACCCATGCTACTTACACTCATTCGACTCACTTTACAACCACTCAAGGTTGGCCACAACAATCAAGTTCTGGCTATCAATAGTTCTAATTCAACTCGCCTTACGGGATATCCTCCCATCGCAGTCGAAAAACCAGTGCTGCGGCTCAGACTTCAGATAGACACATCATGAACCTAATACCTGATTAGACCCTTCACAGTCAGACCTGCTTTCGCATTCAAATTCGTTGTGCTTATTAGGCAATAGCTCAGCACGTAGACCAAGTAGAGAAATACGCCCTTCCCACCAAGCGTTTCTCCTGTCCCCATTGGCTGTGCTAGTAAAAGCCATCTCACACGTCACTGCCAGCGGAGAGGCATATACTGGGAAAACGGTAAATGAGGGACTAAGAAGGAATGACCTTGGTGATGGTGGGATACATGGTCTGGTTGTTGTTCTTTTATTTGCAAGCGAAAGGTTTCGTATTTCTTCCTTCTGATGGCTTATCTTGCTTGGAGAATATAAACGCAGCTCGAGCAATGGATTACCGCCCAAGATAGGTATTTATAATAAACTTGACGTGGGTAGAAAGTTGATGTTTTTAGGAAAGTGAAGCCGTAATGTTTGACAGTGCAGAAGTACCTACCTATGTACACGCAGAACCCTAACCCAGAAGACCTGGCCCTGAATCACCAACGGATGACGGGAGCCAGCGCGGTGAAATGTGGAGTCTATCCAAGACCCATGGAACTAATGTGCCTGGAACAGCGCTGAGGGTCCCCGCGAACACCCCTTGCAGCCCTGCGAGATGCACTGTAAGACAGTTAAAGTGGGTAGTTGACTGTGCCCCGCGAATTCTGGTCTCGACAGAACGTCAGGATCTCGGAGACGCGATTCTTTGATCTGTCAACACAATCGCTTGCGCCAGCATAAGGTATCTCCAACCCCATCACCGCTCGGCCATTTTCTCAGTCGGTCCAGCGGACGCTGTTACCGAGCGACAATGAGGTGATATTCTTATCTGCGACTTGACGACAGAACAACGGAAACACAATGGCGCTCCCACTGCCACCAGGGCTGACCCAGAACGAGGTCGCCTTCCTTGCCGAGATGGAAATGGTCACCGTCGTCCCACGTCAGCGCCTGGACAGCATCGACCTGCTCGGTGTGAGTTATCTTCGCTCGACCTGTTCCCCATCATGGGAATACCGATTGACTGACTTTCCCCGCGACGACAGGGAAAAACACCACAACTTCGTCCTCCCCACCGCGCCCAGCTGCCCCTCTGGCTCGCCCTCCTCCTCAAGAAACAGCGCCGCGCCAACATCGTCCCTCCAGCATGGATGCATCCCGCCTCCCTTGCCGAGATCATCCACCGCGAAACAAAAGAAGATCCCGAAGCTTTCTCCCCGCCACCACCTCCTCCCTCGCGCGCTCTGTACTCCCAGCCTGGCACCGCTCGCCGGCTAAACCCCAGCTATCTCGATGACTTTACGCAACCGCAACAAGACTCGCAACAAGATCCGAACTCCATCTTATCTCCCCCCTTCCTCCCTTCCAACGTCGCCGAATCCCCCGCCGGATACCTCCCCTACCACTGGCTCGAGGTTGCCGAGGCTTTGCTCACACACGCCGGCGATGATATGCCCGCCCCGGCTGGCGAGGTGCGATCGTTACTGCGAGACTTGGTGGAAGTGCGCGCAGCCAAGATGCGCAGCAGTACATCAGCTTTGGAGGGGTTTGGTGACGCCTATTTGACCTTGCGTGGCGTTGGTGCTATGGAGTTAGCTGAGAACAGATCCTTTCTGGCGGGCTTGGTGGATGGCGTACGGAAGATTGGGGCCAGCGCCGAGGCGACGAGAAGGGAAGAGGAAGAGGAGGCTAGGAGGGGCGGGGACTATGGTGGTGATGGGGATGAGGATAGTGATGAGGATATGGGCCTTTGAAGGCTGCATGGGAACATCACTGAGATTTCAGAGAAAATGGGCAAAATAAAGAGAGGGGCAACTTACGGTCGCCTCAAGGCGGTGGGAGGCGGTGGGCGAGAAGTCGAGGAGTCAGACTCGCACTTCCTGGCCAACGCCAAGGCTGAGTCCGACCACAAAGTCTCATGCCCGAGCAACGTGGTCAACAATGAGATACCCAAGAGGACATGGAAGAAACATGAGAAGAGGTCAGACACAGACAGAGTTTCCACAGGACGGTCTTGCAACGAGGTGATACGAATATCCAATATTAACATGGTTTACAAAGTAATGCATGAAACGAACAAAAAACAAGGTGCGTTTCTTTCCTTCCGCCGGCGGAATCACATACGGCACCCTTGAAGAACGCCAGAAACACCATCTACCATCGCCCAATGAAGCTGAACTCCGTGTCAACCATGATCTTCAACTAATGTGCTATCGCAGGACGCGTGTCACTGCATGAAACTATCTATCGTCATCCCGTCTTCTTTCCTGCATTACGCCCCTTATCATAACCGTCACTTTTCCTGGCCCTTTGTGTTGCTATCGAAGCACTAGATGGTGACTACCTAATCACCTGAAAAGAGTTCCCAGTTCAACAGCCTGATCTGCTGATCACACACACCTTGGCAGCTTATTCTTTGCTAAGTCGCTGGCTGTCGGCCTTTTCTTCCTGCTACTTTCAACTGGTGGTGGCAGTCTCCAATGTGGGTGACGGTTCTAAGAACCACGTCCTCACTCAGCAGCGGTACGAACACCGTTATCAACCTCGGGGATGCTGAGGATCATACTCTTCCTCCTCCCTTTCATCTGCTGGGTCATACTCCGTCGATCCACGCCAGCTTTGGGCCGTCTCAGCGACACTACTCGCTGAAGACCTCGAACCTTGACTTCCATGAATTCGAGGTAATCCAACTGTCCTTGGATCGTATTCCTCGTTCTCAATCATTGCTGGGTCGTACCGTGTCTGCTCTTCCTGATGTACTGCATCTGTTTGCTGGCTGACAATGCCCACAACCTTGGCGCCCAAGCTCTGTTGTCCGTCGCCCTTCTCTAAAGCCGGTAGCTCTATACGAAGTCGCTTACTGAAACGATTTACCTCGTCATCGTCTTCGTCAAAAGAGCGTGGTCGTTTCGGAGAAGCAGGAGGAGATGAGCAGTGTCGCTTTGCCAAGCTGCCGCTGGACTCGTCGGAATCATCGTCATAATCCGTGATGGAAGATATGCTTCGTTTTGCGCCAGAAGACGCGGAGGTTTTAGCGAGGGAGCTCTCAGTCGATGCTGCGCTGATCCATGATGTGGGATTTAAATTATCCAACTCCGCGCTCATCCACCGAGGCACGGCACTGCCAGTGAGGCCGCCGGTGTATCCCTCGTCGTACCTGGGGTTGTATTGGTAATACGTTCCTCTCTCCCCCTCTTGTCGCTCTCGCTCCTTCTGCTGCTTCTGGTCCTGCAGGCATCTTTCCGTCGAAAACGCGGGACAGTAGATTCCTGAACGACGATGATTTGGCTTCCTCGTCGGGCTCCTCCTCTCCTCCTCGTCCTCTTCTTCTTCTTCTTCCTCCTCTTCCTCGCTCGAACACTCCGCATCGCCAGGATCAACAACCCTAATCCCCTTGTCTTTGTGCACCTGCGGGAATCCCTTACCACCGACTTGCACCCTCGCCTCGCGAGTGCCTGGGGCTGCGTGGCCTGTCTGAGAAACCTTGGGTGGGTTCTTGGTTTTCGGGCTGATGTCCTGGTCGCCTTGCCCAGTGTAGTCGGGCAGGGTATAAGTACCATCATCGCCGGAGACGCTACCGGGTGCGGAAAGACGGCCGTCGCGAGGGACGAAGGTGAAGTCTTCCCGGAAGACGGTGGTGGAGGGGTATTCGCTTTGGTGGAAGGGGCCGGCGCTGTTGCGGCGCAGAGAGGGCTTGCTAGCGGAGGATATTTTAGGGGTTGTGGGCGGTTGTTGACCTAAGTTGGTGTTCATGGTGGCTGTTGTGATGCCAGCCGACGGAGGAGGCGCATTTGAGCGGGCTGTTCGGGCAGCCATGTCGAGTTCGAAATCGCGGCTGCTGACGCTGGTCCCATCGGAAGTGTACGCAAGTTTCAGGGGAGACGGAACGGGCTTTACTTTGCGATTTCTCTTGGGTGAAGAAGGACAAGGGGTAGGTGGTAGCCGAGGCGGCGGGGAAGAAAGGGGAGTTTCTTGCTGTTGACTGGGCGAGCTTCGTCCTTGTGACGAACCTTGGGAGCTAACCTTCGTACCATTCACTGGCATGGCAACGGGAGGAAGCTCGTCGTCACTATCGGACGAGCCTCCAGACTTTGATGTTGATGACGAGCCGGTGCATGAAGATTTGCTCGACCCCTCTTCTTCTTCTTCTTCCGGATAGTCCCAGTCTTCCTCGGAAGACCAGTCTGACGGCAATGATGGTGCACGGCTATAAACGCCAAAGTCGAGTGAAGGCCTGGTCCAGTTAATGGCGTTTCTTTCGACAGAGTCGTGGCCTTGTAGGCGTTCGGGCAGTATTGCGAGGTCGCCCAGGGGGTGGCGCTGTACGGCGTGGCCTCTCTCATACCAGGGGAGTGGATTATTTCTTTGATTACGCCGCTGCAGTTCCCGTTCATCTGCTTCCCACTGTTCGTCATCGAAATCAGGAAGCGAACTTGTTGATCTGGGCTCCTCACCGGTTGGAACAGGTTCATCTGGTTGGTTATTCGACGGCGGCAGCTCTGGCAACTCTTGCTCATCCTCATCATGTGGCTGGTCCAAACCGACGTTTGCTTTGCCGCGGTCACCCTCGCTACTTGCTCCTTCGCCGAACAGATCCTCGTCACTATCATTGAAGTGCCGTTCACCGTTGTTGGCCTGATCTTCGTTGCCATCCGGATCCGGGGAGTCGCGTCGTTCCTCATCATTACCACGGCCCTCTCCGTCGACATCGCTACCATCTGATGACGACGAAGACGAAGACGAGGACGATGAAGACAACGAACTGTCCGGCCTTTCTCCTCGGTCATGCGCAGGAGCTGCATCTTCATTCGATGACGAGGACGACGAACTGTCGGACGGCTCTTCCCCGAAACGTGTAACTGCATCTTCACTCTCTTCATCAGAGCGTTGCTCCTCTTGCTTTCCACTGGGGTGTGGCTCCTCTCCTTCTTCGTCGGGATGTTGCCACTCTTCCACATTATTAGGGTACTGCCACTCTACCACATCATGAGGGTGCAGCCACTCTACCTCATCTCCCCCCTTCTCATTATTATCAGCAACCGGGGCCTCAAGCAGTCCCGGTTGCTGCCCTCCAGCGGCAAACCCGCCAGACCACCCCCCTGCTACATACCCAGCGGGGACCAAATAGTGTTGTGGGGAAATGGCTTCAAGGGGAGGATTGACAACGATCGCAGGTTGGGGAGGAGTGTGTGGGAGTTGGGGGGAAGAAAGCACTGGTAGTGCTGGGGGAGGCGTGTCCTCGTAGTCAAATGGACCCAAGTGAGACGCGGGAGACGAGGGAGAGAGGCGAACTGGCGGCGTTTGGGGAGGAGGAGGTGGTGGGGTTGGCGTTCGGGGGTGTACTGCTTCTGAGCCGTCTTCGGGATTTAAATCTTCTCTAGGATCAGAGCTGTCACTGGGATCAGCATTTCCATCTGGATTCACCCCTGCGCCTCGCTCTGGATCCTCTTGGGACCCTGACTCCTGGCCCTCATGGACTACTACTGCCTGTTCTGGCTCCTGCTCTTGTTCTGACTCAGGCTCAGGCTGGGGCTCTGGCGCTGGTTGCTCGGCTTGCTCTGCATTCAACACATGTACCTCTTCGTTATCCCCTATTTCTATATGCGGGATGTTCCCATTTTCCAGCTGTTGGAGGTTCTGAGCACGAATCTGATCTCTGTTCAACAGCCGTTGCCGACCATCCTCTCCAAGCTCGTAATGGGGTATGTTGCCATTGGCCAATTCTTGAAGACGCTCACGCTGAGCACGAGTCTGACGACGTGGGAGGTTCGGATCGCCCCATGTTGCAGGCCTATTTTGTGGACCGATAAAGGCGTCCCTTCTTGGACGTCCCCGACGCCTGGGCTGGGGCTGGTCACTGTCCATTTTGTTATCTTGGACTGGTACTTTCGAGCGTTTGGTTGTCTGGGAGTGTGATCTGGTCTTTGTTGGAGCTACCAAGCTAGCTAGCTAGGTATGCTTTCCTGATTTGGAGTGTAAGCTTCCTCTCTCGCTGGTATGTTTTGTGTGTCTGCCGTGTGCGTTGCGTTTGGTCGTGTTGTTTGCTGTTCAAGTCTCGCTGGTGTTGTCCTCTCGGAACTTGCTTGTAAAGGTCATCTGGTTCTGTTACCGTTCAAACCATGTTCTCTTCATCTCTTGACAAGATATCGGACAATCAATCAATCCGTTCAGTTGCAAGGGCGAGAGCCCCCTTATGCGATCGCGGCATCTTGAGGATTTATACGGACACGCTTCGGTCTTTGCGTTATCAGGTTCTTCTTTGTCGTTCTAAACGGCTTGTCGAGAGCTTGTCGAGCTTGTTGACAATGAAGACAATGGAAACAATGTGTTATGATGGAAGCGAGACAAAGCGACTTGTGTGCCACCGTTAGATATTTTTAGATGGGAGTTACTGAAAGGTACCTATTTGTTAGTACACTCTTGTAGTCGAGATATTCGAATGTCTCTCTGCGTCAGGGACAGCTAGACGGTTGGTCCTGTTGATAATAGGACGAATAAGTTTACGGATTCAGCTTCATTTCATTTTCTGACGCTGCAATGAAGACTGAGTGTCAAGAGCAAGTCGTTGGCCTCTCTGCACCCAACTTCCAAGGCCTTTTCCGAATTGCTTCGTTTGCATTTTCTCACACTATCTGACAAAAGAACAAGCTCAAATGCCCAAACAAGCTATGTCAGTACATCTACCGTATGCCACAACCGAAATGGGTATTTTGGGGCATCTTAATTGCAACTAGCCAACCCTATACAAGTCAGGTAATGTGAATTGAATCGCGACAAGGAACCTCGACCCGAGCTACGACTGAACAAAGAATGTCACTGGCATTCTGACTCGACATCGTTGTCTTGTTTCAGGCGATAAACAAAGACGTAAAGTTTCTTGGGAACGAGTTATTTCACAATGCATTGTTACTTCGGTCATTCTTCAATAAAGAGAATCTACAATTGGTGACCTATGTAGGAACAATGCCCCTTCTTCACAAGTCATGGTTGCCGAGTTCTGGCAGAAAATAAAACCAAGAGTGAGGCCAGCCCAGACACTTTCACTTGGAGAGCTACTGCGGCTTTTCGATGCGGGTTCGAAAGGCACCTCTAGATCCGGGCCGAGGAGAAGAGAACTTGAACCCTCTCGCATTTCAAATGTCCAGAAGAATGGCCGCATTAACGACGTCCAAAGTCTGGGCTGAGATAGTGCAGACTGTTGGACTTTGAACAGCTTGAAACCGGAATGTCTGCTAGCATTCATCGTGATGAGGATTTTGCATCCGTGTATCAACAGCTGTGGTGAAACTATAACTTTCATGGTCATAAGTATCGTGCTGTGGGATGATGAAGGCCTAGAATGTAACAAGACATGGTCTGTTGATGTTTGTATGTATGCGCTTGCTGACTTTTGGTGAATTGGAAAGGCAGCAGACTAAATGGGGGTTTTTTTTTTCTTTTCTTTTTCTACTTCTTTTTTTTTTCTCTTTTTCTTCCGGTTGAGATCGTAGTCACAGCGCCGGTCGATGTTATGAAGCGACAAGGATATGAGGTAAAAGTCAAGACTCGCTAAGTAGGTATCTCCTAAGAGCTGCTTCAGCTTTATATTCTGGGTCTTGCGAGGTTTGATGGAAGTAATCAAAGTACCTGGGTAAATCTGTCGTAGGCAGGCCAGCAATTCACACCTCCACCTGATGAACTCGTATGTACTTGTAATGTGATGGTAGGAAGTCTTTCAGGAGGCGATGATACGCAGCCAGTGTATATACCTAAAGCTTCTAACGTGAAAACGTGCAAGACAAGGAAGGCCCTTTGGGTCAAGTATACCGACCTCTAAGACCACACACTTGACTCGTGAATCTCGACCAAATTATTCTATCGAGGGATCGACCTGTAGATAATCCGAGAACCAGATCAAACAACAGAGGCTAAAATTTTGGAAAATCGGTGGTATCATTTGCCCGCCGTTATCCGCTATATGACGTGAATGTAATACCACAGAGTACAAAAGGTAACTGAAGAGTCTTCAGCAAGTGGTGGGCGACCGCCATTATAAGACGATGTGCCAGCCCCTCAGTATTTGACGGTTAGACCTCTTTGCATATGATGCCGGTTCAGGGCAGTGTTATAAGGAAGGGACGAACTTGTTGACCTGCTAGCGCTGACCAGCCCGTTGATAGGTTATCTTCAATGGCGCCATCCTGTTTGCGAACCAGTTATCATCTCATCTGAGACCAGATCCCACGGAAACAGTGATTCTGTCACTTCCCCATAACAATGGAGGTAAGGCAGGTACGACAGGCCTACCGCTGAGCAGAAAGGATGAACTAAAAACTCAGCACAGGTTTCCATTGCAGGCGTCCAGCGTCCTCATCATCAACCTCGCAAAACGTATTTCATCTCAATTGATGTCAACTCTGACCAGTTCAGGCAAATCGAATCCATATCGAAATACAGATTAGTTTCAAAATGGGGTGGTTTTTGCCTGCCCGAAGAACCCACCGTCGGTCCACCATTAAACGCGCGCCAGGCGAGTCGCGACATGAAACGGATAAATTTCTTTCTCGCCGGCAATCACTTTTCTGACCCAAGTTAAAACATCACCGCCGACAACAAACTGTAAGGACAACGCCATGATTATGGCTACCGACCTAGAAACTGACGATCGATACGATGATTCTTCCTCCGAATTTGAGCCATGGTATGTCATTGAGCTCGAGTCGCGCTGCGGGGCCTGCACCGAGACCATCACGCAGGAGACCCCGGTCATTGTTTGTACAACCCCCTTTTCCTGTGCATTCCATAAGGTGGCCTTGCCTGACTGAAGTTTAGTAATCGGATGCCGGAATAGAATGGTCTATCTTGGGCGCACTGCTACAGTCGCTTTCCCCAAAACCTTTGTGCATCTTGTGGATGCATACCTCGATGAGAAAACAGAAGTAAATCTGTGTAACCTGTGCTCTATATCGACAGAATGCTCCGAACACGGCACAGATCCCGACAGACTCCATGTGGCCACTGCCGTACATAAGGACTGCTTCGTGATTGCGAAACAGTCATGCCCTCTCGCTCCCCGCCTGACGTGCGAACGGATCTGGGAACTTGCTGTGGCGAGAAATCCGTGGCCCCATGGGTTCCAACCCCCAAAATCCCTCTCCCTTGAAAGCCCTTATCTCATGAGCCCACAGGCCGTCAATCAGGTTGCTTCAATCCTCAACATTTCCCAGCTGAAAAACTTTCCCTCCGAATTGGTCGAACGAATCCGGTCGTATTCACCAGGAGATACTCCGTTTTGGAGGGCTGTAGCTGCTCTGACAGTTGCATCTTCGCTGCCTGACCTTCCAATCTTTGCTGAGCAACGCGTGAAGATATGTCACATACTGCACTGGAAAAGAGGCGAAGAAATAGTGACAGTAGGACCCAGAGGCCAAGACGATGTTCTCCGTCTTACTTTCGACGTAGATGGGATCCGAGAGATCGAACGGTTTTGCCAGCGACCGCAGTGCGAAGAGCGGCAAAAGCACAACCGCAGATTTGCCTACGTTCTCTTGGGTACGAAACGCGACGAACTTGCTTTGGATAAGAAACACGGCGAATTTTCGCGCAGATTTGCCTACTGCAGAAATGGCCTTTTGCGACTCGCCTTCGATGCCGACGATATATATTTTGACAATAAGCATGAGGTACTGTTACCTTTTTTGCCGCGCATTTGGAACACACCTACGCCCCCAAACTTGACCAATTGTAATTACTTGTACCACGAGGAGAGTTTCAAGGTCTTTTCAACCGGGTATTATGTCAATCTAGACTCCGTCTCTGGCATTACATTTGTCTATCGCGGCAAAAAACTCGTGGCGATCCACCCTCATCGCGGCGATGACGTTGAGATGAACTGTCCTAAGGTCTCATCTTCCGGCTCTTCAAGGATACAGGAAGCCTGCTTCTTCCTGCCCGTCAGCAAGGAGGATGCCATCCTCGGAATAGGTGTAGGGATCTATCAGAATGCGTTTGTGGTAGTGGTACGTTTCTGGACCCCAAGTTATCTTGTTTGCTGCCTTACCTTCCTCAGTTTCACCTGCCACATGCTTCCGAATGAGTCTCTAAGAAATACCTGTTTTTTTCCGCCACGCCCCCGATTTCTACCGTGCTATTTCTCAAATCTCTAACATATCGATCGTATCACAGGTCAAGAAACGTTTGTCCGGTGATGCTGTCATCGGCCTGCCTTGCCCCGATCCGCCTGGAGATGACCCCAGATGGGAGGGTCCTGACGAGGATGAAGGAGACTTTTTTGACAAAGAGGAGTTCTTTTGGGGTCAACGCGATCCGGTAGCTCTGGTCTACGGAATTCCGGGCAAGAAGAAATATTTGGATATGTTGGGAGGCTATCGGGGTACTCCAGCGAAACCTAAATGGGAAGGTTGGAAAGGGACGATTCCTCACCTATGGCCCAGTGGTCTTTTCAGCTTGGATGATGATGAAGATCTCCGGTTTTACACTCGTGCTCCCCTCCGTGGGGTCGTCGCCGCCCAGATGTTTTACTATCCTTCTCGTCGAAATCGGCCGACAGAACGTGTCTGCTCAGGGATTATCTTTCATTACGACAACGGCGGCTCGCGGGTAGTTGGAGAGATTCGACTCGAGAACCGCGCCAAGCTTGCGGGCGAGACGATAATCAACCCCAAGCTCATTTGTCTGGAGTCCGATATACTCCCAGGGTTTGGCACGCCGAACATCCACCTCGTGACAGAGTCCGAAATCGAGAGTGGAACACATCCTGACGATTGGGGCTGGTCCTTCGACGATTGCCCCCGGTTTCCAGGAATGGCCTTCACATGCCACCCCATGAAAGGCACAATCAACTGGTGGTTTACTGCACGTCAACGGAACAGCATTGAAATTTATGAATGGGCAGAAGACTGATGTTGTTGGACTTCATGTACACAATTCGTTTCGTGATGATGATACCCACAACTTGGAAAGGGCGGCAGTAGCAAATATACAACTACCAGATGGATCGGTACGGATAGAGCACGTTTGTCCTTAGTCTACCTTTCAGTTGAAACAAATTGCCATGGGCATTCTCCCCGTCAACTGGACGTGCAATGCACTCACCCACTGTAACTTGCCTGGAAGCCCGCTGTAACCAAAAGTCCACGCATCTGATTTCACCCTTACGTCGCTTGATCTTGTGCAATCACAGCAATTTGCGAAGAAATCTTTTTTTTTTGTCCCATGGTGCCGTTGGTACTACAGACTAAAGCCATATACTATCACGACAAAATTTCACACGACAGCACTCGTTGAGAGCTTCAAACTGCATAGTGTCCAACGAGGGTTTTGGCGTTTGATCAAGTTGTCCGCCCCTCCGGCCTTCCTGTGGGGCAAATCCGAGAGCAGCACAATGTCCGTCTGTCTAATGTCATGCAATCACAAGGTAGCCGACCAGAGGCAATCATGGATACACTCCCCCTTCATCAAGACTAGCAAAATGTTCAAGAGCGGTAATATCCTTAACATTGTCAGTATGTGGCTCGACCTTTCACAAAGCAATGATGACTGTTGCTTGGGGCAATTCGCTCTATCCGACTTCGATCGATAGGGGTATCCTTGAAATGGTTGATGTCACCTTTGACGTTGACTTGGGAAGGCATAGGGAAATGCTCAGGATGTATAAGCCCCAGCTTGGATGATGCATCCATATCCGCACAGGAAGGAACCTCACTGCTTAGATAAGTTCCAATACCACAAGACCTTCTACTGGAATCTTGATGCTTTCAAATTTACCCAAGGGAATTTGACCAAATATTTTCAAGCATCGCCCCAACCCAACTACAACAATAGACTTCAGCCCTGATGCCTGAAAAAATAACTTTCCCTCGCAATCTTGTACCAAATCGACAACTTCTCCTTCTTCTTCTTCTCCCCAGCCGCTGCTGCTGCTGCTGCTGCCGTAGCCCCACCCTCCAGCTTCTCAAATGACCCTGAGGCCATCAGCACAAACGCCGCCCCCAGCGTCCCCAGCGTAAACGCCGTAAGAACCCACGCTCCCACCTTATCCCCCTTCGTCAACTCCCTCAGCTCCGTCGGATCAACCACTCCCTTCCCCGTCCCCGCATGCGGATTCCCTTTACTCGTTCCCCCGGTCTCCCCCGTCAGCGGCGCCCCTTTATTACCCGGTTTTCCATCCCCTGGGTTTTCGTTGAACACCAACAACGATGACAAAGCCGCCAACACGCTCATCTCCTGCCCTGCTCCCGTCAACCCATCGTACCCGCCCGTCGTCCAGCGGAAGCCGCACGCTCGGCCGTCGTGGAGGGGACCACGGCACGAGTTGACGGCCGCGGCGGTAGAGTTGCGCAAAGCTCGCATGATCGGGTCGCGTGTGAATGGCGCGAGTTGCGTGGTGGTTGCCATCCACCGGTGCGTGTAACCCTTGAAGGAGAGCATGTCGGTCTTGCAGAGGATGACGGTGGGCGTCTCGCAAGAGAGCTCGATCATGGGGCCGGCGTGGAAGAAGAAGGCTATGGTCCGGTCGAGGAGGGCTTGGACGCGGTTCTTCCAGACGACTTGTTCTGGACCTTTTGTCTGTTTTTTTTCCGGTTAGTCGGTCTGGTTTTGGCTCCGCGATATACAACCGGCCACGGGGTCGACGGCGGGAAATTCGGCAACTTACAAAGCTATACATGAAGGCCGCCCCTTGTAGGAATATTGCCGCGTTATATGAGAACTGCGCCTTGAACACATCCGTACAATTCACCCCCGTATGCGCTCCATCGTACACATTCCCGTCCTCGGTCATCAACCCGACTGCCATCATCCAATCCCATGTCTTTCTTGCATGGTGCGCGTACGTTTCGTTTCCCGTGTACCTCGCCAGTCTGGCGCCGAGGTTGAAGAAGATACCTGAGACAGTACAGCTCATGTATTAGTTAGAAGTGGGCGACTTTAGGAAAGCTTGGCCTGCTTACCGTTGCTAATCGAGTTCTTATAATCATACCCGATATTCGCCATCGGTATCTGCCATCGCAACCCACCACCACACACGTCATCATGTCTTCCAGGATCCGCCTGGGTGTGAAACACCGCCTGAGCGAGCTGCAACCACTGAGGCTTATCAGCCGGTGGGTCAGGAAAGCCGATCTCGGCTGCGAGCATAGCGGATAGGCCCCAGAAACCCTGGTCGTCGTTGCCCATAGATATGGTATAGTTCTCGGGCATGTACGCGTTGAGCGGCGGGCCCGTATGGAAGAGCATGGAGGAGGTGATCAGCTCGTTGTAAGACGAGTCGCCCGTGTAGTGCCAGTAGTCCATCAGGGTGCCCCAGAGCGCACCCGATTCCCACCAGTAGTAGTCGCCGGCGGGGGGAGGGCCGGGGAGGATGCCGGGCGTTTGGCCGGGTTCGGAGCCATGGTAGTAGGTGAGGAGGTCCGAGGCGACAAGAGAGGCGGCGCGTTTGATGGAGTCTGGAGACAGTAGCACGCACAGGATGGTGTTAGTGAGTCTGGGATGTGGAAGGATACATATATTTTGGACGAAGGGGAGATTGATGACTTGGGAGTAGTGTACCTGGAGAGTTCAAGTCAACTTGGAGAGCTGCCAGGGCCTGGCGGGCTACCCAAAAAGCTGTGATAGCTATATTACGCATTGTCCTTACCTCTAGTCTGGAGACATGGGTTAACTGTATCGACGTTGAATCCAATCTTCAAGTTGCGAGTTTCTTCAGGACACGAGCAACCAGGCGGGAAGAGATAAAACAGAGAAGCGGCCAGGGAGGAGAGTGCTGAAGCTCCCCATTCCAACGCGTGATCCAAGTACCAACTCACGGACACGCGGGGAATACAGAACGCCCGGCATGTTGCTCGAGTCCTGTATGCTTGCAAGTAGGAATGCAACTTTGGAGGGGCTGTTCATACCCGTGTGATTCTGTGAAGCACCAGCTGTCATCGGACGACGGGAGCCGATCTTGTTCGTCCCAGATTGGGTGACGCCAAATGTCCTAGCGCCACAACGTTCTCGAGCGCCTGTTTCTGTAAGGGGAGAAACGTGCACACCTGTGCATATTGGAGATGTGGTCATGGCGATATCCTAGTGGTGTCTCAAAACTCGGTGTACCCGATATCTCGAGGTGGTGGAACTCGACGTCTTTGATGCCTTTAATATAACCCTATTCTCCATGTTAGACATAATCATTGTCGTAGTGGTGAAAAGAGGAAGAAAGGCGATAACTTGCTCGCCGTCAATGAGATCGGTCTTGGGATGCTGCACGGAGATATCGGACGAACCGGTGCACCGGCCGATCTACCGTTCGTGTTCCTGGAATCTCTGTCGTCATGATGGCCGTATCGTATTGGAACCCTCCACAGTCATAGAGACCATCTCGCATGTTTTAGAAAATGTGCTTCTAGCCTTCAGTCCTAAGCATTGAACTAATGACTGCCTCGTACCCAGTCTGAATTTCTAGTCTCGATATTGTTCATACCACCAATCGTGGGACACTCGACAGTCGGCATCATCTCACGTTGCACGCCGTACAACCAACCGGTGGTACGATGTTTTCGGAAATTTGTCATCTCAGGCGCCTCCATAGCCGTCCGTCCATGATTCAGTGATATCCCTTGCGTCAGCTCCCCTCATAAGACATTCTGATCCCGGAGGTTTGTTATATTTGGGTTGATTCTCCATTTGAGAAACAAACTTTTCGGAGACCAAACAATATCGACATGAAATGCTTCCACACATTTTGCAAGTCTGGGGCTGTTAGTCACCATGAGAGCAACAAAAGGGTATCTTCTCTATATTCAAATTTTGGGTGACTGACGCGTTCACAATGAGCCTGTTTCAATAACCAGTTTTAACCAACCAATGTAACGCTTGAACATGATCCAGCAAGTTGACAACTTAACCCCAAGTACCACCGCCACCACCACCACGTCCGCCTCTCCTCTGCGCACTAAGACGCCAATCGTCCGCGCCGGCGTACTTGTTGTACAGCGGTTCGATCCGTTCAGCCTTCTTCCGCTTCGATAGCTTGTCGGTCGGCGCCATCTTGAAGAAGGTCGGTGCGGCCTCGACCAGCCACTTCGGCTCGATGCTGGTTGTGTAATGCATGTACTCACGGGTGGTCAAGACCAAGGTGTGATAAACGACCCACTCAGCTTGCTTGCCGAAGAGCGCCGAGCTGGGATGGAGATACACAGGCGTGCCTTCGATCAGCGTCTTGTAACCCTCTTGAGGGTCCTTGCGAGCCGCGTTGCGGAAGAAACCGGCGCAAAGGGCTTGCCGGACCTTGTTGGTATCACGGCCACAGCTGATGACGGGATGCCTGTGGCGATCCATGATCTTGACAATCTGGTCACGCACATCTTTGGCGCGTCGCATAGAACGTGCCTGGATGAAGTTCTCGAAACACCAAGGGTTCGCATACCCGTTGTTTTTCCACGAGTTGTAGACGTTGAGGAGGGTCAAATGATCTCCATGAGGATCGTGGAATTTGGCCTTCTTCTGGTCCGCCTGAGCTTGCTTCTCCTTGGGGCGATAAAAGACATTGGGGAGGTTGAGCATGGCGACAATAGTCACCATCTCGTCTGAACAGCCCTTTTCCACAGAGGCAATAAGAACTTTAGCAAGGGCTGGCTCCATTGGGAAATCAGCCATCTTTCTTCCAAGGCGTGTCAAAAGACCTTCGTCGTCCAGCGCAGCGAGGGCGTAGAGCTCTTCCAGGGCTGTAAGCATAGTATTGACGGGAGGTGGGTCCATAAAGTCGAACCGGAGAAGGTCATTGATGCCCATAGCCTTCAGCATAAGGATAGTGTTGGACAGATTCTGGCGCTGAATTTCGGGGATTGTGGTAGGCAACATTTCAGACTGGTATGCGGCTTCTGTATACAAGCGGAAGCACTTTCCTGGTCCTGTTCTACCAGCTCGACCGGCTCTCTGGTTGGCTTGAGCCTGGGAAATAGGAGTGACAACCAACGAGTCCATGCCGAGTTTGGGGTCGTATGCGTTCTGCTTGACGAACCCTGGATCAACAACGTAGTAAATATGGTCGATCGTGATGGATGTCTCCGCAATGTTGGTCGCGATAACAACCTTTCGACTCCCTGGCGGTGCTGGGTCGAAAATCCTACTCTGCATCTCACTAGGAAGGGCAGAGTAAACGGGCAAGATGAGAAGCTCAGGAACGTTAGGACCCAAGGCTTTCATCCGTTCGTATAGAATTTCGCAAGCCGTGTCAATTTCTTCCTGTCCTGTCAAGAACAAAAGGATGTCGCCCATTGGCTCGCTGAGATGGATTTGCATGACGGTGGTGAGAGCGGCATCCAAGTAGTCTGACTCTGGTTCACGGGAGTAAAGAATCTCGACAGGAAATGTACGACCAGGGATGGTAAAGATGGGGCATTGGTTGAAGTACTCGCTGAACTTGTCGGCATCCAAGGTAGCACTGGTGACGATAACCTTGAGGTCCTCCCTTCTCTTCATTGTCTTTTTCAACAGGGCAAAGAGCACATCGGTGGCGATGGTACGTTCGTGGGCCTCATCAAGCATAATGACCGAATATCTCTTAAGATCGGGGTCGATCAGGATCTCTCTCTGAAGCATACCGTCGGTCATATACTTGATCTTGGTTGCTGGGCTGGTGACGTCCTCGAATCTGATGGTATAACCGACTTCTTGGCCAAGCTGGCAGCCGACTTCTTCAGAAACACGTTTCGCAACGGACACGGCGGCGACACGGCGAGGCTGCGTACATCCAATCATCCCATTGTTAGTAAAGCCGGCTTCTGCCAGGTATTGAGTGAGTTGTGTCGTCTTTCCGGATCCCGTCTCGCCGACAACAATCAGGACCTGGTTTTCCCTCACAGCAGTGATCAGTTGTTCTCTGAAGGCAAAGACGGGGAGAGATTCTCGTTGCTCCTTGATGCTCATGTTGGTGCGCCTGCCTAGCGACACTTCTTTGGGTGCAACGGCCCTCTTCCACTCAGGAACAGCATCGGGAGCCGCTGGTGCCGCTTGAGCGTTTTTGCGCAAATCACTAGCAAACTTTCTAGTCTCCGGGTTGGCCATAGGATCTTGCCATTGGGAGGACAAGTCAACCTTTTTCTCCTCTGCCTTTTTAGCTTCAGTCTCCTGCTGCCGCAGTTCCTTCCGTTCTTTGGCAAGATTGGTGCCTGCCATGGCGGCGCGGTTAAGGGACCCGTCGGGAGCCTTAACAACGCGGATGGGTGACAGCTCGAGAGACTGTTTGGTCTGTCCAGCCAGAAACGGAGGTTCCTCGTCTCGAACCTCAATATCGACATCCTCCTCAAGCTCCATCTGTCCCTCGCCTTTGAGTGTTGCCTGGTAATCCTCTTCAAGTTCTGGGTAATCGGATGCCTTCGCAATGCCTGCCGCAATCATTTGACGAATCTCCCATCTTTCAGGAGACGTCATCCTCTTTTTGTGTTGCCTGGCATTTGCTGTCGCCTGGAATGCTCCCTTGTCACCAAAGCCATTGGTGACAACATTCTTTGCATCGTATCCTCCTCTCCCGCCCAATGCCTCCATATTGGCGCCCGAACCTATCCGCAATTGCGGTGCGAGGTCCATACCCGTCTCTTGGTCTACGTCCTTCATCGACAAACCTACTCTACCTCCCTCGAGCTTAATGACTTTGACTTTGACTTCCTGACCCTTGGATAAGAGATCCGAAGGGTGGTTGACACGCTGACCGAAAGCGGATACATGCACCAAGCCGTCAATCTTGCCCTTAACGCCATGCAGGTTGACAAAGGCACCAAAGTCCTTGATTCCCGTGACGTGGCCTTCGTAAACCTTGTAGAGAATGGGAGTTTCGTCCACCTCGCGCGGTGGTGGCCGTCGGAAATCACCATCGTATTCATCATCATATCGGCCCTTCCGTCGGCCCCTTGGTGGCGAAATTGACCTCGACCTTGACCTCGACCTTGACCGGTATCGCTCCTTGCGCTTCCTCTTCCCGTAGTCGTCTGCATAGTCGTCTCGTTCGGGGGTACGGCTTCGTTTCCTAGGTCGTTCTTTCTCCGCTCTCTTAGGCTCGAGGCTCTCAAGCAATGCCAGGGTGTCGTCGATGACATCCACCTCCTTGTCCGGGATGGACAGACCCTTGAACACCTTTGTCTTTTCCTCGGCAGATTGACCATGCTTCTCGTTTTCATCGGCGCGGGTCTGTCCATGATTTTGGCCCTTGAACTTTGGGTGCAAGGTCAGGACAAGTCTGTCGATACTCTCGACCAAGCTGGGCGGGAAGTCGGCGCCGATGGTGGCCAACTTCTGCTTGAACTCGTCGAATGACCCGCATTCTACTCGTTGGGCGATGATGAACTCGGCGAGGGTCTTTTCGCTGACCCCCAAGTGGTTCTGCAACTCGGACGTGACCTTGGACACGAGCGACAGAAGCTCGAGGCTCTCCAAGTCGTCCATCGCGGTGGCCGTCTGGTGGCTTCAGTGATTTGTGGCTATCGTCCGTGGATAAAATCGGAAGTTGTATGAACGTCTGTCAAGCAAGGGCGAGCGTTATGACAGGGAATTCGACAGCTCCCGTCAACAATGGAGGGGAGATCTGTTGTGATGGCTTAAGTTTTCGCAAAAGGACCAGAAATCCGGCACCTCGAGACGATGTTGGGAGATACAGTGACAACGAATTGCCTGTAGCGGACGCGAAAAGCCGAAAAGTGCAGTGATGCGCGCGGCCTGTCCATTGCCAGAGGCCAGCAACAGCGAGGCTCCACGACCCGCCAAGAAATGGAAACTGCCGGAGAGTTCCCGTGACTCATCGTTTTATCCCATCTATCACAGCCACTTAAAATGTTATGGTTTTGGAAGCGCACGAGCCAGTCATCGATGCCAGTCATTAAAGGGAACCTTGATGGCCACATAACCCTAACCCCTACCCCTTCTCTACCGGTCAGAATTCAGTCCCTTGAAGAGTTGAAGGAAGGTCTTCCCTTTGCCCCTGTCGTTCAGGTGGTCGAATTGGGCGGGGTTCCTGTGTGGTAGCTTACGCAAGCTCCCCTGGCGCAGGGCCTGGCCTCTTCCGTCGGCGCGTGACCCGCCCAGTGACGAAGCCCCATCGGTTGCATCATTGAGGATCCGCAGCCTCTCCATCAGTCCATCTTTCCTCCATTCGTCTTACATCGTTTTGGATGCTGCTTGAACATTACCATAAACATCAACACCTTCGTTTCCTACCTATTTATCATCAAAAATAGTCACACGTTTCCAGTCCTTTTAATCTGTATCCTTGCGTCGTCTTGGTTGCACAGTACAACAAGCACAACAATGTGTTCCACCGACATCTTCCTTGGCTTCTTAGCCATCCTCTTCCCACCGCTGCCTGGTAAGCTCAACATCATATTTCAAACAAAGTCGCCTTACAAGGCTATCTACGATCATCCACTAACCCCTTCCCCACAGTCTGGGTCAAAACCGGCATCTGCTCCGCTGACTCTTTCATCAACCTCCTTCTCTGCGTCCTCGGCTTCCTCCCCGGCCTTCTACACGCCTGGTACATCATTGCGAAGAACCCTACCCCACCATTTGACTACGACGGCGCCGTTTACGACGCCAATGACATCGGCCGCGTTGAAAGCGGTCAACGAATTTATGTCTTTGTCCACGACCAGCCCGGCAACAATCAAACCGGCGGTGGCCGCCACTACCACCACCAACAAGCCGCCCACAAGAATCAGCAGCCGCAGCGACAAGGGCCCATGAATTACGGCACAACCGCTGGCCACGCGCCCCAAGATTCGGGTATTGCACATGCTGGTCCTAGCGCAGGAGGAGACAGCGACAACAGCCATGCTGCGCCCCCGCCGAGTTACGCGCAAGTAGTAGCAGGTGATCATAAAATTCAGACTCAGGATTAGGGTCCTTCTACATCTACGATGCCGACAGCCACTGATGATGTCTCTACTTCTGCATCTGTCAAGACAGAGGGTGCTACTCGTTCTTTCAAAAATTGGAAGAGCGCGGCTTGCGATTGCCAGTGCGCTTGCGAGTGTCCTGAGCAGCAGTGTTGCAGTCCCCAACAAGCGCAGTCGTCATATTTGGCTTTGGTGATGCAGTGGTTTCCTTTTTACGGATCTCCGTGGCATCCGTAAGGATTATTGATTAGTATGTGAAGAGTTCTAGGAGATACAATGGGTTTCAGGAATGGCCGATGGGTCAAGCGGGTACATTCAGGCAGGGACGGAGTAGTCACTTTCATGCGCGTCGGGTTACTTCTTTGCTTTGATGGCTTATCACGATGGGATAGTTCTGCGTCTGGTGTTGGGTTATTGTAAGGATATATGAAGACATGGGACTTGGAGGCAACAGTGAAATTTAACTTTCCATTATTTTCAGCGACCTGTGCTAGTTCTTGTGGTCCACCATGAACAAGGAAATTTATTCCTGTCGGTAGTTGCTAGCCTCTTATGTTTAACGGCCGAGATTTTACGCAACAATGGCGATAAGACCACACTCCAAGCTCTCCGGCGAGCTCGATTTGCCTTCATCTGATGCTGCCCATGGTAATTTGGCTGTTTCTTTGCAACTCACAGCCTGCGAGGGTAGAACAACCTACTTATGCTGTGCGTCCATGTAACCATATGTTTTCGCTCAGAACCCAGCATTTCGAATGTCACTCTCAGTTACAATGACCGTTGCATGACCCCAGATTCCCGCTAAAGAACTAAAGTGCCCACTCAATTTCATCATCTCCGAATGCAGAACCAACCGGGGCGTTGTCAACCAGGGCACTACCGACCGGGGCACCATCGACCGGGAAAGCATTAACCGGGGAAGCATCAACCTCCGGGGCATCATCCTCTAGGTCAGCGTTCAAGAAGTCGCCCATGCCATCACCGCCCTCGAACGATCCGGTAGGGTTGTGGATACTCGGGCCCGGTCTGGGATTCACCACCGGCTCCTTATAACCCCACATAAGCTCCTGGGGTAGGAACTCGTAAAAGGTTGGATAGCCGTCCACCGAATTCTTGATGAATCCGACGCCGTAGTTCAGCAGACAGATGTCCATCTTGAACTTGAAGCCAACCTTCATCAGGGCCAAGATCTCCTCCTCCATTACCAGATTGTAGGTAACATCCTCTACCGTGTTGTGCATTGTGTTCTCCCAACCGTCGCGAATAACGGAAGGTTTCACCTGAAAGAAGCCACAGGGTTTGATCGCGTTGGCATCACCAAGGTACTTGTTGATGCTCTTGAACTTGGCGTGGCACTCGTCGTTGGGCAAAACGATGCTCACCACCTCGTACGCCTGCTGGGTGATGGTCTTGGTGACGGTCGGAAACCCGGCCAGCTCTTTGAATCTGATGCCGTTTTCGTGGCCGCACTTGGAGCTCATGAGAATGGACATCACAATGCCGATATTCTGGCGGGCGGCTTTCTCGTCCATCAATTCACGTGCCCAAGCCATGTCATCGTCGTCCTCGCAGGTAACGCGACGGGCGGCGAAACTGAAATTACCTGGGAGGAGGAGGAGGGTCTGGACGAGCAAAGGCATTTCCTCACGAGCCTTTTGACAGATCTTTTGAGCATTCTTGATGTCCTCGGCGTACTCAGGACAAACGTCGTGAAGATCAACGTACTTGAGGAAGTTGGATACAAGATCTACACCGGCAGCATAGTCTGCTGCTCCGGGGGTAGTCAGACGCATCAGGGTCTCGGAACTACGAACGTTAGCTTCGTGACAGTCAAGGAAGAGACAAGTTGAACTAACAAGAATCCAGCGGCCACGCCGGTAAAATCGACATCCCAGTGCTCCGGCTTGTTGGGATTATAGTAGCGAGAAGCATGCATACCAGGCTTGCGCTGCACATAATCGTTGGCCGCGATATCACGGATGTCGTCCTTGTCCAAGCCATCCAAGTCACGGCTGGTAAGCGACGCGGTACCCTGAAACTGGCGAGTAGTAGTATCGATGCCGCCCAAGAACAGATATCTGCTGAATAAGTTCTCCTTCGCGCTATCGAAGCGACGACGGGCACGGTAGCGTTGAATACATTCCTCGATGCGGTCAACGAACGGTCGGCTGGGTGGGTAGATGGACTTCCTCTCTTCCTCGTACTCGGCTGGCGTAATAGGGGGGTCGCAAAAGTACTCTGACGGTAAGAACGATGTCAATATACCGAGTGAGCGGGAATGGTGCGGTGGACTTGCGATCGTCATGGAAGAACACGATAAACTTACCTTCAAAGCCAGTGGGGCGCTTCTTCTGACCCTTGCTCTTCTTGGATCTTTTCTTCTTCTTAGGTACTGCAGTTTCGGCCAGGGGCATGTTCTCCTTGCCATCAACAGGGCTACTGTCGCCATCTGACGGCTTGGTCTCCTCCTCACCATGGGCGGCGGCGTTATCGTTGTCAGAAGACAGCCTGGCTGCGGTCACTTCCGCCGGAACGTCCCCCGAAGAGGCGAAGTCCTGGACATGAGTAGACATGCTCAAGGCTGTAAGCGAATCAGTTGAACGAGAAGTGATTACGGCCTAGTGGTCTTTGTGGTGGATGTGAGAATATCACACCTCTGCGTCCCTGTTGGTCTTTCGGTGAGTGACAGGTGAGTAGAATGTGATGATGGAGGGGTTTTCAGGCTAGGTCGACCCAGACACTCCCCGACCGTTTGCTCTCAAATGGTCTCGCGGCGTCCAGAATTTGCGCAGAACGCACGCGTGTGATCCAAATTTGCTAAGGCTTGCTGTTTTGCGGCTGAGACTGCCTGCTGGATGGTTGTCGCTACCTTATGGTCGGTGTGAGAAAGGCAGAATTAATGTAGAGGAAGACTGGAGGGTAGAATAGAAGCCAGAAATGATTTTGTACGGGCAAAAGTACGGACCGGCAGAGAAAAGGAAGCAGAAGGAAGCCAATAGAGGTAGTTAGTTTAGCCACAGTTAATGGGATGGATTCGAGATTTGAAACTCATCCGATATCGACCGCTTCACTGCTCTTTTGCGTAGCAAATTGGAGCAGCATCATGTTTCCATCGCATCCGTGGTCCAGGAGATGGAATTACCGATCCTATCCTGAACAACTTTGCCAAACGGTTTTCCTAGAGAAGATTGTAAACTGCATGGAAGTTATCGACAAACATACGTGAGACGAAGTTTGAACCTTCCGGCTGCATTGAGGTTTGGCGTAGTGTTGAGTCGGCAAGAACGAATGACACTTCTCTTCACTCGCCTTCCGCGCTGCTAAAGAGCTGCAGACTGCAAACGCTGCAATGTACCTCCCGGTCTAAGCTCTCATCTGGAATGCCATGGAGGTTGCGCCTTAGATCTTTCTCGTGTCCCATTTCAAAATCGCGACGAAGAGACAAAGAGCAGACGGGGCGACAGATCCCCCAACACATTGTACGCCTGGGCGACCAAGTGGGAATATACGCTCGCATGTGGTGGCAGTACAGTTACCTCCCACTATGTACCTTCTTGCAAATACCCCTTACCCGCCGCCAAGCCTCCCGTGGATGCCTCCCTTGACTCCGCACGATCGGCGCCTCCCAAGGTATTGCTGCCTTTTGCTTGGGGCTGGACACTTGCGTCTGCAACAAGCGCCGATAGAGCAAACATATCGATGGAAATAAGATATGGGCGCTGCCTCTTTGAGATACTTGACATAGCAGAATGAAAAGCGGATGTCCACTGAGATGATCAGGAACGCGGTTGGGAATTGAGGGTGTCGTTCCAGCTTTGGGAGCGAGTACCTACTGTGTAGCCCAAAGTTCTCAGCTTCCACTGAGTTTGTATCAGGACCCCAAATCTCGATCTGCTGTGTGCCAGGTGTTGGATATACGATATTGTGATCCAACAATTAGATTTCCCTAGCTAAGCGCTGGCTGTGAATGTGCAATAAAGCAGTCAATGAGCCGTTGACGTGTGTGCGAGACATTTTCAGTTGGCAGTTGGTGAGAGGTCTGCCAACCCACGGTTGTCCATGTGAGAGGCTCATTGTCGTACTTCCACATCAGTAAGCCGGCTTTGATCTGATCATTTTGCCCTCCGACTGCGACCGTCTGAGACATCTCGCACAGGTCTCCCGTGTCACACTAACCATCTTGCTAATCCACCAACTACCGGTTGGGCTGTATCAAACAAAACCCGCGTATATATGGCTGACAATTGTTCATTGATGATCATATGAATGAGAGTCATCAAAGAGCCCTTTTGATTCGCGCTCTTCGCGATATGCGGCGCCTGACTTCGGTTCGGATACGGCGGGCAAAGGAATAAGACTAAGACTCGCATTTGAGAGCAGCGTATCTGAATGGACGAGATGACAAGGCAGAATGCATGGCGAGGTCGCAAAAAACGTGGCTGTGTGTTCGAACTTGGGGGAGACTCTTCCGCCACCCTCTCAATATCGTGAAATGTTGAGAATGCGGAAGCGGAATGGTAGTGTAGAAGTCCATCCAGATGCCTTCGATTTCTACGGGCTTGTAACTCCATGAAGGCGCAGCTCACCCCCTCGCGGATAATCCCCCGGTCTGTCCTGCCGCCGTCGAGGCTGGAAAGGGTCCAATAGTGGGTCTTTGGTCTCCTGGAAGGGCCGGTGGGGAGGGCTATGAACACATCTGATTGGCAACAGCCCCTCGCCCCATCTGCTCAGCAACGAACCTAGCGCGCTCGCTGCATTTTCCAGCGCTCGTGCCCTCCCGCAAATCCCGTCTGGTGCCCTGTTGCAGTGTCCGTGCCTGGCTGTCGCGAACCGCTGTGAGGGACGGGGACCCGACTCACAAAGGAACCTGGCTTGCCTGGAATGGAACACTGGCGCGGGGAGTGCGCGTTGCCCCCCTGGTGATGAAGCTCCCTCTCCTTCCCCCTTTGACATTGATATCCACGCACTGCAGCTACACATTGGCAGCTGAACACTTGTATCAGCAGGTACCTAGAGGTAACCTCGTCGACGACCGTGGGACGGCATGTGGTGATGCGTGACAGGTACCACTCCGCCTCCAACACCTCGTCTTTCAAATTTGTTTGTCCCGTCCTCCCCCTTTTCCACCTTTCCTGCTTTCCGGAATACAAAAGCCCCAGGCCCCGAGCCCTTGACCTTGGCCCTTCCTTCACCGAATGTTAAACTGCTATGCAATTTTACAATCGAGCGCCCGCTGCCTAAAACGTGTATCACTTCGAAGAATACTCGACAATCTGGCAACCCTTAGCCCATGAAACTGCGAGCGCTAGTCACGATCCGCCCAAAAGTCGCATTCGTGCCCCTCCGTTGCCAGCTAGTAACGACGCTTCTTACCTGAACTGCCACCAAAGAGTCCGTTCACCAGGTCCATCCAAACCGCGAGGACACGTCACGCAATATCTCCGTACAACGTTTCTATACAAACCGCAAACATGATGGGCTCAACACCGATACCCAAGCACCATGAGCTCAAGCCCTACAATCTTGCGGTTGCCGGCCAGTATGTTACTTTTCAGCCTTTGGACTCACCCGCCTCCGCTTTTTGGGCTCTAACCTTTCGGGCAGTGACGGTACAATGTGCGATTCTCAAGGCGAACTCTTCATCAAGCCCTGCACCGATCAGGAGCTTCAGTTTTACAAGACGGCCAATGAGAGCCACCAGGCGTTCGCCGACTTGATGCCCGTTTTTATGGGCGAGCTAGAACTGAACGACTCGACAAGCGTCAGGGACTTGGATGAACAGCTCCCCGCTGTTTCCGAAATACTTTCCAAGGAAACAAAAGAGGAGATCATCAAGTTTAGCAAGGAACAGGCTGCTGAGGCCGCCGCCCAGTCCCCCGCGCCGAGCACTGACAGACAGTGGACGGAAAAGGCCAAGTCCAGAAAGATCGAGACTAATAAGTCGGTGGTACTGGAGAATTCAGCGTACGGTTACACGCGTCCTAACATTATGGACGCTAAACTCGGCAAGCGGCTGTGGGCAGATGATGCGCCCAAGGCGAAGCAAGAGCGATTTGATATAATCACCAAGGAAACCACCAATGGCTCGCACGGATTTCGCATCGCCGGCATGCGCGTGTACAAGGGATCCACCAACCCCGATGAGCTGGACGAGCAGGATTATAAGGTCTACGACAAGCATTACGGCCGGTTAGAGGTCAACGCGAATAATGTTGTGGAGGCGATGCGCAAGTTCATCTTCAATCCTCAGGCCGGGATAGATGAAGAACTCGGCAAGATCATTGCGGGTCTTTTCCTCAATGACCTAAGGCGCATCGAGGAGGTGTTGGCCTCGGAGGAGAGCAGAATGTATTCGGCGAGCTTGCTGTTCACATTCGAAGGAGACGGCAACGCGTTGAGAGCTGCCCTTGACCGGACCAGAGCTGACATGTCGGGTGAGCAACACAAGAAGGATGATGGACCGTACACGCCAGGTCTATCTGCATCTCGCGTTGATAGTGGCATCGAGATGGATGACGAGGGGCAGATGGTGTTTCCAATCAACGCAGCCATCGGCCAAAACATGATACTGGCGAACCTGGCTCAGGCACCTGGTTCCCAAGACATCCAACTGACTGCGGATTCCGACGCAGACAGCATGTCGGGTTCCTCGAACGGCGATATTCCTCGCATTTACTCCCTCAAACTCATTGACTTTGCACATGCCGAGTGGACACCCGGGCAAGGCCCAGACGAGAACGCTCTATTTGGCGTTCGGAGTTTGATCAAGATCTTTGAACAGCTGGCAGATGATTGAAGGGTGGGTTTCCGAAAGCAATCGTGGAGTTAAGGCGGCATTTCAAGGCGTTTGGGATTGCAATTCGGGCTACCTTGCGAGACTACGGTTATAGCATGCCACGGGCAGGTTAGAGGAAGGGAAAGAGACGAAAAGGGAAGAGAGCATATACGCATATATATGCATAGGTAGAGGGGTAGGTTTTTGACGTCCGTTACGAACATCATTGAAAGAAGGGGAACCAGCCACACGGGTTATTAGGGGGACGGCAATTCTTTTCACGCAATATACCCCTTATTTTTATTGTACGCTATTATCCGATGATCTTGTCGCATCTCTAACATGACTGTAGTATCTGGATGTTGTGGTCTGTGACAATAATTCACATCTTGTGCTCGAACCACGTGCCAAAGTTTACTGTTTCAACTTTGTTCTTTGAAATTTGCAATCAAGGTAGACATGCTTCAGAAAATTGACAAACTCCGTCAGTAACAGCTGCCGTTTAGAGGAAATACTAAAGTGGGCTGCTTTTAATTCGATTTCCAAAACACTCGAACTGGGACGAAAAGTGGAAGCGGAAACCAAATGAATTAGGTACAGTCTGAAGTGAGACAACGAATGCCCTTGACACGCTTCGTTAGTACCCTCAGGGTAGGTACACAGCGTTTGAGCCCCACTGCCCGCAGCCGCTAAACTCAGCTTCAAGTTTTCAACAGCCCCGGCCTTGCTGCAGTGAGCATCAGCTCCCCTCCCGTCTTCCACTTCCATTGCATCCATGCCACAATAGAGGTAATCCCTGCATGCCAACGGCTGGAACTTTACAACTTTCACCCCCATTGGCGCAAACGCAAACAGAACTTTACAAGAAGGAGAACGAAATACAAGTACATATCCAACAGCCTGTGAACAATCTCGTTCACGCGCTGAACACAGCCCGCCATGTCGATTCCAGGCCTCGGTCAGATAGCCCCGCAGGTAAACGAACCCAAGCTCTCGCGCGGACAATGCTTCGTATAACCCCAGGCGCGCACGTGTATCCAACGTCATCACCGTCCCCTCACAAGCCATTATTATCCATAGTCACACTCGTGACCCGAGATCACAGCCAGCTAACCATCGCCTGATATTTGCCCGTTTACGGTAATACAGGCTCCCACAACCACCCAGCGAACCATCAACCTCCGACCGTTCGGCGAATGGCGCTTCTCCATCCCCCACCAACACAGCACCTTCTCATCGAACTCCTCCGCCGCCGGAGTCACCGTCCGCCTCGCCGCCGGCACTGCTGAGCGCGATGGCACCGAACTGGCGCCCAACTGCGTCTACACATTCCTCCCCGGCACCAAATCGAAGCTCTTCACCGATCAAGGATGCACTCTCGAGATCAACAACACGGGCGGCTACCCCCTCGAGGACCGCGTGGTTGAACACCCGCCGGAACAATCGCCCATGCTTAGCTATATCAACCTCCACTTTGGCCTACAAGACCACGAGCGTGCCGCGGCCGCTCAGGCACAACAACAACAACATCCTACACACCACCAGCAGCAGCAACAAGGGAGAGGAGCAGGAGCAGGAGTAGCGAGGCCAAAACCCGGGCCAAGAGTGCTGATCTGTGGTCCACCCGGCGTCGGCAAGACCTCGCTGGCGAAGCTCCTCGCTGCTCTCGCCACGCGCATGGGCTCCCAGCCGCTGGTAGCCAACCTGAACCCGACCGACGGGCTGCTGTGTCTCCCCGGAACGCTGGGTGCGGCCGTGTTCGGCACGTTGATGGACGTGGAGGAGCCGGCGGGTGGGTTTGGCGTGACGAACACGCCGATCAGCGGTCCCAGCGCGGTGCCGGTCAAGAACCCGCTCACATTTTACTTTGGACACGAGAAGGTAGAGGACGACGTGGACATGTGGAGGCAGATGACGGAGCGGCTGGCGGTGTTGGTCAGGCGCAAGTTTGAGAGGAATCGGGATGTGAGGATGGCGGGGTTGTTGGTTGATACGGCGCCGGTGGAGGCGGGGGACAAAGAGGGGCAGGATTTGTTGGGGTGGGCGGTTAGGCAGTTTGATGGTGAGTTTATATTTGATTGGCCTCCAGAAAGACCTCATAAAGAGTGACGAAAGCTAACGATGCAACTTTAGCAAACTTGGTTGTGGTGCTCGGCTCTGAACAGCTAAAGACAGAACTTGGGCAGCGGTTTGCAAGCGAGAAGACGAGCTTTGAAGAGCCGGTTACTGTCCTCGGGTTAGACAAGTCGGATGGTGCTGTACAGATTGACAAGGCGTGGAGGCAGAAGTCTACAGAGACGGCGATTAAGGAATACTTCTTTGGTGGCATTAAGGCGCGCTTGAGCCCCTTTACACAGTCAGCCAGCTTCGACGAGCTAGTCGTTTTCAGGGCGCCTGACGGTGAGTTTTTTTTCGTTCTCTCTCTCTCGCTCTCACTGCACTGATACTACCTCACCCTACCTGGTACCTAAGCTAACGCCTGTCTTTACCAAAACAGAACCCTATGAAGGCGCCCCAGTCCTCGAGCGAGTCGAAATCACCCCCGAAATGGCCCACTGGACGCTAGCAGTCATGATCGCCTCCGTGACCGACTCGCCGCAGGCCATTCGGTTTTCCTCGGTCAAGGGCTTCATCGTCATCGCCGACGTGGACCAGGAGCGCAGGCGGGTCAAGTTCCTGTCGCCGGTCAGCGGTCGGCTGGGCAACCACCCGCTGATATGGGGACGCTGGCCGGAACCGTACCTCAACCTCCTGGCGTAGGCTCGCCAAAACGTGCTGTGGGTACGGACGAGAGATGGTGGTCAACAGTTGAGCCTACAAGAGACAAATGATCTTGGGGTTTGCTTGAAGGCGTGGAGGGAACTGACGGATACGGCTGGCGTTTGGTTGGGCTTCGAGATGGAAAATGGTGAAAATGGCATGTAAAGGTGTTTATTGTTGTTGTTGCTTTTGGGTGTCTTTTCACTAGCATGAGAGCGGGAACATATCTGGTACATTCTTATTTTTCTCGGTGTTGCTGATTTGACTCTTGTTGCAAATTGTTCGTGGTGCTTGGAAACGCAAGACATAAGTCAGTTGCATGCATTTTACAACACTCTTTACGTTGGTTGTAACATAGTATTATAGAGTCTTCCCGTTTGGTACTCGTCTAACAACGTGACCGATCTATGGTTGGTTCCCCCTATTTCTGTTGCCTGTCCTTGACCATGAGGCTATGACACCGATAATGACCATTCGGACGAAAGACATTATATGCAGTAGGTCATTTACCTATCCCTTATTGCTAGAATCACACAGTGGTCGTGACGAGTTACCTATATAAGGGGATTCAAGTACACCAAGGGACTGTTGAGTGTGCATGGCAGGTAAATTTTCATGTACATTGATCGGGGTATTCTGCCCTCCGGGACTCAGTACGTCACTTCGTAACTCATTCAGCGATGGTTATTCACTTTGCTGGAGAAAGAGGTGAATCCTCCACTAGGAATAGAAATAACTGTCCTAAATTAGTCTCTTATGGTACGTAGAGTATCGTTTTTTCCGAATGGGTATAGAATATGCGGGACGTATCATGATGACTTCATAATGTCAGCCTGCCTTCGCAGACTAGCTCGTGATCTAAAGTTGTGGATAAAGAGCGTCCATTGAAGATTGCCTAACTTGTGCTTTCAAAAGTCCACTCACTGTAGCAGACCGGCGTCATGAATTTTGCTGAATAATGAACAAGATCTTTACCTTGAGCAATGGTTATCGCAAAAGGAGGACAAACCGGAGAACTCATATAACATCACGTGGTTAATCTGGCTCTTCCCATCATCAATCTCTTCTTGAGAAGTCATTATCGGCCACAATCGAAAATGGTTGATCGAAAACCGTTGGACGTTGAACGTTGGAAAATGCCTAATGTCGTTCTGCCATCCAACCGGGTACCCATGATGGCTTTCATCAAATCAAGGCATTCCCTGCATTCAGGAGGACAAGACAATGGGTATCGTAGCCGGCGCGGACGGGGAACGGGGGAACGGGAAACGGGAACCGTTGAACTCTGAAGGGTTCATCCAAGGTTCTCGTCCAAGGTTTTGGGCGTCATATGGCTGTCCTGCTCGTCATTGTTCATACAGGAACCCGGTCAGGGCGTCAGGGCCAACTGGTTACGGTAGCCGAACCCCCATGAACCCCCTCCCCTTCTTCCCCCTTCCATCCCCTCCCCCATTTCACATAAAGAGAAAAAAAAAAAAAACAGGAAAAAAGGATGATACCTACCCCTTCAATCCGTACGATCACTTGCTCGCTCCACGAGCAACTACCCGTTGCATTTTGACAATCTCGGCAATTATTTCGTACTGTATTGCAGGTATGTACGAAGACGACGAACAAAGGGCGGAAGTGCTTCCGATTACTTCGTGGTAGCTCCACCGTTCTGCAGGTATTAATTCCGTTGGCGAGGAACAGCCGTAGGGGCGTATTCTCTTCAGTGATTTTCCTCTGTGCAAGGACTCAAGAATGACGACGAAACGAGGGGAGAGGGCCACACGCCCTGGATCCCTTTGGGCCGTACGAAAACTCCTGGACTGGGATGACCTGGCCCCCTACCCCCCTTGAGACTCTCGGGCAAGGGCCTGGAGAGAAGGGTCTGGCGGTTGACCGTCTTTGTGATGCTTTCTTTCCAGGTGGGTGCGATACCTACCTCGATAGTAGTGTACCTGCCTAGTGAAGTAGTCTAGTCACCGGGATCCATCACATACCCTCTGTCGTGTGTGTTATCTTGAGGAAAAACAAAAGCTACTCGTTGACCGCCGGGATTCGAAGGGGGAAGGGGGGGGTGAAGAGAGTCGCGGGCAGGCGGGGATCTTCAGATGAACCGTTTTCCGTACCCGAAGACATGAGGAAAAGGACGGAACGTGAGTGGACGGAACCATGCCGCGGACATCATTTGAGGAGAGGCGGGCCCCACTCTGCAATTCCCGGCATGCGGTACCCGCTATCCCCGTCTGTCCTTAGCACTCCTCCAAGCAACTCCTTGGTTGTCCGTGCCAACCCAGCCTTGCCCAGCAAGAGATGGGCGAGCTTAACCAGAGTGTCGGGAGACGGAGAGAGCGAACTGAAGGACGGAACCGCTGGCGCTGCGTGCCCGACCATTTAGCCAAAGTCAAGATGGGAAGGTCCAAGTCTCACTTTCACTCGATATCCGTTTTCACCCCCTGACATACCCTTGAGCTTCTCATCTAATCGGTCGTTGATGGATGGATTGCAAAGTGTCGGGATATTTTGCGCGGGAGGAAGGGGAGGGGAAAAGGAAGAAGGTGAGACAGCGCCACTGGTTGTTGGAGAGAACCCCCAATGATTCAGATATCTCGTGGGATTTTGCTTATTCTCTCGCGTTGTTGGCTTTAATCTCGCGGTTGGATATCTAGATGTCAGTCTTGGCCCTCTTGGGAGGCAGGGGGCCCTTTGGCTGAGAGGGCCGGAATGGCTGGCCGGACGAGCTGTCACTTCCGCAGCTGTGGTGGCTGGTGATGTGTTTATTTCTACCCTTCTGGGACAACACAAATGAATATGTAATCATCAGTGTTGCATAAAAAGTCGAATGTGTTGGCTCGGCGCGCTGGACTTCAGTCCGCTCATTTTCCAGTTGCCTGGTTCGCTTCGGCCGGGGAAGGATTCCGTCCGCTTTTTGGATCCATGGCCTAGCCGTATGTGTATCTTTTTGTCTGCCTTTCCGCTCTTTCTGCCTTTTCTTTCGCCTCACCTTCAAAAGACGAAACTGACAGACCGCAAACCCGCCAAATGGAGCGAGCTATGGGCGAGAGAGGGTCAGTTGCGAAGCAATCAGCGGGGTTTCCTCAAAAAACCGTATCCACCGGAGACGTCTCCGACTTTCTCTGAGGCATCAAGAGGCAGCCAAGGAGCAAATTTCCCGCCAAAGAGAACCTTGACGATTTCTAAAAAGAGTAACCGGCAAAAAGTCCGCCCACGTCGGTTCAAGTGAGATGAGCATAGCCTGTGATTTGCGCGCGAGATTAACGACAGATCCGTGCTATCGATCAGCAACACCAAGCCCAAGAACGGTAGTTTTGTCCTGCGGCCCCGGACTTCTGACTCTGACGAGATCTGTAACCGTCGCTGAATCCTGACACAATCGAGGGACGATGGCGAGGTGCTCAAACCCTTTTACTCGCCCGCTGAACACACCACTTGTTTCAATGTCCAATGCCCACTGATGACTTTGCCTCTTTACCTCGAGATCTCCTCATCCCACCGTGCTGTGCATACCCGATCTCAGCATCGTTCACCATGCTTTTCAAGTGCCCGGTGTTGCGAGCGTTTGAAGCGAGCGAAAGATGTCGCGGAGCGGACTGGATGTGGATATGGTGAGGTACCTGGACTGCGATGGCTGGCGGCGGGGACATGTGGCAGTGAGGCATCGTGCGTCTCGCTCGGTCTTTGGTCGCTGAACTCTCGGTGATAAAGGAGGAGGGTAAGATATTTCTACTGTTTCGGACAGAGGCGAACACTTTACATGGACGGCATCTCAAGGACACGGTGGAGGACTCCCATGTCGAGTCGAAATGATCCCCTGTCTGGCGAGTTGATCAGAGGGATGTCCTGGTTGGTCAAAAGTCCTCCGGGTGAGACCACCAAGTACTGCGTAGACGGCTCGTCCCATGATCAAGGCCAATCAAGAGACAGCCTCACATCTGGTGGCTTGAAGTTCTTGTTTTGAAAATCGTTGACGAGCTGCGCATTTTGCGGCACACTCACTCATTGAATTCAATGTGTGACTAGTAGTCTTGTGTGCCGGATCAGGCGTTCCGCGCCGACAATGCGCAGCAGTAGGCAAAGCCTGATACATACTCACCCTCTCACGGTGCCTCGCGAGTAGTCGTGAACCCGGCGTCCCAATTAGAATCAGGACAGCAAGCAGAGTACTAGGCAAATCATGCTTCGGTACTCGCACCCGGACCTTCGTAATCCAAGGCTCATCTTGATTGCCCAGCCAAGGCAGCATGGCTCTGCAGGATGATGACGAGAGAGATGCAGTGCGGTTCTGGGCCAGGGACTGGGGTGGGACAATGAAGTTGCAAGTGCCGGGGAATGATGTGTCGTTGTCGCTTTCGACTGTCCATGTTCGGAGTCTTTGGCCGTTATAAAGTGTTTTTCCTACACTAGAGCCTGTACTCTACAGTGGCACAGTGCCCGCCCGTTGGTACCTTGGGCATCGCTTTCAACGGGCACAGGGCAACTTAACAGTGAAGCTGAAGCATCCAATGGATTTTGCGAGGGGTGGGGCCAGATTGCGAGAGAGTCGGATGTGCTTTCCGCTATTTATCTACAATATGTGCAGTTTGCTGCCAAATCTGATAGCCGGGCACGGGCCATGAGACCCTCTTCAGATTTCGCATCCATCCGAGTCCTGGCTAAATTCATTCCACTTTCAACAACTCCTGTCCATTTGGAACAGCACTGCACCAGATGCTCCTCCCACCGCATTTCCGACACGGTGTCGACTGTATGTAGTGTACAGAGATGCATTCCAAATGGACAATCACCAGCAATCAAGCATTTCGAAGAAACTCCCTCGTATACCTGATCCTGGGCGTCGTTCCCTTGGCTGAAAGTGAGTGGAGGGAGCAGCAGCAGCGGGACGGGCGGGCGGCCCCAAGAAGCAAAACCCCAAAAAGCCAAAAGGCGATTTCAGCGCATTGAATGCTGTCGAGTCGTTTCTCTTTTGACTCGCTCCAGCTTGTCATCACCTCATACCGCCCCAACACGCGCTTCTTCTACGGCCCCTCCACGGCCCCTCATCGCTTAATTTTCCTTTTCGTGGGCGCCGCACTGGCCAGTCAACGAGGACCACATTTTGTGACTTGTTCGACCGGATGGTGGAGTGCCCGAGTGGTTGCCCATCATTGTCGTTGCCTTGGATCGAATGTGGTGTTGGATGTCGGCTGTCTTTTATTCTGGCATTTGGCTGGACGATGACCAAGGCGGGATGTGTGTGCGTGATCTGAGGAGAATCGACTGACTGGCTACCTACCTACCTACCTATAATGCAAGTGTGTTGGTTGCCCTGACGTCCCCTTCTGCCATGCCATCTCATTCCTTCTCGTCTTGTTTGCCCTCGGGAAAGGGCCGTATTCACAGCTCAAGCGGTTCTAGCTAGGTACCTCTACCTCTAGGTATGTATTGTGCGATTGCCGTGTGCAAACCACGCGGTTGACAAGTATCCGGGCATTGTCGACCCTCCCTCTGTCACTCCGCAAAAAGCAACACTGCCCTGCAAAGAGAGAAACAGCAAAGCATGCCGTTGCTGTTGCCCCGTCTTGGCACATCGTCGGCGCCTCCTCGCCAATCTTCTTGTTGCTTTTTCTTTCAAGACAGTCATGGCATGCCAAAAATCCAGGTACGCTGTTTGGACAATGACCGAGATAACGGAAGAACTTCACACTTTCATATGGACCTACCTACCTTGGTTGGGCCCCGTCACCTGTAGCTAGCTGGCTACAGCAGTACTAGGTACTCGAGCAGCCCAATGGGTTTCCTCTCTCGACATGAACATTGCTTTCCCGAGTTCCCACTGTCTTTCATTCGCTTGGGCGGCTCAGCCAGTCAAACCGACGGCCCGGCCAGTGCTGGACATTTAATGGACAAGGCCCTCTGACGGCCCTGAAAGCCTGGCCGCCAGAGCCGTGTCACATTGTCAGGTCTTGTCTCGAGTGGTGATGTTGATCACTTTTCGTCCCATGTGGACCGGGACGACCCAAGCGAACGGGAGTTACTTCCACACACTCACTTTACTCCTGGCGCTCTAACAAGCCAAGCAAGCATTGCAGGGCCCGTCGCCTAAAAAAGTCCCACGAGGATGCTCCCACGGCTCACCGTCCCGGGGTTGGATTCTCCGTTTTCCCTAGCAAGCAAAAAGCAAGCTACATTCAGTAGCCCTGGATATTCCACAAGTAGTTTGCCTCCCCATTTCTCATGGTCCTCTCCTCTGCCTGCCTCTCAGTCAGTCACGGGTCTGCACCCTCGCTCGAACCTCAAACCGGACCAGGAAGGGGCTTTCTCTGCCTTGTCCATTGATTAGTCGTCCGCTAATATTACCTTGTTCGACTTCCATGCTCTCCTGCCGGCTCTCGCCTTCCGAATCTGCCCATCATACGTATTCATTCATGGGGTAACAACAATCCTGGAAAGGTGACAACGTTAGCTCGCCCATCGTACCCCTTTGGTACTCCGTTTACATCATTGGACCTGTTCTATTTTCACTCGTTTCTCTTCCGCCTTCCTATGCTACTACTCATCCATTCTTTTATCCCTCCGTTCAACCGGTCTGGTCATACTCACCTTCGGTCGGATTACAAGTCATCCATCATCGGGCTTCAGTACGGAACACTTACACAAACACCCTACATCGACCCCCAACGGCGGCAAACAATCGACTCGGCGACTCTGATTCGAAACAGGGAAGGATTGGGCACCAGATCGATCATTACGTGTACGTGGAAAAGGACGGTCAGACACGGTTCAGAACGCCGGGTGTTGTTTGCTCTTTCTTGCCAACAGAGACAAAAGAGCGGTGCGCGTGCTTGCATCTCATACCTCACTTGGACTCACCTCTCCGGCTTCCTCCTTCCGGACTTCTTTCCTTGTCTATCCAGCTTCAACCTCCCGCCGGCTTCTTACCTTCCACATCCGACTGATACACACCGTTGCGCCGACGTTGTTCTTTGAGTCGGTTTCGACTCTACCGACTTCCACCAACCCAGGCCTCTACATGATGCACCGGAGGACCGATGGACTGCCTTGGTGAACGTAGGCTAGACTCAAAGTCGGCCAGACAACAACAGACACGACGTCGTCCTTGCTGGCCGCCGCCGATATCCCATTACCGATCTATACCAGTAGAGTTTCAAGTCATACGGTATGGCTATCATCAGTACAATTTTGGAGTCGGCCTTCAATAGCCCGACGGTGCGAACCCACCACGGAGATCTCAGAGCTGAAATTCGGGATGGATTTGGGCAACCAGAACAGAACCGCGGGTTGACAAACGACCTCGCGGTTGTATCACTTACCTTCGCTTCACTCAGTCTCATCTTGAGTCTGTCGACCTTTTATTGGTTCGTGAAAATGAGGAAGACGTTTCGGCATGAGTAAGCAACCTACCTCTGTTTCATGAACTGATCGAGTACTAACCGCCATGCGCGCAGACTGATAGTGTTGCTTATTCAGAGTGACTTGATCAAGTCGGTGTGGTTCGTTATTCCCTCGATTGTGCACCTACTCCGAGGTCCTCTCCGCTCCAACTCTGCCCTTTGCCAAATTGCCGGGTTCGGTCTCGCGCTAGGCATCGAGGCATCTGACATCGCAGTTCTGCTCATCGCCATCCATCTCCTGATGACCATCTTACGCCTGCGAACCGGCCTCTATCGCTACCGATACTGGGCATACGGAGCTTACTGCTTCTTTCCCGTGCTATTCGCAAGCTTGGCTTTTGTGGACGGCACGGGCTACCAGGAGGCTGGCCATTATTGCTACCTTCGTACAGACAAGAGTTGGGCACGACGGGCCCTCAGTTGGGTTCCTCGCTACATCATTTGTTGCAGCATTCTGGCCATCTATCTCTTTGTCTACTTTTACGTTCGCAGCAGATTGGAGGACTATGGAAGGAGAAGCTCGGGAAATATGAACCACCCGCACTCCCGGGACACAGACGATGTGCCTCCTACCCCTCGACTGATATCACACGGACTACTCGCGTCGCTACCAAACTCTCGAAGAGGATCTGCAGCCGACCAGAATGTTGCCATCAAGGACCGCAACAGGTCTTTGTCGTCGATCAGCACGCTTCAGTTCGAATTGCATGTGGACGAAGCTGGAGAGCAGCCGGTTAGCAAGGGACGACGGTCATTAAAGCACGGGCCAGCGAAGATGAACTGGAATTGGCCCGGATTTGTCCCACCTCGATCCTCCTGGGAAAATGGACGCTTGATGGTGGAGGATTGGGATGACTCTATGTCGCAACCACTTCCCTCGCCACCGCTCCCGGTCCATTCTCCCGAGAGACCACCCAGGGCCAGCCGCTCTGACAACTCATCTGCCAGCCCACGCTCCTATTGGCATAGGCCTGTGCCTTCGGAATGCTCAACAGTGCATGGAAACCACGCCAGCCATGACTTGCCGCCAAGCTCCACCAACACTGTGAACCAAGGCACATATCACATCGATCTCACCCTAACCCACATCCTCACAATGCTTCGAAAGGGACCTCCGCGAACATCCAACACCCCTCCCACCACTCGACCTTCCTCGATGACGATATCGCCCGATTCAATTGGTGGCGACTCGGGCGTTACTCGCAACCGCGAGAGGGCACGCCGTCAGCTCTATGCGCTGTTTGCTTACCCGCTCGTCTACATAATTGTCTGGATATTTCCCTTCCTCTCCCATGTAGGCTACGACGACAAAATTACTCCGAATGACCCGCAGTGGATATTGTTTGTGAGCATGGTCAGCCTCGGTATCCAGGGCACGGTCGACTGCATGCTCTTTACTCTGAGAGAGCAACCCTGGAAACATGCCCATGGGGACTTTTGGACTGCGCTACGGGCACGGATGCGGTTCAGTGGCAGCTGGAGAGATGTCGGGTTCGCGGGCAGGACCAGAGAGGAAATGTTCCATGACAGTCAGCTTGCGAGGAAAAGACGGGAGCAGGAAATCGCGGACGAGAGAGCCCGACGCGCTGTTCACGAGGTCACCCAAGAGGGTGCTGATGTTGAAGCTGGTGCTGGTGGCGCTAGGGGTGCTGCGACGAGGAAGACTGGAGCGGTTGAGTGGTGGGATACAGCCGATTTACTCGATGGGATGATCGATGACGATGAAGAACTACGCGACGATGCGGATGATGATTTTTGGGCCCAGCTTTACCGGTTGAATGGAGACTGATCGACGCGAGTCTCGGTTGATTACCACCCTGCTAATCTTCTTCACCTTTTTATCCTTTCTTCTTCTTTACTTTTGGATACACCCACATGTGGCCATTATTGCTTTTAGTGTTTTCTTCTTTTTCCTTTTTTTTTTTCTTTTTTTTTTTTGGTATCATTTCTTTTGTTATTCTCACTCAAGCCCTGGCGTTGTTTTGGCTTTCTGTCTTGTTGTCGTTGTAAAGGGAGCTAACAAATTATACCCCTGGGTCGGCTTGCGTATTTTTGGACCTTGGTCATTTTCCGGTTTGACTGTCAGCCTTGACACATGCCGTTACATTGAAACATGGGATCGAAAGCATATTCGATTGGTGTTGTGGCGTTCTCATATTCCAGCTGCTCTTTGATTTTGTTTTTTCTTTTTCTCCTTTGTATCAAACACAGCACAGAGAGGGCTGGACGGAGGGACAAGTAAGGCGGAGAAAGGTGGGTGGGTTCATTGATCTAAAAAATGAAGCAGATGTTTAGCATGGCCAGTTTTGCGTAGCGCCTAGCATACTGTATATACCCACCAAACACAGAATATACTCTAGAAGACTGCAAAGTCGAACATATCAACATCAATTGTTCGTTCCTCCTCTACTGTGTTTGACATAAGCCCGTACCTTGCGACGTTAGGTAAATTCTGGACGCAAGTCAATGCAGTAGTCTATTCATCAGCCCCCCTCACTCAATCCTGCAGCAGAAACTTGTAAAAGGCCTGGGCTATAAACACGCCATCATCCACCTTGTTTCTTTCCATACCACTTCCAAACAGTTCCTCGTTGAAAAGGCCAGTCGCCTTTCGCAATTCCAACACCTCCTCCATGATATCCGTGGTGAACTCCGGGTGGCCCTGCACCGTCAACACCCTCCCCGGAATAACGAACCCCTGGTTCTCGCACACGTCGGTAGAAGCAAGGAGTTGCGCTCCGTCCGGAACACCCACGACGTGATCACGATGCATTTGTTGGATTTTCTATATAAATTTCGGTCGTTAGTACCGCTCAGCCCTTTATATATACATATAATTTTTTATATATATATATATTTTTTTTTCATTTGGTTTTTATCATAGGGACACCAACCAAACTCCAAAAAAAAAAAAAAAAAAAAAAAAAAAAAAAAAAAAAAAAGGAAAAGGGAACTGAAACCTACCAACTCCTCCCTCCCCTCAAACAAGCGCCTCCCCACATCCGTCAACCCAACGGGCGTCACACTAACCTCCCACCCCTTCTCGTTCCTCTCCACCACCTGCCCCAGCGCTCGCCCAATAATCTGGTGTCCGAAACAGACACCGATGACTTTGATCTTTTTCCCTTGTTTGCTTCCGTCCGAGTCACCGTCACCCGCCTCAGTAAGAACCTTTTTGACGAACTCGGTCAATTTCACAATCCATGGGTCATTTTCGTAAGCGCTGTGTTTGGAGCCCGTGATGAGGATTGCGTCGATGTCGGAGAGGGAGGGGTAGTCGGAGAGGTTGTTGACAACGTCGTGGGCGGAGATGGTTAGGTAGGAGGATAAGGGGTGTTGTTGTCCCTGTTGTTGTTTTTGGTCTTGCGAAACGTCCTGAGAGGAAGGGGGGGAGGAGGCGAGGGCGCGGGTGAACAAGTGCGTGAAGACGCCGCGGTAGCCGGAGTAGCGGGCGTGTGCGCCGGGTACTGGAGTGTCGGCTTCGAGGATGGCGAGGCGAATGGGGCGAGGGGGTGGGGTTAGGGGGGAAGACATTGTGATCAGGGTGGTACAATGAGGTGGTAAGAAGGAGGTGGAGGTTGCTGCCGCGATGAGGTAGGTAGGTGGTGTGGTTGAGAATTGGTTATGGAGGAAGTAAGTGATCGATGTTGAAGAGAGAGTGGTAATGCCAACTTGGCAAGTGAGAGTCACTAAGCAGCTTAAGAGGAGGGGTCGTTGACAATGATACGATGAAACTGGAGTGAGCAGCCGTAAGGAGTAAAGTGCAAGTTATAAAAAGCTTACGAGAGTCACAAGCTGAAACATTGTAAGTGATAAGGGAAGATAGACTGAGAAACAATGTACGTGTTGATTAAGACGTTGCACACCCGTAAGTAATTCGCAACATCTACAGTATAATCGCAATGACAAGCTCGCCTACGCACGTTCCGTCTTCCTCTGTTGGGAACCTCAGATTCCACTCATCTTCAGCCGACAAGAACCGAGTCTTGACTCCCATCACAATACTTGATCATCAACTCAAGGAACCGGCCGGTACTCGCAGAATCAGACTATGTCCGCGCGCCATGACTCGAGGCGTGGAAGGACCAACTTCTCACCGTTGCTGGCGGGGTTCTTATCAATACGACGACCGACCGGTCGAGAACAGACTCCGCTTTCGGAGGACGATGACTGGGGTTCACTTTGGGTTCGGTAAACACTCGCCCGGATGGTGGGGCTGGAAAGTCGGGCGGGGAGGGGCCGAGACACCGCCAAGGCCGCGCCGTCCCTCAACCGCGGCGGCCCCTTGTCCCGTCGTGGAGTTGCAGTACCTGAGGACTGTATAACGCGTGCGGCATGTGCACTGCAGGAACATCGATTATAGTTGTCAGATCATAAACTTGACTTTAGTTTAGGCCGTGTCTTGCGACTTACTTTTGTCTCATAAATATTATCTTTGACTGCCCGGGATAGACAACAATGGCGCCCGCAGCCCGTGTCTCCCTCAACAAGTTCCTTATAACAGCTCGCAAGGCGCTTCTCGCACCGTCAGCGCAGCGTCCAAACCCTTTGGTATTTGTCATAGGAAACGAATCAGCAGGTAACGAGAACTACATGACATTGGGAATAGAAAACTGCCCATAAGTCCTAGTCAGTCACCTTTACTAACCTCAACTTTCTACATCAAACCCAGACCTCGACTCCCTCTGCTCCTCAATCCTCCTCGCCTACTTCTGCACCTACCGCACCACACCTCCGACCCTACACATCCCGCTCTCCAACCTCCCGCAAGCCGACCTCGCCCTGCGACCCGAGCTTACCGCCGTGTTGAAGCCCGCTGGTCTACACACCAATGACCTTATCACCCTCGATGGGCTACCCAGGGACGACAATGTCACCCCCGAAAACACTCAATGGCTACTAGTAGACCACAACAGCCTCACCGGCCCGCTCGCCGCGCGCGGGTTTGGGGGTCCAGAAAGGATAATAGGGTGCATAGACCACCATGATGACGAGGGCGTTGTTCCCCCGACTGTAAATCCGAGGATAATTGAGAAGAGCGGGAGTTGCATGAGTCTGGTGGTGGAATATTGCAAGCCTGTTTGGGAGGAGCTAAGCCGACTTGAAAGTGAAGAGGGGACTACGAACAGCCGGGAAGAGTGGGAGTCGCATTTGGCGCATTTGGCGCTGGCGCCGATACTGATTGACACGACGAATTTGACGAGCAAGGACAAGACGACGGGGTGGGATACGGGGGCTGTGGAGTTTTTGGAAGGTCGTTTGACACAATCGCAAAAGACAAGTGCCACCGGTGGAGGGCAAGGGTATGACAGGACAGCCTACTTCAACCACATCACCTCTCTCAAGGAAGAGATTGCCGGGCTAAGCTACCGCGACATTTTGCGCAAGGACTACAAGCGGTGGGAAGACGGCGGACTAGCGGTGGGCATCTCCACAGTAGTCAGGGGACTCGAGTACCTCTTGACGGAAATCGGAGACCAAAAAGAGTTCACCGAGGCGTTGCGGGCCTGGGCGAAAGAGCAGGAGCTGGACATTGCGGCGGTCATGACGGTGTCAAATCCGGATGGGAAGTTCACCAGAGAGCTGCTCATCTGGGCTTTCAACGAGCGGGCGGCCAAAGTTGTAAAGCGGTTTGTGGAGAAGCATGGGGAAGAGGGGTTGCAGCTTCAGACGTGGGGCGGTGGGAAGTTGGATTCGGATGATGCAAAAGGCGAGTGGGTCAGGTGTTGGACGCAGGGACGGGTGGACAAGAGTAGGAAGCAGGTGGCGCCTATGTTGAGGGATGCGATGAAGGAGGCGGCTAGGCTTTGAATGGGAGTGAGGTGGTGGGACATCATCGAAGGAGATAATGATGGCTAGCTGATATATCAACTTTGAAGTAAAAAAAGAGGACAAAAAAATTTCCGTGGCAGCCAGATAAGAAGGTGGGCTGATAATGTTGTGCAAGGAGAAACTGAGCCATACTAATAATACATATAAGGCTTACATCCACATGCTATCGTACATTCATCTCCTCTATTTATGCGCCCCAGGCAGCGGACCCGTGTAAAGTTAGCCATAGTCTGACAAACTCGCGATCCATATACTGTGCGTCTGAGATTCTGTCATCGATGTCCTTGGCCAATGACTCCGCCTCCGGGTCGGCAATGCGAATGCACGCCTCAAGCGCCTTGAGCATAGCTGCCGTAACCCGCACAGGCGGCTGTTCATGCCACATTTCCTCCACGCACCATCTCAGAGCGTCAGTGGCCATCCCCTGGTGATCCTCCGCTGCAATGCGCTCGTAAACCTTGGTGTACATGCGCTCGGTCCTGCGCTCGCAATACCTGGGGAAGATGCGCCAGACGTTCCAGAACTTATCCCAGGCGCGGTGATTGGCATACACGTCGAGCAACCTGATAATCTCGTCTTCGGTCGGACAGTCCATCTGGGCCTCACCAAGTAAGTCCTCAAACTGGGAGAGGAGTCGTCGCGCCTCGGGTGGGCGGGCGCGGGTCTGCAGGAGGGATTCGATCACGGCCACAACCACGTCATACTCGATCACTTTTTCGCCGCGGGAAAACAACATGTCGATTACATCCATTGCAAGGGAAGCCTGTTGGCGAACGCCCGCGTCAGTCGTCTCTGGTATGGCAAATATCATCCGGAGGAGGTCCACAAACTTTTCGCGCGAAACATTGGCTGCTCCCGAGAGCTTCATTTCCTGGATGAGGTCGCCTAGGCGGACAAGATCGTGATCGGGATGCTGAAGGGCACGTGCGGCCTTTTCGAGCCAAAGGCGGGCCTCCCACGCCTGGGCGGAGGGCAAATTCTCGATGGCACGGTTGAACAGGCGCATAAAGGTGCTGGGGGAGCCGTCTTCGCAAAGGGATACTGCTGAAAGGGCCTGGTCCCTGGGAAGGCTGAAGAGGTAGTCCTGCATCTGGGTTAAAAGCTGAACCTTGGACTCGGTATCCTGGGCCAAAAGGTTGTCGATAGTAGACGGACTAGCGTTGCTGTACTCCCATCCAGCCATTGCTGTAGCCAAGTCAGTCTGAGAAACGTCGACGGCCGTTGCGTGGTGTCGCGCCGAAGTAGAAAAGTACAAGCGATCAGGTCGCTTTCGGTTCCGTCCACTTGAACGAATGGGTGACGGGGAGAAACTCTGTCCCGATACAGTGTCGGGTGAAGTGGTGAAAGAGGCCTCAGGAAGCTTCCCTGCGATCTTGTCCTGCCTCTCTAGACTGCGCCGCAGGATACCGCTCCAAAGCTTTTCCAGAGCCAGCTCCTCCCTCCGCGTCTCCGTCATCAACTGCACAACAAGTGTGGTCCCGCTTTGGGGCACACCAAAGCCGCTCGTGACACCTTTCTCGTCTTTGAACTCCATTTCCATGTCCGACCACCCAAGAGTGCCAAGGTTGACGCAAATCCAGCCGGTGGTGATGCCGTCGTCAGCACCGCTCGGAAGGCCCGTGGTACCGAGAAGCTTCGCCTTGCGAGCCTTGCGCCTCAGCTTGGTCTTCAACTCATTCCTTCCCAGCAAGCCATCAGCCTTGGCCGTGACTCCACGGTTGCGCAGCCAGCGTACCAGGCGGTCGGCAGAGACGTGCAAGTGACGCTCACTGCGGGCAGTGCCAAAGAGCATCAGCACTTCGGGCCCCAGAGCAGGTGGCGGGTCGATTTCGCGGAGATCGAGAAGCTTGAGGTCGTCCATGCCCAGCTCATCGGATACAAACTTGACCAAGGGCTCCATCAGCTTGGGAGAGCCTTCGGGAATGTCTGGCAGCGGCGGCGGCTCGTGTACAAGGGTGGGGTGTGTGGGAGCGTCGACTTGGAGATACCAGGGCACGTCAGCGCCGCCTTCATTGTTCGTCTCTGTGCTGGCCTCTGCTTGGGTATCCTCGGTCTTGTTCGGTTGCTCTTGAGCGGCAGGCTCTGCGTGTTCTTCGCTAGACGGGCTGGCCAGTAGTCGAGGAGAGGGTCGAAAGGTTGAGTACGAGGCGGTTGGGGACAGAACCCGGGTCCGAGCTACTGGAAGAGGAGCTCTGGGAGTCGCGAAGCTGCTGACGAAGAGCCGCAAAGCCGAGAACCTGCAGGCTGAGCAGGCTGAAGCTCTGAGAACAGCGGGAGTCGCGCTCATGGTTGCTAGTAATCGCGTGGGGTGGCCGTCGAGTGTTACGGACGCAGATTGCGAATCAGGAATCTCTCGGGTTTTCTTTCGGAGCTGTCGTGTGATGGTTTGGTCGACAGAGAAGTTGTCGCGACAGAGTTGATCTGGACTGGGCCCGGAGTATTCGAGCTCAGACAAGGCGTATACTTGGAGGTATGTAGTGTACCAACTGATAACGAACGTCACGAGTTGTACACTAGTGGATAGAGATAGGTACCACTCGACGGGACTCGACTACAGTGTCGTCAGTGTGGGATGGAAGTTCCAATGAATCGATCAAGCAGTGTTCTGGCCGCCCAGACTGGGTGGAGACCGTGCTCTCTTCCTCGTCTTCGTGCTTCAGTTCTGAGCTCATGTCCAATTGGCGCAACGCTCAGGGTCGAGGCGGAAGAGGTGGGTCGGATGGCGGGGTGGACCGTCGGCCGTGTAAGTGAAAAGTCAGATGGGCCAATCAGCACGAAGCGTGATTCAGATTGAATTTTCCTCCAAGGCCATTGTTAAGCAGATGCACAGACCAAGATCCAGGATGGGTGGGGCATAATGGGACGACCTTACCACTTGTAGTGTAGACACGCCAAGAGGAGGTGGCCATCGGCTTCGGTGGCTCGGGCTGTATCAAAAAATTTGGGGAGGGTCCCCATCACAAATCCTATCGCGCCGCAGCTTATCAACCTCTCGAGGTATCTTTTACCACCAGACCACCCGAGTCTGCCACTTCCTGCACTGCACACCTCACCTCACCTCACCTCACCTCACCTGCACTTCCAGACAGAGAAGGAAGCGGAAGCAAGGAAGATCAGTCCAGGGCAGTCGGCAAGAAACACAGCACACACACGGCCGGTTGTTTCCTCGCTACGAACTTCTTCCATTATCCCGTCTTGTATACACGGCATTTCGAGCGGAGAGACATCACCACCACCATCGCCGCCATCACCACCCACACTGCAATCGCATTCATTTGTCGCATTGCACTGCTGGGTCGTGTTGTTTCTTCCCCTCTTGTACAATATTCGATAGTCTTTGCTCAAACGACTTGCACTACTTCCTATCCCCATCTTTCTTGTCCAATGTGTTATTAATCCCGATACGACCATCTATCTACATCGCCCTCAACACACCCTCCCGCTCGCTCTGCTGAGCCCTGTTTCACTATCTCGACACCCTCGATACCCTCGACATCTTTATAAGATGCTTCCCCGAACGGCTTCGGCCACCCGAACCCCCCACCTCAACCGCCTCGTCTCGGCCGGCTCCCGCAGAGTCCTCCCCAGATGCCCGCCTTCTCTGGGTATTCGGGGCTCGTTGGCTGTCACCCCTAGGCTGTTGTCCACCATCACGACCCAGCAACCGAGCCCACTCAAGAGACAGCCCGCACCCCGGGCGACCGTTGGCTTCGAGCGCCATCTCGCCACTGTACTAGACGAACCCGCCCAGACTGCGACAACGCCCCTATACGAACTGCGATCCTTCTCGCCGCAGGCCCCTTTGACGGTTCGGGATCATACCAAGGTCTATGCAAAGCAGCGCGTGAACTACCATGGCATTCCCGGAGACGTCAACGAGATGTTCTTGGTTTTCGAGGCCTGTCTTCAAGTTGGACGTCTTGAGCGAGCTGCTCAGGTTCTTAAGCGGCTTGCCAACCTGGACGTTGTGCCACCAGCCGACTATTTGGATCTCTTCAACCAGTATCTCGATGCCAAGGTTTCTCAGCTCCTGCAAGAGCCTGATGTAGACAAGGCCGATGACATCCACAAGGCCTTTGAGACTATGGTTAGCGACGGCAGAGAGCTTCCTGTTGGCGGTGAGACCGTTGCCTTGCTTCTCAAGGCATCTCTCACCTCCACAGATGCAGAGACAATGCAGCGTTACGTTACGAGATATCTCAGCCTGCTTCCCACACAAACCGCCCTCGAGACCGTCTTCAACACCGAAATCTTGACATACGAGGAATTAACAAAGGTTGCTGAGCTGTGCCCAAAGTACAACATGCCCGACAACGTGGATCCCGATACCTTTGCGCAGCAACAGCAGCAACAGCAGCAGCAACAGGAGCAACAACAGCAACAGGACACATCTATCGACCAATCGAAGGTTTCAATCGAGCCCTTGCTCACTTCAAGCGAACCTTCTGCAATCCCCGAAGTTCTTGGTACTCCTCAAAAGGGTTTCGGTCTGCAGTTCGTCAAGCGAACAGTCAGCATGTTCAAGGACATACCGGACGGTTTCGACATCTCGACATTGCCTATTTCCCAGCAGAGGGAGATCCAGTCCAAGTTGGAAAAGGACTGCGTTGACGCATCCCTGGCACGCTGGCGAGAGGAGAACGAGTCGCTTCAAAAAATGGGCCTAAACACATCCCTCGATACTCCATCACTCAATTCGAGGCTCTACCAGTGGCAGAAAGATCTTGAAACTCGTCTGCGCACGATGCTTGTGGAGGTGGAAAAGTCTGAGATGGTGAGCAAGAAAAACAAGGATGACCTGGACCGCTGCATTTACGGCCCCTTTATAAGGCAATCCAACCCTGAGCGCCTGGCTGCGGTCACCATCATCAGTACACTCAGCTCGCTCGCCATGGGCGGTGCCCACAAGGGCTCCACGATCGCATCTCTCATCACTCACATTGCCAAATTCGCCGAGGAGGACATCAGGGTACAAAAGGCTGAAGCCCTGATCAGCAAGCACAACCTCCGAAAGGCCAAGTCCAAACAGCACAACCCCCGCTCGGTTCTGCGATTCAAGAACTCGACTGCTTCTGCCGGCTCCAGTGATATGACCGACTCGAACAACGTCGCCGTTGAGATGGACGACGAGGCCTGGACGACTACGATTCGCACAAAGGTCGGCGCCGCTCTTTTGTCCGCCCTTCTTGACACGGCAAAGATCACGCTTGTCCGCGAGGATCCTGTGACCAAAACCCTTATCACGCAGAACCAGCCCGCTTTCTCCCACGTCATGCAACTAAGGAAAGGCAAGAAGATCGGAACCATCATTCCCAACAAGGCCGTCGTCGAGCTATTGGTTCGGGAACCCGTGCCGGACTTTCTTGCTCGCCATCTTCCCATGGTCACCCCGCCGGATCCCTGGGTATCCTTTGAGAAGGGTGCCTATCTCGAGACCAAGACACCTGTACTTCGGTTGAAGAACGGTGAGAGGGAGCAGAGACTCTACACCGAGGCTGCAATTGCTCGCGGTGATATGGATCAGGTCTTCAAAGGCCTCGATGTCTTGGGCAAGACAGGTTGGAAGATCAACTCTCCAGTCTTCAAGGTCATGCTGGACGTCTGGAATTCGGGCAAGCAGGTCGCAAACATCCCTCCTCTTGACCCCATCTTTGACCTACCCCCCGAGCCGGCATCCACCGAAGACCCGACGGTCAAGCGTGCGTGGCTCAAGGAGATCAAGGTCATCGAAAACGAGAGATCGGGTTTGCATTCGCAGCGATGCTTCATGAACTTCCAGCTTGAGATCGCCAGGGCATACCGAGATCAGACATTCTACTTCCCACACAATGTTGATTTCCGTGGACGTGCCTATCCTATTCCCCCTTATCTGAATCATATGGGGGCTGACCATGTCCGTGGCTTGATGCTTTTCGCCAAGGGTAAGCCTTTGGGAGAGAGCGGCTTGCGCTGGCTCAAGGTTCACCTGGCCAACGTTTACGGCTTCGACAAGGCTAGTCTGCAGGAACGTCAAGACTTTGCCGATGAAAATATCGAGAACATTCGTGACTCGGTAAATAACCCGTTGAACGGAAACCAGTGGTGGTTGCAGGCCGAGGACCCATGGCAATGCCTTGCTACGTGCTTTGAGCTCGCGGCAGCACTTGAGTTGGAGGATCCCACAAAATATGTATCTCATCTCCCAATACACCAAGACGGAACCTGCAACGGACTGCAGCATTACGCCGCTCTCGGTGGTGATACGTGGGGTGCACAGCAAGTCAACCTGGTTCCCGGAGACCGTCCTGCCGATGTGTACTCGGCTGTTGCCAAGCTGGTCATTAAAGGTATTGAGGACGATCTTGCCAAGGATAATGAGTTTGCCAAGGCCATGCATGGGAAGATCACACGCAAGGTGGTGAAGCAAACGGTCATGACCAATGTATACGGCGTGACATATGTTGGCGCAAGGAAACAGGTCCTAAAGCAAATCGAGGCGGCATACCCAAACATCACGGCTGAGTCGGGCATCGAAGCCGCTCTCCTAGCCTCGTATGTGACACAGCATATTTTCAGGGCAATGTCCACCATGTTCAAGGGCGCTCACGACATCCAGAACTGGCTTGGAGAGATTGGTGGACGTGTCTGCCGCGCCTTGACGCCCGAGCAGCTGGATGAGTTTGAGAGGTCAGAACGGTCTCCTCATGGAGATGGCACAGCAAGCGGTGAGAATATAACGCTCGCCGGGAACCCCAGAAAGTCCTCTGCCCACAAAAATGACGAGATCCTCAACAATTTCCAGTCAACCATCATCTGGACAACACCCTTGCGGATGCCGGTCGTTCAGCCATACAGGAAGCACGGGACCAAGACTGTCTCGACCTGCATGCAGGATCTTGTCATGACGATCCCAGAGAGGTCCGATCCCGTCAACAGGAGGAAACAGCTACAGGCTTTCCCGCCCAACTTCATTCACTCGCTTGATGCCAGTCACATGATTCTGTCAGCGCTACACTGCGACGAACTGGGACTTACCTTTGCCGCTGTCCATGACTCGTTCTGGACTCATGCTTCTGATGTAGACTCCATGAATGCCGTCCTTCGCGATGCTTTCATTCGAATCCACAGTGAGGATGTCATTGGCCGGTTAGCTGCCGAGTTCCAGGCTCGGTACAAGAACTCGCTTTACCTCGCAAAGATTGAGACGGGCACAAAGGTGGCCCAGGAGATCCAGCGGTGGCGCGTCAGAAATAAGCTCGGCCCTAGGAAGGAGCTGCTTTTGGAGAAGGAACGCCAAGAGCTTCTTCGCTCATCAAACCCCGAAGACGTCGAGAGGGGCAAGAAGATAATCTCGCCGGCCAGTCTCTACGAACTGTATTCCAGCGCTGAGGATCTCACCGTCCCCGAGGACCTGAAAGAGGTTACTATTGGCAACCTCGCGGGTGTTGATGAGAAGAAGGTTCGCAGAGGACGGGAAATGGATGAGGAGGGAGAAGTAGATGGCAGTGAGGAGGCCGTCGAGCACGAGGATGGGATGCACGAAGATGAGATGCTGGCCGACGAGCCTAGGGACATGGATGGCGGTTCGGGGCTTGACGAACTGCGGAACACCAACCACTTCGCCCTCTCACAAAAGCGCGCCAAGGCCTCGATCGCATCTGGTGGCAAGCAGAAGCACTATCTTGACATCTGGCTTCCATTGGTCTTCCCACCAATTCCGGAGAAGGGTGACTTCGATGTCCGGTCTTTGAAAGACAGCACGTACTTCTTCTCCTAAACCTGAGGGTTGAAGTAATGCCTGTCTCCTATCAGTCCTGGTGTATATATATAGAGAGAGAGCGGAGGTCTCTGGAGCAAGGGAGGAAGATGTTCGATATCCAAAAGCGATCCATGGGCTGGCGTTCTGGAGTACCTTCTGTAAATAGATCTTGACGCATATGATGTTGGTGGCATTTTGGGCGTTGGCGAAGAGAAAATAAACTGGGCCGGATATGTAAAGGAGGATGGATACAGAGTGGTTGATGGGGGAAGTTGGCTTCTTGTGTAGATCACTATCGTTAACATTGATTGGTTTTTTGAGCATATCATAACAACTCTTCTCATGGTATCCGGATTATATGATGCACACCGACTACGTATCTACGACTCGGGTATATGTATTTGGCATAGCGGTGGATCGATATTCAAATCACATCAATTCACAGTAATTCCCCTTTAACGCCCCTTACCACCTCCGCAACAAACCTTATCATCTTTGAAAACCTCCTCCCTCGTTCTATTCCCACTGTCACTCCCATTCCCACTCCCTTCACACCCCGTCGACACCACACACCCAGTAACACATGTCGGACACGGCTTCGTCACCAACACCGACGGCGTAGTCGGACAGCAAAGATACGTGGATGCTGAATTCGGCTGACTTTTCGTATGGTGGCAGAATTACCTGTTGGTGGATTTTTTTTGTTGACGCTATAGCGGAAGATAGATATGTATGTTATTATTTACATCTCTGCATATCCCAGGACTTTCATCTTGGAATGCTCAATCCCCACCTAGTTGGTTAGCTGATCTCTCTGGCTCTCGGGAGCCCGTAGATGTCACAATGTTGGAGACAGTTTTTTTCTGTTAAGAGTGGAAATGAGGACCAAGTTTTCAGATGGCAAGGTGAAAGATTATATTATGCCGGGAACTTTTCATTCATTCATTCGATTCTCTCATCAAAAGCTATTTTTTTTTTTTTTTTCAAACGCCTCATAACAACTTTTACCTAACCTGGGCGCCAGCCAAGGTAGGAACAGTGCAGACACCACCGCTGGCGGTCACTAGCTTAGCAATGCCGCTCTTGCCCTCCAAATCCTTAACATCCTTGCACACATCGACATCGAAGGCCACCTCAAGGGCACCGGTGGTGGTGAAGCCGGGCTGGAAAGTTTCCCAGATCTTCTTCTTAGGGTTGAGCACCTTCTCGGGCTCGGCATTGAAGCCCTCAAAGTAAACCTTCTCGCCAGCCTTGGCGTCAGCGGGAGGGTTGACGAGCTCGACGGGGCCCTTGTGGTCGTCCTCGACACCCTCCTGGGGCTTGGGCGAGGCAGCGAGCACCATGGCGCACGACTTGATGCCGCGCATCTTGACGGGCTTGAGGTTGCAAACGACGACGACCTTGCGGCCCTGCATCTCCTCGAGAGGGACGAGCCCGTTGAGGCCGGAGCAAACGGTGCGGCACACCTGGCCCTCGTACTCGGCGGTATCCTCGGTACCGGGCGCATCGCCGACGGCAATGGTGGAGACGAAGAGCGAGTCGGCTTCGGGGTGCTTGATGGCCTTGAGGATGTGGCCGACGCGGAGGTCGATAAGACCGGGGGAGAGGGGCGCGGGGGGAGGAGGAGTGGCCTTGGGGCGGCGGTTCTCGTTGACCTTCTTCTCCTTCTTCTCCTTCTTGGGAGCGGCGGCGGCGGGGGCGGCGTCGGTGGCGGCCTGGACGACCTGGTCCTTGACCTCGACGGCCTTCTCGACAACGGCGGCAACAGCCTCCTTGGTCCGGTCGACAACAGTGGCGGCAGCGCCCTGAACGGCAGAGGCGGCGCCCTGGGCGGCGGCGGCAGCAGCAGCGGCCTTCTCCTTCTTCAGGCGCTCCTTCTCGGCCTTGGCGTCGACGGGAGGCTTGACGTAGAGGATCTCGTCGGCATCAATGGCGATCTTGTCGGCGTCGGCAACGTTGAGGCCGAAGAGAGGGCTGTTCTGGACAAAGTCGACGAGGCGCACAATGTTGGGGCGGCCCTGCTGGCCGGTGCGCTCCTCGGGCGACCAAGCCTTGACGAGGGGTGCGACGGCCTCGTAGATGGCGATGTCAGCCTTGGAGGGCTTGGTGCCGAGGACGGTGGTGCGGGTCGCGAGGTCGGCGTTGAGGGCGTCCAGGACGGACTGCTTATCGTCCGAGGCCTTGATGGTGTCGGCCTTCTGGATCCATTGCTGGATCTCTTTCTCCTCGGCGGGAGTGTACTTGTAGGTGTCGAGGGCGGCCATGATGCGCGAGTTGGACAGCGAGATGGAAGTCGGCGAGACGAACTGTCGCGAGAAGACGCTGCGAAGAGCGGGACGAGCAAACCGGAGGGGGAACAGCTTGAAGGACGTTGACTCCCGGTACTGGAGTGTTTATTATAGTCGTACTGTGTATGTCTGGACAACAATTTTGAATCTCAATTCCCAATTGCGGGGCAGGCCACTTTCTCGATGGAGTTGAGTCAAATCGGATGGGACGAGGGGCAGCTCTGCGACGTGCAGGGGGTCGTTATCCAGGTCCAGACAATGTCCGTGCACCAAGCAATCACAGTCCATCGACCACTTTCCTCGATTATAGTGTAAACTTCGCGACTCAGCTGGCTACCTATGTACAAACGTGTTTGGATGATATTGAATGTTAATTTTGAATCTATGTATGCAAAAGTCTTTACACTTTTCTATATCGGCAAGCCCGGAAAGTCAGAAGACGAATCGAAGACTGGGTTCTGGAGGCACTTCTGTAGGTACCTCTAGACTAACAATTTGTGAACAGTGAACGCGGACCAGTTTTTTGCTTGAACAGGAAAAAGAGCACGGACAGTCCCTTCCCCATTGTCTGGACCTGCCTGGACATCGATCACCGACATGCCGGCCCGTGCTGTGGCAAGCTTGAGGCAAGATTCTGTGCATGTCCTAAACGCTTATGCCAAAAGTGCATACCATCACATCTGTCAAGCTCTGTGTAAATCATGGAAGCCGTCTGTATCGCAGCTTTGATTGTAACATATGTAATGGCTCAACATCAACATCACATATTGGGCTTCAGCCTTCCACGCCACAGCATATCTTTTCAGTCATTTACTTATGCTTGACAACACTTATTGTTCACTGTATCTACATACATACTCTCAGCGATGAGAGCGACTCGATGGCTCGTGCACTCGGTGGCTGCCTGGACCTCGTGACGTCGTGGCAGCCAGTCTCGCGTTACGATGGCCTTGTGTCTCCCCCGTCGCGTAGATCGTCGCGTTTTCGTAATTGACAAATCACTTCGCCTCGGCCCCTTCCATCGCCAATTGCCCTCCAAATTCAGTTTTCCCGCCGCAATCTCAAACCATATGGCGCCGATGGTTCTTCTCTGAATTATCCGTCAAATGTGCTTGCCTTTGCCTTGTACCCATTGGCAAATCCACCTTCTCATCCCTTGCTTCAATCCTCGACGCTCTTGATCTCCCTGTCGTTTGTTCCTTTGTGTGTGGCGAAAAACGAACAGAAACAAAGATCGGAAACTATTTTTGCTTTTCCACTGTGTGTCACAAAAAACGTTTGCGTCTCTTGTTCCCTCTTGATTTTTGCTGGACTTGAAATCTTTTTTTTTTTTTGTCCACAGATTTCGACCATTGTCAAGTCAGCAGAAAACCCGCTCGGCCATCAAGGTACACGCCCGACAAGCACCCTTGAACCATGCGGTCGACATCTTCATCCTCGGCGTCCGGTCGCGGATCTGGTAGCTCACGCGCTCCGTCCCGACTGCCTGATAGCGTCCCTTCGTCTCCTCCACCTGAAGAGCCACTAGCCCGACAGCAAGAAGACATGGACGACTCAAAAATGAGCTACACAAAGTTGCGCGCCGAGCAAAGGCTCGCCGAGGAAGAGGAAAAGGCTCGCGTTGAAAACGAAAAGGCAGAGGAAAAGCGCAAAAAGAAGTGGAAGAAGAAGGTCCTGAGCAAAGAGGAGCGCGATGCAAAGGCAAAGGATCTTGATCGGCTTCTTGCTCAGAGTGCAGCTTTCAGCAGCATCCTGACTAACAAGACAAAGGTTCTTGGTCGTGTGGGAACTGGTCTGGATGGAAAGATTCTTGGTGAACATGAGTTGACCATGGCAAAACAGCCCAAATGCGTTGTCGGCGGTACCATGAGAGACTACCAACTGGAGGGACTGACATGGATGTATGAGATTTGCGTCCAGGGCATGTCTGGCATCCTGGCTGACGAAATGGGTTTGGGTATGTTGAGCGTCAATTCTTTTCCTAAAGCTGGTACTGGTCTGGGCTAACGGCTGCATCTCTATCACACTACAGGCAAAACTGTCCAAACGATTTCCCTAATAGCGCTGTTACGTGAGCAGGAGAACTACTTGGGGCCTCACCTGATAGTTGCTCCTCTCAGCACCTTGTCTAATTGGATCGATGAATTCCATCGTTGGGTGCCCTCCATCCCGGTTGTCATGTATCATGGCACCCCTCAAGAGCGTCAGGATATCTTCAGAACCAAGCTCATGCACCATCTTCACGGCGGCAGACCGACCGAAAAGTTTCCTGTCGTCTGTACAAGCTACGAGATGGTCCTCAAGGACCGAGCCAATCTCTCCAAGATCAACTGGGAGTTTATCATTATCGATGAGGGTCACCGCATGAAGAACTTCAATTCAAAACTGTTCAGGGAACTCAAGACATTCACTTCAGCCACTCGCATTCTCATGACCGGCACCCCATTACAGAACAATCTGAAGGAGCTTTGGTCACTTCTAAACTTCCTCTTACCAAAGATCTTTAGAGATTGGGAGGCCTTCGAAAGTTGGTTCGATTTCAGCGACCTTGAAGATGAGGAAGGAACTGAAGAGTTCATTGCCGACAAGACCAAGCAGGAGCTTGTCAAGAAGATGCACGTGGTCCTTCAGCCCTTACTTTTGCGGCGAGTAAAATCTGATGTCGCCAAATACTTACCAAAGAAGCGCGAATATGTCTTGTATGCGCCCATGACAAAGGAGCAAACCGATTTGTACAACGTCATCAACGATAAACACATCGATACCCGATCATATCTGGAGAGTAAAGTAGTCGAGCGCCTTACTGGAGCCACAGCCAGCACCGCATCATCACCAAGGAGTACCTCTCGCTCTTCCAAGGCAAACAGCGTGAAGATGGAGTCTGATAGTCTCAGCGACTCAGGAAGCTTCACGACCAAGACCAGCGCACTTACTCTCCAGGAAAAGGAATCAAGTCCGCTAGCCAAGGATGCTTTTGCACTAATGATGGGCAAACGGACACGAGGTCGTCCGCGCAAGGCTCTTTCTGTGTCCGAACCTCCTGCGGAAGAGACAACACCAGTCAAATCCACCACAACAGGCACAAAGAGGAAGGCCGCACCGGTTGTAGAGACTCCGGCACCAAAGAGCGCAAAATCAAGCAGACAGTCTACGCCCATGAGCACTCGGAGCCGGAGTCGGCGAGGAAGGCGGTCGTACAAAGAAGCAGACTCTGACGAGGAACTCCTCGATGACGATGAGTTCGAGAAGAAGCTGGTCAAAGAGGTCGTGGAGGACGATGTACAAGACATGGAAGTTGACCTCGACGCCGAGGAGATTAAGCGCGCCCAAACTCTTGATCTAGCCAAGAAGGAAATTTCCAACAAGAAGCTCGGAAACCCACTTATGCAGCTCCGCCTCGTCTGCAACAGTCCGCACAACTTCTACAATCCCTGGTCCAACTCGGACCAGCCCATCGACGAGAGCATTGTCACCGCCTCCGGCAAGATGCTCTTGCTGGACCGGCTCCTCCCCGCCCTCTTTGAGCGGGGCCACAAGATCCTCATTTTCTCCCAATTCAAGACTCAGCTGGACATCCTCGAGGAATACTGCCGCGAGCTACGTTCATGGGACGTCTGCCGCATCGACGGAGGCGTCGCCCAGGACGACCGACGAGCGCAGATCGAGCAGTTCAACACGGATCCGGACGTCAAGATCTTCCTGCTGTCTACCCGCGCCGGTGGGCAGGGTATTAACCTTGCCAGCGCCGACACGGTTATCCTGTTCGACAGCGACTGGAACCCGCAGCAGGACCTGCAGGCGCAGGATCGGTGTCACCGTATCGGACAAACGCGGCCCGTGGTAGTGTACCGGCTGGCCACCAAGGGCACAGTGGAGGAGGAGCTGCTTATGAGTGCGGACGCCAAGCGCCGGCTCGAAAAGCTGGTCATCAAGAAGGGCGGGTTCAAGACTATGGGCCAGAAGCTGGACCTGCGCGAGGAGGGACTGGATCGGGAGACGCTGCGTGCGCTGCTGCTGAAAGATGGGCAGGTGTACAAGTTCAGCGGCGACAAGGAGATTCTGAGCGAAGAAGATCTGCGGGTGTTGTGTGACCGGAGTGATGAGGCATATGCGAGCGCGGCGAAGGGTGAGGGCAATGCGGATGGGTGGAAGGTTATTGAGACGCAGGCGGAGGGGATTAGAACGGCGGGTGAGAAGAAAAAGAGGTGATTTGGTGCTCCTGATTGCCCATCACGCCTTGGAATAAATCACAGTTGAATATATCCATGAGAAGAATTATGTTAGCGTGTCGCGCGGTTAACCCTATGATTGCTCCACCCCTTTAATGGTGTCTAAACTCAAGGAGGAGAAGGAGGATACACAGGAGAGAGAGAGACAAGTGAAGAGAACATTGATGATCGCTAGGATGGTACAGACACCTGTATATCTGTGTATAAACGGATATGCGAACATGAAGGGGTAAACGTTTGCAGGTAGGCGGCAAAGAGAGGAAGCTGAACCATGAAGTAGGATTCAGTGCGAGGAATTAAGAAAAAAAAAAAAAAAAAAAAAAAAAAAAACCAGAGGAAGTGCACCGAGCAAAAGAGGAAAGGAGACAAAAGTTAACACAACCCAATTGCCACCATCATCGATCATCGACCATTTTCTGTCGAAGTCATTCTCCCCCCACTACCCAAAGGTTCAAGGAAGCACTCAGCTACATTCTTTTGGGGGGGGGGGGGGGGGATGGAAATAACCTCCTGCCTGCCTAAGACACCCAAGGAGAAAAGAGTTCGGGCCTAAGCTACAGAAAGATAACAAACCGTTCTCAAGTTACTTGAGTGCTGCCTGTTTTTTTTCTCCGAGGCACGAGTGGACGTATTGACGTTGAAGTAATTAGAGCATAAGGTCTTTGAAAGCGTGGCATGTTTAATTGTATGCCGTGAAGAAATATCAAGACGCAGTATGCACTGCTGGATTATATTGATGTTTACCGGCCTACGTAATCTTTTTTATGGTAAAGTAGACGGCGACACCGCCTATCCCTTCTTGTAAAGCGCGAATTTCTCCCATCCATCCCGTTACTATGATGCAACGAGGGGAAAAAAAAGAGGACATAAAAAGGAACCAGGTTTGAAAGCGAGTGGAGCTTCAGCCTTTAGGTGAACAGCTCAAAAGTGGAAAAGTCGCTCCAACAAACGGCGGTGAAGTATTGAGTTTGAAGCTGAGAAGAATGAGGGACCACGCTGACGGAGTTGAAACGAGTAACCCGGGCAACAGGGTTGAGTCCAAAGGGTAGATATCCCTGGGAGTGAGGCCGCTCGAATCCTCACCACTTTTTATGTCCATCGCAGAGTGCCAGGTGGTCTATCAGCCAATTGAAAATGAACTTTGAACTGTCAAAACCTTGATGTTATTCTCTTTTCTTTTATTTCTTCCCTCTCCAACAATCCATTGAAAAATGCCCATAGCGTAGGCATGGAAAAGCTGTCATGGGCAATCTGAGTTCCATGGTCTCGTCCGCTCCACCAACCCCTGAGCTAAAATGAAAAACTTGTAAACAAACAGGAAGGGGACCAAAGAAACCTGAGGCCTTTGTAGTTTCCTCAACTGTTTATCTGTGTGTTCCGCGTCACGTTCATCTACACCTACAAAGAATTTGCTCATACACGCCAAGAGGATCTGAGGACTTTCAAGCATACCTGATAGGGGCGCAAGGTCTCAGGTTTCTCTTCTTTTAGCAGCCATAGACGAGCTTGCAAAGGTATCATCATCTTCATACAACTACGGAGACCCCTACCTTCGTGAAGAGCCATCTCGCAGTCGGAAATAACGGGTAATATCGGCTTTCGAAAGCGAACAGCGAGCCTGCGAACCTTACCGGCTCCCGCATCGTAGTACTGCGTACATAACAATCCCCCGAACCCGAACCCGAACCCAACCCAACAAGATGGCTCCATCGGCCCATCATCATCAAGGTCACTTGACGTTACAGATTTTCCATCGGGGGCCCTGAATCGTCAATGGCGGTTTCCATTTGTTCCAAACTTCTTTTGTCTGGGGGGGTCCGGGGAATGTTACATAGCTGGTTAGTGGAGTTGTGATGGGAAAAGCCGGCGTGCTGGTACGGGTGGTAAGTGGTGGGTTGGACTGAGTCGGGGAAAGTGGATACAGAATTGTCATCGCCAACCCCCACGGACTCCACGGACTCCACAGCAGGTTTGGGATCCCTAACCCGTTTTGCGGTTCTCTCCATGGGGAAATGGGGGGGGGATGACTGGGGATTGGGGGTTAGACTGGGGAAAAGTTCTCCGTTAGGGGACTCCATATGACCCCCACCTAACGTAAAAGAAACTAAAGCGACGAAATTCCGGGGTTGTCGTCGACGACGGCTGACCGGCGACGTTCAGGACGTCGCAACATGCGTCCCACTGTGGAGCGGTTTAGTGTAAGCAAAAAAATAGTGCCAACCTGAGTCAAGATTTGCCAACACTTCTCGTCCTGGTCGTCTTTTGACAGAGAACCATCATTCACCTGGAGAGATGTGAACTGCACCCACAGGGCCAGGACACGGGCTGGGCAGACCAGGACCGGGTCTTGTGTGCCGGCCCGAGGTTCTGGTGAGTTCCGATACCAGTACGTACCTCGTAGAGCGTTGGACGGTGTACGTATACCTAGAATAGTGAGCTTCTTGGGGATTTGGGTGTTGTGAAGATGTCGGCTCGGTGGTAATGTGTATTACAGGCGGTGAAGCATGAGTCCCGGACCGAGGGAGTTTGCGAGATGTCCGGTGTTGGACCCTGTCCGGGGGCCAGGAGGACTTGATATAGACTTCTCGTACAGCCCACATAGCCGAGGTCGCGGCTAGAGACGGATGCTGTTTTGTTTCTGTCAATAAAGCGCCAACGGGTACTTCATACAGTCGCAGTCAAAGGGGATCATCAGGGACTGGTCCCCCAACGTTGAAGGGTGACCCAGATCAGGCATGCAACTTTATCTGAGCGCTAAGCCATGCGACTATTTCGACTTTTGGGGGATACGCGGAGAATATTGACTTAGACGTCCTCGTGGGTAGCAGAAGGGATTTTGGGGGTATCGAAAGATCGTGGAGTGTTGAGGTTGGTGTTGTTTGACGAGACATATGCCAAGACAGACAAGACCAGCCAAGCTTGAGGCTCCGTTCGGGGGAAGCGGAATCGCGTGCTGCGTCCCCGGGATGTTGGTCTGCCGAACGTGTGCATGGTGTTGGTATGTACCTACCTTTGTACAGTAGAAACCCCTGCAATTACAAACTCCAGGAAATGCATATACGCCTGTGAGTACATATGATCTGACTGGCTGAGTTGATTCCCAGCCACGACTATACAATACTGTATACTAATTTCGAACAGTTTCTGGTGCGTACACTGTGTGCACTTAAAAAAAATAGGTCCCGAGTACATAGTAAAGCTCTTGGTACACTAAAGTGTCGAAATTCATTATCACATATGCCATGTTGTGCGTACAATCCTCAGGTCTGACATACATTGTAGTTTCAGGGATTCTATTCAGTTGTATCTGTACTCGCGAGAGAAAGGGTTGCACGGCAGGAACTGCAACCGTGATGGCCACGTTATCAAGCAAGCTTGCACCTGATCGTCTAGCACCACGCGATTGCGGAGACCTCCTCCGACGGCAAAAAGAAGATGGAACCGAGTTTTAACGAGAAGGGTGAAGACGGGAAAATCGGCAGGCAGATGCCGCGCGATCCGTTGGATCGATACATGTCCGCGTCGGCGGAAGAGTCGAGACTTGGTCAAGATTTTCTGGCGCAAGGTAAGCGAGTGAAACCTTCTGAGCGATAGGACTTGTCGGGCTGTCGGGGCGCCTACTGGAAATGCCCAAGTCCAAAAAAGTTGGTGGTTGCCGTGGAAGGAAACTGATGGCCAGCAATTGTCAGCTATCGGAGTCGGAGCCCTACCATAGAATGTCGTCTGGCAAGCGGCACCGGCAGCGGCAAGTCGTTGAGTGTGGTTGTCCAGGTTTTTGAAAGAGTTCTCGTTGATGTCGCTCCCAACTCCCAAAGCAGAATCTCAATGCCGTGTGGGGCATGCAGGTCGCTTCAATCCGGGCCGAAAAGAAAGCGGGCTACTGCAGAGTCGGGCGCAACTTCGCACGAAATGAAATGTTTTTGTTAATTGTTAGTGCAGCTTGTCAAGCCTGTCAAGACTTTATCATGACCGAATACCTCGGGGCGCTTTCAAAGAGGCGTTCCCGTCTTAACTTGTTCCTGGTCTCGCCTAGAGAATTCCTCCAATGGAGCTGTTCATCCAAATTTGATGGTCCATGTTCTGGCCGTGACTGGTTGTCCACCTTCTGCCATACATAGCACCACATATGTATGTACAATTGAGAAATGACAGTGTCAGGTCTGTAGGAAACCTCTGAATAGCTTGTGTGACTTGCAGGCATCAAAATTCGCCATGTTGCCAGGTTTCACCAGCCATCCTAGACTTCAACGTTGCAGTTCCTTGCAATGCGGGGAACAACCCACAATACCCACGAACCGGCGGTTTGTGGATTAACTTGTGGACTCGTATGGGGGTGATTTTGAGGGGAAGATATGGGGGAAACGCTGGGGGAGTGATGGGGTAGAAAAAGTGGGACATCATCAAGGCCTTCAGGTCGTGTAAGAAGGCTGGGATGGATACCTACCTGACATGGGTAGAGGTAGGATCGAGTAACCATCTAGTGCACTTGGTGCTCTACTTAATGCGCCCCGACTGCCATTCCACCCCGACAACCCTTTTTCCTCATCCTGTTCCTGCTTTGTTTGGTCTGGGTCCGTGGTGGTTCTGTGTCATCTTGCCTATCCACCCCTTACAACACATACATACAGCATGGCCAGGCACGAGGGCCGTGATTCCCTCTCGGGGATCGAGAAGCCGGCGGTCGAAGCGTCCGAGAACTATACACACAATGAGCAGCCAAACACTGGCAATCTCAATGTCCGCGCTATGGACCCTGAGGAGCGCATTCGTATCGAAAAGTCTCTCCTCCGCAAGCTTGATGCTCGGTGCTCCTACTTTGTTGTCATCTATATCTTGTAAGTGACTCGACTCTGTTCAGTCTGCTTGGAGTCAATAACCCGTACTGACGACCTGGTAGGAACTACCTCGACCGAAACAACATTGGTGCCGCCCGTCTCAAGGGTCTTCAAGAGGATCTCAAGTTGAGCGATACCCAATATGCGACATGTCTCTCCATTCTTTACGTCGGATACATCCTCATGCAGATCCCTTCCAACATGTTCATCAACCGAATTCCCCGGCCATCACTCTATATCTCGGCAGTCATGACGATCTGGGGTCTCATTTCGACGTTGACCGGTCTGGCCAAGGGCTTTGGTGGCATGGTTGTCATCCGGTTCCTGCTGGGCTTCGTCGAAGCCGCCTTCCTGCCCGGAGCGCTCTTGATTCTCAGCAAGTGGTACACCCGTCGTGAGCTGACCAAGCGCAACGCAATTCTCTTCTGCGGCAATCTCATCTCGAACGCCTTCTCTTCTCTCGTCGGTGCTGGCGTCTTGTCCAACATGGACGGCGTGCTGGGTCACAGGGCCTGGAGGTGGCTGTTCTACATCGAAGGTGCCGCCACCATGTTCGTCGCCGTCCTGGCGGCTTTCATCCTTCCCGACTTGCCGACCAACAGCCGCGGGTTCACCGAGGAGGAACTCTTGGTCGCCCAGTTGCGCATGACCGAAGATGTCGGTGAAGCCGATAGCGACTCGGCCGATATGGGGATCTTTGACGGCTTGATTATGGTCGTCAAGGACTGGAAGGTTTATCTGATGATGCTGACTTTCACTGCCTACACCACCGGCTTGAGCTTCAACGCCTTCTTCGTAAGTTTCCATCATGAGCTCCTGTATGCATGCATCGGCTCATTGCTAACAACACAACAAACAGCCTACACTCACGGGTACTCTTGGCCTGGCATATGTTCCCACTCTTCTCCTCAGCGCCCCCCCCTGGGTCTTTGCCTGCATCTTTTCACTCATCAACGCCTGGCACTCGGATCGCAAACAAGAAAAGTTTGGTCACATTGTCGGCCCCATCTGCATGGGTCTTGTCGGATTCGTGATCAGCATGGCCACCCTCAACAAGGCGGCGAGATATGTTGCCCTCTTCCTACAAGCTGGCTCCTACGCTGGCTTCATCGTCTTTTACTCGTGGATCAGCTCTTCGTTCCCCCGCCCACCTGCCAAGCGTGCCGTCGCTCTGGCCATGATCAACGCTTTCAGCCAGCTTGGCAACGTCGCGGGATCGTACGTCTGGGACCTGAAGGAGAACGGCTACCGCAAGAGCTACGGCATCGTGACTGCCATGTTCGGTGTCACGGTTGTCGGCTGCTGGGTGATTCGCATGGTGCTTGTCGACCAGAACAAGAAGCTTGCGCTTGGAGAGGAAAGTGCATGGGAGGTGCACGACGATGTGGCCAACCAGACGGCGAGAGTGGAGGGATTGAAGAGCGAAGGTGCGGATCTGAAGCCACAGATTGGGTTCAGATATCTTGTTTGATTTAGCGCAGGAACGTGTGTGTCTGTATGATTTCAGATCTTGGTTAATGATACCCCGAGAATTTGTTCAATTGATTGTGAATTCGTTATCCCTTTTTGTCTCTGTGACTGTTGTGGAAGTTGCAGATACCCAACTCACACGTACCTTCCATTCTCTGCAACCTACCCCGCTACTGGGCAGGTCTTTGTGGCGGATAAAAAGTGAGATGAATGGAAGGGACATCCACCTGTTATGGGCAGCTCAGCTGCCTGCCGTGCACTCACAAAAGGTGCCTGCCGGAGGATTAACTAGCGCCTGCTTGCTCCTGCCTGCGGTACCTCGCCTACAAAAGTCACAGCTGCCGCCGGATTAGATAAGGTATCTCCATAGACAGATCTCCGGCTTGTTATGGATGCACGTAAAGTAGTATTCTCCCCAAAACATCCAGAGTTTCCACGCGTTCCCTCGTTTTTCAGAGTTTCAATCTCGACCTTAACGGCGAGCTAACGGGCATTTCTTCTCACCACAAAATTTACCCATCAATCACCATGTGGTTGATCAACACACGCACCCTTGGGCTCGAGGAGTTTGTGGGCGCCGACATACCCGCGTATGCAATTCTTTCGCACACATGGGAGACTGGAGAGGTCACATTCCACGACGCCAAAGCAAAGCTACTGGGGAAACAGACCTCTCAAGGCGCCCGCAAGGTAGCAAAAGCATGTGAAGTTGCAGCCGAACATGGACTGGCCTATGCCTGGGTTGATACATGTTGTATTGACAAGTCCAGTAGTGCGGAGCTCACAGAGGCCATCAATTCCATGTTCCAATGGTATCGCTCCTCACAGATTTGCTTGGTCTACCTCTCCGATCTCAAAGCAGTCGAACTTGACCACGCAATGTGCACGTCCCGCTGGTTCAAACGTGGATGGACGCTTCAAGAACTCATAGCTCCCTCCAGACTCATGTTCTACGACCAGGACTGGAAGAAAAGGGGGACGAAAGAGGATTTGGCAAGCCTACTTAGCAAGATCACTCGCATTGATATTGGAATCTTGTTGGATCCTTCCAGAGTGTATACTGTTCCGGTTGGCAAAAGAATGAGTTGGGCGGCTGACCGGCAAACAACGCGTTTGGAAGACAGGGCCTATTCTTTGCTGGGAATCTTTGACATCAACATGCCTCTAATATACGGAGAGGGCCCAAAGGCCTTTACAAGGCTACAAGAGGAAATTATACGGCGAAGCAACGATGTCAGCATCTTTTGCTGGCGAACCCAGGAAAATACACGTTGGCGCGGTATATTGGCCTCCTCGCCTGATGAGTTCAAGTGTGTAGCAGACGCTGAGGATGATGTGGCTCTCAAGAACGGCCCTGAATACACTCTGACAAACAAAGGCCTCCGAATTGAGCTCGACCTTGCGTCTGCCGGCCCGAACCTCTACTTCATGGCACTGTATTGTACCGACTACTTCAAGGACGAGTGGCAGTGCATCTACTTGACGGCCATTGGTAAGGATTCGTATGCGAGGGCTCGACCCCAAGAGCTTGTCCGCAAAGTCCGAAAGGGTTTGTTATGGGTCCGGAAGCAGTCTCAATACCTCACTGAGGAGATGGACTCTGAGATGTCGTCCATTACACTCAGGCATGCTTTGGATAGGTCATTCACGTTTGATGGGCTTCTACACACAAGGTTGGGATACCAGCTTGGCGGCACACATCCTGAACGTTTGTGGCATCACGATCATGCCGCGTTTCTTCATGTCGGTTACAAGCCTTTCGTCGGCTGTCATGTGTTGAAACCGGATTCAAGGCGCTTTGCCTCTGCGGTGATACTTGCGTTCGGAGTCACGAACGAAGGGCGCAGCTGGCTGTGTTTTGTAGAGAGACACACCACCTGTCCCTGGTCCCCTTCGCAGCGTGTCTTGAACCGTGCTGAATGCTTGAATACTCCTGTCAACTGGTCAAGGGAAGTCAGGTCAAGCATAGTAGGCAGTATAGGTCAATACGGAATCTTTCGAGATCAGAAAGAGGATATGCTTGCCGCAACGTGGGCAACAGATTCCACATTTCTTACGGCTACACTTGTCGAGGAAGTGCGAGATGGCTGCACCACGTATGTCATAAAGCTCCGAGAGGAACTCATTGTAAGCAGTGAGGATAGCCAGGAGCAGAATAGGAGCGGACCAAAGGATGGAGACAGAAAGTCGTGGCTGATGAGGGCTATCGGCCTTTGACTGGCTCATCGAAGTACACGAACTAAAAAACACGAACAAGCGCAAAAGTATGTGGAAACTACCGTCGCAATTTCCTACCCACGCCGGACGGTCGATTTCAGCCATTTCTATGTATGTACCGCAAGAACAAATCGTCAGTGATCATTGATCCCGACTTGTTTAGAGTTGAATATTCGAGAATAATGGCACATTCCCAGATATAAATGTAGAACTTCTTTCCGGCACCTAGGACCCTCTCGCAGCCTCACATCACTAAGGTACAATATCCCTCAATTGACCTTTTCTACTCGACCTTAACAACCACCTTACCAAAGTGACTTCCACTCCTTAAGTACTTGATCGCCTCCTTTCCCTCCTCAAACTCAAGCACCTTATCCACCACCGGCCTGATTTCATGCCTCTGATAGAACTCGCACATCTCCTCAAATCGGTCCCTAGGACCATTAATAATTCCCTTGAGCGTCACAGTCCTCCTCAGCGCCAACACGTTCACATTCATCCTGCTCCCCTCACCACTGTCTTCCTTACCGGCCGTATACCCAATGCAAGAGATCAGCCCGCCAAACGCAATGCAATCCAGCGCCTTATACAGCGTCCCCGCCCCGCCCGTCTCGAGAATGATATCTGCCCCGTCGTTCTCTCCCGTAATCTCCATCACCTTCTTCTCCCAGTCGGGCGTCGTCTTGTAGTTAATCACATGATCGGCGCCCAACTCCTCCTTGGCCCTGCGCAGCTTCTCATCGCTCGAACTCGTGATGATGGTCCGCGCCCCGGCCGCTTTAGCAATCTGCAGTCCTGCAATAGCCACGCCGCCCGTTCCCTCCAGCAGCACCGTTTTGCCCTGCAACGGCTTCCCCTCTGCCTTGGCCCAGGTGCCAAAGGGCTCCATCCCGAAAATGGCCATCCAAGCTGTCACAGCGGCAATCGGCAGGCAACTCGCCTCTTCGTCGGTCAGGTACTCGGGAACCCGGACGAGGCCGGTGGAGGGAAATACGCGGTAGGTCTGCAAAACGCCGTCGAGAGGCTTTCCGAGCGCCGAGGCAAGGTCCTTGGCGGTGATTTGGCCGGTGAGATGGGATTGGCAGAAGGTGGAGAGGACGCGGTCGCCTACTTTCCAGGGGGACTGAGAGGCGCCGGGGCCGGGAGAGCCAAGGGCGGCGATAATGCCGAGGGCGTCGGAGCAGGGGACGAGGGGGGTGGTACGCCTGGAATAGGCTTCGTAGTGGTTGTATTCGCCGTTGGTCACTGCGGGGGTTGTCAGCTATGTCCGTATATATATGATCATGTTGGGACTTGAGCGAAAGGGTGATAATAGTAAAGGAACAACATACCCTCCGTATCACGGTAGTTAAGAGAAACAGCCTTGATCTCGACCAACACTTCATCCTGGCCGGGGGTAGGCATGGGCGCAGTGCCACGAGTGAGGTTGTCGAAGCCATCTTCGAATGTGTGCCACTGCTGGACTTCCTTTGTTTGAGTAGACATGGTGAAGTTGTGTTTGCGTTGAAAACCGTCGCAAGGTGAGCTGGAGTGAGAACTTGATCGATCTTGATGAGATAGAATGGATATTGTGAAACGTGTAACTGAAGGAGTTTATATAACTGCTGCGGTGTGAGACTGATGTAACAAGCTGATAAATGTGGTAGTAACCGCTTCGCGATGTGGATCACCCAAGAGATCGCGATTTGTAAGACAGGACGCCCTTCCCCTGAGCTTCCCCACTATGTCTTGGCATAGAAGGTCTTCTTGCACGATGTTGAAGACATGGGACACTCGAGCGTCACGCATCAGCATCGTGTCAATCTGATGAAACGAAGTGTTCATGAAGGTGTCACTAATTTACTCTTTACAAAAATACCACTGTTCCATTGCCGCAGCTCATGATGGGCAGCATTTCCTTGCGTCAACGCGCCGTGTGAACAACCACCATTCCCAGACAAGGTTCATGAAATAGACATCGCGAAAACCAAGCCCATATTGATATCAGAGCCAATTCAACCACGCTTATTCCATCACTCATACCCAACAGGATCACCTAAGTCCAATCAAGAAATGATCATTGCCGGCCCCATCAAGGGCTCAAAGCTCAATCAACAACTCCTCCGTATCCTTCAAGTCCTCCATTTCACAGGCCCTCACCTTTTCCGGTTCAGTCAGTCCCAGTCCACATCCAGTGTTCTTCTCTGCCTGTTCCAAACGCCACATCCACTCATCAACACTCCTGGCGAACTGGTACAACACAAGCTGGCGTTCCTGAACCTTGCCAAGGCGAGGAAAATCGCTGCTCCGACGCATGTACGCCAAGCTCTCCATCTCCAAATCCCATCCGACTAGCCAGGCGTGGGGATCGCGACAGCCCCAGTCTTCTATGGGAATTGGAGGTAAAGGAAGGATGAGCTTGTTGCCTATGTTGGTGGACTCGGTGTCTTTGAGGGAGGCGTGACTTTTCATTCTGCGAATGCTGTTGTTGTTCGTATCGTTTGCTTTCAATGAGACGCAGCTTTTCATGGTGCGAATTGAACCAGACCGATTTAATTGAGGTTGGACGTGTGGTTGAGCCTGAGCCTGAGCCTGCTTCTTGAGAAGATAAGCTTTGCGCGCCTCAACAACATGTTGAACGACCTTCTTCATCACACATGGATGAATAGGGAAACACGCTTCCTGAATATACTTCTCTTTTGCCGCTCTAGCCACCAGCGGATGTGGCCCCTTCAAGTGGTCGCCAACAATGTTCTTGTTCTGTTTTTTCCTGTGGACTTGAATGGAGAAGAAGATATCGTGGAGGCTCTCCTTGTGGAAGTCAACGAGCTTTTGCCCGTCTCCTGTCTTCTGAGCTTGGCTGTACAACACCGGCCGGTCTTCCATGCTCATATTCGCAAAGTATTCTCGCAAGAACTTGGTTGTCAGCTGCGAGAGTTTTTGCATATCATCGAGTTGATCGGTTAGGCCGCCCATGAGGTTGACGGTCTCTATGGGGCTGAGAAAAGGATCCTGGGGTACAAAAACGAAGCCGGGAATTTGGGCGAAGACTTTGTGACGGACGATCTCAATCCACGAAAGGAGTTCGGGCCCTCCTTGCATTTGACCAGCCCAAATCTGTTCGAGACGTGAAGGCCTAGTGGTTTGCTGATGGTAGAACTTGATGGGGACTTCGTATGGCCTGTGGTTGGCGGCATACAGGGTTACTGTGACGGTTCTTTGTGGCGTGTTGACCACGGCCCGTGGAGCCGATGCGGGTATGTTGTATGCGCCGCGTCGAGGGATAAGCACTCGTGATTCTGCCTTGTTGTCTTCATGACCATGGGTTCGTCGTGGAGTTTGCTTCGAAAAGTCATTAGGCGCTAGTGACTGCGGTAGCAAAGTCTGCTTGGTTGGCGTGTCACTGGACGGTCTAGGGCTAGCTGAAGGAGGTTCGCCCGTGTACCGTGATGACAAAAGCGGACTGGGATGCAAAGTGATCGCGTAACGGTAAACACGTAGAAATGGGTCCGTATCGTTGAGAAGAGGCTCTTGTTGATCCAGTAAACTATCCATGTTAGTAGCAATGCTGATAGTCGTTCGTGTGATGGTGATATTTTCGCGCCTGAGTTGTCTTCAGTTGACTGCGGAAGTCCAGTACTTTAGGGCATTTTGGCATTTAACCTGATCCCCAGCAAGTCTTGTCGGGTGTTGCCTTCCTGTTTGTCCTGAGTGATGGCTTGCACCATGATTCACTTCGCTGTATCACTTTCCGCTCGAAGCAACCATCGATTTCTCATCGCATAGGAAATAGGTGTTGTGTGATTAGACAGAGCAACCCGGAATCAACCGTGGACATCTCCCCTAGCTGTGAAGAATGATGGTAGATTCAAGGCAAGTCCAACAACAATGGCGTATTTTCGTCTTTTGTTGACGCGATCCAGCTTTCCTCAATCCACAGGTCCTGAAAAGCCTCCAATTATTCATAACCAGGGGGCATTTCTGCAGTAAAAGCTGTATCGATCAGAGACTCTGATAGATTCACAGTGTCCTTCATGTCATAAATCTCCAAACCCTGATAATGTACATAGTTCAAAGGCCAAGAAAAGAGCAAAGTGATCACCTGCTGGGCAAGAATAGGCGGTCTCTACATGTGTTTCAGTACCGAACATCACCGGTAGCGATTACTTGTATGAGGGTGAAGAACTGACCGGATGTGACCTTCAGAATTGGAATTTCATACCTGGTGTTAATGGATGGAGAAGGAGATATCTGTATTGATTCCCCAAGGGCAAGTGGCAACTTGGGCTTGATTCTGTGCAGGGGTGAGAAAGCAGGTGAGATGGGTTAGGATGTCGTTATGATGGGGCGGGAGCCGACCCGCAGAATTAGCAATCAACCTTGTGTTGGGTTAGCCCACCCGACCTCCCGCTTGAAGTCGGCCAACCGGTTGTCGTTGCTATCCGCTGTAATCACCCCTTTGATTGATCCGTGAAAATTTCGCTATGAGGACGACAAAAGTACTGAGAGAGAGTAATACAGTTTAACATGGTGTTTATGACAAGACTGTCCAACTTCAGCCTTTGGTCAAGTAATGCGGGTTGAGGGAGTCCCATTGACAGATGTGGCTTGGTGGATGATGAGAAGGCGTCCCGATGACTCAACGGCCGTCATCGGAGGAGGGACATGGAGGTAAATAACCGCCTTCTACCCATTCTCTGTATCTTGGAACCTTCCCCTCCTCAGACCTCAAGCAGGTGTCGATATCACGGTTCCTTGACACATAATCAACCAATCAAGCACCAACCACTGCGAGATTATCTTATATTTCAGCCATGGCCGACGCGGACAAGGGACTGCCCGTCAGCTGCGAATGCGGATACATTAAGTTCCAAACGCCGTCGTCGAAGCCGCTCGGAACGGCATGCTGCCATTGCACATCGTGTCGAAAACAGTCAGCCTCCTTCTTCGGTACCTCGGTCTACTTCCCGACCAGCCAAATGTTTCCGCTGCCGGCCGATCTCGAGTCGAAGCTCTCCGTCTTCACCCATCCAGCCGAGAGCGGCAACACCATGCACTGCTACTTCTGTCCCAAGTGCGGAGTACGCGTTTTCCATGCTGGCGTGCTCCCTGATGGTAACATGCGACCTGTCGTTGCTATCAAGGGAGGAGTTATCGAATCTGGGCTGGATTGGAAGGAAATGAAGCCCAAGCATATCTACACTCGATCAGCGGTCATGGAGTTGCCCGAGGAGTGGGAGTGCTACGAGACCACTGCGCCCGCACAGTATGGCCCAGCGCCGGGAGACGATGCCAAAGACAAGAAGACGAAGGAAAAATGAACATGCGTTTTCGGTTTTGTCTACAAACAGTTGATGTTGCTACGTGGAGGTTGGAACGGATGTCGTTCAGTTATCTTCTCTTGTTTGCGGATGGGAATGCTAGCGCACCGACATGTAGAGGCAGTTATAAGCTTAATGCATTGTCCCCAGAACCGGTGCAGAAATTGTTAGCGTACCATCTCCTCTAGTCGTAAGGGTTAGGGTCATTCAGGTCCGTGATTCATCTGAAACCCGATTTGAGCGGACGGTGGAGATCAATTCAGGGGCGGGAAGAAACCCGAAGAGTGGGGCTGACAGCACCCCTCTCCGCCGCTGCGCTGCGACCCTGACAGATGCCAACTTTTAGCACCCAAACCGCCCGCGGTCTGGCTCCTGAATGTCCGCCATGCGCCCAGTCCGTCTTGTCAACTCCATTCTTCGAACGCGTCTCATCTACACAATGGCTCCCAGTATGCCTTTCTGCCGCTATGTTACTCTAAAGACACCATGATCCTCCACCATTACTGACTCGGCCGCGCTGCCAGCTCTTCCTCCCGATCGTCGCCCCGTCGTTATCTCTGGCCCCTCTGGCGTCGGCAAGGGCACCCTCTTCAAGCTCCTCTTCGAGAGACACCCCGACACTTTTACTCTTTCCGTGTCGCATACCACCCGCGGCCCTAGACCCGGCGAGAAGGATGGCGTCGACTACCACTATGTCACCAAGGAAGCTTTCGAAGAGCTGAAGGCCAAGGGCGGTTTCGTCGAGAGGTACAACAACAACAATCAGCAACGCTCCCGGTCAGAGACACGACTTGAGAGCATGGGGGCTAACTCTCCATAACAGTGCGCAGTTCGGCAGCAACTTCTACGGAACCAGCAAGGCCACCATCGAGGAGCAGTCCGCCAAGGGCAAGGTTGTCGTTCTCGACATCGAGATGGAGGGTGTCAAGCAGATCCAGGCCTCTGGCTTCCCCGCCCGCTACGTCTTCATCGCTCCCCCATCAGAGGAGGAGCTCGAAAAGAGACTCCGCGGCCGCGGTACTGATAAGGAGGAGGATATTCTCAAGAGACTGGCTCAGGCCAAGAACGAGCTCGCTTTCAGCAAGACCGGTGTCCATGATAAGATCATCGTCAACGAGGTACGTGTCGCTTGCTCATTTCAAGGCGCCGCGTACCATGAGGAGCTAACACATTATAGGATCTCGAGACGGCCTACAAGGAGCTCGAGGAGTTCGTCTATGCGCCGGTCGCCTGAATTTGGGGTTGAAAATAATGTTTTGAATAGACAGACTATACCCTGATCAACCGCCCTGTCCTCAGAATTGTGTTGACTGTCTCGATGCCAGAACTGGACCATCTTCCGCATGTGTGTTGGCTGCCGCCGTTATTCAAAGTATACCGCACCAAAACCGGAGTAACTTCGCTAGCCGGCCGGTCCTCTGCCCCATATTTCGAATAGACTCTATAGAGGTAACTAGCCAGGCCTTAATCGGCTTAAGCAATAATGGTCGGCTCGTATGGATTTGAAGGCGGATTGAGGGTCTGGTCGACCTACAGCAGGCCGTCAAGACCAGCCCAAGTTGATGTCTGCCTTGAAAGGGCATGCACGAACCCACTACAAAAAGAAATTTTGCGAGCCGTTCATATCAAAACAGTACTCCGGATTGCATTCGCAGACCTTCTCTTCAGTCAAAAATTACGACACTGCTCGACACTCGCGGTGACTTAGTCACTTCCTCGTATTTGGAGCATGGAACGTCGAATCCAGCCAAATATCGATCCCGCATACTCACATCTATATTCAACTTTTGTACAACTTCAACTAGTACCTATACAATCTTGTTCCAAGTGACAACATGATAAACGAGTCCCAGAACCTCCAAGGGAAGTTGGGCACAGCATCGGAGTATGAGCCAGAGCGAAGGATATTCAAGCTGTTCATCTAACGGACATTTTTGCCTACCTAGGGATCGCAAGAATCCACACAGAAACTTCCATACATCCTCTGGTATGCCACCTCTAGTTCTATTCTTTGCGTGTTACCCAAAGTCATTTGTTCAACCAGTTATGCTACCGACAGATCTATGCATTCTTAGTCATCTGCCGTGTGGTGAGATGATCCAGAACATCCCTACCTGTGTACTTCCCTTGAGATGGTATAATACTGTATCATTGTGGAATCCCTGGGTCTGTAGGCTGAATAGTATCTCTTCAGATGTCCCAACTTTCCTCAAGTCATCAATCACAGCGAGCAAGAAAGAAGCAGACGACCAGCTTTCCGTCAAAATGGCCATCATAGGAGCCAAGGAAGAACATGGCGATTCACGTGTCACGTCTAACCGAACTGATCAAGGCGGACACAATAAAGCCGTGTCAAAAACCATACCTTCGTCTGCTTTACCTGGTTCACATTCCTTGTGTATCAGGATCGAAAGTGGCGTCAGGGTTCAAGTCGTCCATGATGAATAGCCTCCAAGCTGTAAAATCCTGAGTAGATTGTTGGACCAATACTTGCTCTAGGGCTCTGATTCAAGATGTGGAAGTGTACACATTACTTCCAACTGTTGAACAGCGAAACAAGACAACCCATCCATCCACATGACAGGGACAATATACCAGGTACTCACCATTTGCGGAACGCAAGGGTACTGCCCCTGATGTTACGTAACAGCTGACGAAGCGAATGGCGACGTCGGAATCCTCGATAAGTTCCCGCTCGACCTGATGCTTGACCGGGCGGGAATTGAGCCTGGCTCCAAGCTGCGCATTCTCGACGACTTAGTTGCATAAAAGCTTCAAAATTGATGCCATGGCTGGCATAGAATCTCCAGCGAAGGTCGTTCTTCGACCAGTGTTGTGTTGGAACAGGATTAATTTATCTTGTTCGGTTTCTGCAATCTGGTAGGAACGTTGCTTGATTCTGGGTCGGAATGGACCTAAGGTCGTTCCTAGAATGGGAACGGGTTCTGATAGTATTTGCTTTTTGGTATTTCGAGCACACATCTTACGCTCTCGTATTCCACACATGGGCGCATTTTGTGCGTCATCAACGGTACTACGTACAATCTAGAACTATATGACCAACTATGAGGATGTTTACCAGTTTCGTCCAACGGGAATATCATCGTCATCTCCAGAAATTCCGGATCCCCAACCTGAACCTCTACTGGGATCCTGACCTCGTACCATTACCAAGCCGTCGCCAAAGAGCGTATCGGTCGCCTGGGTGAGTGGCTAATGTCTTGGCTGATAAAAACTTTTCATGGCCTTCGACAACTGCGAGGAACACAGCGGTGGACACGTCGGGGCAAAACTGTTGGTCCAGCTTGGTGCTTTTCTGTGTTCTATCGACAATATGTTGTTGCTACATGTTGGCCGCTCTAGGGCTGCCGATGCGATTTTCAGTTACAACTGAAAACTTGGGCCATAAGACCCTACTTACAAGTACCGACACTTGCCCTTGATCAAGCCAACTGACTTCTGTCGGGACATGTTTTTGGAAGTGGCGAGCGACTCCAGCATTCAGGTGCGGCTCCAGTAGGGGTCTGAGGACCTCCGATTATGAAGAGACGTTCAGTTCGAGGTTTACGGCTTGAAGCCTGAATTGAGATGGAGGAGACCCGCACTTCAGTTCACCCCCAACTAACCAAAATGCAGCTTGGATGGTCCTTGACATTGTCGAAATGAGGCATGATGAAGAGAGTAGTTGATTAATTGTGGTTGGACATCCCTACCAACTGTTCATCAGATGGCGAATCAATCGGGTATTGGAGATGCCCTTGCAGGAGTATAAGTACCTTGGTCTTTCCACACCATGATTGATTGGAAGAAGGAAGTTGTCGAAGAGCGTTTTCTTGTAGAATTAAGGCTGCGGAACGCTGGCGTTTTGGTCGAGAGAAAAAATGATTCTAGAGTGGAAAGAGCATTATGTCCGCAGCTGTATGTGATTGCTTGCTGCCTACCCCACCAGCTGCAGAGTGCTCGATGCCGTCTGATCGTCTGAGGATATTTCAATGGACTACCAGAATTACAACCCCGCGGGAAGCTTCCACTTTCCATCCTTCGCGATAACTTCAGTTCCTTCCCATCCAGAAAACCACCCCGAAACAGGAAGAAACTGCGAAGTTCAAGCTGCTTGTCTACTTCCCAACTAGTACAGCATCAAATGTCATACTCGCCAAGTTGACAGGATCAATCTTGCAAAACTTTTTCCACGACAATTGAAGAAGACCGCTATTCCTGGACGAATGCTAATGGAAACTGCGCTGAGCATGAAAGAGCTCCGCAATCTAAGACCGGCACCACCACCGTCTAATCGAGCGCCATCGGCTGGGTCAGCGATGATCTGCCTCGCCGACATGTTAGACAGGATCTGAAAAGTGGCATAGATGGCAGATCACATCTCCGCATCTGTTGGGTGCATCTGTCAAACTCCCGTGAGCCACGATTTTTCATATATGAGCTCTTCAACAGGGGATGGCAGCGGTTGGTTCACTGACATTCTTGCAGTTCCCAACATACCAGGTTGTCCCTCGTTACATACAACGAGTTCTAGACCTCATCTACACTCTGCATATGAAAATTATGACCTCTTTTGGGGTGTTATCAGCAGATATCCTGGAACTGGAGACACTCATGTTGTATCATAACAGAATTCATGTATACCTTATTTCAATTCTCTGACTGCTGGCACCCATCACAACCAAAATAACTGATGCGGCACAGACCACTACATCACATCTCGATACTACCCTATATCGGAAAGCCCACAAATGGACAATTGCACCTCTACTTCTGAGTTGGGGCCACAGTAAGTACTCGGTGCCTCCATGAATGGCAACCGGACTGACGGTTGACATCTTGCTTCCCCTGTAAGCAGATCGGTTATCAAAAAGCAACTACTTTGGAGAGTGCTGTCTGGGCTCCATCAATAAACATCTTTTGACGTCCATCATGTTGAAACACCACAAGATGCACCGCGCTTCTTCCACCTCGCATTGATAGATACCCAGAGGACAAAGGAGGCCAGTAACTTGATATCGCAGCCATCTCATCTTGATCAACACCTCTACAACAACAAGCAGCCTTCCATAACACTTGCTTTACGCATCAGCGCATATGCTGCTTGCGTTGACATAGAGCAGAAGATGGGATCTCATATGCCAACCGTGTCCTAAGTACTCTTCGCTAACTCCGAACACGGCCGAGAAAACGTCTCCTAGCCGCCAGTTACGCCATTCTCACACTTCCAGATACAGATGTTGAAGTTCACTTCGCTTCTTTCCCGTCCATCCAGACGTATGTCTTCTCCACCTACAAATATGCCAAGCGCGACACGCATCTTAACCCGCCCCATCATCCACACCATTACGGGCATCGACATGGTATTCGCTTGAGTCCGACCCGAACTCGCCGCCGACCGTGTCAACATGAACCAAATTCGCATCGGACTCATATGCGCCATTTGACTCATGTGTCTTTTGTTGAAAACTTCGCTTCCCTGGCTTGACCGCGAGTTTGTTGGTGTTCTTTTGGGTCATCGTCGAGTTTGTCACCAATGTGCATGCATCCATCGTCGCAGTCTACCCGGTCTTTTTCTTTGCTTTAACCACCATCGGCCATGTCAACCATAACAACCTAAGTCCAAACACATCCGAATTTATCATTCTCTCCCCCAACACTACCAAGGACGTTCCCAGGCCTTTCCAGCCCCACCCCAAGCCTCCAAGACGTACCTGTGCATCAAAAGGCCTACCCATTCTGTGTCCCCTTCCTATACATCCCATGGGATATCTACCAAAACTTGTTCTCCATCATTATTGCCACTTTTCTCGAGAGCAATCGCCGTCCCGTTCAGTAATGTCCACATGTTGAAGATTGATGAGGAGACGAGGCGAAGGAAATTCATAATTATTTTTGCATTGATAATACTCATGCTCGAAATGATGGTGCCTGGAAGAGATGAGAAGGGTTACACCTGGTGGGATGTTAGGTTTGAACGATATCTACAGAGGAATGGATAACGCCATTTCCCCTGCCCAGTTTCCGGCAACTACATGCAGCCAGCACACCAAAAGCCTGCATCATGTAAAGGCTTCGGATTGTGTTTGGATAGACAATAATCTTCAATTTTCTCTCTTGCTTACATCAGGGTGTTATCGCGGAGTGTCCACCGGGTGTAGTGATTTACCGAGGGGGGCGCAATGCTGCAAATATTCAAGGATTCGTTATCGTTCCAAGGGAAAACATCACATCCCGTGGAACTAGTCAGGTCACGGATATATACTGCATAGTAATTATATATGGGACATAGCGCCATTGACGATGTACAAGATGTGTTCATGGATAAGTAAGTAGAGCCACGCGTGCGCTTCAAGTACCATGTGTTGTGGGACATTACAATCCGAACCCGTACACGGAACCACCAACGGGCATAAAACCAGGTACTGCAAGAACCACGATCGAGATCACTATGTACCTTGGCGTACTGTGGGGAATACTCGAAGGGGTCCTTTTGATCATATTCCCGGCAATCCTTCAGTCATAACTGCTCGGCATGAAACATTTTCTGATCTACTCCTGCCAGGACATCTGATGAACCATCGTTCGCCAAGAAGATCCAGCTACAGCTGAACCAATCATCTCCTTTCTCATGTCCCGATTGGGGAACTGGACAGTGCCACAGCAGGGGTTTTGGCCATCGCCAAAAGTTCCACCCATGGAGTGGAGTCGTTCGTTCTGAACGAGTGCAATTCATGTTGAACGACATGGCATTATGGGTACCTACGGGAGAAGGACCAAGGCTCAGTTTGGGGGATAACAACACAGGCATGCGATTGCTCGTAGGACGAAACCGAAAACATAACGGTGTATAGTTGGAATACAAGAGTGGAAACGAGGACAGGCAACTGTCATGATACTGTACAGCATGGTCGGTCACAGTGCAAGTGTGAGGTGTTAACTGTATTTCTTGGTAAGACTGCACCCAGTGGGCCGAAAACACCACTGCGGGTTCAAGACAGAGGCGGGCAGGATGCAAAAAATTCCAAAAGAGACAACCTTGTCTCTGAGGAGGGCTGGGCTTAGGAACAATGACAGCGCCAATGGTACTAGCTACCACAGTAAGCGCTCAAAATGGCCGGCCTTGTGCGCTTAAAGCGACTTTTGTCTCGGAATGGCATGTTTTGCCGTAACTACAGCAAATACGGCGGCAGCAGCATTCTGCCGCGCGAACGGACATGCGACATCGTGTTACAAGCCCTCGATTTTCTCGTCTGGGAGGCTCAACCCCAGTGAGAACCTCAATATCATGTCGCATCCCTGAAAAGATATCATCAAGCGGCTTTTCGTGGAGGGAGGTTTTCGACGCAGCGACCCGATCCGCGGACACTCCTCGAGTGCCGCCAAATTCCTGAGAGTGCCGCCACTTTGCCGCAACAGGGCATCCGCTTGGATCCCCTCATGCGAATAGACTCTGATACGAGCGCATGCAAACACCATGCTGGATAAAAAGCTATTTCCCAACGTGTTCGCAGCGCTTTTCATCGCTATTGTCGACGTCCGTGAGATTTTTCTGGCTGGTGAGCTCTACGATTTCTATACGTAGCTGACATGCGGGTGTTATCTCCGATTGTCCACGGAGCCTGATCGCCCGTATGGATACGCATAACGCCAAACCTTTGTGGATGCATGAGTGTAACACCAATCAATGCAGGAACCGTACTTTGCAAAATCGAGTCACGAGGGGTTATCAAGTTGAGACTTTCAAATTCCTGATAATCACCGCTCGATAATTTCGGTCGAGAGGTTCAGACGGGTCGAACCGACAAGCCCAGCTATGTACTTCACTGGGTACGAAGATTAGGAACGGGAAAAACGTTCATGATCAGGAGTATTCAGTTGCCTGGAGATGTTGGGGTGGGGTTGCGAAACTCGGTACAGCTTCGGAAGTAAAGGGAAGCATGTCAGCATGCAATGTTACCACACAGGGCGACATGGCAGGGGCGGTATACAGGCAAATGCCCTGATGGTTTACGTATGTATACCACTTCAATCTCGACTGTCTATCTCTTTGGCTGAGCAAAGTTATCATTTTTAGCGTCGACACGGTTTTTGGCTAACGAAAACATACAGGTACTATGTATGCAGCTTAGTGGCAATCATTTTATCAGCTACTTCCTTTAATTTTCCAGACATCTGGTGCGATAAGACCGTCGGGCGGATCTCTCAGAAGTAGCTGCATACTTTTGTGGGGCGCGCCAGAATAAAGTGAATGTATCGACCAACGAGATCATCCAGCCGCCATCCAGTAGCGATTCCAAAGAGAAGTGATCGTCAGGGTAGCTTTGAAGGATTGTGGGACTTGTGTAACGATAAGATGCTATGGTGGCTCCTCGGTCCCAATACCGGAGGACGAAATCCTTTCTCTGGTTTCAGGCGGTTCCATAAAGTGAGGGTGGAAAAGACATGGCGTCGACAAGACATAGCCACGATGTTGTGAACTGAGAGGAAGAACATTTTTCTCAACCCAACTCAAGACTCCATAAACACCAGTCTGGGTGAAGAAATCATAACCATGGAGACCATCGACCTAGTCGTCATCGGTTCAGGTAAAATCTCGCCTGGCTGGCGGCTGCAGTGCACCACCACAAAATGACTAACCAAATTTTGCCAAAACAGGCCTCTTTGGCCTCGCCATGGCCAAAACCTACCACCAACTCCACCCCACCCTCACCCTCGCCATCTTTGACAAAGCCGAAACCATAGGCGGCGTTTGGGCCGAGGAACGCCTCTACGACGGCCTACGTACCAACAACCTCAAAGGAACCTACGAATATCTCGACTACCCCATGAGCCCCGAACTCTTTGGGGTCAAACCCGGGGAGTACATGACCGGTCCTGTAATGCACAAGTACCTCTCCAGCTATGCCGAGGCGTTTGGCATCAAGGATAAAATCCGGCTTCGGCATACGGTGTTGGAGGCTGCGCATCAGGATGGAGTAGAGGGTGGGTGGGTGTTGACGGTGCAAAGTCCCGATGAAGGAATGACGAAGAAGCAAGTGTTTGCCAAGAAGATGGTGATGGCGACTGGACTGACGTCCGAGGCGTTTTTGCCGGATTTCAAGGGGCAGGAAACGTTTGGGGCGCCGCTGTTTCATAGTAAGGAGTTGAAGAGGTATGAGGGGACGTTGGAGGGGGAGATAAAGGTTGTCACGGTGCTGGGGGGAACAAAGTCGGCTTGGGATGCGGTGTATGCGTATGCGTCGAAGGGGATCAAGGTTGACTGGGTTATTCGAGGTGAGTACGGGCTCGATGTGAGGAGGTGTTAGGAAAGTAGGGCGTTTGACTGACCGAGGCGATGAGAACCCAGAGAGCGGGCATGGACCGGCGTGGATGGCGCCATCGTTTGTTACGCCTTTTAAGCTATGGTTGGAGGCGTTGGTTCGTAAGTAAACCTCGAAAACACATGGCTCATTCGCGATAGGCTAACCACGGATGTCATTTATCAGACACACGAATTTTGACATGGTTTTCGCCATGTATCTGGGGAGCTGCCGACGGCTACTCGCTGATCCGGAGGTTTTGGCACGGAACAGCCATCGGACGAGCAGTCACCAATGCATTCTGGTGGGTCTTGGGAAACGACGTCAAGACCATCAACAAATACAGTTCGCATCCAGAGATCAAGAAGCTCGAGCCATGGTCGCCGGCCATGTTCGTTGCCTCGAGCTTTTCCATCCTCAACTTCCCATCTGACTTCTTCGATCTCATCCGCAAAGGCACCGTTAATATCCACATTGCCGACATCACAAGGTTGTCACCAAAAGCGGTGCATCTTTCCAACGGATCCCAGCTGGAAACCGAGGCCTTGTGTTGTGTCACGGGGTGGAAGCACGTACCGCCTGTGAAGTTTCTCCCAGAGGGCATCGAGAAGGAGCTAGGGCTGCCTCATTCCCTGGACGGTGACGCTGAACCGATTTTTTCGGACGAAATGGTGGCGCGAGCAGATGAGGAAATTCTCTCGAAATTTCCGCGACTCAGGTACCAACCGATTATCAACAAGAGATACAAGCCCATGACGGAAACAGAAGGCCTGTCAACGAGAGATGAGACTATTTCCCAGGCCCGCCAAACTCCCTGGACTCTCTATCGGTTCATGGTGCCGCCCTCGCCGCGGTTTCTGGCAACGAGAGATATCGCTTTCATCGGTTGTTTTTGTAGCTTCTCTTCTGGGCTCTCTGTTTATCCCCAGGCACTCTGGATCTGCGCGTTTCTCGACGATAAGTTGCCCCTGAGCGTGATGCCGTCCAGAAAAGCTTTGCTTGAGGGGAACTCGAAGCTCAAGAACGAGGCGGTGGGCGAGAAGGGGAAGACCGTGGAGCAGGTGCGATACGAGACGGTTCTCCAAGCACGATTTGGGAAGTGGCGTTATCCGGCAGGTCATGGACACCAGTTCCCCGACTTTGTGTTTGATGCGTTGCCGTATATTGACTCGATGCTTGGTGACCTGGGATTGAAGATTCACCGGAAGAAGAGCTGGTTGGCCGAGATGACAGAACCGTATGGACTCGAGGACTACAAGGACATTGTCAGCGAGTATGCAGAGAAGTATGATGGGAGGATGTGTGCTTGATGGAGTTGTGCCATGCACTTGGCGTTTGTTGGTGTGTCCGCTCCGAGAGTATACCGCTCAAGTTAAGATTCGATCTCGATCTGTGAGCTGCTTCGGTTCGTTCATGGGCAGCCAACTTGGGCTATCATCCCTTATGCGAGTGATACACTTATCCATCCTCAGTTTTTCACAACCAGGTCGTCTGTTTGACACTCGAATCGTACTATTGAAAGGCGGTCGTGATCAGTTTGTTGGTTGGAACCTGGGGTTTCGTTTTTCTCCATATCCAACTAGTGGAACATCAAGGCCTGGACGGTTAATGTGAGAAACGTCGGCACGGCATAGCATCAACATGGCTTCCACCAGGGCAATATATAAGACTCTCGTCTTTCACCTTTCTCCGGCCTTTTCCCATCCATCAGCACCATCGAACATTGACACCATAAGGGGACTCAATCCGAGAAAGCAACCACAATACCCATTGTTGCCAGTCCTACTTATCCCACCCTCACAGGATGTCTGGAAACACCTCTGGGTTCAGCAGTTACAACCCTAACACCTCCAGCTCCGGCTCCGGCTCTGGCTCTGGCGCCGGCTCAAGCGGCACTAGCTCATCTGCCTGGAAGTCCAATGCCTCCGAGATCCGTGACGTCAGCAAGTCGTTCAGCTCCACGGCTTCGAGCTCGACCGACAGCAAGGTCAAGAGCTACGCCGCATCAGAGGCCTCCCGATGGGATAGCATGGCCAAGAATGCCGATTCCATGGCAGATAAGAAGTAGTAAGCTCATGGAGGATAGGCCGTTGCGTTCAACACAGAAGCCTTGAGAGAGTGAGATGATGGGGAGAGGAAAAGGATGGGGGCATGGAAACGAAGGAAGGAAGGGAAGGGATTGGAATGGGAATAGGAAAGATCACGCTACTTGAGAAATGGGATGAGGGCCGGACAAGGACAAGATGTTAATTTTGAGCGTTGATGACAAGAATCCGTCTGGGAGGAATCTGCGTGAGACGTTCCAGGATTCGAGGGCCAATGGCAATGGCCCTCTTTTCGGATCTGTTGACGGGGGTTGGGACACATAGTAGTTCCGTGAAAAATTTTTGAACGAGAAGAATTCAGGAGAGACAGCGACAAGAAGGTTACCAATTATTAGGTACCCATCGTCAAATTTCCAGTGATTGTACTGCAATGTGTTGTGACTGAGAAGGGGAGTAATATGTCGACTCAAGTCGTGTGCCAACACATATTTTCAGTTCTGTGGCGGAGAATGTCGATATCGGGTATGTGGAATAGGACAGAAAAAAAAAAGAGTTGGAAAAGTGACAGCCCCAGGCAGGCAGGGCTCAAGAAAGCCGTTCGGTTCGATGTGTTTCCTCTCCGGATCCCGTTTGAGCCGTAGGGCGGGGGTGGGTCGGCCTCTTGCACTAGCTCTCTGCCTCCCCCGACTGTTTGGAAATACAAGGTACGGGCCATTGGTGATACCTATCCTCAGGGTATCCACACACCTATGCAGGCGCAGTAGGCCTCCCGCTCCGACTGCCGTGCCGCCCGTCAACTAACGTCGCTCTAGGGTTGCGCTTTCGCACTGTCTGTGCTGCCGCGTTTGCAGGCGCGAGGGCGCTGCCCGGGGCCGCACTGGCCTGGTATGTTACAGTTTCTGCGTATTTTATGCCGCCATGCACAAATCACATCTCGTCCCCTCAAGTTTCCACCTCAACCTCAAACTTCCACCCAATCCATCCCCATAACACATCGTGCATTGCCGCCCATAGGCCATCGCAAAATGAGCCCAGCGGGTAGCCCAGGCCCTATTGCTTTTTGCAAGGCTGACTTGATGCCGTCAAGTGCAAATCGGAACCTCAATCGACGCACTTGAGTCTGCATCAACCTTGGAACGCAGCGAAACATGCAGCGGATTCTGGCCTTCCATCCCATCTTCTTCCGTCACTCCACGTCCCCCCACCTGTATGGGCACCCAACTCGAGTGTTCTTGTGTTGCTGCCTTCGGTCTAGGCTGCCATTTGTTCCGTCCAGATGTCTTGGATACCTAAACTCCATGTCTGGCGGGATGAGCTATGGAGGACGGACGAAGCCGTGGATCTTGAGGAGCCATCAAAAGTTGACAAGTCGGGTAGGTACCGGTACTGCCCCTTGATAACCACGCATACATGGCTGTTGTCTGCATCTGTCCGGTATCTCACATCTGCATACTTACCTTTTCCAGCTCCTTTCGCATTCGAAGCCTTCATCATCGCCCGTTACGGACCGTTGCAGATACCCCGCCGGGCCTCCGTTTGTCGAAACCTGCAGGCGTCGGAACCCCGCGGTGACTGGATAAACCAAGGTACAAAGGTACAACTGCCACCTTCTTCGAGGATTCGAGTCCAGCTCTTCAGATCGCCCCAGCCTGGCTAGTCGTCGTTCAAATAATCAAGACACCTCGAGCTTCAAACGTGTCTGGTTTGCTCTTTTGCACACCATCTCATCTTGGAAACGAACTTGAACCTTCATCTGGAACGGCGAGGCACACTCTTGTGATCGCAGGCATCTCATCACCACGAGGAACATTGTCGTTTTGTCGCAACCTGTCCGACCACAGCCAACCGTACCGGACTGCACATTTTCTGATTCGTCCCTACGAGTCGCAAGTTAAGAGTTACGATCACTTGCTTGTTTACTTTGGTCGACGCCTCAGCACTGACCACCGAGGCCCGCGTCCAGGGAATACGCAAACTATCTGCCAGGTGCGTTTCCTTGACTTCAAACCTCTGTACTTCTATTTTGGTCACTCTCGAAACCAGGAGATCGGGGCAGTCAATCCTTGAACCAACCGTCTCGGCTTCCCACTGTCCACACGAGCGGGCGAGTGGCCTACTTGAACCCCCCCTCTTCCACATTCTTCCCATTACTTGTTCGACGAAGACACTCTTTCAACTTTGTATCACTTCAGGCAAATCCCCACCATCATCACATTTTTCTCACCACCTATTTCACATAACTTTCTTTCCCCCTACTCACTTATCTTCTGGAGTTCAGGTCCAAAGACTGCCTAGGACTGGTTCGGTCCCAGTTCAGAACTATTCACTCTCGAGGCAAGGTTGCCTCAAGTTGACACCATACAAGCGCATCATCGGTAAGTCCTGACACTATACCTCACCTCTCCTTCCATGGCTGTTGAATTCGCCAGCTTTACTTGGCTTGACGTTTGCTCCCCAGCTTTCTTAACTGTGTCAATGATCGTGCGAGCTGATACGAACAAACTAGCTTGCCAACCCGCACATGTGGCCATGGCTTCGAACCAGGAACTCTACCATCACCTGGTTCTTGCGGCCAAGGTACCCACATCTCAACCCGATGCTCTAGAACCGCTCAACAGGGGCCTCATCGACTGTGCTATCAAGGCGTGTAACTTTCTGCGACGACAGTCTTCCCCCCAGCCGTGGGACTCTCTGCTTCCTTCCCTTGAGAAGTGTAGGGATGTTAATCATGACGGAATGCTCAGTAAAGCATCACTGGAGGAGGCGTTCCGGGACATTGGAGGAAAGACGCTCATCTTGCATGTGGGGAGCCAAAACGCCGGCCTCCTCATCCGTCCCAGCTCAAAGTGAGTGGCCCCCGATCAGAAGAGGAACTTTATTTTATCTTTTTTTTTTGGTTATTATGTACTTCGTTACTAACAGTCCCCTTTAGCGATTCAGTGATATTCGAAGCATTCGAGGCCTCCCCATCTTTGGAGGCTGTACTGGGAGCCAAGGATGCCCTTTTGTGGGATTTCCCTGGTCGCGCGGCCCAGATCCCTATCAACGAATTTCAGACCGACTCGTTTAGATCCAATCTCGCCTTGTTTCTGGAAAAAGCCAGCATTGAGACTCTAAACGCCCTCAATGCGCGCGCTGTCAAGAAGCAGACAGCAGTCATTGAGACGCGTGACACCGCCGACTGTGCGCTGATTTCTCAGCTGCTCATATCCCTGCTGATTGCCATTGGTGGTCCCGTCAGCACTCCTAGGTTTCGGAAGAGAGTCCGCGACGAGGTCAACTTTGACAACGCAAAGAAGCCATGGAGAAGGGCTCCGATGTGGCTGATATTGCGCGTCGCCGTCCGACAAATGCTATGTCTCGAACTTGGAAACGAAGCAGGACGAGCGACCTACAAAATGTTCATATGTGTCGTCCTCGCGCAATTCCTTGAACAGACCTCGAAAGAGCTCGCTGCTGAGATGGTGGTAAGTTGAAGACCTTTCCCTTCTTGCCCACTATCCACAAGTCTTACTAATCTTGTTTTTATCCCCTTCATCTAGATGACCCTCAGAGCCAAACTGTGTCGACGCCTCGCCAAGTTGGAATCGGACAAGCTGCAAGCATCCGAGTCAGCTCGCCCAGTATATGACCAGCTTTTGAACTGCTTGAGCCCCTGGTTCAAGACTGTCATTCAAGTGGCCACTCATGAAGCCACAAGGGCCTGGGAGCTGCACAAATCTTCTGTCCAGCGAAAGATTCATTTCCTCCCTCCCAAGTCCGACATCGCCAACTTCAAACTTCAGCTTCCAAACAGTGGAAATTATTTGAAATCACTTCTCTACCTAAATCCGTATCCTCTCAAAGAGATACCATGTCTCGACTTGCGAGCGATGAAGTCCGGCACGCTTGGACAGGCTACGAAGTTCGCCAACAAATATCTCAGACTGGCTGAACTTGAGGATGAAATTGAACAAGGCATCGAACGAGAGGCGCGATCTCCTCCCGGCTCCATGGATGGTTATCGTCTCGGATGTTTGCGCATCTCTGAAATGATCACGAGACTGATTAAGGAAGTTGGCGATGCTTATGATAACGATCCAGCGCAAATGAGCCACCACATTCTCAACGTAATGGATCTGTGGGTGTCGCTGGACCAGTACGCAACCTCGTTTTGTCCTCTTTTGATGGCCTATCACCCATTCTTTACTCCCGAGTCACTTGACTTGCTTCAGCTTGCATCATTTTCCGACCTGTCTCGGCTCCAAGAGGTACAGGAATACTTG